GCACACAAGCGACAGGCGCCGGACGCTAGTCTAGCGTCAACCCTATTTCGCGAGCTGTCACTTTGCCATTCTTTGCATGCATGCTACAAATACTGACAACTCGACAGCGGCGCGTCCATCGTCATGTCTTCCAACGACGCGACCCGCGATCCACGACTTCAACAAAAGAACAGTTCTGCTCCACCGGCTCCGTCGTTTGGAGAGAACAAGAAGCGACCGGCGAGTCGGTCCCCAGCGGCAGCTGCCAAGCCTGCTAGGAAGCAGTCAGTCCCATTCGCAGCATTCAGTCAGTCTCACAACGGTAATGGCAATGGCAACATCGACAGTGATTCGCGCCGGTCGTCCGTTAGTAGCACCGACCAGCGTCAGGCTCCAGTCGCGAACATGATGCCGACAGCTCAACATCCAACTCCGAGCACTACCTCCTTCTTGGAAGACCTGCCTCAGAGGTCAGCAGATCTCGCTGTGGCCAAGCTGAATCTGGAACACGCTCAGCGCGCGTATGATCAATCTGTTAAGGAGAGCGACGCCTGCAAGCAATTTTTTGACGCATATCCGTCCATTAAGGAGCAGCGGCTCAACAGTCTTCGCAACACGACAAACAAGCTGACTGCTTGTCGTAATGCTTACGACAGGTACGTGATCACCTCCAGCTCTCGGCCACTAGTCGGCCTTTCAGCTTCACAATCTGCTTGATCGTCTCTGGGATATCGACATGGCTGACTTTAAAGCAGGAAGGATCAAGCCATGCAGCAGGCAATGGCCGATGCTGATGCTCGCTTTCAGGCTTCGGTGGCGAATGCAGCCAAAGAGCGCTCCAAGGACGATGTCACCCAGGATCGTGCCAGACAGTCTCAGTTCGCGAAGCTCGAGCACAAGTTGCAACAGGTCGACCACAAGGTGGACGAGTTCGAGCACAAGGTGAAACAGGCCGAGCACAAGGTGGAACAGCTCAGCAAGGAAACCCAAGTCACATCTCAGGCCTTCGACAATTTCGACAAGCGCTTCAAGGACATCCAGAAGCACATTGAAGAACTCATTCAGAACATGAATGCTGACGCCGCGATCACTTCGGAGCATGGTGAGCAACTTTCTACACTGCGCAACGATTACGAGGCTTTCAAGCAAAGTTTCGCGGGCTTGCAGGACATCGTTCAAGGCCTACAGGACCAAGCTTCGGCCATGAAAGACAAGGGCGGTAACAACGGCAATGAGCTTGGCCTGGCACATTTCAGGGTGGTCTCGGCACCATCCGACGAAGACGACGTGCAGATCCCCTGGAAGCAGAAGGTCGAGGGCCAGATCGAGGGCCTCAACATCTGGACATCGTCCATTCAGCGGCAGTACGACAACCTGACCACCGAGCACGTCGTCCAGAAGATGGTGGACCAAATGAGCACCATGTATCCTGCTGCAAAGGACTTCCAGGTGTGTGTTAACAACATCAACGGCAAGATCGCGCAGATCGAGGCTACACTGCTCGATCCCCAGAAGCGCGAAGGTGGAGATGCGGCTGGTCCTTCGGCGCACGAGGTCAGCGACATGCGCAACAACCTGGATGCGCTGAAGGTGCAGGGCGAGCAGGCCATCGATTTCTTGAAAGACGAGATTGGGAAGATTCAAGGCAACCTCGAAATCGTCTTTCAAAATAGCCCCGCAGCTTCCAAGCAGCAGGGCTGATTCCTTTTGGTCATTGAGACATTCGTCGGCGCATTGACGATGCATTCAGGTTTTAGCAGGGCGTTGTCACGGCGGAAAACTTTGCATCATGATACCCAACAGTACGGCAGGCTTCCGAGTTATACGTATAGTAGCTTGCAGGAAGAAGCGGCCAGTGCGCCTCACCCTTTCTATATTTTATCAAGCACGAGTCCAGAGACGCTTTCTTTGTTTCTCAGCTATAAAACTGTGACATGAGCAGGCTGTCCTCCTATGCTTGATATCTCTTCCTTGCGCCACGCTAAAAGTCCCAACCACCTGATGGGTTCATCAGTTCGCTGCCGGATCTTTGGCATTCTGCTCCGCTGCTTTTGCTTCTTTCTGCTTCTTCATTCTTTCCTCAGCGGCTTTCGCCATAGCTTCCCTTCTGCTCAACGGCTCTCCACCGCCGGCAGCAGATGGACTCCCTTCCGCGCCTGCCCCGAGAACATATTCTCCGCCTTCCCATCCTCCGTGATCAGCCTCCTCGTCTTCCCCTTCATCGTCCGGATTATGGAACTCCTCACCACCGACAGAACTCCCTCCTCTCCTCCAATCGTTCTTGTCCACCTCGGCTTCGATTTCCCTGCACAGCTTCCAGAACCTTTGATCGTGGTCGCCCCAGACGTTATGCGTCAGTTCGTGGCAAAGTGTCTTCCGGATCACTTTGTAATCCCTATATCCATCATACGCATCCGTTCTCAACCGCAACTCAATGACTTCTCCGCGATTCCGATTGAGTCCCAAAGTTCTAGACTCATGCGTCGTGTGCTCTGCAGGATTCATCTCTGTCAGGAGACCCACGGAGAATCCATGTTTTCTCATCGAAGCCTTGATACCTGCGTCGTCCCGTAGGCGCTCCAGGAATCGCAAGCTCTTCTCAGGATTCGGCAGGTATGGCAGAGGCCGTAACGTGTGAAAGGTATATCTCGCCTCGTCCTGGACTTTCTTCCAATCTCTGCTCGGGTTCGCTTTGACTTTCCTTCCCTCCTTCAGAGCAGCACGGCGACGGGAGATACGTGCTTTGCGTTCCGCAATGTCTGATTCAAGCTCTTCTATTTCGGCGGTCGTGGCGCCCATGAGGACGATCTTCTTATCTTGAATGGAGCGGACTGTGAGGGAGGGGTCTTTGAATGGCGGTTTGAGAAGGCCGACTTTGGGCGTTATGAGGAATTTCTGGCTTGTCGGAGGGATTTGGAGATCTTCTGCTACGGAATCGGAGAGGTCTTGAATTGTGGCATCTTCGCTGTAGAGAGGGACTTCGACGGGTTTGTTGTGGAGCTGGAGGATGATTTTGAAGGCTGGTTCTGGTTCTTCTGCGTTTTCGACGTCGGAGAGACTGCTCGGATGACTGGTTATAGATCTTGTCTCGTCATCCATGTGGGTGAGAGATGCCTGATGGTCGATATTCGCTGTTCCGGACATGATTCCAAGACTCTTGAGAGCAGCGGGCATTCGATGTGATTTCTCTTTCGACGATGCAAAGGGATGTTCGATGTTTGATGTTTGATGTCTGGATGCACGGACGAGGAATAGAGAAAGAGATGCGTTAGTTTACCTACACCAAGAACCTATAGCAAGAATATCAAAGAGTAATGATTGCCACGGAAGGAAAGAGAAGACGTTCGAGCGTCGGCTTCAGTGAAGTGGAATCGGTCTCAGTCGCTGACAAACGTCGTCGTCACTCAGCCACAGATACACGCTAGGCTTGCCGTTCGCACGGAAGAACGGCGGAAGCAGCCATGTTGATCGGTCAGTTTCCAAATGCCTCGTAAGACCTTATCTTCTTCCTCAACTCTCAAATCACACGCTCTCTGTCGTTATTCACCGATTGCGAAACCATGGCTTTCCTCGTTCAGAAGCTTCAATCCATCACATGAAAGTCGCCCGGAAAGCATTCATTCCCAAGAACATATCCGCCAGCGCCTGCCTTCGCAAAAGTGGTATCATCAAAAGGAACTCGTCCACAGACATGAATCTGTCCTCGAACAGCTATGCTCACGTTGTTCCACGCCCGCCGCCGTATGCGAGCTCCGTCTTGTCGCATTCTGATCACTATTGTCCAAATCACATCGCACCCCCGGCTCCTCTGTTTCTTGGATCCTCCATCTAGACTCCCTCTTGGAAATTGAAGTTAGGGTCCGCCTTTGCGTTGGTCCTTCGACCGCGCGAGCGCATAACGTGCATGGCAGCCATGGCTGTTGTAGCAGCGAAGAGGGCCCTACCCGGGGGTCAGCGACACTCTTCAAGGTCGATCACGAGTCCTTCGGTGCACATCAGGGAGAATACTCACCAGTCAAAAGCTGCGAAGACGGCAGCCGCCTTGGCTGCCGAGCAGACATGTCCGAAGCAAACGCGATCGCTCAAGAACACCGCGAGCGCAACGAAGCCGGCGAACCAGAAGATCATCGTGACGGTTTCGGCGCCTAAGATCGCGAACTTGTGGTGCGCGACGGTTTCGGAGAAGCGCCATGGGACAATGATGAGGTAGATGAGGGCGAGCAATGACCAGACGGAGCAGAAGACGAGGAAGCTGATTTGCGAAGGCGAGGCGGCATGCCAATAGCCGGACCACCAGTGGACGACTGCAGAGGTCAGTACACTGGTTGCATTTCGGGCGTGATGGGAGCGTACCATAAGCTGTGAGTCCGAGGACGATGAGAGCTAAGCCGGCTTGCGCGACGCGCAGTCCTAGGACTACGATTCTGCTGTCGAAAAGGCCCATGTTGTTGTCTTGGTCGCACCGTGCGGCCTTGCTTGTCTCAAGTGTTCGAATTTGGGAGCGCCGGGCGAGTTAGTCGTGCTGTGTATCTTCCCCAGAAAGGCGGAGGCGGGGCGCAAGATGGCTTCAGGTATGGTGCGGGCAGAGGTATGCGATTGAAAAGATGTAGGTCGCGGCCGGAATGCTCTGCCAACAATGGAGGAACAAGGACCACGCGCGCAGCAGGGAATGGTTGGCAATTGTAGAAATGAGCTGTCGCGTCGCGACGTGAGAGGCAAACGAACCGGAATTGTGACGCTGGCGAAAGGTCTGGTCTGCTGATATGCGCCCCGTCTGCCGAATGAGAGAAGCAGGCTTTGGCCACCCATCCTGGTCTTGCAGGTCGTGCTTGTGCTGTCTGTCTGCGATCTGCGAATCCTGCGAGAGTCCTGAAACGCGAGTCTCAGGTTGAGATTGGATGGCGCCTTTATTCGCCATTTCCTTCGCGATTTGCCTGGTGTGCTGAAGGCGCCTGTATCTCGTCCCAAGTCGCTGCCTGAGCAGGACGACACTTTCAGTATACCGATGGTGATGCTGAGGCGCTTTCTCTTCAGAGCGACGCCTGTACGCGACAGCATCGCTCGCACAACCCTGAAGTCTCACGACTACGTCAGCTTCACGCCAGTCCTGTACAGCCTTCCAAGTAAGCCTGCACCTGGGTACGCGAATGCCACTGCTGTGCTCGGCAGTAGTAGTGAAAACCAGCCACTTGCAGGCGGCGAGCGGAGAAGCGCCTCGTGCTTGGCGGGAAAGCCTCGAATGGCTCTGTTCACGGGTAAACATGCACAGGTAGCATTCACCGGTACTCCGAAGCGAAGAAGATCCCAAGAATGTGTTTTGCTGTCCAAGTTCGAAGGGCATTAATATTCGCCATGAACATGAGACAAAGCCGCACTCCTTGCATGTTGCTGTGCGGGAATTTGGGCCAAGTTGTTTTGTTTGCTACAAGTAAGGTATCACAGTATTCTGGTCGTCTTTCTATATTTGCGCGACGGTCTCCTTCTCCTTCCCATCCCATCCCCTCACTTCCCACTTCCTTCTCTCCTTCGATAAATAGACAATCCATGCTCTTCCTGCCCAAAGAAAAAAACGGCACGCCCGTGCTATGCACTCCGCTCGAATAAGATACAAAATCTACAACTTCGCCTTGGGCGTGCTCTCCGCCTCGATCTCGGCATACATCTCGTCAATGACATTGCGGTATTTCTTCGCGGTCTGGGGGCGCTTGAGCTTCAATCTGCAGCCGAAGAATGGGTCAGCAACTTCTTCCTTCTCCAAACGAACCCGTGCAGAGGACTTACGTCGGCGTGAGCAGTTCATTCTCAATCGAGAACGGCTCCAGCATCAACCTCACTCCCTTGACATTCTCGTACGAATTGAACTTCGCCTTCTTTCCCACCTTGGCCATCTCCCTCAAGACCGCCTTGCGAACCTTCTGCTCCTGCGCCGCAGCCTCGATACCCTTCAAGTCCGCGGGATTGATCTTCTTGCCGAGTACCTTCTCCAGGAACGCAGAGAAGATGTCGGGCTGCACGCCAAAGACCGCAACAAGGCTGGACTGCGTGCTGTCTCCGTGGACATATCCCTGAGCGAGCCAAGGAAGGTTTCCGAGGTATACATTTTCGATGCGTTCGGGAGAAATGTACTCTCCCTGCGCGAGCTTCAGAACGTTCTTGACGCGGTCGATGATCTTGAAGCGGCCGAGCTCGTCAACGGAGCAGATGTCGCCCGTTCGGAACCAGCCGTCTTCAGTGAAGGCTTTCTTGGTCTCGGCTTCGTTCTTGAAGTATTCCTTGAAGACATTGGCGCCACGAACAAGCAGTTCGCCTCGTGGATGTGGCTTGTCGGTGCTCAGGTATTCCATGTCGGGGACATCCATGATGCAGAGCTCCGAGGAAGGAGCAACCGCGCCGCAGTTTCCGGCGCTGAAATCGCCTTCAATCTGGGCTAATGAGATTGCGTAGGTCTCGGTCAGGCCGTATCCTTGGTAGAAGTTGTTTGCGAACACCACTCGAAGGAATTGCTGGAGAGATGGATCAATTGGTGCGGATCCAGAAATCATCGTCCTCACGCGGTCAAGACCAAGAGCAGCCTGAACCTTCTTCGCCCAGATGCGGTCGTATAGCATGTGGCGGTTGGTAGCTTTATCAGCAGGGACCTGGGTCAAGTTCGCCAGCTTGGTGTCCACGATATGCCTAGAAAGAGTGCCCTTGAAACCTGGAGCCTCAATCGTCTGCGCTTTCACCGCGCCTCCGAAGCGGTTGAAGAGTCTGGGAACGCTGTTGAAAGCCGTGGGTCGCAAGACCTTGAGATCGTCGACCAGCTCAATGATATTGCCGTGGAAGTAACCAATCGCGGAGCCTGCCCATAGTGCGCCAGCCTCCGTCACTCTCTGAAAGATGTGAGCCAGAGGCAGGTATGAGCAGATTGAGTCGTTCTTCGACTGTCTGCAAATGCAGAGAGAAGATGAGGCCGCCGCGACAGCGTTCGAGTGGGTCAAAATAACACCTTTGGGATTGCCGGTCGTTCCACTGGTATAGTTGATCGTGATGGTGTCGTCTGGCCTTGGTGGATGGTAAGGTCTGGGAGAAGCCTCTCCAATGGCCTCTACACCGCGAATCTCGTGGACCTGTACGCCATGCTCCGCCGCCATCGCATTCAACAGCTCCTTCTTCGAAGTTCCCGGAAGTTCTCCCTCGCTCGTCAATGGGTCCAAGGAAATCACGAGCTTGAGCGTCGGACATCTCGGTGCCAGTTTCAAGAGCATGGGGATGTGCGATACCGAGGAGCACACGGCAGTCAGACCTGCGTGGTTGATGATATACTCCGTCGTGTCTGGGCCGAGGGTATCGTACAGCGAGACGCTATAAAGAGCCTGCGACATGCACGCCAAATCGACAATCTGCCACTCCGGCCTGTTCTGACACCACAGCCCCACACCATATTGCCTGCCATGAACTCCGACCTGCTCGTGCAGCGCAACGAGTCCGACACCAAAGTTGGCCCTCCTCTTCTGGACGTCGCCGTACGATTGCCAGACATATTGACCCCAAGTCTTGTTCACCGCATCGTACGGCCTGTGGCCCAGACACTTGTTCTTGGGAAACTTGGCAGCAGCCTGCTCGAAGATCTCATGCGCGGTGGTGACGGACTGATCGAGCGAGTGCAGAACTCCGTCCTTCTGTCTCCAGTGTCGATAGACTGCGCTTCGGCCAGGCTTCTCGCTGCCGGGGACTGCTACGGAGTATGGCGCCCCCGGGGGAGGCGGAGGCACCATTTCCTTAGCCCGCTCGACTGCTACTAGACTCATCGTGACCGTGTATGTTATGTACTACTATGTCGTCCGTCGGCCGTTCGTGATACAAGATGCAGCAACGCAATCTTCCGTCGATTCGCCGTCGATTCGCCGTCGATTCGCCGTCGATGATGCGCCGGCGGACGAGGAGAAGGATGGTATTAGGAGACGGCTCTACCTATGTAGATCAACACATCAGCTCCCATCTACTTACTCCACCTTCCCTTCCGACATGCATGGTTGGTGCACTGTATATCGGCATGTCGCAAGAAGAGAAAGAGGTACATGTAGTTCTAAAGCTCACCGGTCAAGCAAGTGATGAGGATGCGATGGCCGCGCTGACGACGACAGAGACGGGAGAGAGAAGTGAAAGGAAGAGGAAGAGGAGGAGAAGAGAGAGAGGGGAGGGAAACGGAAACGATCACTTGACCTGATTCGTAGTCGAGGACCGACGCGATGGGATGAGGTGGGTGGATGTGCCCAGTTCTGCGACTGCTCAGATCTAACCAAAGCTCCAGCGCCGGCTGCCGAGGCACGTCTGCGCGCAGGCCGATGGCGCATCTGAATGAAGAAATACTTCCGTCTTGATGCGAGAATCGCGGGAATTGACGGTGAGGTGTTTATCCCTGAGGAATCTGAGTCTCCGGGGACTGTGTATCCTGGGCAGGTGTTGTCACTATTACACGGCAGAAGCATCTAAACATCTAGTTCCATCTCCTCTCTTCACATGTCGATGAGGCTCACAGGCACGAGGCACTCCCGAGTCCGAAAGTCTCGAATACCACCGCGAACGCTGTCCACTTCGGCGCCACACGGGCGCCTTGGCGAGCTGCTTTCTCCCGAGGCCCCCGAACAAGAGCCACCTTCATCAGCCCCGACCCATCAAAGAACTTCTTGTCGTGGTGGAAATGATGCTGTCACCTCTCCTCAAAACTCAAGCAACAATTTCGGCAAGACTCGCAACGAAATCGTTCCAGAGGCAAATGCACAATTATTACCTCTTCCGCCCATCACGAGGTCACCTCACAAGGGACCATGACAGAACCCGGTCCATTAATGCAACAGGGCCTCGGAACCTTTCGCTCACTCGCATGTGACAGCTCCCGAGCAATACGATTGCGATCAAGGGTCGCATTCTGAAGAAGTGAGCCGCATCAGCTATCTGATAAGGCCACTGTACCATCAAAACCTCGCGATACAAAAGTCGATCCCCGTCATGAAACGGTTCATGCGTGGCATCCGTTGTTGGGTATTTCCTACATATAGCTACTAAGTTTTCCCTCCGCTCTTTTGGGGCCCTTGTGCGCTTCTCAAACAGTCGGGTTGGTCGGAGCGCTGGCTGAGCCAGTCACGCCAGAGTTGTCCACGCCCTGTTCATTCGGCTTCGTTTCTGCGTTCTTGAACGATTGCTGGAAGTCGGCGATGATGTCGTCGATGTGCTCAGTGCCCACGGAGATGCGGATGAGGTCCTACCAAAGCCGTTAGTATCCATAAACGCTGCAGAGGAATATGTTTTCAAGCTTACCTCAGTAACACCACTGCTGATCTTCTCCTCATCGCTGAGCTGCTCGTGGGTAGTAGTCCACGGGTGGATAGCCAGAGTCTTAGAATCACCGACATTCGCCAGATTGGAAATGAGCTTGAAGCCGTCGACGACCTGGCTACCAGCCTTACCGCCACCTTTGACACCGAACGACAGAACACCGCCAAATCCACGGGGGAGGTACTTCTTCGCGAGTTCGTGGCTCTTGTGGCTTGCGAGACCAGGGTAGCTGACCCAGGCCACGTTCTCATTCTTCTCCAGCCATTGAGCAAGCTTCAGCGCGTTCTCTGCGTGTCTCTCGCAACGCAAGCTCAGGGTTTCGATTCCGAGAAGGAGTTGCTGGGCCGCAAATGGATTGAGGGCAGCTCCCAGGTCACGGAGGATCTCAACTCGCAGGCGAATGATAAACGTGATGGCACCAAAAGTATCCCAGAACTTGAGGCCGTGGTATCCATCCGAGGGCTCAGTCATCTGAGGGAAACGCTTGCGAGCGTCTGGAGTGCCCCAATCGAATTTGCCAGCATCGACGACGACACCTCCGATAGTAGTACCATGCCCACCAATCCACTTGGTCGCGCTGTGCACGACAATATCCGCACCGTGCTTGATGGGTTGGCAATAGTAACCACCAGCACCGAAGGTGTTGTCCACCACCACGGGAACACCGGCCTCATGTGCAACCTTCACGATAGCCTCAAAGTTCGGCACGTTGTATCTGGGGTTTCCAATAGTCTCCACGTAAACGGCCTTGGTCTTCTCATCGATGAGTTTTTTGAAGTCCGCCGGGTCGTCGCCTTGCACCCATCTGGTGGTAATTCCAAATCGTGGCATAAAGACCTTGAACTGGTTGTATGTGCCTCCGTAGAGGTTGGAGGTCGACACAATGTTGTCGCCGGCGTGTGCCAGAGCTGCAATGGTCATGAACTGAGCCGACTGGCCCGACGCAGTAGCCAAAGCTGCAACACCGCCCTCCAAGGCTGCAATGCGCTTCTCCAAGACGTCGACAGTCGGGTTCATGATGCGGGAGTAGATGTTGCCAAACTCCTTGAGGCCGAACAGCCTCGCACCGTGAGCCGAGTCATTGAAGGTAAAGGATGTAGTGGCGTAGATGGGGACTGCTCGAGATTTGGTGGTTGGGTCGGGTTCCTGGCCTGCAATTGGCTTGGTCAGTCTCTCGCAGCAACAATAGAGAAATTCCAATGTCTTTACCAGCATGGAGCTGCAGGGTCTCGAAGCGGGGAGCAATGTCTTCACCACCCATCGTGACAATCTGTTCTCTTAGCTGTTGTAGACGCGAAAGTGGTGTGCAGCCCTCAGACATATATCTGCTGGACAAAGGACGATATTCTCACCTGGAGCTGTGCTTGAGTAGTGGACAACAATAATCGACAGAAGCGGGAGGGTGAAGTCGGGTGGTTTTGTTGGTGGGCGTATCTGAGGTAGCTCGCGACTCGGTGACGAGGCACACAAAGAAATTGTACCCCACCAGCATCGCACTCTGAACCCCGCGATCCGCAGGTATTCCTGAGCACGCCATTGCTGATTTCGGCGCTAGGGGCCTGTCAAGACCTCATGTTCCACCCATTTCACATGCAATTCGTCTTTCTGCCCTCCTCTCGCGCCATGCCATGGACCAACGGATGTCACCCTCGTCGTCTCTCGGCCGCGTCGGTGCGCGGCGCTCGCACTGGCTGCGTGCTCAGGCGGCCACAGGATAGGTCGATAGGGTGTAGGTATAATACGTTCCAGATTGCGGCAATTGTCCCCAAGCTCGTCCTGCAAGTCCCCGTCTGAGTTACATGCATCTGCAAGGGTCCCGATAAATTGAAGAAGGACCAGGTAGGCGGTCATGTGGCTGCAGAGGATATATGCAGGGCGATAAGGCCCTTGTGCCTACCGGGTTGAGCGGTGCCCCTTAAAGCCTACACCAAATGCCGGGCCGGAGTCGTCAAAACATCAGTTCAAGGCTTCGATATACTGCCTCATCCAGCCTCCTTGGTCGATGCAGTCCCTGGTCGCGATGGAGGTAATGCAACAGCTGCCAGCGCTTCTGGAATATCGATCCTAGACGTTCGGACATTGCGAATGACTTGCACGAGTTTCCCGGCGTTCTCATAGTGTGTATGGCAAGAGACGTGACCGTCGTCCAGCTCCCGGTCATTGGATTCCGGATCCGAAGACTCCTGCTGTACTTCAACGAAAGGCAGTGGGTGCGTTCCGAGTTTGAGCGGTATCAAGATGACATGGACACTGTGCTCCTTGTCATTCTGGGGAACGAAGTGGCACCTCCTTTGGCCGCCGACGATCCAGGTGTCATTGTCTGTGCTAACGTCGCAAACGAACGACGTTGGCCGCTCATTGTCGCCTTGTATCTTGAAGGTCGGTACATTCGGGAAGATGCTCTTTGCGCTCCATTGTGCCGTTGACTTGATCTGAACTGTGGCTTGTACAGGCTCACCGAGCACAAGAGACTGCCGCCCTGAGGCCGCAGGCACTAGGAGTTGCTGTAGATGCAGTGAGGCACTGAACACCATGTCCACATTTGGAACGTCCACAGAAATGATGATTTCGTGCGTAGCTGTATCGCGGCCTTCGTCGCAGAGTACAGGCACTGCTACGTGATCCGCATGCCATCGTCGGAGCCATGCTTCCAGTCTCGAGCGACGATCTGATCGCAGAGTGGCAACGAGCTCTTGCCATCCGACTGTGTCAAAGTCAGGAATTCTAGCCTCTCCAAGCAGTGCTGCCATTTCCAAGTCTGCTCCGCGAATGAATTTCCTAGATCGCTCGAGCAGCATTGGAGTCAACAGGCGGCAAAGATCGCCGAAATCGCTTCGCCCAAGATCCTCTACAAAGGCCTCGCAGAGGTTCTGGAGCAAGATCTCGTCCATCGGCTGATAGCTGACGTGTAAAGCGAGCGCTGCGTCCTTTTTCATAGTTGTCTTGCTTGTAGCCGTCTTTCTTGTGATTTTGTACACCAGATTCATTGGCTGTGACTCGAATATGTTGAGCGGCAGCGGTAGGACTGGCGGAGCCTCAATAGCATAGACTGGCGAATCTTTGAGCTGCGCCCCCAAGATCGAGAACGGAACTCGATTCGTTGTTCGTACCATGAAGGTTGAGTACAGTGCATCAAGCTGGAAAGAATCGTTGACATCCACATCCAGAGGTAGCTCGTGGAACACTTTTGCAAGGCTCAGTAACGTGAAGATTCCTTGAGTGGTTGTGTATCGGATTTCTACGCGAACGCGTATTTCTTTGCTGGATTGCTCCACGGTGTAGGGCACTGTGACTGACGCATTCCCGCCGGACTTGAGGTTTCGAAGCAGAATCTGTCCAGGTTTACTGGCTTCCTCCTTGTTCAGATCAATGCCATTTGGAATAGTATCTGCAAGGTGCAGTCTCAGCCCAGCAGATGTCGGCTTCAGCTTGATCTCTATAGCTTCTATCTCGTTACGTCCTGCGTCGAGGAGAATATCGAGGTGTCGCGGCCGGTCAATGTGTATACTCGTGGATCGTCGGATCTCGGCGCCAAATGCACGTTCCGCAGGATACAAGTACACAAAAGCTGGAGGCTTCTCGGGCTCCACAATTGTGACTGTGGGCGGTTCAAACTCAGTAAAGCCGAGAGGTGTTGGTTTTGGAGGCGGACGCAGCTCTTCAACGAAATGGATTTTGCCAGCACCGAGGACTATCTTGTCAATCAAGAAGGCGCCATACGCCACAGTAGTACCTACCAACTCGATCTTGTTGAGACTGGGCAAAAGAGTAACATTCCCGTCACATGCAAGCCAGATCTCCTGAGTTGGGTCTTCATGGCTGACGAGCCGAGCGCGGACCTGGTCGAGGGTCACCGCGTCTCCAAGGACATGTCGTAACTGCAGACTAAGCGTAAATGAATCAGTGTCTGTTTGATGGCGGACCTCCGGGTCGAGTGTGATTTCTTCGAAGAAGCTCTTGACTGGACGAATCAGTTCTTTTTGTAGAGATGCAGAAGACGCAAGCACATCAGCGAAAAGTCCGGAGATATCTAGAGCGTCATCCTGAACTTGCGGGAAGAAACGCGTATGTGGTACCTTGATGTCAGTCTTCTTTGCGAAGGACTTCATTAGAAGAGTCAGTCCGTTTTGCGCATAGTCTTCATGCCGACCGAGGTGTTTTAGGCAGTCCAAATATGCACGGAGGGTCTGGAACTCCATCAAGTTCCAGCTGTCCGTAGCAAGCAGAGGCAGTGTGTGCTGGAAATATGATGCAGCGCTGTCATATTCGCCTTGCTGGCATTTGAGGACTGCCAAGTCCCCTAATAGTGCGTGGGTGGACTTGCTCTGCGTGGCCGCAAAGTAGTGACGGATCGCAATGTCCGTAATTTGCTCGTACGTGAGACGAAAGCTTTGTTCTGTTTCAAGCGACCTTCTCAGGGTGGGACCCAAAGTATGTAGTTCCTTCGATGGCTGATCGCCTTCGGCCAAAACAGAATCTTTCGTGGCGTCCTCGAGACTGACATTCTGCATAGACATTTGCTTCGAGTGACTGACATGAGACCAGCCCGTGTACCATCCGCGCTGCCTAGCAAGTTGCTCTAGCATTTTTCGACGTAGTAGGACAAGCTCAGCGCGGTAGGTTGCGAGCTCAGCCTGCCCTGGAATTCCGACAGGTGGAGCTGCATCTGGGCCAGCACTTGATGACGGTCTTATCATCGCATCGTCATGCGCTCTATGCTCTGACTGAGGACGCGATAGTTCGGGCTGCTTCGCCTTGTTCACGGGCAAGCTGGTAGTTCGTTGTGGATGAATGTTCGCGCCAAGGACGGTACTCGTGTGAGGTCTTCGCGGTTTACCATTTGGTACCTGAGGTGGTTCTTGAGCACCGTGTTTTGTGATCTCGAGCAGAGCAGGCACTGCTGTGTCTTCGAGTACTTGGCCGGCAATAGCCCAAGTCCAGGAGCAAACAAGCCCATCAACTTCCAACGCGTGCACATCCGAGCACCCTGATGTCGCAGCGTTAGCAAGATCCTGCCGAAGACATCTGGCAGCATTGTGTATGAAGTTGGAAGCACGCCAACAAGCTTCCGAAGTCAAGACCAGATCCTCGCCCCCTTCACGGTCTGCATTTGCGCCAAGTTGCACCCTGATGGCTTTTGCATTCGCGAGCCGGAGGATCAAAGCTTTTTGTCTGGAATAAATGTAGCAAAAGAAGTCGAAGACCGAGATATCGCTTCTCACGATGCGCTCCCTGTAATCCTTGCTAAATAAGGCTGCGGCATCGCGCGTTGCCTCTGGATCAGTCCCATGGTCACTGATTCCGTTCGTATGCTTCTCCGCCAAGTTGAGGATGCGCTGCTTAATATCATCAGTGTAGCCAGCAAAGCTTGTTGCTGTGCCTTGCGCTTCTCCAGCAGCGATCTCGCGCAGCACAGATTCTAAGTCAAGCGACAGCTCGTCATATATCGCAACGGCATCTTCGACAAGCCCGATGCTTTCCAGAGCTTTTGCTAAGCCCTCCTTGTGAATGAAGAAGGTGCAGAAGTTCCAACCCGGGAAAGATCTTCGAGCCTCTTGCTCCGCAATGTCGGCCTCATACTGACGCACTCGTCGGTCGAAGGGCCCAAGGATCTGGGTCTTGAATTTCGAGATCAAGTGGCTCCACGCATTCTCTCGTTCTTGGGGCGATTCTTCCAGAGTCTGAGCAACTGCCGGAGTCGGTAACAAGTCTGCAGGAACGCGGTCTTTGGTCAAGCGGATCTGCGCAACACGATCTTGTCCAGACTTTCCTGACTCGTTGAAATCAGCACGCAGCCTGTCGAAGACAGTGCGAGTACTCTTCCCGATCAATTTCGATCCACCCTTTCTCTCCTTCAGTTCCTCGGGATCCTTCACACTTTCTCGCCATCTAGGCTCGCTCGCAGCTATCGTGTCAGGAATGACAACGTGCAAAATCATCCACTCGAAGGCATCATGATCTTCTCGCTTGCCGTCCGGCTGTGCATTGTCTCTAATCCATTCTCGTATCTTTCTTCTACTCGTCGTTTTATATGTGTCCTTATCATCACATCGTAGAACATAGATCTTTAGGTAAGGGCTGGTCCTAAACCCCGGGATCTGGTGCCGTCTTTCCTTGACCGCATTTCTGCGCGGATCACCTCCACCTCCACGCACAATGTCGAAGCTCGTTGTCGGTCCATCCGAGTCGGTGTGCGAGACTGTAGGTCGAAGACTGCTCTGTGTATCCTTATCAGGCACGAACTCAACGTGCAGCGATTTGATTTGGCGCAACGGCCGAGGCGGTGACTGCCAGTTGAGATTTCGTAGGGGGAGTCTCGATGCGATGTCGCGAGATACTAGGGAGAACACTCCAGCAGGGTCATGATACTCCACTGCAAGTAGCATTAGTTAGCTAGCCAACTACGCCGGTTGTAGTACGAAAGAGGCGCAACGTACCAGTAACCTTTGAGGTCTGGGAGGTGGTTTCCATGTCCAAGCCAGCAACTCCCAGGCCTCGCCGTCCGCATTGCGCTGGTCGCACGTGATGCGCATGCAAGGGCAGATCAGGCGACGATGGTTAGGTCGAAGTCATGTCGGGTGAGATCTCCGAGTAGTGTCGTTGTAGAAGTAAGAAGAAGGAAGTAGCAGCGGCAATCATCTGTCTGTGAGGCAGCTCGTGGGCGAGTTGTGTGGAATGCAGCACCTTGACGATCTTCGACTTCTGATTGGCTCTACACTTTCTGTCTCATGCTACACCCCAACTTCTCGTTGTCCATCGACTTCCCACCGACAACCACTACAGGTCTGCCATTGAACCACAGAAAATGCAGCCAACACTAACAAGAAAGGTTCGCCTGATATACACGGGGAAGGAGAGTGAGACATGCGCTGAACACTGGACAGATGCCCGGCGGTGTCAGGCCCTGGAGACAACCACAGAAGGCCTCCGCCTACAAGAGCCCTTACGGCCCTCAGTACGTGTACCCGGAACGAGGGAGATGATTTGAGGAAAGTCACTGACCATATCTGCAGGTACAAGGTGCCCTTCAACATCATCGGCATTGACATGACCCGCGCCGTGAGATAGTACGCTCCCCGAACTCACAGCACGCGCGACGGACATGCTGACCAGTGTGAAAGTGGTGGCCTGGCCGCAGGCTTTGGTGGTGTCGCCGGCGTCTTTGCTCTTTTCTTCTTCGATGGCGTGCCGAGAGTGCAGAGGGTGGGTACAAACAGTCGAGTTGAAAGAGATCGGACGCTTACAGACAGCAGGACATCCTCCAGAAGATCCCCTTCATCGGCAACTTCTTCGTTCACGAGATTCCACCAGAGGACAATCCGTTCTAGGCGACACTTCCAACTTGCGTCGAGATACCTAGTGGCATGTAAATAAGAGCAAGCAGTCTGTACTCTATAGAAAGACGAAGAAAGATATGCCTGGATCCAAATTCTGTCTAGGCGATAATGTCAGCGAATCGAAGACAACACGGCATGAATGATACACAAATGCACCGTAGGTGGTTGAGGCATCATACTTCTGTTGACAACCATACAGCTGGAAACTTTCACAAAGCCAAAGGACCGGGGAAACAAGATTTAAGTGCTCGCGGCCGATTCTTAGCCTCCTGCTACACATGAAAAACACCTGGAATATAGATGTCGATTCGCCGCCACTTCTTGATCTCAATCTTCGAATCCTGCGCGGCCTTCGCGGCCTCCAAAACATCTCTGGCCCGGACCCCTTGTGGCCTCATCACCTCTACAATACATGTTCCGGTATCTGCATCGCGCCTAGCCCATCTTCGGAAGAAGTTTGGAGAACCCTGTTTGTGGTACACGGTTGCGATTGCATAATTACAGGGCGGCTGGGTGAGGTACATGTCCAGCCAAGAACTTGAGGATGTCAACGGCTCCCGGAATTGCTTCGTTCTTGTGCGCATGATGTTGCCTTGCGAAGGAAAGACTGGATTGAAACGGACTGCTGGCGCGAGCTTGGTGGGTTCCACAGATAGTTCTGGGCATGGCTTCTCGCTGTCTATGAGACTCGTCACGGAGCTGGAGGGAACCGACATCGCGATTCCTTGTCTGTCGAGGGATGACCGGCCGTTGCGAGCGTTGTCGCAGACGAATCTGGTTAGCTCTTCTGGTGATAGGGCATCTGAAGGGACGAAGCCGTGGAAAGTCTTGCGCGAGAGCTGTGACGAGCATCTGATGACTTCTTGCCAGTATTTGGAAACTCGTCGGATGCGTAAGAGTTCGAGCATTGAGAGGTAGGCAAAGATGCTCTCTAGCAATTCGACGCTCAATTCGTTGATGGGTGCCATTCGAGAGACGCGGAAGTGACGATTGGAATGTTGGGTCATCGCGAATGTGTTGAAAGGACTGCACGGTGTCCAAGGTGGGCGCTTGAAGATAGTGGCTCCTAGTGACCCGCCGAGAGCCGATGATGTGGTGATGGCCGGAACTCCGTGGGACGGTGGTGGAGCTTGCTTCGCAATGACTAGGGTTAGTTGGGTTTGTTTGCTCGACTACGACGGCGTTTCCTGTGCATCCGACGCTCTGCTATATAGGTGGTTCCTCCCTCTCCGCGCCTCCACCAAACGCCCAGCCATGCCATGCCGAGATGCACAGTCATGCCACGGCAGTGGCAGCGTCAAGGCATCGAGAAGCGAGTGATGTGTATGCGACCTGACCAGCTATATGTAACATTTCGTGAAGCCGTACGTCGGGGACTTCTTTCTGGAATCTCTGCTATGAACAGCACGTGGCTGTGATGATTGAAAAGATTCGGTGGCATCCATGGACTCGTAGGGCTGAAATTAGACTTTCACAGACCCACATTTCCGAGCAGGCAGGGTCCAGCCCAGCATCCTGTGTCCCATGACTTCACTGCTTGGCTTCGCTCGTGCTTAGCGGGGTTCCATGCTCCTTGTCGCATATGTCCTTAGTGACTCTACATCATCAACACTCTTTTAAACACAACATCTACCTGAGCTCCACAATCCTTGCAAACGATTGACCTATATTGACGATGTTCAAGAAGAAGCCTGTGATCAAGCCTTTGGCACCCTTGCGATCCTCAGATCGTCGAAAGCTTGCAGACCAAATCATCCAAGACTACCGGCTCGACACCGATTCTTCGAAAACTCCAGAAGCCGAGCAAACGCCAGAACAGAAGGCTGAAGCTACGGCCGCGCGCACGAGTCTACGAAACGCTCTACTACCTGACAATCTACAATCTGCTCGCTTCACGACTACTCGGGGGGAAGACTTGAAGCAGGTGTCGGGGACTATCTATGTGGGAAACCAAGATGGAGAAGAGCAACGAGTATTGTGGTTCCAGGTCGATGGAAGGATGTACCCGACGGTGTACACGCTTTGGAGGAATCCAAACATTGTCCCTTTGCTACATACGCCTGACGTCGTGGTCAAGAAGCTCCAAGGTGGAGCGGATTTGATGACGCCTGGACTCGCTGGCGGACCACCTTTTCCGCAAAAGGCCAAGAAAAGGGCAGTGGTTGCTATTGCCGGGACAGACAAGCCCACGGTGCCAGTCGTGGTGGGCATCTGCGAGATTGACGTGAGTGCCCTGGAGAAAGTCCAAGGGGCAAGAGGGCACGCGGTGGAGAACATGCACTGGGCTGGAGACGAGATATGGGGCTACAGCACGAGCAGTAAGCCGGGACAACAGCTACCAGAAGAGCTTGAGGGTTGGGCAAAAGTGCTGGAGGCACGAGGACTGACAGAGAAAGTCGAGGACCTCACGATGGACGACCCAGACGACGGTGGTGGAGTACCCTTAGAGAACGGAGACAAGCAGGCGCCGAACGCACACACCGAATCTGTCACTACTGAGACAGAGAATGGCGCAGATCTGCCTTCTCAACCCGAAGCGAAAGCGCTGACGCAGAAAGAAGTAGATGACGCCTTTAGAAACGCCTTCCTCTACGGCATACATCACTACAAGACCAACAACGCGAATTCACCGAACTTCGGCTTAGTGTTCCCACTATCGCAATCCTTCGTCATGTCAACGTTGGTTCAACCGTTTCTGCCAGCCTTTACTCCGGAGCAGAGCCAGCAACTGCAGATCAAGAAGACAACATGGAAGAACATCAAGAAGTTCGTCAAGAGCTTAGACAAGGAGAAAATCATTAAATCTAAGGATAAGGATGGCAATGAGACTGTCATACTAGATGTGGATTTCCGCGATGAAGCGGTCCTCAACTTCAAGCCTTACCGCTTACCGAAGAAGGAGACCACAGCTGGAGGATCGTTAGGTCGTGGAGAAATCGCGACGGACAAGATCGATACGGGCGACGATGCTGTCGGGCAAAAGCTTCAGGTTGTCTCGTTCTACAAGCCCTCTGCAAAGCTGCAGCCCATCTTCGATGCTGGATCTAAGGCACTCTATACCCCAGCCGAGGTTCGAGAATTGGTCACATCATACATTGAGAGCGAGAAGCTCGTCTCCGAGACCAACAAGCGACTCGTCAAGCTGAACCCAACTCTTGCAAACTCCGTTTTCGACGGCTCCGGCTCTCTTGACACAGAAGTCCAAGCCAAGGGCGCGGTACCTCGCGACGCCCTCATCGAACGCATATTACACGGGATGTCCAATTCCTACGCCATTGTCCGAAATGGCGCAGATCCCAGCAGTGTCAAAGCCAAGAGTGGACCCGTACCGAAAGTTCACATCACACTTGAAACGCGGAGCGGGAACAAGACCGTCACGAAAGTTTCTGGACTGGAGGCGTACTATATCAATACACGACCGCTTGCGGACGAGCTGAGGAAAGTGTGTGCTGGGTCTACAAGCGTTGAACCCCTGGCCGGGGGTGCGAAGAAGCATGAAAAGGAAGTGATGGAGGTAATGGTGCAAGGTCCTCAGAAGGATGCGGTGGTCAAAGCGCTGGAGAGGAGAGGCCTTGACAAGCGGTGGGTGGAGGTTTTGGACAAGACGAAAGGGAAGAAGAAGTGATGTACCTTATCGACTCTTGAGAGACACTGAATGACGCTCAGGTGAGCTCGCAATGAAGCGACGCTGCGAAGACGTAATTCTATCACGACTCAAGATCCTTCACAAAATTAACTGGCCTCCCCTTCTCAAAGAACGCTTCCAGATTATCCCAACTCTGCCGTTCAAAATTCTCCCAGCTCGTCCTCGAACAGACACCGATATGCGGCAACACCGTCGTCATCCAATTCTCTCTGAATTTCTCATTGATGCCGGGTTCATCGGCGTGTACATCCAATCCTACACCGACCACTTGCCCCCTCTCCATCGCCCCCAGAAGAGCATCTTCATCAATCATCTTGCCCCTCGCAATATTCACCACGCGCAACCCAGAAGCCTTAGCCAGACGGAATTGCTCCGCAGACAGCAGATGATGCGTCTCCCTCGTGTAAGGCGCCGCCAGACAGAGACAATCCACCTCGGGGATCATCTCCTCCAACGAAGCAAAATACCTCGCTCCATGCATCAATTTCCCCTCCGCATATGCTTTCCTCCTCGGACCATGGTAAGAAATCTCCATGCCATACGCACTCTCACACTTCTTGGCGATTTGCAACCCAATGTCTCCCAAGCCTACGATTCCGAGCACTTTTCCGAGGGGATCGACTGCTCTGGTGCCGAGTTCGCGGCTCTTCATCCAATCATAGCGAGCGCACCATTGTGCATATGTCAAGTAGCGGAACGTGTCGAGGATGAGATAGGTTGCCGTGTTGGCGACCGCTTCCGTGCAGGCGTTGGGCGTGTTGCAGTACCAGATGCCTCGCTGGGTGATGGCTTCGGTGTCCGCGGCGTCGTGGCCATGGCCAGTGCAGCAGATGATCTTCAGGCTAGGAGGATAGTGTGGTACTACATCTGTTGCGAAGGGTAGATGTGTTGCGAATTGGCCTGCTTTGAGCCAGCCGAGACGGATGATGGCTTGGATGGACGAGTAGGGCCCGCCAGGTTTCATGCGCTCTTTGAATTCCTCGACGGAGCTGCAGTCATATTGGATCAAGTTGAACTCTTGTTCTAGGCGCTGACGACGTAATTCGTCGATTTCCTGAACACTAGATGCAATTACGAGGACGTCGGGCCTTCCAGACATGATGGCGTGGCTAACAATTCACTGCCGACATGCAAAACAAAGTCTTGCGATGGTTTGATCACTAATAATGACCTGGCACGCCAATCTCCAAGATCTCGTCGCAAGCGCCCGGCAAACATGCCGGCCGTTCGAAGGGCAACGAGCGAATTGCTCGGTCAAGATAAATTCGGCCGATCAATTACAGGTGCCGTGTGGATAGGCCAAGCTGGCCGAGAGCTACTGTCAGGTATCAAAGACAAATTCGTCGCTGAGCTCGTAAGCAAACTGCCGCAAGATGTCTTGCTCCGGAGACGGGCCTCCATTCCATTGAAACGCTTTCTCAGCCAAGAAGCTTTCGATGAAAGAGTTTCCCAGCGGGTCCTCGTTGCCAAGGTCATCGTCAGAGAGCATAGGGCCGGCCCAGGTGCTGGAGTTGGAGCTGGCTATCGAGGATGCATTGTTTTGGGGATAAGCTGTTGGACCCAAGAAATCGGGCTGAACATTGTGGCCTCCATGGCTGTAGGGCGCTTTTGAGCTTTCAGCTGCAGCCCGCACGGTGCTGACCGTAGACCTGATGGTTTCCAAGCGGGAGAGGTAGTCCTTAGCCGATATGTTTCCGTTGTTTGCCATCGCTCGTAAGAGGCTAAACGCTGTCTGTACAGCGTCCGAGACGTGTGTGGCGGGCTCCAACACGGCCGAGATGATCAATATCAAGGTCGAAGAGAACAAGTAGTGTGCATCAAAGTAGCCAAACACAGCCAGTGAGCCCTCTACAAAGAGTTTGGAAAGCAGTTGGTTCGTTGTCCGAGCTGCTTGCGTGCATGCGTCTGCTAGAGCGAGTGTAGTAGGCGAGAATGTCTGCTGCTGTTGGCTTGCGTCAGAGCCCGTGTGAAAGCGTGACTTGAAGATATGGAATAGGATTGGCCTAGTAGTTTGCATGATGCAGAGATGATACTGCATATGCAGTGTGTACCTGGAAGGCTGGTTAGACGGTTTTCAATGGCCTCAGGTAGAGCGCTTGTCTGGTCCTTACAAGTTTCGAGCGGACGTTTCATGAAGGCGTAGACCCACGGGAAGCTGCTCATCCCACTGCCGCAGATCGTTGAGCACACGATGCACACGTTGCACAAACGTCGCTCTCTTGTGCTGAGGTAGGCAATATATGTCGTTCACTGGTTCCTGAGATCAGCAGTGGCAAAGGATACAGAACCCGGAAACTTACAGATATCACCAGTAATGCGTGCGAGAGTTGCGTGCGCACGAAGATGAACCGGATCATTGAACTCGCTTTGCTCTGATTTCGAAAGACCGTCCATGGAGGGAAGCTCGACATCTATATCTTCGTCTTGAATACCCAGCGGATATCCAAGCTTAGAACTGATCATTCTGTGCAAAGTCAGCGTGAAATTCTCCCAATGTCACAAGGATGATGGCATGAGGAAGAAGTAGGTCGTACCGGTCGAACAAGTACAGGGTCCACCAGACTCGGCGTCTAGTTTCGCGTTGAACAGGGTCCATCGTACTGGTTCCAGATGGTGAACGATGCAACCCGAGGCTAACAGCCAAGCGCAAAGCGATGCCACAGTAGACATGTGCACTCTTAATGCGCCCCAGTGCGTTGGCATAAAAAGACTGACGTCGTCAGATCCCGTCTAGAAGAAGACTCTGTTCTGATGACTTACGAGGAGCAACAGGATCTGAACCTGCTCAATCGAGGCCATTTCGTACAAGTCTTGCAACAGACTCATTGCTTGGACAAACCAGCTAGTGCCCGGTATCCGCTCCCGACTTTCACCAGGAGAAGTTTTACAGTTGGAATAGAGCTCGCCCAAAGCAAGCACCGCGAACAAATGACAAGTGAAGAGCAAGTCGGGTGGTCCCTCCGACGAGTATGCACGATCAAGCTTCCGATAGAATGATCGTTTCTCGAAGAGGTGGTAATTACTGCCGATGAAGCTATCAGCTCTCCGAACAAGCAAGTTTGCTTGGTTCCTGTTTGGTAGCTGGAAGTCTCGGTTGAGGAGGCGATTGAATGAGGGGTGCGTGATGTGATCTGGCATGGTATTGCAAGATATTGCGTTGTAGGCCTTGTTGATACAATGAAGCAAACGGTCTCCGAAGGCCGTGTCGCTAGCTTGGCCAATGTAGATCGGTTGGGCAGATTCCTGACCGCTGAACAAGCCATCATTGACTTCAAGGAGCGGATTTGGGACGTCGGGATCCACGACCGGGGCACAGGCGGCTTGACTGTGAATTGAATTTCCGGCAGGGTCGATATTCGAGTTCTGGGGCGTGTTTAAGGAAGCCTGAGCTCTCAGTTCTTCGATCTCGGCTTCGATCTTCTCCAAATAGCTCTCGCGCACAATAACATTGCGGTCCCTGAAGGGATAAGCACAGCCATCTGCTTTCTTAGCAATGGTACAGCCCTGGCAAGGACGATCCCCCGTGCATTTGATCTTCTGAGAATGGCATCTTTCGCAACTAGCCTCGCCATCAGCATATGTCAAAGTTGAGCTGCTTGAATTTCGCTTGAGCTCACGCTACAGAGCGACGCTTCTGTCGCTTTGCGGGTCTTGAGTCTTCCATACTCTCGAACTTAGCGTGATGGCTGCGTGAAGAGCACTACGGCGTTAGAAGTGGATCCGAAAACTTCATGTGGCCGTCGAGAGTGGGTATTTTGACTATAGCCAGCTCAGCCTTGCGCGTTATCGGCCAGTGTGGAGCTCACCGAGCTGTTGCCCGTTCAGCTCAAGATAGGCTGAAGCGGCTTCGCTGAAACAGCATGAGGCGGCATGCTCTTCGCCAGTGTAGAGATTGATGAATCTCGAATGGACTGGTTATACAGGTCTTTCGTATTGATCTCCCTCGGGGAAGGCCACGAAACAGGCTTGGGAGACGGCGGCTACTAAGCAACAAGCTCGGCCTCCATGCATTCGAGCGTGCTGGGAGGTGAAGAGGCCTTGGTCAAGACGACACTCGAGCAGATATTGAGATTACTCTTCGAAGGATGGCACAAGACAGTCCGCTGGTAGAAATCCGCGTGGTAGATGTCATGCTTGCCGACGGAGATGTTTATCTTCGCCGAGTGGAGTGCGCGGTGAGGTGCTTACCCCGCCGTGGGAGGACCTCAGCTAGCGCCGGCAGTAGACGGGCCAATCACGTCAGACGGCTCTTCAAGAGACGATTTTAATCAATATCAAAGGAAAAGGGAAAAAGTATGTGGAAGCGGCGAAGTTTTTCGAATACTCCCGTCGTTAAGAGAGCAGATACTGATGATGCCAACAACGCGCTCGCTAGATGACAAGAACCTCTCAATGCCGTGCCCAGGTCCCAGCGCCAAACCAATGCCCGTAGCCCACGACCCACAACCCATTATACCTTTGATATGACATTTGCATAAGTCTCATGGAACACGGCTGCCAGCAGCCTCCAAAGTCTCCTCCTCTGCACTGCCAATCTCATTCCCCAAATCAATCGCAGCGCTGGGCGAGGTTCCATCAACACCAACGTACGTCGCAGGCCCAGTCACGTATCCTACACTAGCAGCGCTACCAATGTTTTGGGCACCATTAACAATCTGATCAAGATGTCTCTCTGGTATCGCAGAGCCACCGCCCTCCAGCGTTGAAGCTTCGGTATCTCCGATGTGTGCGTAGCCGACTCCATTGTCAGTAGACGAGAGACTGGAATCGCATGCGGCGCCCTCGCCGGCTAATTGTCTGCCGTTGCCTCCCGAACGAGCGAAATGGCCAACCCGGACGTGAAGAAAACTCTCCGACTCTTCACTACCGTGTATAGCGCGCTAACAAAGACGAACATGAAGCGAATGGGACGCGGACCCATCCAATAAGCTGTTTAGAAGCGGAGTGATCGACGTACGAAGTCCACCGCAAAAGGGATAGAAAAGGGTTTGGGACTTACTTACCTACGAGGAATCAGCCGTAGGAGCGCCGCATTCTGGCGGACAAATGCAACGCGATGTAACGCCGTGGCTCACCCATCCCAAACGACATAGTCCATGGCGGCGATTTAATGTGCCGCAATGTGCTGCGGTACTGTTCAGTCCGGTTGAGGGGTCGCCCAGTCAGTACACGGGCTTACGGATGGATTCAAGGATGCCAGAGTGCAATTCGCAAGCATGTGAAGGTGAGGTCAAGACTGGGCTATCAGACCCACAGCGGGCCGGACCAGTACAAGGGATCGGAGGCTTCACAGTTTCACAGTGGAAGAATTGCCAAGCAGCTGATCAGGACACCCATATTGTTAGCATTGTACTGCCAACACGGTCAGTCTCGTAGTCATCATTCCAGTATTCCTGGATCCTGGATTCGCGTTCACTCCGGGTCTCCTCTCAGCATCTGCGTTTCCTTCCAGAGAGTAAATGCGGCGGATGAAGAGCGGTTAAGCTTTGGACAAGCTGCACACTGCATATCCGACGCCTCTCACCGCAAGCAAGACCGATGAACACGCCACGGTCATAGATAAGACGTCGTTCAAGCTCGCCGAACTTTTGTCAAGCCAGGGAAAGGACAAGGCACGTTGATAAATGGGCCGTCCGCAAAGCACTAGACCCATTTGCTGTCGCTCTTCACTACGTGTTCTTGGGAAATACCGCCACGGCGTCAGCTACTGTCCGGATAATATCCATGAGCGAGCTCGAATTGAGGAAGGACCTTTTTCGAAAAGACACTGCCGGGGCGCAACCGGCCGTGTGCCTACCCGAAGTTCATCGCTCGCCGTGGCGCACGCCAGTTTGTAGTGGCTGACATTGTGGACATTTCAGCCTCTTTGTAGGATGGCCACCGGCAGACCAACAAAGGAATGACTGGTGAGGCGCCGCATCGCGCAGATGAAAATCTGCTCGGGCGGCGAGGGTTCGATAATGGTATCGCGGTGCGTCCTGGCGCATCTCGAGCGTGAAGAAAGAATGTTTCAAGAGCACCTTCGCACTTGAGTATCTTTCTGGTGAGACAATTCGCGCCAGGAAGTCTCAAGAGAGCTGTCCAACGTCACCATAGATTGCGGAAGTCGATTGAGGGTATGTTTGCTGTTGCTGCTACCTCGTGTCCCGTAGGCACTGCAGTCTGCCTCAGCATGCTATGCGCAGTCCTCGTCCTAACCGCATGGAAGAGCCGTAATATGACAACAGCAAGCTGAGTTTGTTCGATATCGAAGTTGGCACCTCTTGCGCTCGATCGGCCACGCGATGTCAACTCGTTAAGCCAGAGCAGGGCTGTAGCCCATGCCCAGTCTTGACGTCTTCTTGCTCCTCGCGGATTCGTACTTTTGTCCCTCTCCTTTTCTGCATTGGCCGTATTTGTTCCGTCACCGAGCTTCTCATGTATAAAGGCTCGCGCGAAGAGATGTAGAGGCGCACGCGAAGATGGTGATGGGAGTGAGGTCACAGTGAAGTCTTGGGTCGGGATTGCGTGCATATCAGGTAGGAGCTCGTATCGTGAAGGCGGGTATCCGTTTGTTGGTGGTGAGGTGCACACTGCGGATCATGCATTCACTTGTGTACCGCCAGCAGGTGAGGTGAAATGGCAGCCAAGGAAGAGGGCATGCCGTGTCGACTTTGCAAGGAAGGTCCCGGGCTGAGGTGTCGCGACTGGACCTTCTCGGCCTAATCTGGAATGCCTGCACACATGCTCGCGCCCCGGTACTGGATCTCGTGAGCGTCCGCGGCGCTTGGCGATAACGCGATCTCGCCATCGGCCGACGATGTTCCAGCGTGTTACACGCGGGCTCTTGCGACATGGCGGCTTCCATTCGATTTCGTCCGTCGAGCGCGCGTTGGAGAAGATTGCGGGAGAGATGGTTGATTGGTGGGGGAGGGCGGGTGTCGATGCAGGAACGCGAGTATGGGACACGCCAGGGCGAGCCAGCGACTCGCTCTCATCAATCCTGAAACCTCTTCCAAACAAGTAATTATTCGGAGAGAGTCTCCAGGAGAGAAGTCTCGCCTTTGATCATCACAGCATCCGCATCACACATCAGCCTCAGCCTCAGCCTCAGCCTCAGCCTCAGCCTCAGCCTCAGCCTCAGTGTTGGCGCCGTCAACAGTCCGTCGTTCGTTTTCCTCCAGCCAATTTTCGAAGTTCACCCGCAAAGCCCTCGCAGATCCGCTGCCCACTTCCTCTCCACCATCAACGCCATCACTCTCGCAGCGCAGGATACCGTACACGCTCTTTCAACGCACGCACATCGACAGCAGCAAGCATTATTGTTGCTCGCAAAGCCCAGGCCTCCCCCCAGTTGCTATTCACGAGAACAATAGAACTGCACCGCACGACAATGCGCATTGTCGGGTCAAGGCATTTGGCTTGTGTGTTGTCCCTTTGACGCTCATTCACTCTGGTCCTCGGGCACGTTGGTTAAAGACTGCATTCATTCCCCCCCCCGGCACCAATCTTCGATCACCCTTCCACCAACCACCACGTTTCTTTGCATCCAGCGGCCGACCTTCTTTCACCAACCTCACCTTATCATCGAGCCCGGCTCTTTGTTACCGTGCCTGATCTTAAGCATTCCTTGCCGGACGTGGCAAGTCAAGCGGGCGATCGACATTGGCCCCTTTCATTGTCCACCCGTAGCACGGACTCCCAATTTCAACGCTCGCGCTGGTCCGCGATGCACTTCCAACGACTTCACTCCCACCTACATCAACCAGGGCTCGCTCGACTCTTCGCCTCAGATGCGGGCCATACCATGCCGCCTCGAAATGCCGACCCGCTGCCCGATGCCATACCCATCCCTCATGTTGTCGCGGTGGGAGATACGGGCGTGCAGCTCAACCTGAGCGCCGCCGCGTCGCCCTTCAGTTCGGGCCTTGCCGGAGTCAATCAGACCGCCAACTACCTCTTCGTCTATGTCCTGCTCGCATTCTTCCTGGGCCTGCTGCTGGTCACGGCAATCTATCGATGGCTGCTCATGTTCGACGCGCAGGTGCGCCATATGCTCACCATGGGCCGCGAAGCCGACCAACGATACTGGATGCACAATCACACCGCATTCTGGCCCAAGGTCAAGAAACACCTTCTTTGGGCACCTCTCTTTCGAGTCCGACACAACACGGAGATCACCTGGAAAAACACCTCCGTCAGCTTCGGCACATTGCCATCACGCTTCCACGCCCTGCTTCTCTTCTCCTACGTCGCTTCCAACATCGCCTACTGTCTCGCAATAGACTGGAGCAAAGAATCCTACGCCGTCGTCGCAGAACTTCGTGGCAGGACCGGAGTTCTGGCCGCGCTTAATATAATACCGACCATGATCTTTGCCATGCGAAACAATCCTCTCCTACCGGTGCTGCGCGTATCTTACGACACATTCAACCTCCTTCACCGATGGTGTGCTCGCATCGTCGTCCTGGAATCCATCCTTCACACTATCATGTGGGCCGTCAACAATGTCCAAGCTGGTGGCCTCAAACAACTACGAGTTTCACTTGCTACATCGGTGAGCTATACATGGGGAATGGTCGGCACTTGCGCATTTGCAATCATCTTTCTTGTTTCCGTTGGACCACTTCGACACTCATTCTACGAGATCTTCTTGAATGCACACAGAATCGGGGTACTCCTTGGATTGATTGGTGTCTACGTTCACCTGGACCGAGCAGGGCTGCCACAGCTCCCATGGATTCAACTTTGCTTCGCAATCTGGGTTGCAGAATGGATGTGGAGGGCCTTCAGAATTCTCTACCATAATCTGTGTCGGCGAAGAGGTTTCACCAAAGTAACCATCGAGTGGCTGCCCGCTGAAGCCTGCCGAGTGACATTCGAACTATCGCGACCTTGGAGGTGGCAACCGGGATGCCACGTTCACGCCTACATCCCAGCCTTGGCATGGTGGTCGAGCCACCCGTTTTCAGTAGCCTGGGCGGAGACCAAGTCAAAACACCCTTCGATGGAGATCGAACTGGAAAAGCTGCCATCCAGAGAGGCGACGGCCATACTGAACTCTGGCAGACCACAACGGCCGGCGTTGACCACGCGCGATTCACACTTCTCGCGGAAGAGCGTAACAGTGCAAGCAATGGCCACCGTGGCCGAAACCACCCATCAGCCAGAGCCGAGCAACATCACACTTCCACGAGATCGTGATGTCAACCAGATTTCGCTCATTGTACGTGCTCGAAACGGTATGACACGGAAGCTGCACGACAAGCTTGAAAGAATGGAACGAAAAACGTTTGTGACATGGGGCGCTATCGAAGGGCCTTACGGAGGGCACGAATCACTTTCGTCATACGGGACAGTGGTTCTGTTCGCCGGTGGCGTGGGCGTCACACACCAGATCTCGTACATCTATCATCTCCTGCTGCAACATCGGGCGGGTACGTGTAGCACACGAAAGATCCTGTTCATCTGGTCCGTACCGACTACGGAGAACCTGGAATGGATACGAGCCTGGATGGATCAGATCCTACGCATGGAAGGCCGGAAAGACGTCCTGCGAATCCAACTGTACGTCACGAAGCCACGACATCGTGGTGAGGTCGTCTCCAATTCCGGGTCCATCAAGATGTTTGCGGGAAGAGTGAATCCACAGACGATTCTGGAAAAGGAGCTGCCCGAACGAATCGGCAAGATGGGCGTCACGGTCTGCGGTCCTGGGCCTCTCGCGGACAGCGTGAGATCAGCATGTCGCGTCGTCGTCACCGACGGATCGATCGATTTCATTGAAGAAGCGTTCACGTACTGATTGCATTGGAATTGGAATCTCCCGGGCACCCCGCGGCCCTGGTAATGACTTTTACGGCGGGCTGCATTGTTGTTGTTGTTGTTGCTGTTCAGTATTCACGATACCCACCCCAGAGGCATTAGCGGACTTTTTGTTGTGAGAGCGTCTATTATGGTAAATAGTATGCTGAGAAACTTCTTGGTCTTTCTGTGTGTGAGCATGGGAATTCCTTTTCCTCTTCTCCTTTCCGGTTCTTTCCCGATTCTGTATGCATTTTCCAATTCCTTTTCGATCATCATCACCCTGGCAACGATCGTACCAGATGAAATCGAGTCGAGCTGCTGCATGCAGTACTATATAGAGTCATAAGGAAGGAAGGTGAGGGCGACGTGAAGTCTCTTGTGCTTCCTTCTTCGTGCCTTTCAGCAGAGGTGAGCCGATGAGCTGATCAGCTTTAGGAGAGCGCAGACCGAGACTATTGTCCTAATGTTTCTGACGCCGTGGGATTCCAGTTGCAGGCTTTATTGATAAGTGGTAGACTTATTTTCCCCCTATACACGCGAGTTGCATTCCAATCTGCAACACATATCTCCGAGCAAGCGCTCTTCCTCAAGCCTGCCACGACATCGCAGACGTGGACTGCCCTTTTTGCGTGGACTGTGCTCTGTAACACGACGGACTATACGTTATGAGTGCAGTGCAATCTGGGAGAGTATATTTCTCGCACCCTCTCCTTGGACTTGTTCGCGGTAGCTACCGTATGAAAGAGGATATCCTGTACAAGATGTTTTACTCCAGCTGCACGACGATCTCAGTCAGGCCAAGTTGCGAACTTCAACAGTGGGGTTTCGTGAGGACGCGACAATGAAGTTCGTCCATCCTGGATGGATATGTACGTAACCCAGCCTCCCCGGAACGATGTAGGAGTCTTTGACGTGGCCGTGGAAGAAAGTATCTGTTACAACCAAAACCCACCCCAGTGAGCTGGGCGTTTCCGGTGACTGGTCACCACCAGCCCTCGCAGAGCTCTTTGAAGGTGACAATATCGAAGAGCTTGTTGCCATGTCCAAGATTGACATCATTGTGTACGGCCAGCATAATATATACCTGCCTCTGGACGCGTGTGAGGCCATCTGTTCAGCCCAAGCGCGAGCTCTGAAGCCTTCGCCAGATGGAGATCTGAATGAGGAAGCGAGTCGGGGATCGAGCGACGGCATGAGTCTTAGCGGAGATGAGCAGGATACAGTTGGAACGCTGTAGGCTAGGTGGCACGAAGCATTTCTTGTCAAGTGGCGGGCGAGGTGATGGTCTGAAAGGAAGGGGCCATGCAAGGCTGTGGAGGGCCTTTACGGCGTGGACATCACAGGTCAATACAGCAAATGAGGGAGATGGAACTTACTCACCAGGAGTATCGGAGCTACCTTCCGAAATGGCTACTACTCATGTCTTCTCATTGATTGTGCGCTTCAACATCCCACAGAAACTCTGAAAAAGCACGTACTCTTGTCCCCTCAACCATCGTACTTCCACCTCTTCGTCCTTCCGGCACATGATCTTCACCGCCAACGCCACCTCAGCCTCCTCTCCGTCCGCGTCAATCTCCGTCTCGCCTGCAATGGGCTTCTTCTTCCTCCTGGCTGCCCGGCTCCAGACATTCCCCTTGCACTCCATTACCCCCTCCTCTCTCAGTCCACTCCATTCCCACCTCAAGACATTCAACCCTTTCATAACCTCATCCACCTTCTTCGTACACCACCTCACATCCTTCCCAGTCACCTTGACCGTCTGCGCCGTCACAGGCGGCAGTATACTCAGCACCAAATCCCCATGTCTCCCCACATCATTCCTCGGCCTCAGATCCCGGAAACTCCATCCGATCGCCCATCGCTTCGTTCTGTGCCCAGGATGCAGCGAAGTCACGGCGAAATTCGAGATCCCGTGCTCCTTGATCTTGGCGAGAATCTGTTGAAGAGATGAGAGCTTCGACAGCATGGCCGTGTACCATCCCACGCGCTGACGCAGTCGCAGAGATTCCCGGAATATCCGCATGACAAAGCCGACGTCGCCTCCGGAAGCAATCATCTCGTTCTGCGAACCGGTGAGAACAGCTGAGGGCTGCTTCTCACTCGACTCCGTGAAGTCGAAGTGCGCCGCCCTTTCGAAATCCTCCCGATCCGCGTAGAAAGGTGGATTCGTCATGACAAAATCCATCTCTTCAACACCCAGATTATCAATGGGAATAATCGGATCGTCATTGGCAACCTGCTTCACTCGAATTCTCTCTTCCAGGTCGTTTGCCTTCACGTTCTTCCTCGCCCATTCAACCGACGTCCCGTCAATATCCGTCCCCGCCATCCGCCAGTTCTCTCGCGTCGAGCAAGCCAACAGCCCGTAAATACAGCTTGCTCCAACGCCGATATCCAGCCCTAGTACTTCCCGCGCCGGATCAGAGTTCTCGGTATAGTCGTCCGAAGTGGTAGCGAGAAGATCCTGGATCCAGCGGACGTAGTTCCATCTCACGGGCACGGGAGGACAGAGTCGATCATCTGGAAGTTCGACTTGGAGGTTGAAGTCGCATTTGAGTAGAGACTTGGTGAGCTGTCTATAATAGAAGTTAACGTGATGTCGCAAGAACAGTGTTTGGTCGTGTTTTTTACGAACTGTACAATCTTTGGATTCTGGAAGTCGATGAACGCCTTCTGTTTGCCTTGTTTGGAGATGGCGGCGAAGTTTGGGTCTCGTTTTGCGAGGTCGTCAAAGTCCACGTCGCGCTCATAGTAGGGCATCTGCTTCATGTTGGAAACTCGCTTCTTGATGTTGAGATATGTGTAGTGCAGAACGTAGCTGGAAGAGGATGAAATGAGGTCGAGGAAGGCCACGGGGTTCATCAATATTTGAAGCCAATTTCATAGAGAATTGAAGAACATACGTTAGGGATCAGAGGTGTAGTCTGAGGAGAAGGGCTATGGATTTACACCAATGTGAACCGTCACGTTATTGCCAATGATATTGACTGTGAGATGAGTCTGCGTTGGCGCTTGCTTGACCTTCTTTTTGCGGTGCCTCCTCGTTCGAGCCTTCTGGCGGTCAGCCTCAAACCTCCTCATCGCATCAGCTCTTCCCTCCTCCCTCAACATCTCAGAAATGACCTTCGACCGCAGTGCACCTCGTCTCGGTTTCTTGCCCATCCCTTTTTGTTTCTACCACTTGGCCTCAGGAGTGGCCAGGAACTTGTTCAGAATTGTGACGACTTTCTCCAATCCTTGTAGCCATTCGTTCAGCTCTTTCGACACACGCGCTTGGTCATCTCCCAGCTTGGCATAGAAGTCTTTCCGATAGGGTGTGGCGGACATAGCGGCAGAGAAGATAGGCTTGACGATGAAAGAGTGATGCGGCTTGAGGGTCTTTCCATAGGACTCGCGGAAGGAGGCTGAGAGTTCCTCGCCGGAGTTGTCAACGTTACGGCGAAGAGCTTGGGCAGTGAAGTCGAGACCTCTGTTCGCATTGTTAGCCACATGACTTTTGGGTATCGGATGCAGATGGCTTGCCTTGTCAGCCACAACAGTCCTTCTGTCGCGGTGTGCTTCTTCTGCTTCAATTCGTTCCTCACGAGGTCTTGGAGGGTCTCAGAATCGACAGGGGCTTCGAGCTGTCTGTCCCTGATCTTCTTGATGTTGCCAGTCATGTCGCTCTTGACAGGCTTGAAAGCAGCGCTGCCCAACACATCGAACAGCCCAGCAACTGACTCTGCTGCCTCGAGAAACTCAGTGGTCTGGATCGCACCACCATCCTTGCTCTCATCAATTGGGACCTGGTTGAAGGAACGCTTCGCGGTGTCGAAGTAGGTACCACCGGGGGGAAATGCTGGGGTAGACATTGTAATTGGTGGACTGTCAGGACAAGATTGGAGACAGGATGTGGGAGAAGAGAGAAGGGAGAGGAGAGAGGGCAGGAGGATATATGATTGTGTCTGAGGAGGTTGATGTCGGTGAAGAAGAAGCGAGCTTTCTCCAGAGATGCCACCACACCACACACCTCCCTCCCTCGCCTGAGAGTGAGACAACGCGTGCGTGGACCCTTGATCGCTTCCAGTGGGGCATTATTGACCTTCCCGACTCCTCCGATCTGCTCCCGCAACATTCTTCCTTCGTACTGCAACGGACATCCTAATCCCTTCTGGGAGCAATTGCTGTAATGACGGCAATATCACAATATGGTTGTTTTTTCCAGCGACTCCATCCCGGTTCCGGATTGGATTCATGGAGGGGCAACCTCGCGGCAGAACGATTAGCCTGAATCTCAAGGAACTGGTGGAGATGCACTCCAACGTATAAACTCCTCCCCAAAACCAAGTACAACCAAGAACAACCTCTTCTCCGCCTTCTCCCAGTCATACCATTGAGTCTCAATTACAGCTAACTCTTCCAATCAAAAGTCTCCCCTTGCCTACGCTCACCATGTCCTCCCACAAGACCTACAACATAGCCGCCATACCGGGCGATGGCATAGGCGTGGACATCACCGAAGCAGCCGAACAAGTCCTCCACAAACTCGCCTCAACCGTAGGAACCTTCTCCTTCAAATTCACAACCTTCGACTGGTCTTCCAAGAACTACCTCGAAAGAGGCTGGTACATGCCCGAGGACGGCATGCAACAACTCTCCAAGCACGACGCAATCTACTTTGGAGCAGTCGGCTGGCCCAATGTCCCCGATCACATTTCCCTCTGGGGCCTCATCCTCCCGATCCGCAAATACAATAACCAGTATGTAAATGTCCGGCCTACGCGGATCTTGCCTGGGACGACGCCGCCTTTGTCTCAGTGCGTTGCCCGTCCTCAGGATCTCGATTGGGTGATTATAAGGGAGAATAGCGAGGGTGAATATGCTGGACAGGGTGGGACAACGCACGAGAATAGTCCACACACCGTTGCGACGGAAGTGAGCATCTTCACGAGAATAGGGATTGAGAGGATTGTGAGGTTTGCGTTTGAGACGGCGAAGAGCAGGCCTAGGAAGAAGTTGACCATGGTGACGAAGAGCAATGCACAGAGGCATGGAATGGTGCTATGGGATAAGGTCTTCTACGAGGTCGCGAAGGAGTATGAGGGAGTTGTAGAGCATGACAAGGTATGGCTTTTCCCTTGCCTTACCCGTCAAGCGTCGAGTTGACCAAACCAGATGCTCGTGGACGCCATGACCGTCCGCATGGTCAACAAGCCTGAGAGCTTGGACACGATTGTTGCGACGAATCGTGAGTATCCGTGCCAATCCCTTCTCAACGCTTGCTCTCCGCTGACCTGTTTTCAGTCCACGCCGATATCCTCTCCGACCTTGCAGCCGCACTAGCTGGATCAATCGGCATCGCTCCTTCGTCGAATCTCGACCCAACTCGCCGGTATCCTTCCATGTTTGAGCCCATCCATGGCTCGGCTCCCGACATCGCCGGTCAAGGTATCGCGAACCCGGTAGGAGCTTTCTGGTCTGCAGCCGAGATGGTTCGCTGGCTCGGAGAAGGGAAGCTCGACAAGGTAGCGGACGACTTTATGCAGGCCATTGAGAACGTGACCGGCAATGCCGACACGCGGACGAAAGACATGGGCGGATCTGCCAACACCAAACAGGTTACCGACGCTCTCATGAAGCAGATCGAAGTCGTCTTTGCGAAGAAATAGAAAGACATACCGTGTGCAGTCCGGTAATGTGTAGACATCCCATATCCACAGACATGAAACCATCATATCTCTTCTCCTTCAATCAACCTCCCACCATCTCTCCACTTCCTCCCCAACCCTCCTCCTCACACCCTTCCTCACCCTCGTTCGATTCTTATACCCATCCTCAGCCCCGCCAACCTTCCTCCCAAACTCACTCAAAGGCCAACATTTCGCGACCGCCTTCCCCTGAATCAGCGCCTTTGAGATAGGCCCATAATCATTACTATCCAACGTCTTCCGCCAATTATCCCCCTCCACCCACACATGCCCCTCCGGCACCACAACCCTCCCCTTCCCCTTCCGTTTCATCGCATCCCACCTCTTGCCCCCCTCACTCACCCGCCCATTCTCGAAATCCTTGGGTCTCCGCCGCGGATCCAGCACAATCTCATCCCCGCTCAAGCCGACCACCCTCTTGACGCTGACGTTTTCCGGGTTCGTGGGGCTGTCGAAGAGGATGACGTCCCCCCGCTTCAGATTCCGTGTCGCTCGGTATTTCCGCCAGAGGATGCTGTCTTTGGCGCCCGTCTCTTCGTAGTGAGGGGAGAGTGTGGGGGACATGGATATGCCGGTCACGGGGGTGGTTTGGAGAACATTGTCGTGGAGGAAGATGACTGTTGCGATTCCGATGAAGGTGGCGAGGACGGCGTCGGCGACGGGGACGGGGCCTTTGGGCAGTGCATCGCGCAGTGCGCGCAATCGACGCTGCATTTGCGAGTGGTTGCACAAAAGTGGGAGAGAAGAGGCAGTTGAGATGAGAGGCTGTCTTGGTGACTGGACAGCCCCATCAATATTTGATGGGGAGGGCGGCCACCAACATCCACAAAAACCTTGCTGGAGGTAGAGGTATCAGAAAGTAACGGCTTGAGAACAATCCAATTCATTTTCGTTTCAATCTCCGTACACTGCTTTTGACAGAGATCTAGGCTCTATTCGTCTGACTTAATCTAGCACAAGGGAATCTCATGTCGTTACCCATAAACCATGAAACGCCCATTACCATGCTCTCCGTGCTAACAAACCGCCCGCGTCATTCACTCGTGCGACTAATCTAGTCGTCCTCATCAGAGAAGACCTCCTCACCACGCTTGCGGCGGGCCATGCGGTCCTTCTTCTTCTTGCGGAGCTCGGCAGAAGTGAGCTTCTTCTGCTTCTTGGTCGACTCGATCTTGTTACCCATGGCATCGAACTTCTCCTCCTCCTCGTCATCCTGCTTCAGACGAGGGCCCGCTCCCTGACCCTGAACCCAGTTGTGGCCGGATGGAGTCATGCGGCCGTCCATGACAGCCCAGACTTCCTCCGTAAGGTCCTTAGTGAACTCTGCGGAGTGAGTGATGATGATGACACCACCCTCGAAAGCCTTGATAGCCTTGGACAGGGCACCCAATGAGTCACGGTCGAGATAGTTGGTTGGCTCGTCCAGGACGATCAAGTGAGGACGCTGCCATGAGCAAGCGGCCAAGACGACCTTGACACGCTGACCACCGGAGAGACCACGCATGCGGGAGTGAGAGACAAGCTCGGCATCAAGACCGAAGTTGGCGCAGTGAGATTCGATTTCCTTGCGGACCAGAGGACGGAACTGACCGCTGGCAAGGGCTTCCTTTTGGTCGACATCAGCAACCATCTTCTGGTGAGACTGGATGAGCTCGTTGCGAGGAATCCAGGCGTTGTCCGCGGTCATCATGGGCGTCCACCGCTCGTTCTTCATGCCGATGTTGTCACCAAGGGCGAACGAACACTCGTACTCGTAGGAGTTCTTGAACTTTCTACGCGAGTGCACGCCAATGACACGACGCTGCGTACCCTCAATCTTGTAGATCTTGTCCATAGCCTTCTCGTCCTCGTCGGTGACGATCTTGTTGGCACGGTCCATGGTCTCACGGTCCTCACCAGTCTGGAAACGCCACTGGATATACTCGGAAGGTGTCTTGTCGAGATGGTGATCGATGTGAGCGAAGGCGTGCTGCTTGATGTAGGCAATACGGATGTTCTCGTGCTGGTACACATCTCCGCTGGTGGGGATGAGCTCACCGGTGAGAACGTTGACCAAAGTGGACTTGCCGGCACCGTTGGGACCGATGACAGCGATACGAGAGCCAAGAGAGCACTGGAAGGTAATGTCCTGAATCTGCGGCTTTGGTGTGCCTGGGTATTGGAAGGTCATGTTCGTGACACGGACGATTGCCTTGGCTTTGGTCTTGACACCCTCGAGGAAACCAGGCTCCGGGAACCTGAACTCCATCTCTGATGCGCCGAGCTCGTAGTAGGACTTGGCAGATGGGACACGCTTGACGAACTCGCTGAGCTTGCCGCGGTAGCGCTTGAGCTTGAAGCGCTCGTAGTGAATAACGTGCTGAATGACGTTGTCCAGGAATTTGCTGTCGTGAGAGATGATGATGGAGGTGCAAGGCGAGTTCGTCAGGTAGTCCTCGAGCCACTTGACGTTCTTCACATCCAAATGGTTGGTGGGCTCATCGAGCAGCAAAATATCGGGCTTCTCGAACACAGCACGGGCAAGCGCAAGCTTCATCTTCCAACCACCAGACAGAGCGGTGATGGGGCCGTTGAGCTGCTCCTGGACGAAACCGAAGGACAGAAGCTCGCTGTTGATCTCATCCTCAGACAGCGTAAGGCCGGCCTGTCTCAACTTCATTACTGTCCACTCCATGACGGTCATCTCGGTGTCAGCAGCGTCCAAGTCGTGCTCAACGTAGACAGTCTTGACCTCGTTCTGCTTGGGGAAACCCTCGACCTGCTCGTTGTTGATCGCACGCATGAGCGTAGTCTTGCCAGATCCGTTAGGACCAAGCAAACCGTAACGCTGACCACGCTTGAGACGCAGATGGGTCTGGTTGAGAAGAATCTTGGCACCATAGGCCAAGTTGAATGTGCAGTTGCAAAGATCCTCGCCCTCCTCTTCATCGGCCTCGACCTCGTCTTCCTGAGCGGCGGCTGGAGAGGCGCGCTTGCGGAGAGTGTCGACGATACCCTCGGCGTCGTTCTCGCCAACGATTTGAATGACGTATGGCTTGAGCTGCGTCTTCCAAGCAATGGAGTCGCCCTCCTTCTCGTCGATGAGCTGGCCACCGATGGCAGCGATGTACTTGAGTACTGGCTCGAACTTCTCGACGGCGTCCTTGTGCTGCGAGCTGAGGATGTCCTTCAGCTTCTGGTAGACGGTCTCGACGTCACCGACGTGCGAGACCTCGGGAATCTTGCCGTCCTTCACGTCACCGACACGGACAAGGGTGTCAAGACCCTGCTTGGTCTTCTCACGGGCCTCTGGATCCGCCACGTTGTCGAAGTTGTAGGAAAGCTGGGGCATGAGCTTTGGCAAGAAAGCAGCCACGATGTTGGGGTCCTCGACAAGCTTGCACATGTTGTCGACAATGACGGCAGATTTGCGCTTGATTGCGGTCTCACGCTCCTTGAGACCACGCTCGAGCAGAGGCACCATGATGGCGAGAGTTGGTTCGTGGACGTCGGTGACGAAGGTAGTAGCACCGAGCAAGTGGATAGTCTCTGGGACATTCTCTGGCTTGGCGATACACTTGATGAGCTCCGGAATGAAGCGGTCGATATCCTTGTTGACGATGAGCTGGCAGACCTTCTCCATCGTGCCGTAAGCCTTCTTCTTGACCTCGGGCTTGGTGTCCCACATGGCCTCGGAGACGATGGGGATCAGGTCGGGCACGCGGAATGCCGTCTGCGCTGGTGCGCTCTCCGCGAGAGCCTCGATGCACTCGAGATCTGTCATCTTCTCGGGCCACTTCTGGGCGTTGCGGATCGAGTCGATGAAGGCGGGAATGAGGAGCTTGACGGCGTTGGCGTTGACGGCCTTGACAATGGCCAGGGCGGCGTCCTGTGCGGCAACCTTGACGGCGGCCATCTTGTCACCGACGGCAGCCAGGACAACGGGCAGAAGCTGAACGAGGTATGGCTCGACAGCGGGCGAGATGTCGGAGTGCTTGGCGATGGTGGCAATGGCCTCTACACCGTTCTGTCGTGCGTTGGCGTCCTTCTTGTTGTTCAGCATCTTCTTCAGAGTCTCGACAGCCTTGAGTGGGACCGCCTGCTCCTGAATGTCGCCATTGATGAAGACGGCGATCTCCTGCGAGGCGCCCTTGACCTCGTCGGCGGTCTTGGAGACGGAGAGTTTGGAGAGCAGCTCCTCGAGCACCTTGGTGCTCTGGGCATTCTCCTTGGCCTGAGCCGCTGAGTCTGCAGCGGGCGCCATTGTGGTGTATGTGAAGAGGTGGTGGTTGGGTGGAGGAAGAGGGAAGGGAGGGTGAGAAATTTGGGCGGCGGTCGCTTTTTGTGCCCTCAGTGGAAAAATTTAGTGGGGCGCGCGAGTTGCCGCTTCTTCTGCGGATCGGTGTATGGAGATTCGGCGCTCTGTGCGCTGCGCGGGGCGGCGGTGGGCGGGTTTTCGCGACTCGATAAGGGAGTGGCGAAGGTGGGCGCAGGAGAAAAGGTCAGAGGAGAGATGTTGGTGTGATGAGAGTGTCAAGGGAAGATTTGTTTCGGGCGCGAGGGTGTCTTTATACGACTTCAGCTGTCTGTCCTCCCGGCCGTGAAATTTCTGGGCTAGCGCCACAACAAAACCGTCAGCCCGCCGATTACTCAGGCAAGGCAGGGTCATGCCGCTTCACGCTTCCGGGGCAAAATGTTTGGTGACTGCTGCGCGCTCGTTCACTTCTCACACGACAGGACAAGACTCGTTGCCTGTCATGACGGGAGTGCGCGAGCCGTTACCTGCGGACTCGCGAAGTGTGCGATGGTCCAATCACGAACTTCCTCTTTATGTGTCTGTGTGCTTGCGAAATCACCACATACAGAATCCACCCTGCATTCGCCCTGTCTACAGTGGCATTCGGCATCCAGCCTTCGATCTTCGCCTGATGGTCGGCAGCTATAGCTCACTGCTCGTATCTCGGACGGTTGTGGATGCATATGGCAGCCATGTACAAGATGTCCGCATGAGAACAGTCCATTTGAGTCTTGTCATGCTTGTGGAAAAGCGCCGGCCATAGCAACCAAGAATCGTCTCTACAGTGACGTACCACGAATTTTGACCAGGATGCTTTACTGCAGTGATGAACTACTTCCACTGACCTGGCTCTTCCTCCGCAAGGAACTAACTGCAAGGACGCCCCGAGCACCTCCAGATCTGGCCTGCAGCGAATTCAAGCACTCCCAACGAAAAGAAGCCGGTCTTTCGCCGCCTGTGCCTGAGCCTGTGCCTGTTTCCGATCGCTCCCAGCGAAGCGTTTCTTCCGCACCCATCTTCCCGGACATGTCTTGGCATCTGCAAACCTCAGATGCTTTGGTAGACATTTTCATCATGTGCTCTTCGTACTTCACTGTCTTGAGCTCTTTCCCCTCTGCCAGCACCCAGCAAGCTTTCTGCCACCGCGCCTTCGAGAAGATGCCGATGAAGATACTGCAAGGTACGGTACGGTAGTAAAAGAGCCTGCAAAGACGCCACCGACGGTTTGAGCAAGCTGTGTGGAGCCATCTCCACTTCCCCAGACGCACGGAGGACAGAACGAAGGCCCAATCACCGCGCCATGGTCATGTAAAAGGATTCCGCTCTTCACATCAAAGATCCTCAATTACGACCTCATCAAGCATAGGCGCCGTATGATTGGCCTTTGCCATCCTCAAGCACAAGCGCGTAAGATATGTTGAAGCTCTGCGTCGCATTTGGTACCTGCCCTCGAATGCTGTCAAGAAACTGAGTCTATCAAGAACTTACATAGTATCGAGTCGCACCTTCCTTCCTCGACGGACGGAAATCTGCACCAAGAACAGCATCTGGCTCCTCTTGCCATCAGCTCGTCCAGCGTCAGGTCGCCCTACTAGGCAGCACGACAGCTCAGAGGAGTGGATCCAATTTCGCTGACACTAGCTCACCATCACGCGCACCTCTTTCTCGCCTCTCCAACACGTGAGCTGCAATAGCTATGCTGAAGATAAGAACGGGATCGACCGTCTGGCGTCGGTTCGCGACAGCAACCTGGCAATAGCAATCCTCGTCAGCTTGCAAAGAACCCATCTGCTTGCTGCTGTCGCTCGAGTGTCAAGCCGCCTGAGAGGATTCGGAACTATGAGCATCGCATCCATTTGATGCTGAGATGAGACATCTGGGTGGCTTAGGATCTTGGAGATAGGCCGTACTGTTGGGGATGCTACTACTTGGTATGAGCACTCGTGCAGATGGAGATAGATGCTCACGCCGGAGTTCTCACTCGGAGAGCTTTATCTCCACGCAACGCCTGTTGTGTCTCGCCAGTCTCATCGTCATCACAGATCACCAGCATGGTCTCTGCAATGGCATCTATCAGGAAACGTAAGAGGGCATATGTCCCACAAAGGAAGAGGAATCAAGTGGCGGCGTGGATGAATGACTGCTCCGCTCTCCAGACCGACGCAACGCCTAGAATTTGCAAGTCTTCGGTGCACCTACAGTGAGTGCAGCAAGTGCACAATGAGTGGGCTTTCGAGGCAGTCCCTCCTCTCGGGACTCAAGGGTCGGGTTGAAGCTTAATATCAAATGGGCAAGAGTTCTTGAAACTCACAAGCTGTTGTTGATATTTGCCTCTACTATGCATTATGTCATTAGATATGTATGTGCCTGTTTTGATTCACCATATATCTATTCCATTCCATTCCATTCCAATTCCAATTCCAATTCCGTTCCGTTCCGTACCCTGCCCTGCCCTGAAGCAATGTTTCTACCAAATCTTACACAACGCTTGCTTCTGAAGTCGGTCGACGAAAATGCAGCACCTCGAATCTGAGTAATCGGATCTTTGTAAAACGTAAGGCGGGGGACCGTCGAGAACGTGCAGCAGTGGTCCAGCACTGCTTCTTCGTTGACCATCAATGTGGCGAAGCTCGCGCCATTTCATGGTAATGTCTGCATCAAGCAGAGCCCGCGAGGCGGGTGTACTCCGAAAGATTTGGCGCGTCTGCGGTCCAGATTATTGGCAGTGGTGCATGAGTAGATTGGCCGGTAATATTTGCCCCTGGCGAGACGGGCAACTCGCGCGCGCCGGCAGTGCCTTTGATGCTGACCGGAGCACCGTTGCCGACACCACGTCATCTTTTCACGATGTCACATCTGGCAGCGTTCAATCGTTCGGCATCACTGCGCGTGTTCGTGATAGATTGGAAAAGCTCCTTTGAGGGGCCTCGATGGGTGATGTCGCAGCAGAAGCTGGCACCGTCCGGAAACTCTTCATGCTACCAGTCCGGCTACGAGAAGGCGATGCCACAGCGCTCGGGGTCCCGGGCCGACTGCCATTCCGCCAAGAGCTCATTGGACTCATTGCTCGCTCTGCATTGACGACCTGGCCAGCAAAGGGAGACGCAGTGATGACCGTGTTTGGAGAAGCCATTGGAGGGGGTGCAGGGCTTTCGATTCGGAACAGTGGGTGGATGTGGGCTTCGTTGTTCGTGGTGTCTGTGTTTACCCTAACGATAGGTCGAGGGCTTCGAAGGGAAGCCGTGTCAGAAGCAGGCGGCATGGGCGAAGGGAGTGCAGATTCAGGCAAGGGTATGTCTTCGGGAAGATCGTCGTTACCGGGAAAGGGTCCGTCAAGAGCACCTCCTGGAGAGACTGGGCGGCTACCCGGGATGGTCTCCAGCCTCGCCACTCTAGCCTTTGAACCTAATGGGCTATCGTAGCGAGCCTCAATGGCAGATGTGTCCCAATCACCGAAGTCATCGTTGCTACTCCAAATTCCATCAGGCCTTGAGTCGCTCGCAGAGACGATGCTTCGCACATCTCTCGTCGAAGAGAAAGGCGAGCCAACCATCAGTCGGGTCTTCGATGCCATTGGCCGGAGTATCTGACTAGCAGACTCTTTCATGGACGACCTTTGGCTGGAGTAGAACATCGAACGGGAAGGCGAAGCAGGCTGCGCCTGAGTGTAGAACTTTGGCGGGGACGACGGGCCGATTGTGCCAAGGCGAAGAGATATCGAGTGCCGATTTGACGAACGTGAGGGAGATGGCCGATGCTGCGTGACCTCTAGCGGGGACGATCGCTCCTGCTCCGCTCGTGGCCAGACCAAGACGTAGAAGGCCGTTTGAGGGATCAAGCCAACAACGGCGATGGCAATTCCTGCTCCAGCACTGTTCCGGGCAAGGTCGATGTTTGTCGAATGAGGTTCACGGTCGTTAGCCACCTTGATGGTGCAGGCCAGAGCAATGAGGCTCAGGATTGCGCCAAGTAGGCATGAGATAGCCCCAGGGATCCAAGCTAAATAGATGGCACGCGTTGAGGAGCGCTTGAGGAACAAAGCCAACGAGGTCAGCATGGAAAGGACAGCAAAGACTTCGAAGACCGAGGCCGCCACACCGAGTCCAAAGGCATTCGTTGACACGAGAATAGAGGCCAGCAGGCTTGTGATAATAGCAGCTGAGGCGATCTTGAAGGCAGCGGCTAGTGCACTCGTAGTGAAGAAAACGAGAGTCGATCGATCCATGGGGCCAGAGATGGAAGCAGCCATTTGGGGGAGGATATCGTACAGCAACGGACGGGATCGCGGAGAACAAAGAGCTCAGCGAAAGGCAGTCATGAGCAGCGAGTGGGGACTATCGTATGGTATAGGCTGGAGAAGTATGGTGGCGACGGTGGGGAGACGCGTAGTGGTGCGACGCTTCCGTTACCATGTCATTGTCGCGGGTTCGAGTGAGTCGGTAGTGGTGAGGCAGTGCAGCGAAGTCAGTCCGTAGACTCAGCCATTGACAGGAGCACGGGGTAGCAGGTAGGTGCGAGTGCAGCAGAGGGCGTTTAATTATGGCGGCGTGCAGGTTTGATGAAGAAGAGCCTGCAGTCTTGTATGCGGATGCGGGCCCCGGGTGCATGGGGCGTAACTGGACACTGTCAGCCCTTGTCGTGTAACGTTCAGCGTGTTCTCAGCGCCCACCCAAAGCGTGTGTCTGTGTGTGTCTGTATAGGGGGATATCACGACGATGTTGTGCACGGAGGGGAGAGTTGCAGCAAAGAATATATCTGGCTTGGAAACAACATGGAGCGACGAGCGCGTCGATCGGGACGCGTTCTTGACATGGTAGACCCGGCAGCAGCGAGTCGAAAGGGCAAACCTTGTGAGATTGATTCGATTGACGAGCGTCGTGGTTGTTTTATGTTGCAAGGATATGGGAGATGCTTGGTGCGGACCGCAAGCCACAAACGCCTCCTGGGCACGCGCGTGTGTTGTGGATTTTTCAACGCTCGCCGTGCCATGCGCCAACCAAGCCAATGCGGGACGGCATTCTCGTGAGACTCGGCGCTGACCAACGGTCCAAGTAACCACCTAACGGTCACGCTGACGCTCACGGTCAACTGCTGTCAGACGTCGTGACGTGGAAGGGTGCCTCGAGAATAGCTTTTGCCGTGGGATCGTCGCACAAGACGCCTGCAGCACACCGCAAGCGACTATGCGATGTAGGATGAGGCCGGGCCGGGCGTCAGGAGAGCGAGGCTGTGGCTGTCGGACGACATGACACGAGCGTGTCGCGGTGTTATTATTATCATGACGGCCGACGTGTTGGCGCACGGAGCCGTCGCACGATGTCAATAGCGGCGAGAAGTGGGAGGAGGATGATGATATCGGCTTGAACGGGCGTTGTCAGGCGTTGCGCTATGCCCGTTGCACATCCCAACGGAGATGCAGCGCGGGCGATCGGAGCCGAGAGCGGCCCGGGCCATCTCTCCGTGGGGTCTCGGTCATGACCTCGCACCTCGGGACCTGTGCACATGTGGGACCTCGGAGGATCCGATCTGCCCTCATTGCTTTTTATTCCAACAGGGCAGGGCAAACACCAACACGCACACACCAAATCAACATGAGTCCACAGCCTCCAACACGTGCGAACGGCACGGCCCCGACAGCGGACTGCCCCTTCCTGGAGCTGCCGGTCGAGCTGCGATTGGACATCTATGCCTACGCCGTGCTCGATTATCGGGAGATCACAGTCGGTACCGCAAAGCTCGACGGCAGCCATGCAGACATCGTCCATCGACTCTATGGAAGCGGCCGATCACCTTTTCCTGGAATCCCTCACCACCACGAACCCGTCGTCGACACCCGATATCAGCCTGCACTTCTCTCACCCGCCAAGCCCGCCGTCATCCCCTTAACGCCCGCGAATCTTGATCCTCGAGAGACAACATATGAACATACCCAAACGGCATATCACACCCTTTCTTTGCTGTGTAAGCAAGTCAACGACGAGCTCAAGAGCCATTTCGCGATACCGTATTCCTCCCCTCATATGACCCGCTCGGAGCGTTCCAAAATGCTAACATTCTCTTCCTCATACAGCTCTCGTAGAGAGACGAGTCTCTTCGTCCAGTACCCTCATGGCCTACACCTTCTGCACACCGTCACTCCGCAGCTGCTTCGACAATCACGTAGTGTGCACCTCGCAGGAACCTACATCCCTCGAAGCTTTTGTCCGCCGCGTGCGGCCTGTTTGGGCCCACGGCTCGCTCCACCGCAAGAGAAGCTACACGGCGATGTCATCCCCGAATCCACGTCTCAGTTAGCCGATTTGATCAAAGGCATGTTCGGTCCCGATGCACCTAATCCGGTCGAGAAGATGGAGATGCGAATCTACTATCCGGGAGATGATTCGTACAGCACCGTCTGGGGTGACGATAGCTCGCCCATAGTCGTCGCACTGAGGCATGTCCATCTTGGAGAGGTAGGTATTGAGATCTGGAGAGGTCGATATGGAACTGGGGTCTACCTCACCGTTTCACCCACATCGGAGAAGAAGCGAGTGGTGAGCACGGTGTGGAGACGTCTCGAGGAGGGGAGAAGAGGTGAGCCAGAATGCGGCAGCTGGGTTGTAGACTCTGACTGGCCTGCGTGGAATGCGGAATACGAAATGTCAGAGGGCCCCCGGGGCGACACGATCATTTCCGTACCCAGATGAGGAAAAGCCAATCTGTAGAAAGATCCTGTGGAGAACCTCCAAATCACGAGACTGCTAGCACTGGCATGATATTCTGTGGCTCGATTATGCTGGAAATGCAATTCAATTCAAAGGCCGGCTTTGGCGTGTTCCTGCCAGCACGTCAACATCCGATATCTGAGACTCCAAACCCAAGGAAGGCTCTTCCCCTCTCCTTGAGCTGCATCTTCCGCGCGGTTCACGGTGAAATCCAAACCTGCCGCAAATGCGGTTTCTGTCGCGCCTTGAAAAAGACTTTGGACGCCAAACCCGAACATCCCTGGAGTAAGGTATAACATTTCGGTGCGATACCGAGTACCAGGTAACGCGGACACTCCACTCCGGTCGCATACATCTCCAGAGCTCAAAGACGCGTTTTACAACATGAGGAACACTCTGTGACGTTCTAGGGTTTTGGATTCGCAACGAACCGGACAATGATTCAGCTGTTACAGCCACTCTCGAAACTTTCTAGAAAAGGGGTCTGGACTGATTCAGGGTTTTAACACTTCGATGGATTCGATCCCGGCGCGCCGCGAGAGCAGAATGATGAGATCGATCGTGGAGAAACTCCTGCACTGTAGTTGACGGATTTAGCGTCCAGGCTCGTCTCTCGGACGGTACGGCTCAAGATATCGCACAACGAACAACATGTGACGAACACATCGGCGGCGGCTTCTAGAACCCTTGGCACTGCAGAGCTGCGCCTTTCCAAAATCTCCGCTTCCTCGACAAGCAGCAATGACATCTAGGAGGCTTGATGCGGCTCATGATGTATGTCTGTGCCGCTTCGTCGATCGCACCAGCAGGCCACGAATGCCCGTGGCCATGCGGTTCACATCAGGCCATCCAGCGCTTCACTTATAACCATGGTGACAAAGCATCGTACGCCTTCATGAGGTCCCTGACCGGCTGATGAACGCAAGGAAGGCCATCGCAATGCAATAGGAAGCTAGGCTTTATGTCGACAAAGATCGATCCTCGATACGAATGAGGTTGCTCTCCGTACGAAAGGTGAGGTATTGCCGTCTCCTTCACGCCTCAGCTAGGCCATTCAAAGGACCCATTAAAGACTCGCGAACATGGCCCGCAGCCTGATGAAGACGATTGTTACCGTATTTCTCCTCTTCATTACCCCGGTGTCCTCGTCGTCAATTACTCCAACGTGCTCCAAAGGTAACCTACTTCTCTCCCATGCGGCTCAAAACACATCGAATATCCAAAGTGCTTGACAACGACTCACACATCGCAGAGCTCTACGTAACCTTGGTCCGATTCCTGTCCGACAAACCCGCCATCGCGAATTTCTGCGCCGGACTGCCCTCATCCGAACGTGACTTCAGGCGCTCGCAATGTCCCAGCCAACTCAGCAATATGTATGGCATTCACCAACACAAAGACCTCTTGCGACTACCTGGCACGTTCCTCCACACCTGCTGCCTCAAAGGATGACGCAAGCTGCCGTGCCAAAGACCCTGCTACACCGAGCTTCTGCCCTGGGTCTCATGCTGGCTACTGCACGAATTTCTACACCAACGACAAAGAAAACTGAGGTGATGAGTGCGGACGACAGGTGAGGACATACGCGGAACTAGTCTCACGTCACTGACATTGATAAATCGCCTTTGGAATGTGCCAATCATTCACCCTGTACTGCAGGCTCCTGTGCTCATCAATGCACTCGAGACTTCCCCGGTCCCAATGCCGGCAGCAATTCTGAATTCTGCACCAGTGAACCTCTCGACTCTCGACGCGATAATGGGTGGGGGGCATTGATTGCTTGGTGTAATATCATCCTACGGGTTTCCTGTTTTCTTCCACCGAATGTTGTATCGGCAGTGTGCCAGTGGCATTCCATCGTGTATTGGTGCGGGAAGTCAAGGAAATCATCAAGCGTTTTGGCTGGTAGTGTAGAGATCGAAGGAGACAACAAGATACGGGGGCTTCCAATCCGATGGAGATTGTTTCTGATGACTATCGCGCGGGTCAGCCGTTTTCCCAGGATAGGGATTTGGCGGTATCGACGTCCCGGGGTTGGCTATCGTCAAGGGTCTCTAGGGAGAAGAGGGTATTCTGGCTGAGAAGAGTGAGGAGAGCAACAAATGGAGTTGAAAATTCCGCTGCGAGGCGGCGTCTGAAGAGATGCGAAAGGGATGGGAGGGGAGGGGAGTCTGCCACCGCCGCCGTCAATCCCTCCATCCATCCGACTTCGGGCATACAGGCACGCACGAGGACTTCCCCCCTACTCTACTCTACGTCCGTGTACTATACGTAGGAAATCTCCTGAAAAAGCTACTTGCGAAACCTTGCGAGGACCAATTCCTCCTCCTCCTCCTCCACTCATCATCGTGCCATCCATCTTTCCTACCCCATTTGCCTTCGCGCCATCGTCTGATCGGATTCGGGGACAGCTCATCATCAGCTTCACTCGCGTCACCGGGAAGAGCGTTCCGCTGACCAGGGAAGAGACATTGAAGGACTGGGGTAGCTTTTTTCCTTGTTTTCTCTGGGAATGTTTCAGGAGCTTGTGTTGGTGTTTGTGTGTGAGTGTGTTGGACAGGACTTTGACGTTGATGTTGGTGCTCGATGTTGGTGCTCGATGTTGGGTGCTCGATGTTGGTGCTCGATGTTGGTAGCTGGCTGGATCGGGGTCGTGGTTCTTTTGGCAGGAGGTGTTGGAAAACGACATGTGATGTCGGCTGAAACGGGTGTTTGATGTTTTTGACACTCGGGCGTTGGAAGTTTGCGGATAGCCCGTCGATGCCTGCTGCATCTATTTGCTGCTGTGTGTGGCAGCATTATTATTGAAGGGACAGGGAGAGCTTTCGAAAAGGGGCGATCACCTGTTCGATAACCCGGAGGGCGTCATCAGCCAATCAAGGTGTTTTGGCAGTGCGGTGGATGCTGATATCCCTCCCGGGAGGCATCGAACGAGAAGAGCCGATCGGTCTTGCAAAATGCACATTTCTCCAAATTCTCCGTCGAGGCATGTGTTGCCATACTGATCGTCCTTCTCGTTGTCCTTCCAGTCTCTCTCCCTCTCCCCCCTCTCTCTCTCGGGTCAGGAGATCCTAGGGGATTTTCCCTAACCCTCCCCCTTCCAGTAATTCGTTCAATAGCGCTCAGTTCATTCCGCCAATGCAGGTTCCTCCTTCTCCTGTCGGTTTGCGTGGCCGGAAACGCTGCCATGCCGTCGTCGTTCGTTGAGAGCACTGGTGACCCGTCTTTGAGGTCCCCTCAGCAGGTCTGTTGTATGGTAGGGAGGCCTGTTGAGGTATGAGGTCCTGAGAGGAGGCGACTTTGAGTGAGTGGAAGTGAGATGTTCAGCCGCTCGTTGAGGCTGTTGTGGTGGAGCACAGTGCGATGGCCTCGAGAGCTCTTCGAAGGACTCCGAACTGTGAGTAGAGGTGTAAGTGAATGCGGCTTTCTGAGCGATCACATCTTACGGCCCTTGATGTGATTCCCAGGAGGATGTTCTTCCACCCTTGCGGCGCTTTCGAGGCCTTGCCAAACCCGACGCAATGTGTCCGCCCGTTGCGCGTCAGTACATGCAGCATTTCGAGCACAATGTTCGAGAGATAAGAAATGTGCACATTTTGCTCCGTGGGTAAATCTGGTATTCGCACACACTCTCTACATTGTGAGAGCGCAAGATGCTAATCCTACAGATACGTAGAGCGGCTCAGCTGGGCTCCCCTTTGTCCATTCGCTAAAGAAAAAGAATTTGGTATCATCTTTGCAGTTTTTCTTCCGACTCCTCCTTGCTGCAGCACTCGCCGGTGCGCATGCTTTCCAAAAAACGCCCCTTCCTCGGCAAAACAGAATACATGGACAAAGGTAGTAGCCGATAAGGTGGCCGCACTACAACGGGAGCTCATAACCCCCGACCCACACTGGAGAATCTTCTTCATCATCAAGTTCGTCAAGGAAATTAGACTCCAGCTTGTGAAGTTGTCGACCTGGTCGTGGTGATGGTGCCTTGATCGATGGCGGCTTGTGCTCGCGCCAGTTCTTGTCTTCCTGCCACACCTTGCTGTTGTTCATCGAATTAGAACGAAGTCGCTGGGGGCTGCCACTGTTCTGGCGCCAGTTCGATGAGCCATCATGCTGCTTGGATTGAGTCTTCGCCTTCTTGTTACCCCATGGGGAAAAGTTGGCAAAGGCGTCGGCGTACTTGGTCTTGGGTGGCGTAGCCACGGCCATGGGAGAAGCGGCAGGCTCCTGCCGAGCGCGTCGCAAAGTTCCCAGGGCAGCCCACTTGTCAAGGATGAATGACGACTTGGTCTTGGTCAATTCGGGCTTGTCGTCAGCAGGAGCACTCTTCATAGGAGTAGCCGAGCGGGCGTTGGCATCCATGTCGACGAGTCCCTGGCGAGGCGTCACACTGCCACGGCCATCGTCCTTGATGTGCTGCAATTGAGGCGTGCCTGGTTTGGCGGTGTCCACGCGCTCAATATCGTTTCCAGCATCCTCCCGGGAGAACGCGTCGCGCGTCTGCTCTTCCTCTTCGTCGTACAAATCGCTCCAGCTCTTAGAGAAGCCATTGGCACCATACGCAGAGGCTTTGACAGACGGACGGGTGAAGCTGATGGGAAGAGACCCAACGAAACCTGGCTTGCTCTTGATGGACGTAGACGCAGACGCCGCCGACTGGAAAGACTTGGTGGACTTGTATGACATGCCCAGGCCAGAGTCCAGTGCGGAAGAGAGCGAGGCAGCGTCGATATCGCCGTACCACTTGGAGTTGACTGATGCAGGAAATAGTTCGCTCTCATCGTCACGAATAGTTGACAATTGACGAGAAGTCTTCTGAGGCGTCTTCAGCAGTGCAGTGGGCCATGGGAACGAGCCTTCGGTACTCATAGCCGGGCTGGTAAGGGATGGCGTGCGAAGCGGCTCACGCGCAGCCGTTGCGACAGGCATGACATCAGAGTGCTCGGTGCAGAAGTCGTCGAGGGACTCATCGTCAATTGTGAAGCTGACCACAGCGGTCAATGCCTCGCGCACTGCTGCCAGAGAGCGGTTGGCCGGATCCAAGGCCAAGGAGTGCACCAACACGTTGTAAGTATCCTGGGACATGTTGGGAAAAACATCGAAGAGGCTCTGTCGATCATGAGCAAAGTCGGCGAACAGAGGGTCCTGCTGAGTTGGCGTCGCGAACGGGTTGCGCTGGAAGATGATGTTGAGCAGCACAATGCCGATGGCCCAGATGTCGGCAGCAGCAGGCGAATAACCGTAACCGTAGACCGAGGCGTCGTACTGTTCCGGAGCCATGTAGCGGTCGGAGCCAACAGCAAACTCAGTGGACCAGGTATCAGTCGTGGCCAAACCAAAGTCGCCCAGCTTCAAAGAGCCAGTGGAGGTCAAAAAGATGTTCTCTGGCTTGATGTCCCGATGATAGACGCCGTGGGAGTGCATATGATCGACAGCGCTAACCAGCTCCAACATGAAGTCACGAACGTGGCCAGTCTCGAGAGGGCCCTTGCCAAGTCGGATTGCCTCGTAGAGATCGCCGTTGTTGCAGAGTTCGAGGACCATGTACTGGTGGTTGCCAGTCTCAAAGTAGTGAAGCAAGTTGACAATGTTGGGGTGCTTTAGCAGCTTCGAGTGGATGGTGAGCTCCTCGGAGCGTTCGTCGGTGGCTAGAGCCGCGGGGCAGGTCGAATGAGTCGCGGTAGCAATGGGCTTGGTGATGCACTTGATGGCGACATCTTCACCGGTGAAGGTATCATTCGCGGCCAGCACCATGCCAAAAGATCCATGGTTGAGGGGAGAGACGGTCATGAACCGCCCATTATCGAGAGATCTTCCTGGTTCAAAGCCATCTCGCATACAGGCCATGGAGTCGTAGTCCGGTGGGGGTTTGAAAAGTGGGATGTCGTTAAGTGGTGTGTTCGTAAAGTAACAAAAGAGAAACGTCTATGCCGCGCCAACAGTTCGTGAACTTTTCGGTAGCAGGCCTCCTCTCAACTCCGGATTCGGTCCAGATCCAAGATAACAATACAGGAAAAGTCGCTCAGGCGCTCGCTTGCTCCAAAGACAAGGTGTTGTAAAGGCAGAGATATGTGCGTATTCAAGGGAATGTAGGGATCGTCACGGTGATCATTTGTACGTCTCTTTTGTGCGAGATTTCGGAGGTGGTGATGGTAGCCCAACACGCACACGCCGTCGTCGTTGCCGCGGTTGCGTCCGTCAAGGAGCAGGAGCAGGAGCAGGAGCAGGTCGTGGAGCAGATGGGTGTCGTTCCGGCGTCAATGGAGCAGAAGAGGTGTCGTTTACAAGTGTAATATCGGGTAATATGTGGTGGAGAAGAGGAATCGTCGAGGTGTGGGTACCGGGTGGTGATGGGGGAGATTACGGTGGTGTATCGAAGTCGAGAAGTAGAAAATGTCGAAGGAGATGTCGAGATGGCGGCGGAGGGGTTGCGTGGAGGTCAGGACAGTGCCGGTGGTTGGAAGTCGAGGCCTCGATCGAGCGTCAGGAGGCTTCAGGGTCCAAAATGGCTTGACGTTCTGCTGTGGCAGGGAGACGGACTCAGCAGTCGGGATCGCGGGGAGTAGTATGTGGTGGTGTCGCGGATGTCCCTGGGAGGCTTGCGAGGCAGAGCAGTGGGATGACGACGTCGGGCTCAGCGGAAGCTCTCAGCTGCTGCGACGGACCCTGTTGCTGCGTGTCACATCAAGCTCCGGGCGCGGGCGGGAGGTTGGCTGGAGTCGAGTGGTGAGTGGTGGGTGATGGTAGGAAGTAGGATGTATGGAGGAAGGGAGGGAGGAATCGAAGGCGGCAGAAGGGAGAAGTGGAAGTGTCGTGTTGGCAGGCAGGCAATGTTGTCTCACTACCGAGTCGTGGCAGTCGCAGTCGGAGTCGTAGTCACCGGGTGACTGCCCGGAATGTGAGGAATGTGGTGGGTGTTCTTCGGAAGGCAGAACCCAGAGACGCCGCCGCAATCGGAAGGAGGGACCAGATCACACGCCGCACCCAAACCAGGCAGGCGCTCGAAGAGGCAGTCGTCGTCGAAGCAAATCAGGAAGGGGCGTGAAGTGTTTCTCGCAGCCCCGGTGGAAAGCGGCAGGCGAGGAGGATATGATGAAGACGGGAGCAGAGCGGATGGTGGAGTCTGGAGGCGGTAAAGAGCTGGCGGAGTGGGTAGGTAGATAGTGGCAGGAGATCGTGAGAGAGGGAGGATGTGTTGGGTGGGATGGGATGCAGGACGCAGACATACGTACAGTAGTAGCAGTAGCGGCGGCAGCCGGGGCGACGCAAGAAGGTTCCAGCATCGCGCCTTGCCCACCTGGGTATTGCTCATTTAGCTCCACGCCAGCGCCGCGTTCGGCCTAGAGACAAAGCTGCAGCCTGTCGCTTCCCGGCGGCGGCAAGAGCGCTGATTGGCCGCTACCATCTCGCGCTGCAGTCTGCGGGTGCAATCGTGCAATCCATTGCCCGACTCGCCCATCGCCACCTCATGATCACCGTGCATCACGTTGCCATGTGCTCATACCGTCAAAGAGAAGCGTAGAGAGTCCTACTACGTGTGGTGTCATTTCATTATCGCCGCCGACGTCTTCCAGCGGTGTGTCTTGTGTGCTCGATGTGAACGCGTAGCCTGGCAGCTGCTGAAACAAACCCCCCACCGCTGCTCTCACTGCTCAGGACAGGATCCTGTCGTGTGGTGTGCTGTGCTGTGCTGTGGTGTGGTGTGCTGTGTGCTTTGCTGTGCTGTTCTGTTCTGTGCGCTGTGCTGTGCTGCTGCGAGACGCCCCCGCCGTTTCATCCGCATCAGGAGCTCTCTCTCTCTCCTTCGTCAGCAGCAGGCGCAGGCGCAGGTGCAGGCGCAGGCGCAGGTGCAGGTGCAGGCCTCGGCGCTTGATCCTGTGCGCCGCCGTCCAGCCAACAGCCCCCCATAACTAAAAATTGAATGAGCATTGACCCGGCCATCCATCAAAGTTCAACCTAAGGAGATGAGAGTGGGACCAACACAGGACAGCGCCAGGACAGCGCCAGGAGGTGCGCACTCCGAACTCGTCATCCCATGCCCATGTGCTCGTGCCCTGGGCTGGGCTTGTCCGACCGTCAATCTGCTGCTAATTACTTGCTCACGGATCATCACAACCCTTCTCACCTGTCCAGTGTCAAGCCCCCTCGTTCATACGAGGCCTCCTGAACGACTGAGCAATTTCACCTCGCTTGACCGTGAGAGTCGAGCGTGGGATGCGGCGAGGTTCGAACGGTTGCCAACTACCGACACGGCTATGACGATGTACATGGCGACAAGGTACGAAAGGTACGCGCCACGGGCCATGCCATGCCATGCCATTCATGTCCCAGCTCTCGTCGAGGATAGAGGGTAGCAGCTGCAGTCCGCACAGCGAATGGCATCCGAAACCCCTCCTCCCACACCTGCAGCGTGCAGCGCAAGCGGCCGCCAGCTCCGGAGAGGGCTGTGAAGGCGTGAGGCTAGGCCTTCTCGGCGGGAGCACGAGGCCAACTGTACCTAACACGCTCGGATACCGTGTCTTCGCTCGCTCTTGTCCGCTTTCCTCTCCGTCTCCAGACGTACGCTGCCCTTGTGACCGAGAGCTGTTAGCACGTGGCCATGGCACGAGGCTGAAGCCAAGAATGATATAGGATGAATGATGAATGATGAATGATGAAACGGCCGACAGCCGCTACGTCTGGATGTCAGTGTGTGGTGCAGCGTCACCGTCACCGTCACCGTCACCAGGCGCCGTGCAAGCGACATGTCGTTGCTTGTGCGAAGAGCTCTGGACAGCGAGTCGCTCTCGTGGACAGCAACACCCTTCAGTCGAAACGATGCGGCACGACGGCACGGCGCGTCGAGAACGAGTTGCGCCGTCCACGCGAGGATCAAATCCCAATCGGTTGCTCCATGTGCTCTCGCTCTCCGATGTGGCGAGACACGCTGACAGCAACCTGTTTCGCGACAGCGGTGAAGACGGGACACCACTCTCATCACCCCATCATGACCCCGATATCAAACCAACGCAGCGACAATTAATACCTGCACCTATGAGCTCGTTCCTCGGTGAAGACTTTTCTTCTTAAGCATATCCATTCCGCAGTAGCGCTGCTGCAGATGCCATGAAAGCAGCATAGGCATATGCAGCTTGTCGCGGCCAGAACTCACGCCCCGGCTGGATCGTGTTCTTCATGCAATGCAATGCCATGCACTATCGATTCTCCGAGGGAGAGAGGGTGTCCTAGGTCGCGACGATCGTTGGCAGTTTGTACTATTGATCGTCTGCAATGCGGTTGAGAGAAGCGCCCGTTGGAGCGGTGAAGGAAGAATTGCGGCGAGTCTGAGGTCCTTCAGTACATCCTTTGTTGTGCTCTGAGCTCTCCAGCACACGATGCCTTCTTGCTGCCAGTAAGATCTCAAGATGGCAATGAAGCAGAAGCAACAAGATCTCTCTCTCTCGTTGTCGCCGTCGCTCCCCAGCTAGAGCAGCTGGCAGCGCTGCCACACAGCGACAGCCTGCGCCACGGCGAGCCCACAACTCGAACGTGAGGGAATGGGGTTCGCAACACGCGCGAGGCATGCCGTCGCTCTTTCCGACCTTTGTACAAAGACAGTGATGTTGAAAAGCAGATGCAAACGCGAGTGAATATTATCATGGCTCCGCGGCTTCACCGCGCTCCGCTCCGCCCCAAGACACTGTGAAGTTCTCTACTGCCAGTGCGGGACTTCTCTTGCCCTGACATTAGCGCACGCCCACTTTCACCTTCATCCATTCGCCAAGACACCTTCCACTCCACTTGCATGTGAATGCCCGGTATGGAAGGGATAAAACTTGTACTCCTCGACATTGGTGTGTTGCGCCGCCATTCGAAGCCTGTGTGAGGTGAGATTGCTGCTGACTGGGACACAGAGGGTACTGTCTGCCCAATCTCCTTCGTCAAGGAAACACTGGTAAGTCTTTCACCGCTCTCCGCGTGTTGCACGTCCGGATGTCCTCTGCTCTCGTCGCGTCCGCCGCTGACACTGCTCTCACCGTAGTTCCCGTACGCCATCAAAGCACTTCCCGACTGCCTTGCCCGGAAGTGGGAGGATGCAGACTTCCAGCCTTACCGCGATGCTTTCCCAGAGGAGTACCGACATGACCCAGACGCACTGCAGGCGCACGTCGAAGATCTAACCAAGCGGGACGTGAAGATCGCCTATCTCAAGAATCTCCAAGGATATCTCTGGGAGGACGGCTACAAAACAGGCGCCTACTCGACTACGCTCTTCTCGGACGTCGTTCCCGCACTGCGACAGTGGAAAGACGACGGCTATGCGCTGGCAATCTATTCCTCCGGCAGTGTCTTCGCCCAGAAGCTGCTCTTCGGACATGTCTCCCAACAAGCCACCGATGCGGCGTCTAGGAAACGTGGTCGCCCGGATGACGAAGCCGAAGATCAGGCGACGGATGGCGCTGCACCGCCGCCTCCGAGCAAGAAGGTCGTCACGGAAGACGGTGAGACTGCCGCGGTGGATCCTGAGGCATCAAATGGGAACGACCACGACGTCAACTTCTCAGCCGAAGAAGCGCCTACCAGTAACGACGCTGCTCACGAAGCCCCTGAGCCCACTTCCGAGGCGTCAGCTACGCCGACCAGTGGCGGTCACGACGATGACGAGGCTGGTAATCAAGCTGCGGACTTGACTGGTCTTTTCCAGGATTGGTTTGATACAACGAATGCTGGGTTGAAGACTGAGTCGGACAGCTACACCACGATTGCCGCCGCGCTGAAGGTACGAGTTTCGAAGCAGCCCAACACATTTGTTCACTGACTTTCGCGTCGATAGCTTGAACCTCAGGAGATACTGTTCCTCAGTGACAATGTTAAGGAGGTCAAAGCAGCGCTTGATGCGAAGATGCATGCCATTCTTGTTGATCGCCCCGGAAACGCGCCTCTCTCAGAACAAGACAAGAAAGCATATGAGGTCGTGGACTCTCTCGACAAAATCAAGCTGACCAAGTAGCCCGTCGCGCCTAGCATTGCCTGCCATTGAAGCGGGCGTGGAAGACCTGCATAGCGCTTCAATAGAATGCATTCGGCTAAACAGTCAGCGAGATCATCACGCTGGACACTGGCTCCGTCTCCAGTTGCGTGTGCGGCATTCCCCGATTTGTTAAGTTTGCTCGTCTACCCGATGATAGATCACATACGATCGACCGAATCTCGCCTCGTCTATCTGAATGATCAGCCGCCATTCCTTTCAGTCCCCTACCGTGGCGCTCGCCCTACGGAATCGACTGGTACGCCGTTCATATCCGAACCATCGGGCGCATCGAATTCATCCAACGTCAGTGAAGCCTTTCCAGAAGCTTTTCATTGTTGAACTTTTCTCCTCCACCTTGATTGGTCGAGAAGTTGCATGTTCAGCTGCCCTAGTCAGCCTGTGCGCCCGTACAACCATCTGCATCAACTCCTCAGAAGACTCACATTTTGAACATTCTCCAGGCGCACGCCTCGAAAATCAACAGCCCGGTAAAATGGTCATTGGCGACTCAGTCCAGGAGAGCTGAAAAGTGGCCCGAGAGCGTTTGTCGATTTGTGCTACGGGGTTCCGACTCGTCACATTGAACATGGCTTTGTTTGATCGACCTATATATCATTCACGACAGTCCACTGCTTCCAACCAAGAGAATCCTTCTTCAACGTTTATTTCTGCATCTCCCACGACATGACAGCTCCGCTAGGAACTTATGCCCTTCCCTGCGAATTGAATCTCCTCATGGCAGCAATCGTCCACGAACGACCATCACATCCACCAGAAGAAACAGCGTCGACTCCTCCTCCATCCGAGACGGGGGATATGGCTGATCCACCAAGCTACGACGAGGTCATGGAGGAGGTAATCGCAAATCCCCCTCTCCCAGCTTTTTCAAAAAGTCCACATCACGTCCAAAGAAAGCCAAACTAACAATCCTTCCTCCGCACGACGAACAGACAACCATCATCTCCCCCCTCGCCATCCAACACTACAACCCCTCCCACCCCCTCACCCCAGGCCTCCTGTCCGCCACCAAACTCCTCTCCTCCACCCCGGACCTCATCCGCTTCACCCCTTCCACCACATACCCGGAAATCCTCCACCTCATGCATCGCCGTTTCCAAGCCCGCTCGGGTACCCTTGCCCCGACCAAGACGATGGGCTTCTACTGCCGGATTGCGCTGGATCTGGGCTCGGATAGGATTTTGCTGGAGGAGGAAAGTTGGGAGTCTGCAAGGGCTATTTTACAGGCTGGAGGAGAAGGGGGAGGATGGGGTGGAGGGCCGAGGTTGGTGTTTATGTTTGCGCTCGCGGAGAGGGGATGGCAAGGGAGGAGGAGAAGGAGAGGCAGGAGGTGGAGGTTTTGGAAAGGTGGGAAGCAGGGGAAGGCGAAGGTGGGGGTTTGTTTGATTGAGCCGGTGTTACTCGGAGGAGGTGGAGAGGGAGCAGGAGGGAGTTGTTGACCGGTTGCTGTTCTGTCTTGCTATCACTACCTAAAGATTCCCCCCCGGATCTGTTCCAGCAGAATTATTGATGGTATTGATCTCCAAAGGATTCGCATACATCCAATTCCGGCGCAGTGGTCGTTTCGTCCGTCGGTATAGCAACGTAGGGAGCACGAGAGATTTTGAGTTGGGCAAAACGCCAAGCTTCATCACATGCATGCGAAAAAAACAAGCACCCTCCCCCGCGCTTCTCCCTCCTCGTTATCGAGTATAACTCTTCCCTAGAAACTTCCAGCCAGCTTTTCCCACAATCACGTCTGCGTATTAAGCACACCAGACAACACCTAAACGCACCCAACACCGACTGAAAACATTCCTTCTCCTTCTCCTTCTCCTTCTTACTGGCATCCTGCTCCAGCGGTCGGTGCCAAGCCCTCTCTCAGCTCATGCCTCTTCGTCGGATCCGGATCCTCCAGCAGAGCACGAACAGCTCCCCAACTCCCACCATCGACCTTGATGCGCTGAAGATCAAGATCGTGCGTGACGCGCAAGACGACCTTTTTCTTTTCCGAGATTTGGGTCGATAAAAGGGTTTTTGGGTTCCAATAGAAGGAGGCGAATTTGTAGAGGCGCAATTTCGAGTACGATTGGACTATGGATATTTCTTTCTGTTGGCCTGAGAACGAGTCTATGGTGTGGCCGAATAACAATACTTATACCGTGGGCTGATGAATAACATCTTCATGAGCCGTGGGGGGCGGCTGTCCACCGAACGAACGCGTCGATCACGGCGTCTATATCCGCAGTAACCGTAGTATCGCGAAGCCCATCCAGAGAAGCAGATGCCGACCATGGAGAATTTGTTGTTATTCGTCGTACGAGCAAGTCGCGTCGAAATTTCAAGTCGCATTCACGAAAGTGAACGAAGCCAGTCAGCATCATCACATGTTCAAACCTTAACCTTCCAACGCGCCGTGAATGTCGCGCCCATCTCTCTCTTCTCACGACCTTCAAAAAAAGACATGTGACTCCCTCATTCCCTAACGCCCCCCGCGCTCCCGATCGCGAAAATGGAAGACCACGAGCGCCCACCCAGCTACGCCCGGAGCGTCGAATGGCCCACCGTAAGTAACCGACCTTCCCCACCGAGTCCGATACCTACTAAACGCCTTGCAGCCCATCATTCTCAAAATCTACCGCCTCAAATCGATCTCCCCTCCCTCGAGCTCCATCTGCAAGATCGGCCGGCATGCCGAGACGCTCAAAGAAGCCATCCTGCTTTCTCCCTCTGTGACATGGGAAGATTTCGGTTCCGACCAGGTCGGCCACGCCGCTGATCTCTTCCAGTGGCATGAGAAATTCGACGTCGATACTACGCTGGCGTGGTCTGTCATTGTGCGGGGAGAGCGCAAGAGGGATAAGATCGTCCATGAGGATAATTGGGAGCAAGTGAAGAAGTTGATGATTGCTTCGCGGGAGGAGCTCGTCATGACGAAGAAGCCGGAACTCATTCTGGTCGTGGGGCCGGTGTTGAAGGAGGAAAGCCTGGTGAAGAAGGCTTGGCTGAAAGGTTTGGACGTGAAGAGGAAGGTCTTTGGGTACCCGTGGGCTTGAGCGGTTGATGTTTGCGCCATGAGGACCGTCAGGTTGTTCGTCGAATCGTACCTTAGCCTGACAGTCATATGTCATTTGAATGCGCGACGACAGGCGTGAGAGCATGCTCATCTGGAAGCAGGACGAATACCGCGCCCGAAAAGGGAAGACGTGTCAGATCTGCGAATGACATTGTGAGCTTCAACGTCCTAAATGAATCGAAAGTTGGACGTTTGGATATCGGTTCGTTTTGTGCCTGCAAGTCCTCGGTTGAGACAGCGTATATACCCAGTCCTGAACTTACAGCATCCATGCAGCTCGTTCCATGCGTTCCCATCAACATGGTTTTTTTGTCCCGGCCCATAGCGGCCACGTCTCCCGGAGCGCCGCGTCTGAAGGCTCCCGTACTGTACAGTCTCCACATCACAATCTAGAACAACCAGACGTATGCGAAAAGTAGAACGATGAAGACAAAGAAGCCAAGCCAGATCCGCCAGCCAACGCCCGTCTTCTCGGCCATGCGGAGCATGCGGTTCATCGTGCCTCGTAGTCGGTTGCGCGTACCCTCGAAGCCTTCGTTCATCTTCTCGGCCAGTGCTGTACTATCTCGGATCTCGTCGCCAATGGCCATGGTCAACTAGACAGTCCGGTCAGCATAGATCGGACGGAAAGCATGAAGAGAGGCAGTCTTACATCCTTCAGCATCTTCACTTTCTTGCTCATCTCGCTCGCCTGATCGTCATTCTGACTCTCCAGCTCATCTAAGACAGCGTTACTGTATGCGCCTTTCTTATTCGGCGTCGCAGGTCTGAAGCCCGAGTCTCCGCTCCTTCCTCCTGCGATATCCCCATTGCTTCCCGGATATGCGCTAAAGGCACCACCGCCGGATCCATATGCGCTCAGATGTGACGATGAATCATTTGCGCCAAGGCCGTAGGGTGAACCGCTTTGAGGAGCGTTTCGCGAGGAGGAGCGCAGAGGATTAGGAGAGTTGGCGTTGGATGAGGGACGCGAACGGGTCTGAGCGTCGTAGCTTGAGAAGAGCGCATTACGCGCGTCATTTTGACGGAATCTACATGCGCGTCAGTTCTCCCAGCTTAGATTACGGTGTAATGCTCGCGCCGAAAGAACATACCTTGAAGCCATTGCCGGAAGTTGTCGAAAGTTGAAGACCCGCTTTGGGAGAGGTTGTGCTGAGTCAGGTGTCGAGGGGCGTTCCTAGCGGTTATGCCAAGTGACGGTTCCTTTGTGAAGATGTCAACTCCTCTGCTTCACGCGCGGCAATGTTGAGTACGGCGCCTCTTGTCAGAAGTCATATTCACAGGAAGAATAGGCAGGGAAGACTGCCCCTAATCTGTTTGGAACGAACAGCTGGAGGTAGTAAGGTAGGAAAGCAGGACGCAGGAGGGCAACGCTAGCGGAGCGGAGTCTCCCGAGACCGACGACATGTGACCTTCCTCCACAAGGATAAGACTTCAACCTCTCTGCACTCCATCCCCTCTGCACATCATCCCCTCAAAGCCGCGACGATATCATCGAACTAACTCTTCCACCCGCCGTTACACCATGAGAATTCATCCTCTGCTCGCCCAGGCCTCCCCGTTTTCCCATGCGATTCGAACCTCTTCTGCGGATCATGCAGATACGCCCATCTCTGGGTTGTCGGATCGCTCCATTGGTTTGGCGACGCCACAGAATGCTCTCCGCGGACCTCTGCTTCCATCAAGCCGGCTCGAGCTTCCTGCTGTGGCTTGTCGGCCACATGAAGTGTATACATGTGTCGATAGCTAGCCTCTTGCATCGTCGTGGCCCGTGGTACATGTACGGATTCCCACGTCGCGATGGCGTCTGGGAGCTGAGAAGATGACTGGATCAACCGCAGCGCTTGAGCGAGTCCATACGCATCTTCGATTGTGCCGGCAGCCATGGTTGGTAACATGGAGTGTGCTGCCTCCCCGAGCATGATCATCTTCTTGCTGGACTTGGATCAGCTATGAAGATGCCGTATGTCTTGGACTGGCCATTTCGATGTCCTCTTTACCATCTCCAGGATCTCGAATAGTCTGTTTCGGAGCGAGTCAGTTCATGACGACTGCATCACGCACTGAAAATTCCTTACGTTGGATCCCGTCCTTCGCAGTACGATCGCATGATCTCGAGTGACTGTTTCCACCAAAGACTTTCCGGCTCCACGGACTTTGCTTTGAGACCCTCTTCCATCCCCCATCTGTGCATTATTGTGAGGGAACTTCGGGGGTACTTGGATCCCGACCCAAGCTGTCGTTCTGCTCAGCGAACATCGCAAGGACGTCGATTACATCAATCTAGGATCATACCTCACTGGGCGCCGGAGCATCTTCGTAAACATCAACTTCACGTCCGTCGCGGCGCAACGCTACAGCGGTCGCTAGTCCGCCAACACCTGCTTCGACGACGGCTCTCTTCAATCGAACGAGTGCTTCAGTAGGAGGCTCGTACGAGTCCCGTCTTTCGTCTCTTTGGCGCTCGTCTGCCTGTTGGACGTATGTCCAGGCGCTAGTTGGAAAGGGAACAGGCTAACGTAACTTCTTGTCAGTCTCCCGTAATCTTTTCAAGTCTCATATAGACATACTGTGGTAGGGCAGTGGATCGAGGCATGATGGCCGACTATGCGCTGTTGTTGTGGGTCAAGTGTCAACAAACTGAGAGCATCACAAGAACGCAAGAACACTTTGACTACTATACACACATGCATAGCGGTAAAGGGCTGAACAAAATCATCTTCCAAACCTCGATCCAGGACAGGCCAAGTCACAGCAAGCTATGCTGCGCGAAATTTTCTGGATCGACCGAAGAGGAGTGGTATGGAAGCAGGTGTGCTCTCCGAATGATACTACCCTTCGCTGCTCTTCCTTCTCTTTACCCTCTCACTGATTCTTCGCCCGGTGTCCTTCGTCCGTTCACTCGGATCACTCCTCCCATTCCACTCTGCATCTGGACTGCTCCGTTGCTTTCTCTTCTTCCCGATGAGCCCCTTTGGAAACGGATCGGGTGGCTGCTCGTTATCTGCTTGCTCTTGTTCCGCGTGTCTGAGCATAGCAGTGAGGTCGTCGAACGGAATTCGAACCAATGCAGCATCTCGCTGCGAATCGTGAAGGAAGTTGAGCGATGTGGGATCTTCTTCGTCCAAAACTGCTGGTGGCATGAAATCCTTTACTAGGAGAACCAAATTGCCTGAGAGAGATTCCCCTGAAGTGTCCTGGAAGGGAATTTCGTCCCGGTCACATCTCATATCGGCCAGTCTATCTTCATCGACGAAGGCGCGCCAGATTGAGAGGTAGGCGCAATGGTCTTTCTCCTTGCTTGGCTCTGTCTTTGTGGATCCTTCTTCCGGCGTCTCGTATGGCAGCTTGAAGCCAACAACGGTGCGAACGTAGTTGTGGCTTGCTATAATAAAGGACTCGGCTACTTTGCGCAAGTCTTTTTGTGACTGCGAACGAGCCACTTCGACAATCAGTGGAGGAAACTTCTTTCGCTTGGTGTGCGAAAAGGCGACGTCGGGCTCCTTCGAGGGTGGAGGTGGTGACTCGGAAGATGTAGGCTCATCTTCAGAGATCGAAAGCTCGTGCTTGTCTCTCTGCTGTTCTGCGCAGACGCTCCCGCTCCTTTGCGCACCACTGGGATCCTTTTGCAAGGTCTGTGGATCTTGAGCGAACCTGAACTTGATCCTGGCGCTTCCGGCCTCGCGTATTCCGTCAAGCAGTAGGGCAGCTTTCTTGTTCTTAGGGTCTTTCTTCCACTGCTTAGCGACCTGTGCAATCTGCTCCTTCACCCGCTCTCTTACTTCGATAATGAACCTGTCATGGATAGTACTAGGCATGCGCACCACGAATTCGCCCTCCTCTGTGTCCTGTTCTGAGTCCTCTTCTGCGTCCTCCTCGATGTCCCAGTCCCAGCGCAATTTGGAAGAGCACCAGCTGTGGAAGTCGTCTTTTCGGTCGCAATCCGCACGCGGTGCAAGGAACTCGCGATGCAGCTGTGCAAATTCGGTCGCGGTCAGCTGGAATGGGATCCAGAGATCTTGATACTTGCGCCCGGAATGTATGTCGCGCAGTGATCGGATTAGTCTCTCGATACGCGGCGTGCGCTGTGATGTAGCTGTCGCGGTGGACTCGGTGTAGGGCGGGGGCGCGGGCAGCTCGAATGACGACGGCGGCGATGGAGGCAGCGGATTGAAGACGTTCCCGGCGCTCTGCTGCTTCTGCGATAGCGAAGATGACATGTGTGCACGTTGATGGGTGTAAGCGACGCGGTAATGGAGTGTCCCGATATTAGTATCGAGATACTCGAAGCCCGAGGTTCCGAGAACGAAGTCGAAGAAGCGCGGGAGGAACCGCGACCTAGAAACTTAGGGTAAAGACGGATGTACCCGTAATGTAACTGAAGCTCCAGAATAGAAGATAGTAATAGACTAGGAATATAACTTAGAGCTAAAAAAGAATATTATTAACCCTACTTACTATAGAATATTTAGAAAAGAAATAGTCGTAACGTAACTTCCAAATAAGTACTATATCCTTCTACTAAAGAGTAGTCTACTTAGTATAAACTATTACCTAAATACTAACTAAAAGATATTAGTATATTAAGTAAGTATAAGAGATACTCTAGTACGTACGTTTAAAGTATTTAACTAGAATAGATTTAGTAGCCTTCTAAAGCAAATTAATTGTACTACGTTAATATTATATATTATTATCTATAACTTCTTAAGTAATCTCTCTTATAAGATATAAGAATAGAAGTCTCGGAATTAGAATGACACCGTCATTATGTGGCTGAAGCTCATAGATCTGCTGTGCTCCAATGTGAGGCGCGAGATTTTCGACTCGGTCCACCCGATAGAACAGGTAACATTCAGTAAGGTCGGCAGGTCTTGCGGTCAGCCCTCGCGACCGCAGACAGATCGCCGCCTTCTGAGTGGGAAGGCTTCTTGCGTGGAGGATGAGATTGGAGCAACTCTGCCGTCATGATGCCGTGCTTTTCATGTCCCATGTTGCAGGTCTGGGTCGATGGGATGCGCCGGGATCATGGCCTCACCACATCTTGCACGGCATGAGGTGCAGGTTGGAAACGTGAGGTCGACACACTCGTCGTTCTCCTTGCTTGTTCTAGCTAGCGCCATCTAAGCTCTTTCCTTGTTGCCTCAGGCATATGTGCCAAGATTTCTGCTTACCCTGCAAACCCGAACTTTTTTGAGTTGAATCGCGTTCGCCCTTCCATCCAACATTTTCCCCATTCGCCACACTTTTACGGCCTCCTTGCACCAGAAAGACTTCGTAGCCAGCTGGAGTCGCACTTGGGAGCATCTTCCTCGAAATGGCGTCCGACGAAATCGTGTGGCAGATCATTAACCAGCAATTCTGCTCCTTCAAGCTCAAACTGCCCGGCAACGACAGACATCAGAAGTCCTCCAAGAGCACCTTCTGCCGCAACGAACACAACGTCACAGGCCTCTGTAATCGACAATCATGTCCTCTCGCAAATTCTCGCTATGCTACCATACGCGCCGACCCGACGAATCAGCGTCTATACCTGTACATCAAAACCGTCGAAAGAGCGCACATGCCGAACAAATGGTGGGAAAAGATACGGCTGAGCAGTAATTACACGAAAGCGCTACAGCAGGTGGATGAGAGGTTGATCTACTGGCCGAAGTTTCTGTTACATAAGTGCAAGCAAAGACTTACGCGATTGACGCAAGTCAGGGTACGAGCGCAGAAGTTGGCAAAGGAGGAGGAGAGACTGGGCGAGCGGACGGTGAGCAAACTTGCGCCGAAAGTCAGAAGGCGAGAAGAGACCAGAGAGCGAAAAGCAGAGTCTGCAGCAAAGATTGAGAGGGCGATTGAGCGGGAGCTGGTGGAGAGATTACGCAGCGGCGCGTATGGAGATCGGCCGCTGAATGTTCAGGAGGATGTGTGGAAGAAGGTCATGCGTGGATTGGAACGTAGTCAGGAAGGTGTACGGGACGAGGATTTGGATGCGGGTATTGAAGAGGAAGAAGAGGAGTATGAGAAGGAATATGAGCGAGAGCCTGAGGAGCAGGACGTCGAGTACGTGAGCGATATGGAAGAATCAGACGACGAAGATGACATGGAGGACTTCGACGACTGGCTAGGTGGAGAGAGCGCGGAGGAAGAAGAGGCAGGTGCTAGCGGGAGCGGCGAAGATGAGGAAGACGATGAGAGCGGCGAGGAAGGTGAAGACGCAGCAGCTCTCAAGAAGAAACTGGATGGCCTGAAGCGGAAACGATCGAGTGCACCACCGTCCAAGCCCCGCAAGAAGCCTTCCAAGGGACCCAAGACAAACATCGAATACGAATATGTGCAAGAGCCTGCTCAGCGCGAGATGGCATTGGCAAAATGAAGAGCTCTCTTCTACTTTGCAAGTATTGCATGCTCCATTCCGGTTTAGCGAAGGCGTTACTCGAGAAAATGAAGGCATCGTCAACTGCTGAGAGAGCAGTGTAGCGGAGAATCATTGCATGGCTAGAACAATGCCAATCCAAACTTTTCGTCCTCGATTTTGTCATTTTGTACATTCTATCTTACATCCTTCGCCATGTCTAGCAGAGGTTAAATCGTCCAACGCTAGGATCATGATCGCTTGCCTGGTCATCATACGCGACCCAGAAGTTGACGTGAATATGCTCATATCCCGATGTTCAACCTGTCGCTCACATAAGAGAGATCAAGCTCCTCCGAATTGGCACCGAAAAGGTAAGTATACTGCTCACTCGTCGGAATGCCAACGACATCGCCCAAGCTTCGCAGCCCAGAGGCGCGTAGGAAAGTCTCAGAAAGCGGCTCGATGCATTGGAATTCGTTGAAACATCTGCCCATGACGGCTACATTGCAGTCGAACTTCAGAACTTGAGACGCGATCTCGTTCGGCGGATTGGTAAGAGGGACATCTTGGCTCTTCATGCCGCAAGCGAACATGTGCATGATCTCGCGCTAGTGACTGGATTACCATTGTGTAGGTACGGCGGACAGACGCAGGGCCGATGCGCTTGTTGAAGTTGATGTGCCTTGCTGCGAACATATTCGCTCTAGATTCCGCTGCTCTCTGCTGATGTAAAAGTCCATCTTCTGGAGCGTGGGCGTTCATTCCTGAGATCTTCAAATGTGCGGAAGCTGCCACGCCGTTATGGAGCCGCTCTTGAGCATTCAATGGATTGTCTGCGAGCCAGCACGCGTGACATAGAGAAAGCCAGGGGAGTGCTCGATCTCAGCAGTACCGGATGGCCTTGCCTACCTCATCCTCGGTGGGAGCCGTAAGACTACCTGGCCTCACCTCTTCTGACCATCTCGCCAGTGAACGTGGAAGAGAGCCGTCATTAATCGCATCACATTTAGTGGTTGTGTGGTGTTCTCCGACCTTCCAGCGCAGACGCGTTCCATTCCTGGAGCCGCCAATATCCTTATGCGTTTGCATTCCGAGCTCTTTCTCTGCGCTTCAGCCTAGCTCTTCTTCGCCCACATTTTCTACGAGTAGACTTTGTCGCAGGAATGGGATAGGTCCACGTTCGCGGGCGACTAGAGGCCACTCGATGTGCAATCCTGTACAGCACAGTGATGAAATGGGGCTGAAAGCTCAGCAGAGCTGCCACAGCTCCCACTTCTGGCAAATGCCTGTGTACAGGGCGGTCGCGAGGGCGGCACTCATTTTCAATTGTTGTGTCAATCCCAGGTTCCCACTCCACGCTCTTGCTGCTCCTTCGTTCGCCTTTTGTCAAGCTCCGACTCACTCGGCGAACGCGATTTCGTAAACTCGTGTCGCACGCGAGTCTCAGGGCCAGCCGCGGCAGGCAAACTCTGCGGACGCATGAGAGTTAGGGCGACTATGTCGATGTATGATATGTTACAAGGTCTTCTCCAACACCCAGCAATAGCTGAGAACTGATGAAAAATGTAAAAGGGTAGCCAGCAAAAATTACGCCGTCGACGACCCCGAAGGATAGCCACTGAAGCTCGTCTCCGCGCTGTGCAATGCAGGACGAGCCCCAGCCCTCACCGATTCGCGAGCTGGTTTGGGACAACAAGGCTAGAGAAAGGTTAGCGACTGTGGAAAGTGTAGGGTGGGGTTGGGGTGGACTTACTAAGTATGAAGAAGAAAGAAAGATGGAGTTCGAGGAGGAAAGCTCGAAGGTCAATGTTCCTGTGGATGGTCCGTGCGGCGGGCTGGACCGCGCTGCGGACTAGCCCGCTGTAAGCACGTGACTCATGACTCGCGTCGCTTCTCAAAAGTTACGTCGTGATGCAGTATGATGAGAGGTACGGAACGTCGAGACTTCACACGCGTTCAGCAACAGCTCCACCTACTGCAAGCGATCATGGCGAAGAAATCAGTAGCGCCCAACAACGTTCCGAATACCGAACCCATCGATGATCTCCCAGCAGAGTCCCACACCGACCCAGAAGATGCCGAAGCAGAAGAAGAATTCCACACAGATCCCGAAGACGCGGAGCGGGAAGACCAGATAGTGGAATACCATACCGACCCCGAAGACGCCGACGAAGACGAATCATCCGGCTCCAACCCGCCTCTCCTCTCCGCCGAATTGCTCAAATCTCAACCTTCAGAAGCACCGACTACAGTAAAAGTTCCGTGGGATAAGCTCACGCGCAGGCAACGGAAAGTCCTGCGGGATGAAAGAGGGATTTCGATGCAGGAGCTGCGGGCGGAGGCGCTCAAGAATGGTGTGCTCGAAGCTGGAATTGCTGCGCAAGTCAAGAGAGGCGTGAGACCGGCGGATAAAGTCGCGGGTGCTAGAGTCAGCAAGACGAGGAGGAGTAAGAGGCACGAGAAGAAGAGGCGGACGAGAAAGCCTGAGATGTCGGGGAAACAGCAGATATTGGAAAGTAGAAAGAAGCAGAGTGGGAGAGGAAGCGTGAAGAGAAAGGGTTGAGCAATGGAGGCTTTCAAAGCTCGATTACATGAGGCCAATATTGGGGTATCTGCATCTCTACACTGTCCAGGTTGCACATGTGTCTTCGACGCGGATCTTCAAAAGTCCAACATCAAACCAGCAGCAACCTTCTCGAGATCCTCCAGATCCAACCACCCAGCCTCCATCTCGCTCACCTCGCCTCGCTCGGCTGCCTGCCGCTTCTCCAGCTGCGCCCGCGCAATCGCTTCCCGCACGAATACTTCGATGTACTTCTGAAAGACTTGGATCGCATGCTTGTCGATCTTGGTGTTCTTATCGGCGAAGCTCTCGTGCAAGAGGCGAAGGAGAAGGGGTTGCGGTATGCCAGGAATGTCGTCGGACTGTGTGAGCATGGGAGGTGCTCCAGCGCCAACAGAGTCGGGAGGATCGTTGCGATGCTCAGAGGATACTGACATGGGGGAGTCTTCGCGAGTGGTAGTCTTTTGGCGCGCTAGATCCCGCTTCGTCACGGTCTTTGCTTTGGAGCTTGTCGGGCCATCGTCATCATCGTCTTCGCTCTCGCTGTCTCGCACCTCTGTACCATATTAGAATCCGCCATAGCTCGAACACCAATTTCATGCCTCACCATCTCCCTCACTATCACTCAGCTCAATTCTCGCTATGACTTTGCCGCTTGTTGTCTTCGTTGCCTTCTTGGTGCCAGTAGCAGCAGTAGACTTCACCGAACTTTCCGATTCGGTCGTAGGGATTCGCGGTACTTTGGACGGTCGGAGAGGTTTGAAAGCAGGTACTTTGCGCTTCGAGGATGGATATATCACCTGCTCCTTGGGTTCTTTGCGCGGCGGCATCGTCGCTCTACGTGTGCGCTAGAATCTGGTCTCTTGAGTTGATGTCTTTCGCGTCGCTCGCTGGAAGTCGCGACGCGGGGCGAAAGTTGAAAACGCGGACGAACGCGTAGGCACGTGTTCGATTCTCACAAGATTCACCTGCAGAGAAGGCATTATTCGATTGCACGAGATGGCAACGGAGAGATATGATTATCAGCTCCATGCTGTCGTTTCACATGCCCATGTACATCAAGCCATTACCGCCACGTTCATATATATACATATGCATTATGCACATCTAAATATCCTCCACATTCGCCTGACTGACCGTCCACAAGCCACTCAGAGTATTATTCGTAACATTCGTCTGTCGAATCTGGCCACCCTTCAAGCTTCCGCTCTCAGCAATACCGCCCGCAATGGGGCGTTGCAGCATATTCGCGCCACTCTTGACCGTGAAATTGGCGAGTGGGATTTCGAGAGGGTTGCGGGTGACGATGGTGGGCATGCCGAAGAAGGAAGCGTTGACTTCCTGGTACGAGATCTGCAGTTCAAAGTACCCGCGGTAGTACAGGTCGTTCCAGTGTAGCTCTGGGTTGTGCGCCTCCAGCCAGTCGGAGTAGTTGTTCGCGGAGCGCAGCGTGATGTTCTGGCCGTAGGGGCAAGGCGATGAGACGGCGGAGCCGGCAAATTCCACGCCAAGGGAGCCGGCACCGGTACTTTCGGAGTAGTTGGCGTGGTCGAGCCAGACCAGATCGCTGACCCACGAGGCATGCGAGTCTCCCGAGACGACAATGTTGTTGCCAATGTTGCTCTGCATCAGGTAGTTGAGCGTGCGATTGCGGTTGGCCTGGTAGCCATCCCAAGCATCGTAGTCCAGCGGGTTGACGTTTCCGTAGACGACGGATTCGTTGACTTTGGAAAACACCGTCTGGGATCCGATGATCCTCCAGCGAGCACCGCGGTTGGCGGATTCGCCGAGCTGGTTGTAGAACCAGTTCTCCTGACGGCTTCCCATTAGGGAACGGCCGGCATCGTTGGAGATCTGGTGAATGTAGTCAGTGTTCCAGTACCTAACGGAGCCGTCAGTCAGTCAATCTTCAGAGTGATAGGATGCTGCAAGTGGCTTACAGATCCGTAATGGAGCGATCATATTGACGGGTGTCAAGCATGATGAGATCAAAGAGTGAACCAATCTGAAAGCTACGCCATATGCGCAAGTTGTCGTCCATTTCGACTTGTCGAATAGGCATCCATTCAAAGTACGCACGAACTGCGTTCATCTTACGCTGATCGACAGAGACACCACCGTCGGTAACGAAGGAGGCCTCGGTGTTGTTGAGTTCTGATGCACCATCGCGGTAAGTGTTATCCGAGACCTCATGATCATCCCAAACCGGAATCCAGGGATATGTCTGATGGGACAGCAGCAGGTCCAGATCAGTGCGGTAGGTTGCGATCCTCTCGCGGTAGTCGTAGAGCGTGTAGATCTCTCCGCTCTTCACTGGTTTCGGGACGCGGTCGATGGAGTATCCATATCCGTAGTCTCCATTGCCCGCGTACTCGTAGATGTAATCGCCCAGGAAAACTACGAAGTCAACGCTGTTCTTACGAGCCGGGTTGCCGAAAGCGTTGAAGAATCCGAACGGGAAGTTGCTGCAGGAATAAATGGCAAGTCCCACCTGAGCAACGTAGTCGTTTGGAGCTGGAGTCGTCTTGGTGCGGCCGAGAGGGCTTGTCTTGTTGGAGTTGCAGATGTTGAACTGGTAGTAATACCGAGTCCAGGCGGTCAGATTGGTAGCCTCAACCTTGACCGTATAATCGATGTCACTGGATGTATACGCGGTGCCGCAGCTCTCGACCTCTTTGAAATCTGGGGTACGGGCAACCTTGAATTGGACACAAACGGGAGCAGTAGAGACCGTCTGATTAGGTCCATGGTTGTAAAGAGGGACGTATCCGCTCACCGTCGCATTGTCGTTGACACTGTCCGTCATCGGAGCGACTCTAGTCCAGAGGATAATCGAGTGCGGGTACGGGTCTCCGGAAGCAACGCCATGGGTGAAGTTGAGCTGCGCGGCTGTGAAAGCCTTCTCTGGCGTGTTTCTCTTGTTGACCTTGTGCAGAGATATTCCAAGAGCCGGATGGTGCTCCGAAGGCGAGCGATAGTTCAAGTTCTTGGTCCAGCTCGCCGAAGCGAGGACTGAGCAAGACAGCAAAGAAACGAGAGAGAACTTCATCTCGACGATGCTGTGGCAACGACAGAGATCTCGAGAGTGGAGGGACTGGGGACTGGGGACCTGGGGACCTTATCACGATCGTACAGGATCATCGCAGCTCCATCCCGCCAGGAACAAGCGGAAGATACGTCTCAAGCCGGTGTTACAGACATTCAACCACGCGAGAGCCGCGTTTCGTGGGGCCGCAGCCAATCACGCCAGGCATATTAGACATGTTTTCTGAGCTTATGAGGATGGCTGTCCGAATCTGGTGAAAGCGAATTGGAGGGTCAGCGCGGAGGTCGGCGATTGCACGTGGCGGATGTCGGTAGTCTGGTTGGTTTACAACACACAACACCTCACTCACATATGCCGGAGTCCAGAGCCTATCTGGGCAAGCACTCGAGACGGCAAAAGGTCGCGTGACGCCAGCTCATTGCGTGTCCCTTGTCCACATAGCGCGGATGCTCACATTCATCACACTCACCTTCCCAATTTGACCACGCCTTCAACCCGGAATGCAGGCAGTGAACCACCACAACCCGTAAGGACACCGAAATGCTGGCTTGCATACTGCAGTTTCAATATTGTACTGTACAATCAGTCTTCATTAGAATTAAAATCGGTAAAGTTACCTCCGGCTCTCAACGCCCAGCATACCCGTGCCTTTGCCGTGTAAAGATTCCCCTATACTGTCTGCAAGACCTTTGAGGCCTGAGCTTTTTGTTCGTTTCCGAGAGCTTTGCCGTGCTGTTTGCTGCGCTCTCATCTCTTCCGCACTTTCTTCCGTCAGGACATTGATGCCTCCAGCAGATGGATCATCGAGCACTTGCTGCCGCGACCCGATTGCTTGGTGAGCAGCTTTGCCCGTGGGGATTTTGGGCCCCACCACCGTCCGCGAAGCACGAGCTGTCGATGACGCTTGAGCGACATCTTTTCCATACGGCTCCTCATTCAGCTCGGCGCTCTCTTTTCGCGACGATCCCGTCACCGCAGCCGTGTCTTCATCCACCTTCTTTTGCGCCGCAATTCGTGCTCGTTCGTAACGCGCGCTCACATCACCGCCAGTCCACTTGGTCCCCAGCAGCGTATCCCAGAAGGTGAAGAATGGTTGCGAGAAGTTCGTCTTGATGCCCCAGCTTTGGTGGTGTACGTCGTGGTATCCTGCATTGTTGCTCGTAAGATGCTGTAGTGGGTCCCACGGGAAAGAATAGCCGCAGTGGTCATCAACGGTCTTGATGGTTGACATGGTGAAGAACCACATGCTCTGCCGGCATGTCATTCCCGAAACAAGATAGCCAATGCCAGCTCCGAGCGTATCCAAGAGAAAGCCTTCGAAGGGATGGTTGTAGAGCGCACCGTACGCGTATGGCACATACAACCGGTGATGTCTGCTGTGGAAAGTGGTGTAAAGCCATTTGTTCATGTGCATTGCGCGATGCAGGAAATACTGCCAGGTGTCGACAATCGTGATGGCAAGCAGGAACTGGCAAGCTGGGATCAGGATGTGGTACAGTGCTTTGGCTGTCAGCAACTCCCAGTGGGCAAACGCTGGCGCAGGCATAGTTTCACCCATCAGTGTCACATTCTGCGTCAGCTGAGGGTAGATGCCACCCGAGATTGCTCCCGCAAGAATAGCATGCGAAGAGATCATGTTGTTCGCCATCGCTTTTGCATCCATTCCCAGTACGGCCAGAATGGCAGGAATTGCTCTTTGCGCCAGGCGGACGTTCTGCGCCCACCAAGCCACGTCGTAGTCCTCCTTTCCATACATCGGTGGAGGCTCCGTCAGAGCCAGTCCGAGTCCCACGATTGTCTGTATGATCTGCTGCAAGATAACATCTCTGAATACATCCCATCTGCTGACATGGTTCCGTTTCAAGACCTCGGCGGGAGTGTGAAGTCGGTACTGAGGGAAGAGGTCCCATTCGTCGATGCAGTGGAAGAGCATCGAGACTCCCCAGTACGCAATGATGGGCAGCGCGACCGTGAGGTATTCATCTGGAAAGCCAGGAATGACGGGAGGAAGAGGTTTGAGGGTGTAATCGGGAAGCGGAGGAAGGTCGGAGTAAGATGTCGTGTTCGGCATGGTGTCGTCAACTGCTGCGACTGTCGATATCGTGGGTATGGTATGAAGCGCCTACAGGCGCGCGATGATCGTGCTGCGGCTCGGTAGAAGTATGTTTGAACGCTTTGAGCTGATGCACGCGGAAGGGCCCAGGAGGGGGGATCAGCGGAGCGCGGACTTGGCCGGAGTGCAGGAATCGGCAGTGGCGAAAGCACAAATGGTATGGTAAGGAGCGAACGGCGGTCGGATGGTGGAAAGGTAAGGTAAGGTAGGTGGAATTGGATGTGTTTAGAAGAGGGACGGGGGGAAGAGGAGGAGAGGGAAGTGAGCAGACTGGTGCTGTGATGAGTGGTTCGAGAAGATTGCCGCTGCAGCGCGGCGCGGCATGGACCGGGTGGCAAAGTCTGGTACAGTACATACCTTAATTGTGTACAAGACGTCAGACCCCCCGACCGCGGAATCCAGACGCGTCTTCTCCCATCAATTCACAGGTTATTGCCTCACCAACACCACCTCAGCAGCCAAGGCCGATTTTCATGATCGTGTCGCCAGGCGCGATGATAATGCTGCAAGGGACATGACCAATCTCCTCACCATCCTCCCTCACTTTGACGTCGCTCCCTTCTCGCACATCCTTCCCTCGCTCGAGAAGGCATCCGTCTCGACGGCAGACCTGCTCACCCTCGACGCGCTTCATGTCGCAAAGCGCGCCCAGGTGCCTCCCGCAGAGGTGAAGAAGCTTGCCGACGCGTTGCTGGATGCGCTACATCAGAGCGCAGGGTTTGCGCGATCCGAAAGCAACGGAGCATTGAGTGAAGGCGACGCCGTTGGACTCCGCACTCGTCTCGTGGACAAAGCGGCCCCTATAAGCACTCTGGACGACTCGCTTGACGCTGCGCTAGGAGGCGGTGTTCCATTTGGTCATCTCACCGAGATTGTAGGCGAGAGGTGAGCGGGTTCTTGTCTCCCAAATTGCACATGTAAGTCCATCTAACTCTCCTAGTGCTGCTGGCAAGACACAGGTTCTCTTGACTCTCCTTCTTTCAGCCCAGTTGCACGGAAAGGAACAGCCGAGATCTGCGCTATACATCTCCACTGAAGCTCCTCTACAGACTACTCGTCTGGCACAGATCTTGAACACGAACCCCAAGTTCGCCCGTCTGCCAGCCGAAGATCGACCCTCCTTGAGTCGGGTACACAGCACTCATATCCACGATGTCGAGGCCCAAGAGCATATCCTGCGCTTCCAAGTGCCAGTCGCTATATCGAAGCACAACATTGGTATTTTGATCATCGACAGTATAGCTGCCAACTATCGCGCGGAGTTCGACAAGGGAGGCAAGGCCAAGAAGAGTTCTGAGGCTCTCGCCAAACGCAGTACTCAGTTGGCGCAGACCGGCGCACTTCTTCGCAATCTAGCACGCACGCACAAGATCGCGGTTGTCGTGGCGAACCAGGTCGCTGATCGGTTCACCACCATGGAGCCTACGTTCCCAGGTCCGAGCCAGTCGATGCAGGGAACGAAAAGGCCTGCATCGCCAACCCAGTCAATGGCCATGCCACCAAAGTCATCTCTGCCACAAACCGGTCCATCTGTACTCTCAACGGATGATCCACTATCTCTCGACCACCAACAACGCTTCTTCACAGGATGGGGAGACGACCCAGCAATCACAAATCTCAAGACCCCAAGCCTCGGACTTGCTTGGACGAACCAGCTGTCTTCCCGCATTGCCCTGCTCAAAGACCCTATATATGAGGTCAAAGCTTACTATCCCGGAGATGAACGGAATCTGATCGGGTGGAAACGAACGTTCAAGGTGGTCTTCAGCGCATGGTGCGCCGAGAGTACGACCGATTTCGAGATATGGGAGGGAGGCATTCGAAGTGCGAAAGATGACCCTTCTAACGAATAAGAAAAGTCATCGACGGCAGCAATCAGGATGAGGCAAGAAGCCTCAGTATATATATATGACTGGTGCGTCAAGCGCTTCCATCATGAACTCATTACAGCGTGCCAGCATCACTCATAACTTCATCACCCGTCTATCATCAACATAAAACTCAAGCCATAAGACATAAGTATGCCCCTCCAAACCTTCATTCAAATCAACACCTCACGACCCCGAAACTGAATCGGCGCAATATACATCGACCGTACAGACCCCACCTCCTCCCTCGAAGCATATCCATGGAAGGCGATATATTTCCCATCCGGCAAAATCGAAGCCCCTCCCGGTCCAATCATGCCCCGTGTGCCCGTAGCCCACAACGCCTTCGCAGACCTGACAAAGCCTCCCGTCGGAGCGGTACTCGTGGCATAGTTCACAGCATATTGTGCCGTTGCCCAGCAATGCGAAGAGAAGAATAAGACGTACACGCCATCGGCGTTGCGAACCAGATAGGGAGCTTCGACAAGGGGGCCGTCGGATTCCGAATTCGTGAGGAGAGTTTTGGGGTCGCCGATTTTGGTCGTCCCGTCGGCTTGGACTTGTTGGATCACGATGGGGGTGGTCTGGATGGGCGGCACGGTATTCTCGCAGAGGCCGCCGTGGCCGAGGGCGTTGGCGTCGATTTTGTAGAGAGCGTAGTGTTTCCCGTCGTCGGCGTCGTGGAAAGCCGAAGCGTCGAGAGCGCCGCCCTGCTCTGTAGGGCAGGCAAAAGGTTCGTCGGAGTTGGAATTGTAAGGTCCCTGGATCGATTTGCTCATTGCCGTGCCGAGACAGTGGAGGAGGCCGTTGCCTGCCGTCTTGGTGATTGCCGAGTAGTACATCAAGAAGCTGCCGTCGTCACGCTGCGAGACAGACGGTGCCCAGACTTTTGGGTTCGAAGCATCGGCCCATGGCGCGAGGGTACCGAGGGCGTCCTTGCCTGTCACCGTCCAGGTCTTGAGGTCTTTCGAAGTGGCGAGTTGGACTTTGATATGCTTGGAACCAACGTTGGATTGCGAGCCGAACGCATACCAGGTATCGCCGACTTTGAGGACCGACGGGTCTGCGAACTACGAAGATGTAGCGTTCGTTGGGGAATGTGAGCGTGCTTTCACGTACGTACGTTTGTCGTGATGACAGGCTCCGGGTTCTGCTTCTGCAACGGAGCTGCAGTGGTTGAAAGAATCAACAGCAGGCCAACAAAGGCAGCTCTCGTCGGGGGAAAGAACATGTTTTCAAACATGTTGTTCCCAATCTTCCCGCACGTGTGCAGTTGTTCTCAAAGACACAAGACAGGAAGATGTTCGGAGTAGCATTCAGGTACGATACGAAACGTAGGTCAGGTTCGATTACGCTGACTTGAGGGAGGTATGATAGGCTCAGGACTGCCAGAGAGGAATCACACAAGAATACCTACAGCTCTTGGTGGGCACGATGGTTACTTTATCCCCACCTGCCATCCGCGGAAGGCGTTCTCGCCAGGACGCATAGCGAGCCCGAGGTCCATTATTATCTTCTCGCATCCGCGGAAGGCATTCTCGTCAGGACGCACAGCGAGCCCGAGGTTCATTCACTTGCTCGTCAACGGTGAGGTCGGTCCTGTACGGAGGTTGGCCTTGACAGAAGGGCGTACTTCGGCGTGGACGAGCCTAAGACCGAGACCGCGCATAGGGTCGCCAAGTTGCTACGCGGCGCCGGAGAGTAGCGGACCGCAAGCGCAGAGATAGGCCATCGACCTCATCAGCAGACACGAGCATGTGAGTTGTGCGGATTGCGAGATGCGCCGCTAAGCACTCAGTCGTGTGAGGTGCGCTGGATTGCGGTCCTGAGAATCGTTGCATTTGCTTCGAACATGCGCCGCCGCATGGCTACAGGATGAAAATTTTGACGGCATGGGAAAGTGGCTGCTCATAGGCGGAACGACACGTCGCCGCGCGGGTAGGAGGTCGTCCATGTGTCTTTCGGATGGATGCTGAGGCCAGGATGAACGTCACCTGGCTTTACTGAACGCTCTTAGTACCAATTCGACGGAGGAGGTGAGGTCCAGAGTCATCATCAGGCCCGCGGGGGTTATCTTCATCGGCGGGCGATGAGATGTGCTGGGATCGGGCAGCGGACATCCACAATCGGGCGTCCCTTCACCTGTCGGATAGAAGTCTTGTTGGTTGGATGGCATACCGTATGTCGTGTCCTGAGAATTGTCGTAAAGCATGCCGAGGCGCTAGCATGTCCGATACCGAGCGGCCGCCTTTGCGAACTTCTTCTCACTAATTATTGATGAAGACCTGGAGAAAGACTTCCGAGAGGGATAGAATTTCGCCTTCTCCGTCTAGCCTTCAAGCCCCTGATGTCCCCCGTACTGATGATGGAGCAACTGCCGGCTGTAGGTGGTCCCCGCTCGAGGAGAAGGGAAGGGGGCCCACCACACACTACAGTAACCAAGCAGCCTTCAAGTTACATCACCGGCTACTACTGTGCTATAAAATGATTGATATGCAGGATCACTACTCTGAACAGTCTCCCCACATACAGACAGCCCAGCCATGTCAACACCCATCGCCCTCATCACCGGTGGTGGCTCCGGCATCGGGCTCGCAGTTGCTGAGCACCTGATCAACTTCCACGGATACCGAGTTGCCATAGCAGATGTCGTGGCGGAGCGAGTAAAAGAGAATGCCTCGCGACTGGGAGATGACACTTGTCTGCCGCTTCACCTCGACGTGACCAACTACGGAGCCTTGTCGAAAGCTTTCGTCCAGACGTTTGAATGGGGCGGTAATCGACTCGATCTCTTCTTTGGCAATGGTACGAAAACAGCAACAAACCGTCAAATCTCGAAATGGCATCTGATATGAGTGCAGCGGGAATCGGTGACTCCGACAGCCTGTACAAAGACCTCTCCATCGACGAAACCACCGGACTCCCGAGACCCTTGAACCTACGAACCCTCGACGTCAACCTCCACGCCGTCCTCCAAGGCATCCACCTCGCCAGACACTTCCTGACCGAAAAGAACCAATCTCCCGGCGGCAGGATCGTCGTCACCTCGAGCGCTGTAGGCCTCTATCCCAACCATTCCCTCCCCATGTACGCAGCCTCCAAGCACGCCCTCGTCGGCCTAGTCCGATCCCTCGCCCCCGTCTACGCGCGCGACAAGATTTCAATCAACGCCCTCAACCCTTCCCTGATCGAGACGAATCTCATGCCGGAGCAACTCCGCGACCGATGGACGAGAGAGCAACTGACCCCCATGAGCACGGCCCTGAAGGCTTTCGATGCGATGCTGGCGGATCCGAAAATGACGGGACAGACGATGGAACTCACCCTGGACGACGTGGTTTTCACGCCTTGCCCGGATTTCCAGCGTCCGAATACGAAATGGATGTGTGATCAACACGAGCTGTGGGAATCGGCTATGCAGGATTATATGCCGCGTCCGCCATTGCAGAATGCCGTCTTCGAGTACAAGCCTCCAACGAGCTTATGATGGAGCTGGGGCCTGCCCGCTATTAGATTCTCCAACTTGGAAGGGGGGCAAGAATTGTCGTCGCTACGATCAGATCAACTTTGTCTGTCCATGTTACAAGAAGCAGGTATCTTTCTATCCTAGCACACAGACGCTCAAAGCCAACCCAACATACAATTACACCATCACTTGCAGCCGCAGCAAATCACCCAGCATGCTCCACGATCTCGCTGACAAGCCTGCCATCCTTGAGGTAGGTGCGAATCTGTTCAGGCAGCGGGCATTCTTTGCTATCTGCGTCTTCGCTCTTGGGCGGGAGCACAATGTTGATGGAGCTGCACTTGCTGGTGAAGACCTCGGTATTGAGACTCTCGGCCCCCAGATAGACGCTGGCTCCGTCCACCTGGTCGAGCATTATTGTCGGTACAGTCCCAGTGATCTGAACGGCGAAGTTCGGGCTCTTGATAACATCCACAGACGAGACGAGAGTCTCGACGAGGATCTGTGTTCGAGGGCAGTTGTCGATCGAGATCGCATTTGCCTTGCCCTTGAGAATGATGGTGGTGTTCTTGCATTTGGTAATAAGAAGTGATTGTGTGAGGCTGACCTCGACTTCGACGGGTGCGGAAGGAGAATCGAAGTTTTCGATGAGCCACTTGTTGCCGTCCAGCTCTTTCTTGCCCTCCTTCTTGGTGGAAGTACTGCTGATGGTGCTGTTTTGACGCATATTCGATGGCTTAGGCTTAACTTCTGGGCCCGGACTCCTACTCCGGCTAATATCTGAGCCTACCGTAGAACTTGCGCGTAGTGACGGATTCTTATGCGTCATCTGGCTCTTGTCCACTTTCTTCAGACCTGCTGTGACTGCTTCTCCTCTATTCAACTGCTCAAAGACAGCACCCATATCACTGCCGCTGCCTGCCTTGGGCACCGGCGCACCGCCCGGCGGCGGAGGTGGAGGAGGTACGTTGTCGAATTTCGGGAGCGGGGGTGGAGGCGGAGGCGGAGCACCACCAGATGGCGGAGGTGGTGCGGGTGTGCCGTTTGTCGCAGACGTGCCGTGCGCTTCCCGCATGGCTTGCGCCGCATCGATTCCAGCAGTGTTCCAGGTCACGCCAGTTGGATAATGCTTCTTGATGTACCCCTTCAGTGCTTCAAGCAGAGCGTAGTAGGAGCGCACGAACTTTACGTGGGCTTGATCCCTGAGAACAAATGAGCTTCTGTGTCAAACGATTCTTCCGGATTCCAACATACCCTTCCTTATAGGTCTTCAATACACGATTGCCGTACATCTGTGCTCCACCAATCATTTCGCCGACGACATCTGCCGGTTTGCCGTCCATGACCAGCCATTGTAGGGTGCTTATGCCCTCTGCAACCATAGCCAGATGCTCTTTCATTGGCGAAGCCCGATTGCTGTCTTTAATGTCACCAGCTGATCCCAAATCCTGCTGCAAGTCTTTCAAGAGGTCCATGAACGTTTGTGACTGCGGATCCGGTCTCTTCGCCTTGGTCGTCACAAGCAAGAAGCGTCTCTGGTCCGCAAAGCCCTTTGCGACTGCTTCTGCCTGCTCTTGAACCAAGGGATCAATTCCTTTGCTCGCCTCCATGAATGCCTGAACTTCTCCGTTTATGATGGCATCCATGTCACTGATCGCCGGCGACAAGGATTCAGCAGGAGCCTTCACCGTTGCTTGGCTCTGTCCACTGACGGTATGTGAGACTGTAGGGAGATCGGAAGCGCTGGACAATGCTTTGTTGGCCGGCCCCTGCGCCGCAGCGGATGTCGAGCCATTGGCGTCGGGCGCATCGAGGGACTGAGAGGAAGACGCAATATCTTCTAATCGGGAGGTCGCTGCTTCAAGCCTGCGGAGGAGAAGATTTAGCCGATTGTCTCCAGGCACAGTAGCCACGGGGCTGATGGTTGAGAAGCGGGATTTCTCCGCCATGGTGCGAATAGTTTACGAATGACCGTGGTATGAGGGAGAGGGAGTCGGAAAGAGTGACTGACCGTTTGATGAGGGTAGTCAGGTTGTTCATGCCTGTTTGATTTGCCATGGTGATGGGAGTGCTGAGCAGCTCACGCGCACTCGCTGCGGCAGGTAACCAACCAATGTGCAGACGACGAGCAAGGGTTGAGACACGGATACGCCAGCCGAGCTTCTCCTCAGTCGATGCGCCCAGTCTTTGCTAAGAAGATCGCGGAGGGAGATGGAGCCGGAGGTGCGTTGTACAGCGTGGTTCGGGTGCTGGGATGGGCGAGTTGGCGGGCGTGTCGTCTGTACCTCAGGTAGCAACAAGTTGCAGCTGTGCAGACTTTCACCAGACGCCTCAGCTAACCTGACCTCGAGCACTGATGCATGTAGCTTAGCTAACGAGCCGAATCCGACGGGTTCCATCGGCCGACTCTAGCCTACTTCCGGTAACCCCATCTCGGCATCCGGCTTTATTTGCTGTTTTGAAACTGCTTCCTCTTCCGTAAACTCCTCATCAACAACATTGAAACCTCCACCAGTCATCTACCTCATTACGGCCATCGAAAAGGTGAGCGCCCGCAACCACATGGACTTCTGCACCCTGGGCATGTTCATCATCGACGACATCTATCCTCCTCCAACAGCAGCGGACCAAGAGCCTCAACTCAATGTTGTCGGTGGAGCAGGTACTTTCGCCGCTGTAGCTGCTCGCCTCTTCTCTCCTCCACCGGAATCAAAGACCATTGGCTGGATCGTAGACGCTGGAACGGACTTCCCCCGGGAGTGTCGCGCGGTGTTAGAATCATGGGAGACAGGTGTCTATCTGAGAGAGAGACCAGCACCTACCACTCGCGGCTGGAATGGCTACAGCGGCAACGAGCACAGGACATTCAAATACATCACCGAAAAGAAGCAGCTGACCTATACCGACCTCACGCCAGACCTCCTAGCTGCCAGATCGTTCCATCTCATCTGCAGCCCAACAAGATGCATCGAGCAAGTGAAGGGCATCCTCGCCCGACGGCAGGAGACCTATGGTAACTCGGACATGCCTCGACCCATTTTCGTATGGGAGCCCTTTCCGGATCTCTGCATCCCGTCTGAGCTCCAATCGACTTACGAGGCCCTCAAATATGTGGATGTCTTCAGCCCGAATCACGACGAATTGGCCTCCTTCTTTGGCTTCACACATAATGTCTCAGTCGCCAAGACCGCCGTGGAGAACCACGCGCAACGATTCCTGGAGAACGGAATAGGCAGCGACGGTAACGGTGCAGCGGTCATCAGGGCAGGAGCATCAGGCTGCTTCGTACTTGCACCGTCCACCCGTCAGTGGCTGCCTGCGTTTCACGAGAGTGCTCAGAAAGTTGTGGATCCCACCGGCGGCGGAAATGGGTTTCTCGGCGGGCTTGCTGTTGGACTTGCAAGGACTGACTTCGATGTATTGGAGTCAGCTAGGTGGGCAGCCGTGGCCGCGGCATTTTGCATTGAGCAGACTGGCATGCCTACACTGCAGCCACGGACAGACTCAGGCACGCCGGAGACCTGGAACGGAGTTGATGTGTTTGAGCGACTGGATGAGTACCGCAGACGTACATCTTGAAGCAACTGGGACTGGCTTTGCCAACGTCGAGAGACTAACGATGATCCATGCTGATGGAGAAGAGGCTATTCTAAACGAGGAACGAAACGATGAGCTTATAGGGTCACCCGCGAGGGCTGATGCTGGGGTTCCTCCGCTTCACTGTCTGCATCGCGTGAGCCCACCTCGGACCAGCTGTCGGGTGTTGCCACGCCATCACCTTCTTCAGACAGCATGTCCACATCGCTATCCTCGATAAGGTCCACTACTTCCACTTCCGACATCTCGCTATGCGGTGGGGATTGTGGCCGCGAGACAGGCGCGGAAACTGAAGCAAATGTGTCAGAGTCTGAGTCGGTCTGGAAGCCGAAGGACGAGTGAGCGCGTGATGTAGGAGTACGTGTGCCATCGGGGCGGTCTTCATTCACATCGATCAACTGGAGTGTGTCACGATCAGGTGTGTGAGTGCTAGCAGGCGACGGAGCTTGGTCGGGCGCTGAGAAGAAGCTTAGATCCATGACATCTGCTGGTGCCGACGGCGTTTCCGTATGTACAGCTTCGCGGACCGGATCGAACGGAAGGCTAGAGCCTGCAGAAGAAGGTGGAGCGACCACCGCTGGCTGCTGAGCATCAAAGGTTGCAAGACGTGCCCGTGTGAGCTCTGGAGTGAGTCGATATAGCTCGTCTGACGCTTCTGACGAGGCTGCGTTAGTTGTGCCGAGGGGTATTGGCGGGTCAAACAGCTCCTCCCAGGGGCTGCGAACAGGCACTGAGGCTGAAGGTGTCGAGGGCGTAAGGTCTACTAAGAGTTGCGGCTCTGCTGGAAGTCGCTGTGGAGCCGTCTGCTCTGCATTGGCGATCGCGAAAGCAGCTTGCTGGTCATCCATTTCTCTGATGCTTGCCGCAATTGCCGCTCGAAGGTCATCGTCGTCCTCCTCAGGCTGACTTTGCCTTACGGTTGCTGAGTTGCTTGAGCTTTCTTGTTCCGACAAAGAAAGTGCAACGGCAAGCTGCTCTTCATAGCTGAGGCCTTCGTAGTTCGGTTGCTCTGGCCCTGATGGTTCTTCTGTCGTAACTGGCGAGAAGCTTCCAGGGATAGTGATGGGCGGTGTTCGCGCTCTGTCAAGCTCGATCTTAGGTGGCACAGGTGGCTTCGGCGTCTCACTCCGCTCAAGTGCGTATTCATCGCCAAAGGGATTTGCGAAAGATGATCCAGATTGCCAATCACTCGGGCCTGCGGAGCCGGAGTGGGCAGCCCACATCGGTTGGGACAGGTTGCGTTCGATCTCTCTCATCTCGTTTCGTACTGGCTCTGGTGGTAGATCCGCCGCCGGGAGCGACGGTAGTTGCTTTTCCTCGATTACTGGAGCCTTCAGCTTGCCTTCCAAATCGACAAGCTCATCGAACGTCGGTGTGGGCGGCGTGGCTTCTCCAGCTTCCTTGGCTGCCGCCTTTCGCTTTTGCTGCAACTCGTACATCTGCTGGTTGCGACGTGCTAGGTACTCTCTGCCTTTCCTTCTCCTTTCTTCGGCCTCTTGCGGATCTGCAGGACCTCCAATAGGTATCCGGCGTACAGTTGTGGCATTCGAGAGCCGTCGTCCGGTTGCTAGGGCTGCAGCATCTTGGCTGCCTGTAGCCTCCCTCCGAAGACTCTCGTTGTTCGCTGGTGTCCGCCCCTCAAAAGCGAAAGCCTCCGCAGCCTGCCGACTTTGTGGATCAAGGTCTTGTCCAATTTGTCGTAGCAATTCAGCAAGCTTCCGTCGTTGCTCTTCCAGCCATTCTTGCACCTGCGGGTTCTCGTATACCGCCAATCCTAGGGCCGTGATGATGGAGATGGACAAGATTATGCCTGTACGCTCACCATATCAGCATGCTATACCTCTTTATCGCCATGATACGGCTGTAAGTGCAGAGATGGAATGCCTCGAGCGGCGCCTCGGTCACCTGCAGCTCACACCGTACCGGCGTATCGACGGGACTCGGTGATAAGATCGTACCTTTTGCCACGGCAGTTGCCATGATGACGCTTTCAGACCGCAGGCTGCAAGATAGAGATACGATATGAGATGTCACGCAGCTCCCAAGACCAGCAAGTGCAAGGCCGGGAGTGGACGAGAACAGGAGCAAGACCAGGAGAGGCGTGTGATAACGAGCAGCAAGTCGAGGCTGCAGCTTTCCGGCTGGCCGCCGGCGTTGGTTTCCCGTCGCTGACGCGGAGAAGCAACTCGGAAGAGGTAGTGCCGCCAAGCCGTGGGGCTTATCGCACTAGCGTCTGGATAAGGAGCTGGATCCTCAGGCATGCATGCCTATACAGGACTCTAAAGACGACGTGAGTTGTTTGGGCGTGCTCTCGGTTGATTGATCGATAGCGCTTCCCAGGCACGACTCTGGCATCACATGTCGTCGATTGCAGGTTAGCATCCAAGCATCGCCATCATTGCATCGACTTTCATGATCACGTGAGAGCCATGAAGAGCATTCTGGATCATGGGATCATGCAGGAAACCTCGAATGTGAGAACGTAACATACTGGTTCTCTTCGGAAGTTCATATTGCGCGCTGATCTGGCTTCGTGGCGTTGATATCTTCGCACTTCCTACCTACACAGCAGGCACATTCGGACCCTCTGGAATCAAATGGAAAGGCCAAGTCGCCCGCCTGATATCATATCTAATATCGGAAAAGGGACAAGCTGCTCGGAATATCTGCTAGAGACTCTCTGTGGAAGTCTGAGGAAGTGTCGCGAGTTGGCGAAAGCTGTACAGGTAGGGATTCACAGTCTCCGGCGCAGCCGACGGAAGCAGCCGTGCGCGTTTAGCCACTCTCTTGGCGCGCCCTAGTTACCTAGGTACTTGAACATCAAGTCCAGCGCAGCAATCGGTACGTTGTCGCTCTACAGGTGGGGCCTTTGACTGATACGTGTTTAAAGCCGTGTATCCTCATCATTTCGATGCGGCTGCTGAGCGTCTTATTTCCAACGAAACAACATTTTTTGAAGCTTGCAAGGTGTTCCTAGAGGTATGGGTTCCACTTACTGTCAGGCTTGTCGGGTCGAGCATCTTGGACCGAGGACATGGGCTCCACAATCATCCCACCTTCGACTTCGCCATATTTCGAACAACTAGCTGACATTCCGATTGCAAAAGATAGCCAAGATGCCAGGGAAAGGAAGCTGTGTCTGCGGTCAATGGACCTATGAGTATGAGGGAGAGCCTCTTGGAGTAGCAAGTACGTTCTTCCTCTATCCCGACACGTCGACTCATGCTGACCGGTGTTTCAGTTTGTCACTGCATTCCATGCCGAAAGACGGCCGGCTCGAATGGCAGCTTCAATATACTCATTCCCGCAGATAAGGTATGTCGATTGCATACGCTTGAGCTGTGACGTCTTGACTGAAATTCCGCAGTACAAGAAGCTGTCCGGCACAGACTTGAAGTTTACCCGTGTCGCCGACTCCGGCAAGGATGTCCATTACTCCAATTGTGCTAATTGCGCGACTGTAATGATGGCACAAGCCGACGCGATGCCTGGAGTCAATATCGTGAAGGGCGGAACAGTCGATGACCCGAAAGAGGATGCGAAGCACCAGCCGGTCCAAGAGATTTTCAGACGAAACGCACCTGAGTGGTGCACGCCATGGAGCTGCGCCGAACAGAAGGAAGCGCAGTAAGGCTGAAATGTGACAAACTCTTCAGTGGTCAGATGAAGTGTAGTCGAGTTGCAAAACAAAGCTCACCCAAGTTCGCTGCGGATGGAGCACCTTGATGGTAAGACTAGTCATCTTGTCTTGGCGTATAATCCGCAGCTTTCGCTACAACCCTATCGTTCTGGAGATATGCCCTGTCTTTATTGAATGTGGTGTTCGGCGAATGGACGCCTTCCGGTAGGTCAATGATACAAGTTCAAGGCGAGAGCGAGTAGAGCTGAGCACGCGTCTCTAATCAGGGGGCATCGCCAGAACGCGCGAGCAAAAGCCTACACATTATTTGAGGCGTGCAGACTCGACGATATGATGAAGATATATACAATCAATTGTAGAGTGACAGTCCCCGTGGAGGGTTGAGGGACAAAGAGACTGCCCTCGCTCTCGCTGCAAAACAAAGCCCGGGAGCAGCCGAAGTAGGTCGCGCTAGTCTACCGATGAACCCTACTTGACATGCAGTCATGGAACTTCATCGCGTTCACTGCCTTCACACAATCATCTGGGCCATTTGGTGATAGCGAGCGGCGTTCCGGAGTTTGACATGTGCTTGCTCAATCGATGCTCCTCCTCGCCCCGGTGATTGAGCTTTCCGCCTTCGCCCCTTTCGACAACCGCACCTTGCCACGCATTACTGCCTAAGAACAGAGACCAGGACTACCAGGCGATGAATCCAGCGCAGTTGCTGAACCCGAAAGCATTTGCTAAAGAGCAAGCTAAATCCTCCAAGAAGCAGAAAGTTCCGAACTACGGTACGTACGACTGTTCTTAGACGGCTCACACTTTCGAGCAACTCCCCTCACCTGCAAGTGAAGCTATAGGTTGCATCACATGCTTCGAGTGCCGTCCGTGCGCACACTTCCACGAGCGTGACGACAAGCAGACGAGCGACAATTGTCGCGTCCAACGCCAAAACCCACCTCCAGTTCTTCGTCTTCTTGCTCTTGTTCCACCACAACACAAACCACCTGCACCGACACCAACACAAAACCTATACCACCTCTGCGTCAACACCACATCCTCTTCCCACACACATCCCCGTTGGCAAGCCGAGCTGTGCTGTGCACACGCACACTCACGCAGTCATGGCTTCACCCGATCCTGACTCCTTGCAAACCATCAACCACCCCTCTTCACCTGTCAACTCCAACAGCCTTTCTGCGCCTCAAAACGGGATTCTGACGTCCACAGGTCCTCAGCAGACACGTAAACCCGCCCCACCTGCCAATGACGGGGCTCCATCGCAGCGTCTGACATTCGACCCAAAGTCGCTTCTGAATCCCAAAGGCGCCTCGAAGAACGCCGACACGCCAGGCGATGGATCCTCCACCGACGCAGCTGTGGAAGCCGACGGCAGCGAAGGTAACACTGGATTTGGCCAAATGATCGAAAATCTACACGGCGTCATCGAACGCGAGGATGTATCAGCGAAGAAACGCAAGGCTCGAACCATCGAGGACGGCGAATCTGATGAGGAGCGGAAGAAGCAGAAGGCGAGTTCCTTACGCTCATCCGGTGGAGGCACAATCAGCGCTCACATGAAAGAGCAAAGTGCGAAGATCGCTGCTTCGGCGCAGTCCTCACAGACCATTGACCTGACCAACGACGACGATGAGGTTCAACTCGTGAAAGATGCCAGCAGCAAAGGAGGTACTGAAGAGGTCGTTTGCCTTGGAATTCTGCATGGTAAGGCCAATGCCTCGAGAATTCCAGCATACCCTCCAAACAAGCAGCGTGTCATCAAGGATTACTGGCCCCCGATGAAGGTCAAGTTCCAGAGAGCATCAATCGACCCCAGAAGCATGTTGATCCATCTGTTCGACAATCATCAGGACAAGTTCGCCACGCTAGATTCCAAACTTGCCTCTGCACTCTGCCCGATGCTGTCGGCTTCGGACGTTAATGGCATTCGGCTCAAGATCTTTCTGAAGCAGCGAGCTAAGAAGGAAGGGGAGTACATGGGCAAGCCGGTCTCAGAGAGCATGGGGCTTCAGATTGAATTATCCTCTCCACGCAACAAGGCAGACGCGATTGGTCGCTTCCTCTCTCAGAAACAGCTGTTTTTGACAGCAGCACCTAACAGAGAGCGCTACGACCCGCAAGCTCCCCAGAATTTCGGACCGTCGAAATCTACCCAAAACAAAGGACAGTCCACGACGTACACGGTCCAACGAACTCAAGAGGAGATGCGCCGTGAACAGGACGCTCTGTTCGACGAGTTGTCCAAGGCCGGGGAGAATCTACCGAGCATGGAGGCAAACTCCAACATCATCACTTCCCAGCTTTTCGATCATCAAAAGCAGGCCCTTCATTTCCTCATGGATCACGAGCGTGATGACTTTGAGGGCGATGACCTGCCTGCCCACTCGCTGTGGGAATACAGGGCGAAGGACAATGGTCAGCGCTCCTGGTATCACAAGATCACGTATGAAGAAAGCGCACAAAAGCCTGATTACGTTCGAGGAGGCATTTTGGCAGATGTCATGGGACTGGGCAAGACTTTGAGTATCCTGGCTTTGATTGCACATACTGTAGATGATGCGTTCCGATTCCATCGGGAGGATCCACCTCCGTCTGCGGATGTCATGAGAAACGCTAGGGCCACGCTCATCATATGTCCGAAGTCAGTCATGTCGAACTGGGCAGCACAAATCGAACAACACACTGCAGCGGACAAGATGCAAGTCTATCAATACCACGGAGCCAACCGCATGCAAGACTTCAACAAGCTCGCTCGACATCATGTCGTCCTTACCACATACAATACATGCGCCGCTGAATTCAGCGATGGCATGCGCAAGAGAACCGCTCTGAACTCCGTAAACTGGTTTCGCATTATCCTCGACGAAGCGCATACCATTCGTACGACGGATACGAAGATGTTCAAGGCATGCTGCGCTCTGGATGCACAGCGCCGTTGGGCAGTCACTGGAACTCCAGTGCAGAATAGCCTGAATGATCTAGGCTCTCTCGTCAAGTTTCTCCGACTTCATCCATTCGACAATCATGCCAAGTGGACGCAACACATCATGTCTCCATTCAAGCTGGGAGACGCAGATGTCATTCCAAAGCTCCAGATCTTGGTCCGTTCTATCACCTTGTGCCGTGGAAAGGAGACCATAGGCCTGCCTGATCGAACAGAGACATCCGTGAAGCTTCAGTTCAGCAAGGCCGAGGCACTGTTGTACAGACAATTTGCGTCGGCAGGAAGAAGCCAATTCAACAACATCACCCACGGTGGCACTACAGCACTGAAAGGCAAGGCGTACGCCCACGTTCTCAAGTCCATTGGTCGGCTCCGTCAAATCTGCGCCCATGGACGCGAGATGATCACAGATGAGGATCTGAAGGATGTCGAAGGAGATGACCCGGAAAATGCCATTGTGCTTGACGCGGGTGACGAGCCAGAGCTGGAGCCCGAGGACGAGTTCGTGAGTGAGAAGCAAGCCTACGAAACATTCACTACGATGCAGGACAGTGATGTCGACCGGTGCCAGGCGTGTGATCGGAAGCTGGATGCAGAGCGAACACTGCCAAATGGGGCTACAGATCTCACTGGTCAAGATAGCAGCGACTCTGACGACGACTCGGGTAGCGAAGAGGAAGACGGAGACGAAAAAGATGGCGCTGATCTTGTCGGACATCTTACGCCTTGCTACCATCTCCTTTGCCCCGACTGCTCGAAGGAGTATGTCAACGAAATCAGCAAGATCACGACCGCTGATCGCCATTATCACTGCCCTCACTGCGACTTGTATGTGAGGTTCGGTCTATTTGCACTTCGTCGCTCGGCCCTGCGCCAGTTTGTCGCGGCTCGTGAAGCTGCTAAGAAGACCGGAACGGCCAAGTGGGACGAGGCTACATACAGCGGACCTCACACGAAGGTCAAGGCGCTCCTAGACGACCTCGCGGAATCGGCTCGTGAGACCTCTGAACTTCCGCCAGGAGAGCCACCTGTCCGCTCTGTCGTTTTCAGTGGCTGGACATCATACCTGGATCTCATCGGGTATGCGTTGACGAAGAACGGCATCCGCTTCACTCGCATTGACGGCGCCATGTCCGTCAAGAAGCGGACACAAGCAATTGAGACCTTCAACACTGATCCCGACGTCACTGTCCTCATTGTTTCGATCAAGGCAGGTGGACAAGGCCTCAATTTTACCGCCGCAAACAAGGCATACGTCATGGAGCCTCAGTACAACCCCGGTGTGGAGCAGCAGGCAGTCGACCGAATTCATCGCATTGGTCAGAACCGTGAGGTCACGATCAAGCACTTCATCATGCAGGACTCCATCGAGGAGGCAATTGTCAAACTTCAGAAGAGAAAGCAGAAGTTGGCGCAGCTCTCGATGAGCAATAGGCGCAGCAAGGCTGAGGAAGCCAAGGAGCGAATGATCGAGATTCAGGCGCTCTTCAAGTGAGAGCATTCATGAAGAGACCGACTATTGAGACTGCAAAATACGACCGCGGCTGCGTGCGTACATTATGATTTCAAATGGAGGAGGGTGGAGTGATTGTGCTTTTAGAGATACCCGGGGGACAACGAGAATCATCTCTCGGTAGACAGACGCTTTCGCGAGCCAAATGTAACCAATTGTGCTTGACCATGCCTGTCCTCGGAAGAAGCAGTCTTTGTCACGGTCTGAGGTGTTGATTCGAGTCGACGAAGTCGTAAATCACAGAGAGCGAGTTCCTTGTCCCTCGAACCACGCCCAAAACAGATGTTGTCTGCCGTATATACAAAGAATCAGAATAATTCTGAACACCAACATCGACATCAACAACCGTGTCGATCACGAGATCGTCTAGAAACGCCAGTCGCTCAAACATGAAGTGGAGAAGTCAGAAACCCAACCAGACACTGCGAGCAGAAGTACCAATCTATCCATCCACTCTTTCCCAGCTCCTATTTCCCAGCCCGCTCCTGGTCGTAAATCGCCAACCCGCGCGTCTGCTGCCCGTGCGTAAAAAGGGTCATGCAGCTATCGTAGCCATAATCCATGAAATTGTGAATGCTAACACCCTGAAATCAGCATACCGCGCACCCCCTTTTTTTCACTTTCTTCTTAAGCAAAGTCCCCTGGAGAAGAGAGAGAGAGAGAGACTTACTTATCCAGCCCAGGCTGTTTCGGGCACGAATCCTGCCTTGCCGGACAACCCGAAGTCGGAGTCTTCTGAATCGGAGTGTCGGAAACGTAATCGCCGGAGCCGGAACACGATTCGCCTTGGAAGGTATGGTAGAGGCCGAACCAGTGGCCTGTCTCGTGCACGGCGGTGTAGCCGAGGTCGTAGTGTGTGGCGCTGCCGTGGGGCATGGAATCCGCGAGGCACATGCAGCCGTCGAGGATGCGGTCTTGTTTGGTCGGGCTGGGAAAGAAAGAAGTGTGCATTAGCTGGAATGGGGGAGAAATTCTGAATCGCCTTTGGGGGGGAGGGGAGTTGTGGTCCTCCTACCTGTCAACGGGGAAATAGCAGAACCCCAACAAGCCATCTGGCAAGTCGCTGGTGAAGTAGAGATTCAGGTCTGCGTAGCTGCCTTGGCGAAGAGCGGCTTTCATGTCGTATTCTTCGTCGCTTTCCATGGCGGCGGATGCCCAGGCGTCGTTCACGGTGAAGTTGATGGCTACGGTGTTGAAAGTGACTCCCCAACCGGAATAGGCATCGTTCATGACTTTCATTTGCTCCTGGACCATGGCTTTGGAGTAGTCGTTCTGCTTGGTGGTGGAAGTGACAACGTGGACATATGTGTCAACATTTCTGGAGGTGGTCGCGCTGGAGTTGGATATTCTGCTCAAGTAGGCTTCGTTGTGGGCTGCTTTGAGGGCGTCACTAGGGATCAATCAGCTGTTGAAAACGATGAAGATATTCCAAGGATGGAGTTTCGACGTACCTTGGGTCTTGAACACCGCAGCGTGTATACTGCTGGCCAGCAGCAACAGCCACAAAGACAACAAAGAATAGAGATTGGACCTTCATGTTAACGTGCAAATGAACGACAGTGGGGAAAACGATAGATGCTGCTCTGATTGACAAACAAAACGAACCTGTACACACCTCTTTATACATCCTGTCTGTCGTCTATCCTTCGTATCTGACCGGTGCCTTCTTCATCAGCTCAATCAATGTAAAGTAGTACTCCACCAAGCTACTAGCGAACGGCAGAAAAGGAAGCAACATAGGACACATCGCAGTCCCTCGCAATATTAAAAAACCAACCATACAAAATCCTCCTACCTCTTTGGTGCACACCGCAGCCAAGGGGAACGATTCGTTGTACGCTTTGTGGAAGAAGTCCCTACGGACGATCTTACTGGCGAAAGCCTCCCGAGCCACGTTCTCCTTGGGTGTGGCGTCTGCAGAGGCGCCACAGCACCTTTCGTATTCGATGAGTCGAGCAAGATCCTCTGTATCGGTGCTGAAAAGAAGCTGATCATTTGGCATTGGAGTGGATACTGCGGCGACATGCGGTCTCCGGGATGGGAGGCGCAGGCGCTCTTGTCGGGCGAGCGCTGCAACGGATTTGCTCAGACTTGATGTGTCAAGCGGTGAATACTGGAGTAGCCGTGTGGCTAGGAAGATGAGACGGAACCCTGTCATATACTTGTGTGGAAAGTGTTCATCAAGTTGAGGTTTGTGCGACGTCCGCGCGATCCGAAGGGGTAACTACGGAGCCCGACAATGTGGACACCAAGATCCATCCAAGTCAAGGTAGTTCTAGTGGTGGATATTTCTGCAGCCGTCCGAAAGGAGATCCATGAGAGAATGTTGCCAAAGAGTTAGTCGGCTAGGTGAGACTTCTTTGCAAAGCCAAACCGGAACGCATCAATGGTAGGGCATGATTCTAGGAAGATCCGGCCCGATTACCTCCTCAGGAAAATCTCATATACAACAGGGATTTTACCCTCGTCCAGAGATTCTCGCAACCTGTGACTGCTGTGTCGGTTCCGCCGAGCGCGAATGGTACGTGGAGAGATTGCCAATGGATCGCCAAGCCGACGATTAGCATAGTTCGCATTCTCCTTCGTCGATCTATAGTACACAATAGTGAGCAGACCTGTATACATGCTCACTGTCCTTGACTCTCACGGTTCTCGCCTCTGTTGCCGCCGAATGCCTGCCGCATCCGCGAGAACATTCCACCTGATGAGCCACCTTCGCCCTGGGTGCTTGGCGCTCGCTGCTGCTCTGCCGTATGCATGTCGTGATGAGGGGCCTGATTTGGGTCCCGTGCGCGATCGTTGTTGGGCTGGTCTTTGGGCATGATACCCTGCCGACAGTGCGGGCAGGTGTCGTGCTCGGTGAGCCAAGCTTTGATACAGTCGTGATGGAACCAGTGACCGCAAGGTAGCTCCGTGACCATGCTGCCCACCTCTGCATCGTCCATGCAGATGCTGCAGTCCGCCTTGCCGTTGTCGCCGACATCTTCCTGCGTCACTGGCCGCTTTGGTAACGACTCAATCGCATCTGTCGATGCTGGCGGCGGCGCGTTGCCGGACTGGTGTTGTTCCATAAGCTGTGAGATGACCCGATCGAGCGCCTCCTGAGTGTAGACAGCGTCGCCATGCTGGCCTCCTCCCATTCCAAATAGCTGCATCAAATCGGCCATCGGAATTGGAGGGCCAGCACCCATACCCATCATCGGTCCTCCGGGTCCGCCATGCATTCCTCCTCCATACATTCCTCCACCGCCAAAACCAGGTCCCATACCCATCGGTGCCACGCCGATGTTGCGGACCATCTCGTCTAGCATTTGCTGAAGCGCGGCGGGTTGACGTTGAAATGGCTGGGCACCGTTTGCATCGCGAGGGACTAGACCCGTACCGCCCGAGGAGGTAGTAATGGTGAAAGAATACCCTGGACCGTGGCCATGACGAACTGTAGTGCCCGGTTGGGCCCATTGCGGTTGATTCTGTTGCAGGGAGCCAGGCGTCTGTGGATTGCCCTGACCCTCTGCACCTGATGTATCTCGACTGGCTCCTTGCCCTTGCGAAGCTTGCTGCGGCGGACGTTGACCGCTCAAAAGTCCCTGTATTGCTGAACCCAACAGTCCTCCAAGCAGACCACCTCCGCCCTGTGCTGCGCCCGCTTGATTGCTCAAGTTCATGTTGCGTGTGAATGTTCCTTGAAAGCGACCGCCAGGAGGCTGACCAGGCGCATTAGGTTGCCAATTGAAGAAGTCATCTATGTCTCCCTCATCTGGATCTGGTGCGTCGAATCCATGCTCTTCTGCATCGTCATCGCGAGGATCGCGGTTGCTGTCTTCGATGATCTCGGTGAAGTCTGACTGGCATTCGGGGCAGATAATGCCGTGCTCGTCTCTGTACCACTCGTTCTCGCACTGATGGCAGTACACCAATTCGCGTTGCTGTGGTGTCTGACTGCGGTCCATGGAGGGCTAGGCGTATGTGAAGATAGGTCAAGGAAGGCGAGAAAGGGAGCCAATGCCCCTCGGAAGAAATGGACCAAAGCGCGCGGGAACGTGGTCGAGAGCGGCTGTTGTCGGCGTTGCTCAGGTGTAGTAAGTCGGAGGTGATACGCAGACGGGCGTTTGCTTATGGCAAGTTCGTCTTTGTCAAACTGAAGTCGGGTTTGCCGTTGCAATCGCGAGGACGGGAAAACGTCGATGTTTGTCGATGCCGCTGCAGAATGGAAGCGCTAATGGGGTATCTCCAAGGAATTAAAATCTCAGGTTCAAGGCAGAAGGTGAAGTCCAAGTGTGTTGGAAAGAGTGAGGCGCATTTGAGGGTCTCGTGTGAGGTTCTGGATCAAGAAAGCACTTGAGTCGCAGCGCTTGGTGACGTAAGGTAGGATGCGCAAGAGCCACAGCACTCCAAAGTCTCGATGCTGTGGCGGTGCCGTGCGCCACAGATATCCCTTGGTCTCCTGACTGTGATTGAGCAATTGTGGAAAGAGATGCGGAGACGGAGAACTGCGATTCAGGTCAAGCTGGTCACATGTTATTATCGACGAACTCGGATGTCTGTTTGTTAGATGAGTCCTTGCTGACTGGGCCGAGTTGAGAACTTTCTGGAAGCCGCCCCTCAGGCTAGCGACGTAGCGTGTCTGCCTCAGGCATCAAAGACATATGAGGGCCATTAGCTTGCACGTGAAAGCGTCCTACCAGCTTAGAGCAATCCATGCTATGCATAACTTCCAACTCCGCTGCTGAGCCCACTCGTGAGATCTCCTACCTGTCCGCTACTGAAAGAGCTGAGACAGCGGATCTTCTAGGTCTAGGCAACTGAATATCGCTGTGCCGACCTATACGAGAACGATGGGTTTGTCTCCAGGCGTCATTACGAGCCAGCGCGTAGGCGAAATGTCAAGTCATCAAATCGAATCTCTAGATCGCTGGTAGAGTCGTGAGTCGAGAACATGCGTGCGTACATCGCTGATATGTAGGCGAGGCTCGTCGCTCGGATCTTTGTGGAGCTCGTACATCGCTTCAAATGAGTGAAGCATGCATGCGTGACGCAACGGCTTTCGATCTTGTTGACAATGATACATCTAATTGTTGTTGGGGTGGGAAAAGGCAATGGCGCACGCAGAGAGAACTTGTAGATGGAGTGTCCATCAGTTCGCCGGTACTACTTACTAGATTTGTAACCTCGTCGGATGGACCATCCTGCCTAGCGAAGCAAAGGCAGCACGGTGAGTAAGAGGTAGCTTTCCGAAGAAAGCTTGGGAGTCAATCTCCCTTGCACCAAAATAGGCCCAGACCAAGGAGGAGAGGGTAGAGGCCAGAGTGTTGGCAAGGTTGGGGATGTGAAAATGAGACAAGGAAATTGGACGGCGGGCGTAAAGTTCGCATTGTATCAGGTATCGTATCCCATAATGGTCCATCGTCTTGGATGGCCAGCAAGCGCCGAACGCCACCATGCCGACTTTTCGTGACTTCAATTCAAGCACCCCTGCTTAGGATATGGCTGCATTTACTCCTCAGGGATCTCGATCTCGCCGTTTTCAATGTCGTCAGAGATATCCTTGGGGCTACGGCCGTCGACCTTGCAGCCGGTGGAGAAAGCAGTTCCGAGGATCTCCTTGACGGTACCCTTGAGGTCCTTGGACATGGACTTGAAGCGCATCTTGCGAGCAATCTCAATGATCTCGTCAAGAGGGATGGACTTGGTGTGCTTGATGTTCTTCTCCTTCTTGCGGTCTCGCGGGGGCTCCTTGAGGGCCTTGATGACGAGGGAGGAGGCAGATGGGACGACGGAGACGGCGGCTTGACGGTTCTTGATGGTGAGGCGGACGGTCACACGCAGACCTTTCTGTTTAGCCTGTTAGAGATGGGGAGCCCCATATGCAACCGTACTGCTGCGATACGTACCCAATCACCAGTGGCCTTCGCGATATCTTCACCGACCTTCTTGGGGGAGAGACCAAGAGGACCGATCTTGGGGGCGAGGGCGGAGGAAGCACCGACTTCACCTCCGGTGGCACGGAGGTGAATGACCTTCTCCTCGTTGGGGTCGAACTTTGGCGCTGATGGGGATGGTCAGCGGGTTTGTGTTCAGCCAGCGGCTGCAGCCATGCATCGAGAAGCGCGATACTTACCCATGGCTAGTGAGTAAGGTAGTCTGCGTCGACTCGGTGGTGATGAGACGAGGAGGAGAAGTGTTGCTTGACTTGGGCGAGCTCGTCTGAGGAGGAAGAAGTCAAGCTTGGAGGGAGGTTCAGGTCTGGCGAAAAAGGTGTGCGTCGGTCTCGGATCTTAGCGGGAGGGGCCGCAGCGAAGCATCTTTTGGGGAAGTGCGCCCTGAGCCAGTCACGGCAATTGGGGGTCAGCCAGATGCCCGAGCGATGTGAATGGATGGACGTTGACGACGCGGCGGCATTACTTGAACAAGGCATCGCTGCACTGTTCGTGCTGGATGCAGTCGCGTGTACAGGACCTCACCGCCCTTACATCCGCTCGGCCTCAGATCGCTCTCTGAATCACAATGGCACGCGGACGGTAGAATATTCACCGTAGGTCCAGTGTGCAGTATCCATCGTTGGCGTGGTGTGGGGAGTGCGACAGCTCGAGGCAACCTAAAGCATACTTATAGCTATCCGCCCGAAACACGCAAAAAGTAAACACGCCGCACCAGACTGCGCAGACGCAAGCACACCCCACCATGGCCTCCAATGCAGAGCCCAGAGACGACAGCTCTGGAGCCACAAGCCCTACGAGTCCTCCGAGTAGCAATCCGCCTTCGCGACAAGGCCATCGACATACTCCCTCGCATCCTTCGCATCTGAGGCAAGCGCACATGCCTCCCGAATCGCCGGACGACTCGCGAAAGGACAAGGATCTGGCAGCAGACGGCGTTGAGCCTCAAGACCATGCTACAACCGACATCGATTCGGATGCGACGCAGCAGCAGGGCACCACTGACGAGCCTTCTGAGGCCGTCGATGCGCGGACGAGATTGCTAGAGAATTACGATTCGTTCAAGACAAGGCCGAGATACCAACATGGATATGGATCGTTCGCTAGTAGCCATACGGGAACAGAGACCGGCAGCTTCGAGCAGGCCAGAGGTGCCTTTCACAGGCCGAGTCTTGGCGGCCGCCAGCCTACAGACACGCACATGGGTAGTGCTGGGCTGGTGGAGAACTACGTGCCAGACTCCGTCACAGACGGGCTGCTGGGGAAGCCCAAGAAGACCGGCACAACACATTGGCTGGCACAACGGGCAGGCATAAAACATGAGAGGTTGATGTATGTGGTTGAGTTGGAGTCCGAAGTTCTATTTCACCGCTTCCAGACCACTCTCGTATATCACACACAATCATGCTGATGTCTTACAGGTACATCTTCTACTACTTACCCTTCACGAATTGGATACGGCAATATCGGTGGAAGTTCTTCCAAGGAGACTTCATCGCTGCACTAACCATGGCAAGCTTCTACATCCCGATGGCGCTGTCTTACGCGGCGAATCTCAGTCATATGCCGCCCATCAACGGGCTGTATGCCTTCGTGTTCAACCCCTTCTTCTACGCCCTACTTGGCACTTGTCCTCAGATGGTTGTAGGACCCGAGGCTGCTGGGTCCCTCCTCGTGGGAAGCGTTGTCACGGAAGCAATCAAAGCAGGTCACTTCAAGGACGACGATGGCATGAAGGCGGGACAAGTTGGAGGAATGGTAACGGGTCTCGCGGGTGCTATTATCTTGATCGCTGGCATTCTCCGTTTAGGCTTCCTGGACAGTGTCCTATCACGGCCCTTCCTCCGAGGTTTCATCAGTTCGATCGGTCTGGTGATCTTCGTCAATCAGCTTGTGCCAGAAATGGGTCTCGATAAGTGGGCCGCGAAGTCGGAAAAAGCCCATGGATCGCCTCTGGAGTCACTCATATTCATATTTGAAGATATCGACAAGGCGCACAAGCTCACGTGTGCTGTCAGCTTCGGTTCTGTTGCCATCATTCTGGTCCTGAGAGAACTCAAGCGGCGACTACAACCAGTCCAGAAACTAGGCTGGGTGGTATACATTCCTGATCGCTTCATCATTGTCGTGCTTTCTGCAGTGTTTGCGTGGCGGTTCAAGTGGGAGGAGAAGGGTGTTGATCTTATTGGAGACATTCGGCCACCAGAGGGGGTTCGACTCTTCGAGCCACACTTCCCATTCGACCAGCACAACTTTAAGCATGTCAGCGATGCATTCGAAACAGCTTTTATCGTGGCTCTCCTAGGCTTCTTCGAGAGCTGTGTTGCTGCGAAGAGCTTGGGCTCGGGCAAAGTCAAGGTAAATACGGTCGAGAAGAAACACAAAGACGGCACCGTCGAAGAAGTTGAAGAGGCAGACGGCATTCGTGGGATGGTAGTCTCGTCAAACAGAGAGCTGGTTGCACTGGGTGTGGCCAACGTCATTGGCGGATTCTTCATGGCCATCCCGGCTTTTGGAGGTTATGGCAGAAGCAAGGTCAACTCGAGCACAGGTGGCAAGACACCGATGAGCAGTATTCTGCTCTCTGCCTTCACACTCTTGTGTGTCTTCTTCCTGCTGCCATACTTCTACTTCATTCCGGTAAGAGAATAGCCTCCCTCACTTACAAATCATCCCACTAACCCATCCCAACAGAAGGGCGTCCTCTCCGCCATGATAACCGTGGTTTCCATCTCCCTCCTCGAAGAAGCACCCCACGACATCTACTTCTTCTGGAAAATCGGCGGCTACATCGAACTCTTCCTCATGCTTCTCGTCTTCCTCACCACCTTCTTCTGGTCCCTCCGAGGCGGCATCATCGTCGGCATCATCTTCTCCCTCATCCGTCTCCTCAAACACAGCACGCGCCCGCGGATCCAAATTCTCGGCCGCATTCCGGGCACCAACGAATTCGAAAACGCGGAGATGCTGTCGCAGGACGGCAACGTGGAATTGATCCCGCACTGTCTCATCGTCAAGATCCCCGAACCGCTGACGTTTGCCAACACGGGGAGTCTGAAACATCGGCTCAAGAGGCTGGAAGACCACGGCACGAACTACGCGCACCCCGCCCTGCCCAGCGTGCGGAGCAAAGAGCACAACCAGAACGTCATCTTCGACATCCACGGCGTGACGGACCTGGACTACGCGGCCGCGCAGGTCCTCAGCGAGATCGTCTCCGACTACATCGAAAACGGGACCGTCGTCTTCTTCTGCCGCATCCCGAGCAAGAAGTCGAAAGTGTGGCTGCTGATGGAACGCAGCGGGATCGTGGAGACGTGTGGCGGGGAGGGGAAGTTTTTTAAGAATGTCGAGCAGGCGTTGCGGGCTACGGAGAAGAACGGCACGTTTTTTGAATTCTCTCAGGGCTTCGCAGGCGATGGGGATGGGGATGGGGATGGGGATGGGGATGGGGATGGGGATGGGGATGGGGATGATGGGGAGATGGCTGGCGGGGAGGAGAGTGGGAGTAGTTCGCAGACTACGGATGTGGAGTCGGGGTCTGGGTTTGGGAGGAGGAGGAGGAGGCTATCTCGACGGGAAGTGGAAACCTGAGGGACGAGAGGAGAGAATACCTCATTAGAGGATACAGGGTACAGGAGGGGGGAGGGGGGTTGGTTCGGATTATCATCATTGCTACGATTTGTATGGGCATGGGACCTACCTACATACGACAGCCAGCGGGGATATCTTGGTTCGCACATTCTGTACATACATACATACATACGATTGTGAATCCGACGAAACGAACCGAACGAGGGATAGATGTCTTCCTTTCCATTCTATCCGTCCCCCCCGACGTGTCGTGAAAAAGAAGACATTGGAGGCAATAAGCTTCCACGTCGATCGCCAAGCCACCCAGCAATCTAAGGTATCTCGCTTATAATGGAGAGTTCACTGAGGTGCTGATCGATCGGACCACACGGGAACTGGCACGGTTTTAAAGCTCTCGCTCTCCAAAACCTTGAACACCTCACCTATCTAGGTATACTAGTACCTTACACCTCGCGAAGAAGAGTCCAAGTCGTCATACCATCCCCCACCTGTGATAGACCGTCCGCAAAGCACCACTTTGCATCTCAAGCCAACAAGCCATCGATCTATCCATGCAAGACAACGACAACGACAATGATGCAATGTCCGTCACCGTCACCATTGCCGGAGCGGGAATCTCGGGCCTCGTGCTAGGCCGCTGTCTGCAGCAAAGAGGAATCAAAGCAATCCTCTACGAAAAGAGTAAACCTCTCACGGCGACGAATCGGAACAATTATGGAATCACGCTACAAGCTACGTCTTACCGGCCTCTTTTGAGAATTTTGGGGTTGGAGGAGGGTGCTTTTCGCAGGAAAGTCGCGGTTGACGGAGCTGTGGGAGGGACCGGGCGGGTTGTTGTTGTTGGGGGGGAGGACGACGGGGCTTTTCGTGCGAATCGGAATAGGTTGGAAGGCTTACTGGCGGAGGGACTGGATGTGAGATGGGAGAGGGAGATTCAGGGTGTGCAGGCGTCGGCGGAGGGGGAAGGGATGGTGGAGGTGGAGTTCAGCGATGGGACCAAGCATCAGACTCGGATGCTGGTGGGTGCGGATGGCGTGCATTCGCAGGTCAGAAAGGCGACTGCGCCAGAAGTGGGGTTCAAGATCTTGCCGTTTGCGGTCTATAATGGCAAACGCAAGATGGGTGCGGACGCTTTCCGTTGTGATTTGGCTCCGAGCTTTCGAGATGGCAATGTTCTCCAGCAGCGGGTTGGCAATGTATTGCTTCAAGTGTCGATCAACGAGCGGACAGAGGACGAGGTCAGCGTCAGCTATACATACTCTAGGCCAGCTGCGTCGGACGATGATCCGCTCTATCGGCCTCACAGAGCCAAGTCAGAAGCCAGAGAGATGCCGGAAGTGTTATTCTCGGAGATTGATGCTCTCAAAGGGCGGCTTCAGGAGCCATACGCGGCCGTCTTCGACAGTGCTGCAATGAAACAAGATCGAATGTTGCATTGGCTCATGAGGACGTTGCGAGTCGAGCAGCATCGGGTGACGAAAGCAGTTCAAGATAACATAGTGTTGATTGGAGAAGCTGCTCACGCTGAGCCAATCCTTGGAGGCCGCGGAGGGAGCGAAGCGATCGAGGACGGGATGGAGCTTGCATTGATGCTAGCAGAACATGGAAAGAACGGCCTCGGAAAATTCTTGTCGAATCGAAAGGCTTTCTGGGACCAGGGCATCCAAGAGAGTGAAGTCGGGATTGCCGAGATGCATGGGACTTCCCGGTCAAGCCTATGAAGGACGTCAGATGTATGTATCTTTCAAGGAATAGCTTCTTGCCATCCGTCGACGGTCGTGTGTGTGAAGGCAACGGTGCTTATTAGGTAGTTGATCCGCTGTTGCTCCACAGCGACTATCAGATGACGGAGTGGGTTTGTGCCTATCCATGCAATACGCCGTACATCTCTGAAGATCTCGTTGGTCATCCCAGAGCATGTTGCTGTGTTTGTTGCGGTACGTACCTTGGCGAGCCTGCAGATCGCCACGAGATCGCCTGGAATGCCAGCGGACATTGCCGCCGAGTACGCGCGCGAGAGTGGTTTGTGCGACGCTCTTCAAGGTGGCGATCCAGTTCTGGGTGCGCTGTGACGGTACCTGCGCTAATGGCACCCGAGATGGAATGCAGTATGTGACAACGGCAGGTGCAAGGATGACAAGCACGTCAGAGTGGGCATGATCCACGAGAAATTCGACGTTTCGGTGGCCGAACGGAGTGTTGTTGGTGGGAGGGGTGGCGGGACACAGCATATGATTGTTTGACCAGGCGCCCGAAGCAGATCCGAGCAGGGTGACTGGGAGATTCCTTTGAAAAGGATGTGTGTAACCCGAGACCCAAGCCACGGTGGTGGTGCACTTGTACACGTGACACCATGTCGGTACCATGTCGCCGGTCTGTTTCGCATACCGAACTCAACCGACCTGAATCGCAGCGTCGACAGCAGTGGCCCATCTCACGTGCACGAAGATGGTGACAGGGTGGGTGGGTGGTGGATTGCTCAGCTGGGGAGGATGCAGTAGCGTCATGCGCCGCAGCCGATCCAGCACCAATCCGACGGCCGACGTGGAGTCGCGGATGTCGACGTCGACGTCGACGTGGACGTGGACGTGGACGTGGACGTGGACGAGCGGGCGGGCGGGCGGGCGGCGAGGTTGTGATCGCAATTCGGGGTGAGCTGCGAGAGATAATGTGGTAAGGTAGCGGAGAGCCTGGCCTGGCCTGCGGGCGTTTCAGCTGCACACACTCTGTCAAGTCAAGACTCAAGACGCTGCGCTGCACTGCGCATGGCCAGAACTCTCACACTCTCTGTGCTCTCATATCGGGACCCTGCCTGCCCTGCACACTGCACACTGTGCCCTGTGCCCTGTGCCCTGTGCCCTGTGCCCTGTGCCCTGTTCGCCGGTCCGGCCTGCTTACCTTACTGTAGGCTGAGTCTTCCAACAACCACCACCACCACCACCACCACCTCTATCATCACCACCACCACCACCACTCCTCTCGCCCACACCTCCCTCGCGACCTCCACCGCCCGTCCCCGCGCCCGGACACGACGACGACCACGACCACGAGCACGACGACCACGACGACGACGACCACGCACACGGCGAGCCCACCCTTCCACCACCGGCACGCAGCAGCAGGCACGGCGGGAGGGCACATGGCTCATTCCCCGTCTCACAATCAGCACTGCAACTTTCCGACCGCTGAGTAGGCATCCGTACGAGACTCTTCACGTATCCATCCCATACCGCTGCCCATCCTTGCCGCCGAAGCAACAGCACCCGCCCGGTCCGCTGCTGCTTGCATGTATCAGGATCCTCGCACAAGAAATAGCCCGCCACCCTGGTAGCAGCTGGACACAGCGCATTCCGACCACTCGCCGCAGAGAGGGTGGAAGGAAACAGCACATCGACTGCCGTCGTACACCCTTGCCGCGCAGCATTTGCTTCTCCCCAGAATAAACGTTGACCGTTGTCTCCCGCTGGTGCAGCTGGCCCAGAACCGACGGTCTGTCTGGTCAGCCTGCAACTCAAGTGACTGACAAGAGGCAATCCATCTCCGCATTCCCCTTGCGTGCACGGAGACGCGCTGCTCTGTGCAGCCCATGGATGCGACTTCCCGCCGCCCACTGTCTCCCCGTCCGCTCGACTTTCGGCTGCCCGCTGCTGCCCGTCGCTAATCTATCCGTTCTGGTGTGCTCGACACGTTTGGCGGCCCTTCTTCCTCCAGACCATCGCTGAGTGTGCCGAGTGTGCCAGACGTTGGCATTTTTGGGGCCATAGTTGGAACCGGGCCTTGGTCACGCGGCTCTTGCGAGGTCTTGGAAAGGCAGGGGAAAGATCGATCTGGTTGCTACGGCACATGGTCCAACAGTCTGCGAGATGTCATGCATGGTCGATGCGAAAAGCGATCGCAAAGGTATAGGCACCTGTCCCCACCGGTGAGACAGCACGTTTTCTTCGGCGCAGCGTCCTGACGCGCTGAGGAGCTACTCACTGAGCCACCATGAGCGCCGACGTCTCGCCCTCTAACTACATTCCACCGCACGCAGACGCTTTCTCCCACCCGGGCCTGGCAGGTCCAGTGGATGGTATGCCGTATCTCACACAACGGTACGCATTGCCCATCCACCAGCCCGGTTTTCGCGGCGACAGCCATGACGCCACGAGTAGTGGTGGAGAGCGTACGCCTCTTGCCGAAAATACACTACGAAGAAAGACGCCCAACGGCACTCTGAACGCTGGCTACGATGCTTCTGCGGACCACCTGACTCCGCCGCTCAAGCATCAGCTTCTTCCTCTTGGCGAGGACCACAGTTCGAGACTAGTATCAGGCTCTGCCCAGAGCGGCCAGCGAACCTTTCTTCAACATCAGCATCAGCAACAACAGCGGCAGAACGCTGGCTTTGGAGGATGGAGCACTCCCAACGCACTAGGCTGGCAGGGTGGACAGTTCACGCCCTCTCCAAGCGCATTCCCTGTCATGGATTCAATGTTGAGCCAAGGCTTACCGCCGCAGCATATGAACATACAACAGTACTATGGTCAAACAGTCCCGAGCGTCATACAGCCTTCTTTCCAGTATCTTGGCCCTACTGCGTCTGGCGGGCAAGGCTCTGGGCCGTACGGTCCGTACTGGCATGACGGCACTTTTGTCCCTTACAGGCCCGCCGCAGTCCGCGATCCGCGATTCTATCAACATACGGTCGGTCATTTCGCAGGTTCGCTTCCAAGCTCCCAACTTGCCTACCAAGCAAATCTCTGGCAGCAACAGAATTCGGGCCAGAGCCCATGGACACCGGCGCAGGGTGTACCTCCCTACACACCTCCGGCTCTCAACTTCCCCTCAGCACCTCACCATGGCCACGTTGGTGCTGGGTTTGCGTCTGGCAATCACATGCTACCTAGTGGCGGACATTTCAGCGCGGCACACCAGAGCCCAATGTCTTCATTACCCTATGCACCGAATGATCAGTACCGTCCGTGTAACGTCGATGACGAGTACGGGCCAACGTCACCCAACGGACGGCAGCGTGACAAGACTTTCCAATGGGCATTGCAACAATATAGAGATCTGATTGGCTACATTCACCATACGAGAAGCCATCATCAACAAAGCAGACAGGCCAATGGTCAACACCACGTCTCTCATCGGCCAAGCTTTTATCCTAAACCTCCACGACAGTCGGCTTCTGGATCCTCGTTGCAGCTTTCGAAGGCGAAAGCGGACTCTGATGCTCTGACTACTAACAGCGACGAGGATCCACCCATTAGCCCATCCAACACTGTCAAGGCTGTGAATGTTGATCGAAGTAGCAACACCCCGAAACCACATCCTATCTCCGTATGGTCACCTTCAGGGGTACACTTCCACGACAACGAATATCATCGACGTGCTTCTCACGACCAATCCCATGGCCCAACTCAGCTGCCGGCTCATCTACTCCTTCACCAGCCGGATAAGAGTCGCACGCTACGTCGCTCGACCGGTTCCTCCATTTCATCGATCGTCTCGCCCGTACCGCACGACGATTCTCCTCCCTCGCGCGCGAGCCAAGCTTTACAGCATATCACGAGGCTTTGCCAAGGAACAGACTGGCAATGGACCGACGGGATGCATCTGGGTGGTTGTTTAGCGTATGGTCTTGGCAACTATCAGAAGGCCTTGCGTTGGTACACAAAGGTCTTGGAGCGCGATCCGAAGCACTTGGAGGCTACTTCAAACATGGCCGCAACCCTCTTGGCACTCGGCCAGCGGCTAGAAGCAGAACAGCACTGGATGCAGGTCATCAAAGTCGCCCCAAACCATTTTGAAGCAGTGGAGCATCTTGTGGGACTATTGTGCAACGAGCAGCGGAGCAAAGAGGCAATCAAGGTCATTGAGTATGTCGAGCGCTCACTCAGGCAACCAAAGAGCTCAGATACGCTCAGGGCGTCAGATCGACAGAGCGAGTGTTCTTCATCCACTGCGAGCCGGTCTCCCTGCATTTCAGAAAAGTCTGACAAGATTCTGTACGACTTCGATGCGGACGGCGAAGGGCTTTCAAACGAGTGGCGCGACACGTCTGGAGTCGCAGAGCCGGGATTTGGATCGAGCGGATTCGCGGTCCCAGGTGCCGACAATGGTCGTATTCTAGCGCTGATTCACGCCAAAGGCAACATGCTCTATGGACTCGGCGACAACGCAGGCGCAGCGCGAGCATTCGAGGATGCAGTCCTCATTGCCACTGGGCGCAGCTTTGAGAGCATACAAGGCCTTGTCAAGCACATACTAACCGTGGTTACGTCTACAGTCCAGCTACGGGCACAGCATCAGGGGAAAACGATGCCGTCTTCATCATCTGCGCCTATCCTATTATCACCCGAGCAAGCACTGGCCACTGCAAAGTTGTGTTTTCCGTTTGGTGGGGAGCTGCCTGGACTGCGTTTCGTCTCGGGTGGAGTTCAAAATCTAGCCCGCAAAGCGGTCATGTCCACCACCAGCAACTCGCTGCTTTCTCTGGCGAAGATTTTCCAAGACGGTATGTCGAATGCGCATCGCTGCGCTGGGGTCACTCCGCTCGCGCACGGCGTGCGAGACATACTTGCGCTCTACTACTTGTCACTCTCGTTGCAGCCAAGCCCTTCGACGGCCAACAACGTCGGCATACTGCTTGCGAGCGTACAGCAAGCTGCTAGACCGACGTCTTCACATCAGAAGATCGATATCCCTGGCGTGGCGCCTGGGAGTGGCATTGCACTAGCGCTGCAGTACTACAACTACGGCTTGCAGCTGGATTCGCACCATGCGCACCTCTACACTAACCTTGGTAGCTTACTGAAAGACATTGGCCAGTTGGACGCTGCCATCAACATGTACGAGCGCGCGGTCAAGTGTGACGGTAAATTCGATATTGCTCTCGCTAATCTCGCGAATGCCGTCAAAGACAAGGGTAGGATCAGCGACGCCATTGGTTACTACAAAAGAGCAGTGGAGGCCAGTCCGGAGTTTGCAGAAGCTGTCTGCGGTCTAGCAAATGCCCTCAATTCTGTCTGTGCTTGGCAAGCGCGAGGAGGCATTGCTGAAGATGGAGGGAGACGAGACAGATGGCATGTGGACGCCAATGGCATGCTTCTCGATGCACGACAACCTGGTGCCACAAGCTCAGGTTGGATCAAGCGCGTCGTCGAAATCGTAGAAAAGCAGTTGGTCGAGGGTGAAAACTGGGGCCGCGGAAGCCTGACAACCAATGTCCTCGAGGAAATTCTACAGCAAGTCACCATTCTCGATGGACAGGAGGAAGACGCGAAAGACCGTGCTCAGAGCTTGAAGAAAACTACGACGGAATGGATGGGACAGAAGTGGGAAGGAGCAAGAGTCACAAGATTGATCGAGCGTGCGACGAGGCGCATAGGATGGCACTGGTACCGCGACACTTACGTGAGCGGGAAACAACGCACACCTTCGAGTTACAATCGGCCTCAACTGCCGTTGGCATTGACGGTCCCAACGGCGCCGACTGTCCTGCCGTTTCATACCTTCACCTGCCCAATGTCGGCAAAACAGATCCGACTCATATCCCAAAGAAATGGCCTGCGGATATCTGTTTCGACGCTGCGCTCACCCTGGCTGCCCAAGCAAGTCTATCCACCGCCTGGACCGCCCACTCCCTGCCTACGTGTGGGCTACGTATCGTCCGACTTTAATAACCATCCTCTTGCGCATCTTATGCAGTCCGTCTTTGGTCTCCATGACCGTAGTCGGGTTGAAGCATATTGCTACGCGACGACTGCCGGCGACAACTCGGTCCATCGTCAACAGATCCAAAGGGAAGCGCCAGTATTCCATGATGCCAGCTCGTGGTCGATGGAGAAGCTGGTCAAGCAGATCGTACTGGATGGCATTCATATTCTCGTGAATCTCAACGGATACACCAGAGGTGCTCGAAATGAAGTCTTTGCAGCTCGGCCTGCCCCAATCCAGATGTCTTTCATGGGCTTTGCTGGCACCCTCGGAGCAGAATGGTGTGACTATTTGTTGGCAGATGAGACTGCCATTCCCGTTGATACTCTCCGACCGTGGCGACGAAATGTTGATGTCGAAGACCAGTTGGTGGATGAGAATAGCGGTAGCGAGAACAACGATTGGGTCTACGGCGAGAACATCATCTACTGCCGGGATACATTCTTCTGCTGCGATCATAAACAGAGCGCGCCGGACGCACTGGAGAAGCGAATCAGTTGGGAGGAAGAACAGAAACGTCGGTGGAAGATGCGAAAAGACCTCTTCCCTCAGATCTCGGACGACACGATCATCTTTGGCAACTTCAACCAGCTCTACAAGATCGAACCAACGACGTTCCGGACATGGCTGCGCATTCTGGCACGCGTGCCGAACTCGATCTTATGGCTCCTGCGCTTCCCCGACCTAGGCGAGTCTCACCTGCTGGCGACCGCTCGCATGTGGGCTGGTGCAGAAGTTGCCTCGCGCGTCGTCTTCACCGACGTGGCGCCCAAGCATCTGCACATTTCGCGTGCACGTATTTGCGATCTCGTCGTGGACACGGCAGAGTGCAACGCACATACCACTGCGGCGGACGTACTGTGGAGCGGCACCCCTCTGCTGACGCTACCACGGTACGCGTACAAGATGTGCAGCAGGATGGCCGCCAGTATTCTCAAGGGAGCCCTTCCCAAGGATGACGAAGGAAAGCGCGCCGCGGAGGAACTCGTGGCCGAGGACGAAGAAGACTATGAGGAGAAGGCGGTCGCTCTGGGTCGCTCTTTCTCCTACATTGCCGGGAGTGATGGCGTTGGACGGGGCAGGTTGGGGGAATTGCGGAAGATGCTTTTCCATGCGCGCTGGAGCAGCGCTTTGTTTGATACCAACCGATGGGTTCGCGATTTGGAAGATGCCTACGATGAATCGTGGAAGCGATGGGTCTCTGGCGATGGGGGCGATATCTGGTTGGACCGGGTGCCCCGTCGCGAGGACAAGGGGGCATGAGCGTCGGCGTCTGGTTTATGAGTGTTTTGAATTGGCGCATGTTGGGGCGTTTCTAGGGGAACGGGGAAGGGATATAGAGCTGGGAGGAGGAGTTTTTACGAGATTTCTTTTTTTTTCTTGTTTTTGGGAAGCGGTCGTTTCGAATACCCACGGCGCTTTGTGGTGGATGAGAGAGGTGAGAGAGAGAGAGGGCTATATCCGCGGAGCATTATTATATCATTTTTGGGATTCCTGTTTTCACACATCGCCTGTTGTCGGCTCTCTTACATCATCGGGCTTGTGACTCTGATATCAGTCCTTCTCTCTCTCTCTCTCTTCGCACATTTTTCCGTGCTGGCGTATCTGCTCGTGCAAGCTGTATGTACCTTGGCGACGCGAAGTGCAATCGACTGTCGCTCTAGATTCGAAGATGGCGGACCACACGACGACGTACCATCCCTTCTCCTCGCGTGAGTTATATTAGTGCCGAGGAGACGAAACCACTGGTTTGCGTCTTGACGACGGGATGGAACACTTGATGATCGAGTGAGTGGACTGCTCACTTGCCGATTGCGATGGCGCAGAGTCACCGGCCGGCGGCTATAATAGCACTGCAGTGCACGACACGGCACGCAGAGATCTAGGGCAGAAGGGAAGAAGAGCCTTTGAAATCGCAGCACGAGTCCTGATGATGATGATGACTGCGTGGCCATGGTGCGTGTGTAGCGTAGCGTAGCGTAGCGTGGTTACCTGCCGGTAGCTCAATAACAGCTGGCTGTTATGATCAGCCAACGCTCTGTCTCCCTCATGCGCGCAAGCAGGCTGGCTGGCTTTTTCCGGCGCGGGAACTGGGACGAATAAATTTCAAATGCATTTTCCTGATGATGATGGAGTGGCGAGGACGGATCGAGCGCAGCCCCGGCCGGTCGAATATGTACATGTTGGGGTTCTACATGCTTCATTTGGCAATATGTCCTGAAGAGGATGTGTTGCGAAGCGCGGCAATCATGCCATGTTGAGGCAGCTTCTTCTTCATTTCTTCTCATGATTGTGTGTTGTCTTGTGACTTCAAGAGGCTCCCGTTGGACTCGTGTCCGGTTGATGGGGAAGGGAAGTTGCTGGAGTTCGTCGTTGTCGTGCTCGTGCGTGGGCGCCGATGACGATACGGTCCAGCATGGCCCATCACAGCATTGTCGTGCTCCACAGATCTCGTCCTGCCTGCACGATGCGCAACGGGCGAGCCGCTGCAACGTGATCGTTGGCACGTTTGGGTATAAGGGCGGCGAGTAGCTCGTTCTGTGGTTTGTGGGTTGTTGTGCGAGGCGTGCGTCTTGTGCGCGGTCGCGCGCGGCAAGCTGCACACTGCACACGGCACACGGCACACGGCACACTGCACACTGTATCGGACGCCTGCACTCGACCAGCCGTCCTGTTCGCAAGAACATGGCAGCGAGCTTCAACGGCTTTCTTCACGTTGACCATTGGAAGCACGACGCATGCCCGTGCGTGTCGGGCACGGCCGGCGCTGTCGAGTCTGAGTTTGCTAGCGGAGCGCTTGTGCGACCACGAGGCAGTCGCGAAGTGTGAAAGCGATAGTGTTTCCGCTACTGGTGAAGTGGGCAATTGCAGCACACAGTGTGCAGGGCCAGTGTGCCAGGGAAGGGAAGCGGGCCGGGCAACGTTCGGCCGGTAGAGGCGTCGTCACACATCCTGGATTGGCATCCAGCAGCAGGCAAGTGTGTAGATTCTGTTCCCAGCCGATCAAGCCAACCATTCCACTCTGCAAGGCTTCGTCGCCAGAGCCCAAAGGTAAGGTATCCATCCAGGCCAGGTCAGGCGACGCTGGGAGTCGCAGTCGATGCAGTCGTACCTACAGTACCGTTAGTACTGCTACGTTCGCCGCGGAATCGGATCTGATCGATCCGCCAGACGCACGCTCGCTTATCTTGACCGAAGAAGGCGAGCGAGGCGAGGCGCCAGTCCTGCATCATGCAGCCGGAGTTTTGCGGAGCGTGTGGATCATCCAGATCCACTGACAGACTGCAGTGCCATCGTGAGTCGCGCGTCCTGCTGTGCTGTTGCACGCCGCGCTGCATTGGATCGCTTGCGCAGAGCAAAGAGCTGCAGCTGCGCGAGTCGTACGTCCAGGTCCAGCCTCGGCGGCGTTGACGACAACAATGCGCAGGGAGAGGCAGCATTCGCGGGCGCGAGGACAATGGCATGGCATGAATGTGTGAATGGATGGTATTCTGGTTCGGGCGAGGATTTGCTGCGAGAAGTTAGCCGCTCACCGGCGGCACAGCATCGGCCCAGTGGCACTTGGCGACATGTCACCTTATCACTTATTATTATGTGAGGTTTGCCCGGTAGGAGGGACGCAACGACGCACGCAGACCGGGATGCTGTATCTGCGATCTCGGTTCGCAGGGTCAGCCGATCAAGCCGATCTGCGCTTACCGCCTGTGGTGTGTGTAATGCTGGCAACTCTATCTATTTCAAATCGTCGGGGCGGATCGCCTCTGCCATCCCTCCCCAAACAACCATCACCAGCAGAACACAAAAAGCCCCGTCTTCCAGCATGATTCTGACGCGAACTGACGCGAAATGCAATGCAGATCGCTGTCCGGGCGCGCAACTCTCACGAGGATTGACATCTCTCTCAGTCATTATTCTCGTGATCCCACTCTCAAGGCGCCATTTTACACCCAGGGCAGCTTCCGACTGTGAATGCCGAAGGTCGGTGCTGCCGGCGGGAGGAACGCCGAGAGAAGGGCGTACTGTAGCGTAGGCAGAGGCATAGGCGTCCAGTAGACGCGTCGGCGTGGGCGTGGGGCGTGTGATGCGGCGTGCAGAACAGAGGCCCCGAAAGCAGGGATGTGATCGGCTCGTAGATCCCCATCAGTCGATTGAGGCTCTCCTTCTGCTTTGAGCACCTCTGTCGGCTGCTTTCGGCCGCATGGCGCTGTGGCGTGCACTTGGACAGGAGCCGAAATGAGATGTGCACCGCCACGCCACGTCTGGGCGACCTCGAGTCTGTTGGAACGGGCCATGTCTGCCAGCTGCCGCCGCGACGCTGTGTGCTGATGAGTGCTGTGAAGGGGTCGTCTAAAAATGCTTCAGGGACAAGGTTGGACGGTTAGATCCAGCAGGCACACCACCACCACCACCACACACAGCCACTGCTGCTACGATCTCCCAGGTGTGTGTGCGTGCACGACATCACGTCCTCGGCGCCGTACCCAGGGTTCGCAAGCAGCGCTGTTGGCTTGCTGGTGGGCCTCGAACCAGGCAGCTGTGCGGCCAGCGGTGCGGATGGGCAAGGAGACGTCCTCGTTGCCGGAGAGCATGTTGATGCCCTGTGCGAGGTGAGCAGGCCACGGATCGTGTATCGTGCTCACATGCCAGACAGGCACAGGAGAAAGATCAGGGAAGCATCTCATCAATGTCTCCACATCGATCGGCGCAGACGGGAACGTTAGACCGGAGGATTGTTGTGGTCAGCGGCTGCTCCGAGACCGCGTCGCCCCGTATGCATCGCGTCTAGGAGAGGGCACGATAACAGGCAGCGCAGGCGCAGGCGCAGGCGCAGGCGCAGGCCCACAGGTTGGCAGGTTGGCAGGTTGGCAGGGTGTGTCGTGTCGACCATGGAGTGGGAGGTGGCATGGGCCTCCCTGCTCCTTCTGTGGCGGGCCCGCTCCGCGTACTGCAACGACGACCAGCAGGACGGATCCCGGGACCGGCCCTTTCTGTCACCCAGAACCTGTCGTCGGGTCGTGGCCATACCCCCCGCCCGTGGTAGGCAAACGTACATGTACTGACTGACATGACGTGCCGTTGGATGAGAACATCGCTGCAGCAACTCGAGTCCTGCTGGTAATAATGGGTGATGCCAGCCAGCCAGCCAGCCAGCCAGACGAGAGACGTCACAGCACAGCACAGCACAGCACAGCACAGCACACAGTAACAAACTGCACGCAGCGCATCGCCGACGCCTCCCCATCACGATGCTCGCCCGCCGCACGAGAAGGCCAGGCCGGGCCAGGCCAGTCCAAGCAAGTCAAGTCAAGTCAAGTCAAGTCAAGTCAGCGTTGACGAGACGAGCCCCTCGCTCGACGACCTCACTCCTACTCCTGTGTGCTGTGTGGTCCCCACCCGCCCGACGAGCTAGCAGCAAAGTCTGGTTGGTAGACTCGTCCTGCCGCTCCTCTGACGCCTGTCCACTCTAGCTTACTTTCCCCCGAAAGCTTCCTCAAAGCTAATTCTAATTACCCTGCTGCTCGACCTTGCCCCGATTGAGCCGTCGACGGTGGCCCGCAGAACTGCGGCAGTTATACATATGTTGAGTCCTGGTCGCTTACGACCCCCCGACAACGTCTACAGTCCAACCTCCAACCTCCAACATCCACCGTCGCCCTCTGTCGCAATCAGCCGTTGTCAGCGTCCTTCAGATCGAGCATCAGCTTCCCTACTCAGGTCAGTCAACGTCTTCGTCGTTGCTAGCCACGACGGCCTGTCCCTGCAATGGCACCTCGCTGACCTCGACTAGCTTCATTGCTTGCCGCAGCCGGCAAGGGACACCACCCAAGAGATGCCTCAACACAAGCGCGGCCCGTGGTCGCAACAAGAAGACCAGATGCTCCTCCACCTGGTCAATGTCCATGGAGCTCACAACTGGGTTCGCATATCCACCGCCATCCAGACCAGGTCGCCCAAGCAATGCCGGGAGCGCTATCATCAAAACCTGAAGCCGAATCTCAACCACGACCCAATTAGTCCGGAGGAAGGCCTCATGATCGAGCAGATGGTCGCCGAGATGGGGAAGCGATGGGCGGAGATCGCGCGGAGACTGCGAGGGCGAAGTGACAACGCCGTCAAGAACTGGTGGAACGGAGGTATGAACCGACGCCGACGCAACAACCAGCAACGCCGTGCCGAGTTCGAGGTTCGCCAGCCGGCTCCACACCAACAGCACCACCAGCTCCAGCAGCACCATCAGCATCAGCAGCACCACCACCTGCACCATCACCACCACCCGCAGATGCAGCACATGCCTCAGCAGATTCCTCAACAGCCTCTTCCACCAGCTTTCCAACACCACCAAATGATGCCGCAGCAGTACTTTGCCCAGATGTACAGCCACCAACATCCACATGTCCCTCAACACATCCAGGTCCCTCCCAGCCACATGGCTGCCTTCGGAAGAATGATGGAGACACCGCTTCCCTCACCGTCCGCCTTTTCTCAAATGTCTGCGAACGACGCACCGTCGCTCATCTCGGACTGTGGCTCATCAATATCTGCCAGATCACCACACAACGGACCTTCTCCTATCGAGTTGCCTCCTCTCGCAGGAGCCAGAGAGGAGCGTCGCCGCTCCTCCGCACCCATGCTCCGCCTTGGCGTCCCGGGATCATTCGTCCAGGACACCGACTTCTCCACCATGCATGGAATGCAGATGCACGGTTATGAGGATATGCGCAAAGCGTCGCCAATGCTTCAAGAGCCATTCATGCCGCAACAATCGCTTCCAACTCCCACTGCTTATCTGCCGTCCCAACCACGACAGCCGTCTCCATTGCATCAGCAGCATCAGGTGCCGCAGGGATACGCCATGCCAGTGCAACAAGTTCCGCGCCGGCATCCAGGCTACCCGATGCCGCCAACCCCGGTCCCATCTACTCCAGCGAACGAGCAGCTTCCAAGCCTCGCGAAGAAGATACCTTCGAATGAGAAGCCTACCATCAACATCGAGCCTGGCCTCGCCACGCCGATCACGTCGGCACCAGTGCTGGACGATTCGCCCAAGGACAAGATGAGCCTGTCCAACCTGACCCACTAGAGGTTTTCTATGTCTTTCACGTTACCTTGTAATTATCCAGCCCTTTCAAAGGCTTCGACCTAGGAGGGCGTTTTGAGGAGAAGATTATACCCCAATCGGCGGAGAGCTTGTCGATTTGCGATATTTGATGAATAAAGCGTTCGAGCGCTGGGAACGAAACCGGGAGAGTTACAGTGTGAATCCTAATAGAGCTCAGCATGTCGTTGCACAGTCGAGATACCACAGTATTGTACAGATTGTAATATTGAGTCATTACCTACCTTGACTTTCCTCCCGCTCCAAAGAACACCGTGGCGGAGCCGTCTCCATTAACTCTGCGTTGAAGCGTCCATGTCTATCGCACGTGAACACCACACACTATGGTGATGATGATGATGATGATGATGATGATGATGATGATGACGACGACGATGATCGTTATGCTGCCCTGCACCATCGTTGCTGCTATCGTTCGCGCTCCCAACGGCTGTCATCGTCCACGGTGGAAATTACACTGCAGCTATGCTTAGCAGAACCAAAATAAAAAAAAAACGTGCTGGTCCATCACAAACCTTGTGTGAAGCTCCTCGATCTTTCCACGAAAAGCGTCTACCTTATTAGTGAACGGCGCCGATCCGCATGGCCAAAACGACCCTTGGGCCCCTGAGGGTGGGTTGGCGTAACTGGCACGTCTAGCCCAGACGGGCGCCGGAGCTTTTCCTTTGTGGAAGAGGGGAGATTACGACAAGTCCGAATTGGGGGTCCTGGGTTTCGGGAGACTCGAAGCCGACCTGACGGTGGCATGGCTGTGGTTGGCTGTGTGGTGTGGCTCTTGGTGGAAGGATTCGGGGCTGCAGTGCGCGCGCCATGAGACGAGTCACGTGTGCGAATGTTGAAAGTGTCGGTCCGGGCTGTATTCGGCACCGCATACATATGTACAGGTTCGTCGGCAAAGGCATGGCTACAGGTGAGAAGAAGTTGTGAGGGTGTTTCTGATGAGAACTGGCTTGATTGATTGTCGCGGGAGATAGAGATGGAACAGGTGAGGTTGTTTCCGACTCTGTGGTCCTTGGAAGGCCCGAACTGGCCTGATCCTTGTTAAAATTCCCGATTGGCTTTGCCGGGCGGTATTGCTTCCGCGAAGCCCCCAGCTGGGATTCGCATCCACGCCAAAGCCGACGACACTTGATCCGCGACCGTGAGCATAGGGCAAACAACACCATCACCGCGCGTCTATATTCACATTCTCCCATCAATCCCATCACCAAGTGTCTTCCGATGCACGCCTCCGCATGATGCGCCCGTCGTTTCGGAATCCATCGGCGGGCAGTAGACGTGGTGGTACAAGCATCGGGCCATGGAGTCGTACAATCCGGATCCGGGGGCGATAGCACTCCAGCAGCCTCAGAGGTTCGAAAGGGTTCTAGTATGAGCCCTCTTGTCTTTCACGATGTATGATGCGAGCCTCGGAGGCACAAGCTGACGCCTTCACAGTCTCAACGCGACTTGTCCTTGACCATTCCCGTGAACTTTGTCACCTACCCGGGTATCTCACTGACGGCTGCGTGTTTCGCCCATGATCGCTACGAGGACCAGGCCGCTGCCAAGTGCTTTTCGAATCTTCTGGCGACGGGTTTCCAACGGATAGAGGTCGACGTATACTGGGACAAGAGCCGACGTACATGGGCTCTATGCCCGGTCGAGCTCGGTGGCGCTGGGTCGATTGTCTCGTCTTCCACGGCCACTGCCACTGCCTCAATACCTTCGACGACTCAGTTAGCCAGCGATGGATTGGCGGGTAGAGATGCGGTCGTGATGTATGCCAGGCAAACTTCGTCGGGCGGTACGCTTTCGTTACCGAGTACTTCAACAGCGGAGAGTACCACCAGCGACGTGACGACAACTGCCACGCTGGACGCCAACCCTCTCACGACATCAGTAGGGAGCTCTGGGTCTGCACCCACCAAGATATCAGGAGATGAAACCCTCTTCCAGGTCGGGCCTTATTCTTGCTCCCTGGGCACCGATCTTGCGGCGCTAGTATCCGTTGCGTCGGAGTACACGGCAAGCACGGAGTACGATCTGAACGCCACTGCCATATACATGACCTTGAATGTTCATGCCGCTGCTGAGGCCTCGGAACCATTGCGAAGCGCCCAGAAGCCCAGTGCAGATCAACTACCCGGAGACGACTCACTGCTTAGTACAATAATTGCTAGTAATACATCACTATTCTTATATACGCCCGCAGACCTGTCGACTCAACGAGGGAGCCTCAACACGAGCCGAAGTTGGTTCACCGTGGCTCAAGATCGGCAGCCCGATTCAGCTTTCTTTGAAACCGACACGATCGGCGGTATCGTCGCAACCTCGGATGGCTGGCCCAGCGAGAGTTACTTTGAGAGGACCTTTGGCAAGCGCTTGCTTGTCAGCTTCGGCGATATCGACCCTCAAATGAGCGCGTACAACTTTTCCGGGGACAAGTCATATATCTTTCGGCAACATTATCTGAGGGCGCCGAGGGTTGTAACGAACGACAGCGATGGCGGCGTGAGCACGGGCTGCTTCTTCAATCCGAACAATCATTCAGTGGCTGCGGTCAATTCTTCTTGGGCTATCAATGCCATTGGAAACAGCTCATTGTTGGCCGGAAGCTCTCTTGAAAATATCTTGGCACAGGCGCGTAACCTGACATACTGCGGCATCTCGCCGATTCTCAACGGCACGTTGAACAACGCCACTGCTGATCAGGACGTCGCACCATACACTGCCTTTGTCGAAAACACACGATGGTCCTGGGCAATGGGCCAGCCATTCAATGCATCGCTTACGCCTGACCCCTCCGACTACCGCTGCGCGGCTCTCAATTCCACCTCGGGATTCTGGCAAGTCTCCGACTGCAGCCAGTCCTACCACGGCGCCTGTCGCGTCTCCCACCAACCCTACACCTGGCGAATCAGCGGAGACCAAGCCCCCTACGGGAAAGTCGACCTCGCATGCGATGGCGACGACGACGACGACGGCAATCTCTCCTTCGATGTCCCCCGCACCGCGCTGGAAAACACCTACCTCCTCTCCACCTGGCAGACCTACCAACGGAACCAGAGCGATTACGACGGCGGCCCCTTATTGTGGTTGAATTTCAACGATCTGGATGTGCAAGAATGCTGGGTGATTGGGCAGAATTCTTCGTGTCCGTACCAGCATCCCTCGTCGACGGATACGCGGGAGGTGGTGGTGCCCGTCGTGGCGGGTGTTATTGTCTTTGTGATCGCGTTGTTGACGGTGCTGCTCAAGTGTGCGGGGAATCGGCAGCAGTCGAAGAGGAGACGGAGGAGAGGGGATGATGGGTGGGATTATGAGGGCGTGCCGTCGTGATGGGATTGGATCGATCTGGGCTAGAAGTGACGAGACTCCATGGCCGGGCGACAGGATGTTATACCGTGATTGCACCCGAAATGTAGGCAGGAGAACAGTACAGATTCGTCCAAGCTTTGTAATTTGACATCTATCTATGCTACTGTGTACAGTATCGTTGAAAGCCGTTCTTTTGGGCATCTCGTGATCCGATCCTGGGTCTCGGCGTGGCATGGAAGAAGGGCTGCTCTCGCCTTCCCAAGTATCAACACATCTCGCGCGTTTTCTGGCACCTAATTATTCATGTCCAATTGGCTTGCCAGCTTTGACGAAAGCCATGGGCGCAACAGCAGCCGTCAAGAAGGTTGCCTGACCGGTGATGTGCGGGTCCACGCCCTAGAAGCAACTCGTCAGCAGGGGAGCTCTAAACATAAATGTCTCTCGGTGGGTGAATGAAGAGATGAGATATGCATACGATGAAATTATTAGGGAAGCCCGGCTCGAACGGAACAATGCTCTCCAGGTATTCGATTTGCTTGTCGGTGAGCTTGATCTCCAGCGACTTGATGTTGGCCTGCAGATGCTCGACCTTGCGACCGCCGACGATGGGGAAGACGTTGGGTGCCTTGGCCATGACGTAGGCGAGGGCGACGACGGTGGGCGATTCGATGCCGTGCTCGTTGGCGACTTGCTCGAGGGCTTCGGAGACCTTGACTTCCTGTTCCGTCTGGCCGTGGCCCATGATGCTGCGCAGGCCCTCGTTGTTTTGCTTGCGCTTCTCGAGCTCTTTTTTGGATTGGAATTTCCCGCCGCCGATGGCGTCCCAGGGCGCGAGCGCCATGCCTGGTGTTACGTAAGTAGGTGTATAGGGAGTGAATGGATGCCTATCACTCAAGTCTTTACTTACCCCAGTGGCGGGCCATGGGGATGATCTCGCGCTCCATGTCACTGTGCACCACAGCATCAGTACGTCTCGAAGGAAGCTCTTCTCTGATCGCAAGACTTACCGCAGCATGACGTTCCAGCGACCCTGGTAGATGCTGAACTGCGTCTTGCCGTTCGACTTGGCGTACTGGTTGCAAGCGGACACAATGTACGCCGGGGTGTCCGAGATGCCCAGGTACAAGACCTTGCCCTGCTTGACGACCTCATCCAGGGAGTCCATGATCTCCTCAATCGACGTTGTCCAATCCCACCAGTGCAAGTACAGGATATCGATGTAGTCGGTGCGCAGCTTCCTCAGACTGGCGTCCAGCGACATGCGGAGAGATTTCTTGTGGTTGCCGCAGTGATTGACCGTCTTGCCCTTGCCTACCGAGCCCACGACGTAGTTGGTGGTGAATTTGGTCGCAATGATGAAGTAGTCGCGGTTCTGCTTCTTCTCCATCCACTCGCCGATCCAAGCTTCGGATTGTTCGTCTTGGTAATTGTTTGCCGTGTCGATGAAGTTTCCGCCGCAGTCCTCGAAGGCGTCGAGCTGTTGCACAAAAGTCAGCTTTGTCGCCCATCTTGCCACGACGTGTACTCACAAGCTTGAAGGAGTTCTCCTTGTTCATGGAGCCCATGAAGTCGTTCCATGCTTCTCCAATGGACATGGCTCCAAGCTGCAGCGGAGAGGCTCTCACGCCGGCGGTGGAAGAAAGAACCCGGTAACGACCGAGCTCCGTCTTGGGAGCTGGCGCTGGGGTGAACATCTCGGCCATCTTCGCGGTGGTGGTGTGTGTTGTGATAGTAGTGAGGGGTTGCTTGAGTAGAAGTTGTTGGGGATGAGGGTAGAAGAAACACAGAATGGGATGGAGAAGTGAGCTTCCGAGTAGTGACCAGATTCCAGCAGCTCTATTACTAACACGGCATTTGCATCAACCGTACCTGAAGTAGTGCAGCCTTGCACAATAATGCCATCGCATCGTCACCACCGGCAAAGCGGCCGAGGTGGGTGGACGGGTTTGATGTCACCGCACAGCCTTAAAAACTATAAACAAAGGACTTAAAACCCTAGTATCCATCACCTATATCCATCCCATCCTACCTAATAATAACAAAATCCAAGGAAATAGTCTGACAACAATTGCCAATATCGGACCGGAGCACTCGTATCATGAAACCCTTTTGACGTCGCCAAGGGCTATTTTCTCTATCAAGGGAAAGTATAAGAAGATCCGTCTGTCCGCCCTTCTAGCCATCTGCTCGAATGCAATCATCATCAAAGCGATCATGCAGTTTTCCGTCCTATCCATCATTACTCTCTTCTCCACAGCGGTAGTGGCCAGGTACTACACAGGCGAGCAATGCGACCAGTCCAATCTGAACAATTGTTTCGATGCGGGCTGGTGGGGTTGCGTTCAAAATCCGGGAACCCCTGAACTTCAAGGCCCAAACTGCGTTACGAAGACGACGGCGTGCCAAGATGTCTGCGACGCAATTCAATACGCTTACCAAAAGGCTGGGTAAGTACTGAGTGTATATACAGCTAGCTAGGTTTGATCTCGATATTGACAGTGTTGATTACAGAAGCAGAGATCGGACTTGCATCTGCACAGCGAAAAGTGCCCATTCGGCCAATGGAGAATGAACTATTGGAGGATGTTGTCAGGGAGAGATGCGGGAGGGGAGGAGTAGGAGTTCTGCTAGTTCTTCTTCCTCTTCTTCTTCTTCTTCTTCTTGCACCTGCTTTCAGTTCCGACCAAAAGCGTCAAAACCCACACGCTCGCAGCGTATAATCACCTTAACATTGTATTTGGCAGACAGCGTCTCGCCATTTATGGTATGAGGACAATCATTTCTCCCTTCGAAGCCAATTCGTTGTTATTGCCTCTACATGTCTCCAGCAAGATCTTGCACGCAGCCATGAGTCAGCAGCTTGAGGACTCCGATTCATGTTGTGTGTTGTGCCTGCAAGACGTGATACTTGTCACCGGAGACTGCTTAAATCCGAGCGCGGCCTGCCTTGTCCCCGCCATCAAGCGCCGGCCTTCTCGATGCAAGCCCCCTCTCATTAGTACTCCCACTGCCTGACTGAGGATGATCTCAGTCGACGACGTAATCGGTAAAATTGAAGTCGAGATTTCTCGCAAGACTCTGGACGTGCTCCCAAGTCACCATCGGTCCAACCCTCCATTTGCCGCCTGCCTCCAGCGGATCTGCACCACCTATGCCACCTGCGCGCACTAGCAGTCTCAGGCTGGACAGAGTGGCAATCTGTCTGTAAAGGTCGACGGTAGCCCTGGTGTCATCGGGCAAGATGGCATGTAGAATGGCGAGGAGTCTGTCTACGGTGAAAGCAGATGCAGCCAAGAGATGACGAGGAATCTTTCTTGTCTGGCTTCGTCTGCCACCCGCTCGCGCAGTCCCTCCACCTTTCTTCTTCCGTTTCTTTTCCGTGGACTTCATGAAGTAGAGAGAATCGAGCTTCGCCGGATTGAATGAGGCCAAGTACGCTGCAACCAGCAGCCACTTCGCGTAGTAAGGCAGTTCATGCGGCTTTCCCTTCGCAACCGCGAGTACATCCTGCGATCTTGGAACGATGGAATTGAGAAGAGCGGTCTCGTCTTGGAAGAGTCGCCGCTGTGCTACGAACAATCTGCTGAAATCTCGAGTTCCAAAATCGCCCTTGATGATAGGAGCAACAAATGGGCGCCAGAGCTTGTCGCAGGCTTCACGAAACCCTACAAGGTCGCGGGCAGCATTCTGCGCTAGCGCGTCCCAGACTGCGGCACAGAATCTCGGCCACAGCCACGCTTTGTCTTCGTCATGCTGCTCCTCTTCGTAGTCCATGTCGTCTGGCGGGGGTTCCAGGAAAATGTCCACAGGATGTCGGGAGACAATGTGGATCGCTTGACTGCGGCTGTAGGGCGCAAAGTAGACGTGGGGTACCCCGCCCTGATGAAGAAATCGCGGTGAGGGATGTCGAACAATCAGAATCACCGTGAGCTGTGGTATCGCCTCTCCTAACCGTGCTAGAGCTGGGAGTAGTGTTGGCGGGCCTTCGCGTTGTCGGTCCACGCCGTCGAAGAGCAGTGCGAACTTGGGGACATCTTCCAGTGCTCTTTGCAGGTGAACGAGCAGGGCGCCTAGATTCTCACATCGGTCATTGGTCATTTCTCCGCCCCGTGCCTGATATACTGTGTCCACGGTCCGCTCGAGGAGATGGCGTCCGGTCACGCATTCTCGGGAGCGGACGATTCCATGCGGGAACTTGGTTGTCTTCAAGTGAGAAGCGACAATGCTGGACTTGCCGGTGGCGCATGGCCCGTAGACCACGATGGTCGAGGGACAGGGCGAGGTGAAGAGAGCACCGAGTTGTCTCAGCTGTGTTTCTCTGCACGGCCACTGCAGCAGCATTTCGTCCGGCAGTAGCGGGAGGCCCATCTTGTACTGTACTGTACAGTCTTGTTCACCACTCCTCCCGAATACCGAATACGGCCCGAATACGGTTCCTGACACAGCTGTCCTCGGCTCGGTCTGCCAGTATCTCGATCCACGTGATGTCGTAATCTCCAGGACGTTCTTTCCGATACATATGTGCATATACTGTGCGAGGAGAGTTGGACGCGCCTTCCCAGGTTGTGCCTGGGGAAGACGCGCCCGGCTACGCTAGCGATCCCCGGCCGAGCTTAAGCTTAAATCCCGGCCGTTCTTGCACGCATAAAGGGTCCACGTACAAATTCAGCAGGCAGGACTATGGCATCGTTACTGCTGGAGCGTGTTCGCGCCTTCCTCGTGAATGCACCGCCGCCATGGACTCTGTTGACCAACTTCGCCAACTTCCTCCGTCATGTCACCCACAACATCTTCCACTCCCGCATCGCCCCCCTCTCAACCTGGCTTCCACCCTCGACCATGGCCACCATGCGCAGAGACTCTCGCACTGATGACCAGCCCGCCGCTGAACTGCGGAAGATGACACATCTCAAGACCAAAGAAGAATGCCGCCTCGGGAACGAGACCATCCAGGTCTGGACCGTCGAGCTGCCTAGTAAGCACGCTGAAGGGATCCTCAGGTACCTGTTCTTCGTGGCAACGACTTGTTTGACAATATACTGACGGCACTTCAGGGCCATCAAGGACAACGTCCCCGGCCAAGACTCTGTCGATCTGCAACACCTCCGTCGCTTCGCCAAGCCAAAGTATCTGCCCGCACACGTCCTCGGCAAGCGAGACCTCGTCAAGGAGATGTACAATGTCTCTCGTGCCTGGGAAGCAACCCCGTCGACTGTCATGCAAGCTCCGGCCACGACCGCTTGGGAGTACTCAGTGCCTGCCAAGGGACGCGCCAACGGACGTCCCTCGACCCTGCACCTGTTGGTCTGTCCTACGCGGATTATGGATCTGAGGACACTCCACAGCATCTTATCGCAGTACACGCCCTTCTCCTCTTCGGCGGATTCGTGGGCCTACCCACTCGAGATCAAAGAGATCACCGTCCCACTGCTAGCACCAACAAGCCCAAGGCAAGCAAACACGTGGTCCGAGGAGTACTGGCCGACTTTCTATCGCAAGACAAATCCATTCGGAGCGCATCCAGCCAGCATCGAGAAGGCGGAGAACGAGCTGCACAACCCGCAAGAGGACAACACTAGCGTCGATGAAGCACTCGCCTTGGCCGAGCGAGCCGGAGATGAAGCACTGCGACGCGGCATCGGCGCTGGTACCGGCGTTGTAATCATGGAGCGCGTCGACGGAGAGACGCAGATCATTGCTGTCGCTGGAGATGCTCGCCACAAACCGCAGGCAAACGCCGCCGCCAACGACTCATTGCATCCTTGCTGCGAAGGCAGCCCCATGGGTCACGCCATCATGCGTGCTGTGGGAATGGTCGGGCGGAAGAGACTGCGCTGCGCGTCTCAACCAGTCACCAGAGCAGCCGCCAAAGCGGAAAGCAACTTCACTCGAGGAGGACTGGAGCACGATACCCATGCTCGCGACGCCTTCTTCCTCGACCTCCCGATTACGCCATTGGAGGAAGAATATTTCAAGAAGGACAACCTCAAGCCAGACGGATACCTCTGCCTCAAGCTCGAAGTCTTCCTCACCCACGAGCCCTGCATGATGTGTTCGATGGCACTCGTCCACAGCCGCGTCGGACGGGTCGTTTTCAAGAACCGCATGCCCCAGACGGGCGGCTTGACGGCGGAGTTGGTTAGAAACGACTCGGGACCCGTCGGCCTCGGGTACGGCCTGTGCTGGCGCAAGGAGCTCAACTGGCAGTTCATGTGCTGGGAGTACATGCGCACCGACGAGCAAGGCACCATTGAGCGACAGGACCTACGCAAAGATTCTATGGAGAAGTACCAAGAAGCGGAAGATGTTGGTGGTGGCGAGTTGGCTAATGTTCATTCGAATAGCTTTGCGCGCATGCATGTGTAGCACACAGGCCATGCCACACGGAGCAGACTGAGCATAGGTTACGACGGTATGGATCACGACGGCACGATTAGGCGTAATGGGAGGGCGGTGGCGAGCGTTCCATGTAGGGCTACATTGGCAGGCATTAGCGATGGCGCAACTGAGATGGCGGACGCTTCACAGCGGCTTGTACTATACTGTGTGATACAAGGGCCCATAGATGGTACCTCTACGGAGCAGACCCAATGCATGCGGAACAGAAGCACCATCAGCGCTACTCCTCAGAGTCCCTTCAATTCCATGCAATCTCGTGTTTCCTGAAAGGGCATTGGCTTGGGACATTCAGCTTGTAATCATGCATCATTTCGTGTGTTCCCTTGGTTGCTCATTATGTCGTATATCGTATACACATCACATGGTCCTTCATGACGACGCGGCCGTCGCAGCACTACTCCTCCTCGCGTCTTTGTATCCTGGAACGGCATTGGCCTGGAACACTCAGCTTGTAATCATCCATCATTTCGTGTATTCCCCTGGTTGCTCATCATGTCGTAATATCGTATACACATCACATGGCGATCATGACGCCGCCGCCGCCGCCGTCGCCGTCGCAGCACTATTCCTCCTCGCCGCGTCTTTCCTGACCTTCCTCTCCTTCCACCGCCTGCTCCATCCCAACTCCACCTTGGGCCTGCTGGCATACTCGTCCATGGTCGTGGTCCCATAGTACCCGACCATGGTCGCATCCGTCTGGATGTACTTCTTGGACTCGACCCATTCGCGGAGAGCGGCGAGGTAGGCTTCTTCGGAGGGGAAGCCTTTGTATCGTTGTTGTCGTTGTCGGTGGGAATCGTCGGCTACGAGGGTGGACGTGAGCGAGGGGGCGCGGGTGGATGCGAGGGAGGTGGCGCGGGGGGTGCGGTTGTTGTTGTTGTCGTCATCTTGTTCTTGTTGTTGTTCTTGGAGGTATTGCGTTGATGTTTCGGAGGGGGCGATGCTGGGAGGGCGGGATTGTTCAGAGTGTGGTGGTGGAGGTGGAGGTGGTTGTTGTTGTTGTTGTTGTTGTTCGGTTGTGGACCGTGATTGGGAGGTCATTTTGGAGCGGATTGGCGGTCCGGTTTGGATCCTACTTGGGACCAGTAGAGAGGAGAGACGGACAGAGGAGAGAGAGGAGAGGTTCAGAGAGAAAGAGGGAGAGGTGGTTGTCTTGGAGAAGGATGAGAAGGACGAAATACCTGTCGCGACGCCACTCGCGATGTTGCTCACCACGGCATCTACATTCACATGGCGCATGCACTGCAGGTATCGGGAGCCAACCTATGACACGGACGGAGTGTCCTCGTGGCTGATTGATGATGGACGAGATGCTGCAGGAGTTGGAGCGGCTCGGAGGTGAGGTTGCCGGCACAAGTGGAGACCCAGACTTCCATTGGCGGGCCACGAAACTGGCCGGGACGTCGGGCTCTTCTTTCTTTCTCATCGCCCCGGACACACTTCTACCATCTTCACGACATATCACACTCTCGTCATTCACGATTCTCTGAGGCTAACAATCGCATGATACCGTTCTCTGGCGCCAAGGGGAAAGACTCTTCCGAGTAGAGCTCACGGTCTGGAATACATTGTTAAGCGGCCATATCGCACAGGCACTCGCACCATGACGGCTCATGATTTCTGGCGCGGCTACAAGGTGTCTCTGCCTTGAATACGGCCGTCAAGATGCCCAGATTTGGGAGCCTCGAGATGTCCATTCTCGTCTCAACACTCAGCCAGTAACATCCCACGCATCTAAACCGATGCGATGGACATTTATTAGTCGATGTACCAGGAGATATGACATAGCCCAGCAGGTCTCGAGGCGGTCATGGAAGGAGCCAGAGGAAAAGCATTACCTGCCTTCCCCAAAAACAGACCTCGAGGCGAGGCATCGGGATACATGCCTTTTGACTTTCACCCGACATCGCCTGCATTGTCTGCGGGGTTACATGTTTGTATTTCAGTCCACTATTGAAGACCAGGTTCTCGCACACATTCACCAGATCGCTTCCTCTTCAACTACCTCTTCGCCTCTTTAGATGTAGACAAGCTGCATCTTCAACCATGACGAGCCTTTCAACGAAGCTAGCCGAGCGAGAGGCGGCTGGGAAGCCTATTCAGGTGGGTCTGATTGGTGCCGGAAAGTTTGGATCTATGTTGTAAGGCAAGCGTAGACTTGAAGAAAGCATAGCAGGCTCACTCTGGACCACAGCATCTCACAATGCCACAACACTCCTGGCATGAGACTCGCCGGAATTGCAGACCTCTCAGCGGACCGAGCAAGAGCATCTCTCAAACGGACTGGATACCCCGAAGACCGGTACGACGCTGAGGGATCGCTTTCGATAGAGGACGGCATCAAGGCTGGCAAGGCCGCAATCACGGAGGATTCAGCCACCCTCATTGCATCTCCAAGCGTCGATGTGATTTTGGAAGTAACGGGAAGCCCGGCTGCTGGGATCCGGCACGCTCTGCTGTGTTGCGAGCACAAGAAGCACATTGTCATGATCAACGTCGAAGCTGATGTCCTGGCCGGTCCCCTGTTAGCACGAAAGGCGAAAGAAGCCGGCATCATCTATTCGATGGCCTACGGAGACCAACCCGCTCTCATCTGCGAACTTGTCGATTGGGCACGTGCGGCTGGCTTCCCGGTCGTCTGTGCCGGTAAGGGCACCAAACACCTACCGGAGTACCACTTCTCTACGCCAGATACAGTGTGGGACCACTATGGCTTTACCAAAGAACAGTTGGCAAGCGGCGATTTCAACCCACAGATGTTCAATTCGTTTCTCGACGGAACCAAGTCTGCTTTAGAAATGGCGGCTGTGGCTAATGGATGCGATCTGCAGCCGCCTTCCACTGGACTGTTGTTCCCGCCGTGCGGACGACAAGACTTGCCGAGGACGCTCAGACCCAAGGCAGATGGAGGTATATTGGAGAAGAAAGGCACAGTGGAGGTTGTTTCGTGCGTTGAAGTAGACGGTCGACCGACTTTCAATGATCTTCGTTGGGGTGTTTATGTTATCATCGAAGGTACGACGATGGTCTCGTTAGAACGCAGAAGCTGCTTACTGAGATGCCACAGCACCGGGAGACTATCAGAAGGAATGCTTCAAGCAATACGGTCTTGAAACAGATAGTACCGGAAAGGTGAGAAACCATCGATCAACCCAGGCAGGGGGCAGCTTACTAATGAAACTTGTAGTACGCCGCGCAGTACAAACCTTTCCATCTCATCGGCCTCGAATTAGGTGTCTCAGTAGCAACCATCATGTGTCGCGGAGAGCCCACCGGTCAAACCAAGACATGGGCAGGCGACGTCGTCGCCACGGCCAAACGAGACCTCAAAGCCGGCGAGAAGCTCGACGGCGAAGGAGGCTTCATGTGCTACGGCAGACTGATGCCGGCCGAAGCTTCGATGGAAATCGAAGGCTTGCCGATCGGACTCGCACATGGGCTCGTGCTGAAGAAGGATGTTCCCAAGGGACACGGGCTGAGCTGGCAAGATGTCGAATATAGTGAGAAGACGCAGTCCGTGGCTGTGAGGAGGGAGATGGAGGCCTTGTTCCGAAGGGAGTTTCAGGCTCAGCAGGGGGAGAGGAATGGCGTCAATGGAGCGCATAAAGGTGAGAATGTGTAACGCTTCTCGATGTCCACTCGGGTCACGTCTTACAGCCGTCGAATACATGTCGTCAAAGGCGCCAATCCAGCAGGCCCGGATCATTCATTACCTTCTGCGAAGACCGGCGAGCTTACAGCGTCACGTCGTTTAATCTCCATGATTGGTTGCAGCGGAGACATACAGCATACAAAATTCCTTGTTGGCATTACGACGGAATCACATCAGAAGCGTTCCTTTCACTCCTTGAATCCCCGATTCACCAGCTCCTGAGCATTTCCCACTCATCATCAAAAGCACAGGACGGCACACATATCATGTCCCGCACGGACCAAGCAACAATTTCGACCGTACTGACCGCAGGTAGTCGTTGCAGAAATGGATCAAGTGGATCGCAGCCATGCTCCATCCTTTGAACCACAAGAATTCCAAACCCATCGCATCATCGGCCTCGTAAACACCGCTCACCACCACGTCCAACGGACTTGAAAAGATTCCCCCATCTTTTAGATCCCTCCGAGGAAACATCCCCCTCCTCCTCCTCCTCAAACCGGCCCTGATTCTCCATCAACACCCACGCATCCCTTCGCCATCGCAGCAATGGAAGTAGGCAATCATGCCTGTCTTTGTCGAATGAAAAGCCTCTAGCCTTTCGCCCAAAACCTCGCAACTCCCTAACCCTAACCCTAACCCTCCCAGCCGAGAAGAGACCTGTCCGTCTCTTGCGGCATCATGAACCAACCTCTCACGAGAACCCACACCGCCACAGTTCCGCCACCGCCGTCGCCATAGTAGAAGTAGATTGTGTTCCCCGACAAAGCCTGTCCAAAAGCCATCCTCCTCCTGCTTATGTTGAATCGTTTGTTTCCTAACAAGACGTAGCGCAGTGCTTTCCCTGGAAGGCACACGACACGACACGGCATTATTGTCCAACTGGATACACGCCAGTAGAAATTTCGAGAGAGGAACGGTAGAAAGTCGATCGAGCAATTCACTTAAATCCTTTCTTCGTGGTTATATGTCTTCTCTCTTTCTCTTGGGCTGGAAGGCATCTTTTCCGCAGATCGTCGAAGTTTGCAAGAACGATGGGTGCTTGCCTCATCAGGGGTTTTGACACGTTTACCTACCTTTTTATTATTTCATCTCATCTCATCTTGACCTCTAGGCTATGCTTGTTATCTCGCGCATAGAAATATGAATAGCACGGCATCTACGCCGGCGGCGTTTGTGGGTCCCTTACTACTCGCCTACGGCGATTATTGGGGAACTGCTACGAGTAATGCGGCAAATGCCAGGCTACAGCTCAAGAGCATCGGCAGGACGCATGCAAGAAGAAGCGGTGTGGGTACGTACCCAGGCGCTCTGCAAGTCTTCCGCACTACCACCTCTATAGCAAGCGACGGGCCGCGAATTCCTCCAGAAGGATGAGCTTTTGCACATGAGCTAGATGTGCTCATCTCTTCTTCCTCCGACGGGTCTCTGTGTTGTTCCGAATGCCATAGATCCTTCGACGGCCACGGCAGCTCTGCGTTGTCGAAAATCCAATAGCAAGCCCGACAGTGGTTCCAAATACTTCCAAAGCTCTCGCTGATTTGGCCGTGGATCGTGACGTGCATGCCGTCTAGCTCTCCCTTATGTACAGCTTTGAAGTCGTGCTGGCAGTGATAGCAGCCGCTGGCAACCAGGCATTCTAGCGGACATATTGCGGACCGCTTCACGTGGTCGCCACGTCGAAGGAGGAACCTTCCCGGACAAGGCACAGTACGCAGATAAGATGGACACTTCAGACCTCACTTTGCCTCTCCTTATCGGCGCCATTTGCGGGCCCGGTGACAGCTGGCGGTGATGTGGAACGATGCAATTCACTGACGGTCGTGACCTTGGGCCGGTCTCCAGCGCTCGGCGCCTGGTTGGTAGTAGGTGCAGCAGTAGTAGACGTGCTACGTCCCCAGCCGCTCTTCCTCTTCTCAGCGGCCCACGAGCCCCAAGAGCTGAGGTATGCTCCCGCTCGTTGGCTCGCAGCTGCTACGCTCGCTTGTGCCTGTGTCTGGGATTTGGATGCTCCCGGAGGCGTCTTTTCGGAGGCTGGATTGGCGGCAGCCGCGGCTCTCGACTCCTCTGAGCGTTTGCGCTGTGCCTCCCGCATGGTTTCAATGTCAGCCCAGACTTTGTTGAAGGCAGATGTCACTTGCACTCTGCCGTCAGCAAGTCGCTTGCCGACTACTTCCCGAGTTTGGTTGAACCGCTCGTCAAGATGCAGCTCCGCGACCTGAGCAGCCAGGCGTCGCTGCACGTCTTCAATCGTCAGTCCACCTGCACAAGGATGCCGAGGCTCCACAATGTCAAACAGCTGACCGTCGGTCGTCCTATTCCATAGCTTGTAGTTCTCTGATTGTTGCCACGCCTCGACAAAGCCAATCGAAAATTCTGCCGCCGGATCACCTTCTACGTCGGCCAGTAACGCCTTGGGATCTCCGTCCTTGTGCTCCGCCAGGTACTGATGATACTTGGTGGCAGAGAGAAGGGCTATCAAGTATTCCTCAAATTGAAGCCGGATGAACTCCTCGCTCCCCGCGTATCCATGAGTTGTAGGCCTCGAAGGATCGTTCTCGTCCCAAGTGTCGTTCACCGCCTGTGTGAGGAAATCGATCCACCTTCGATCAGCCACAGATAGAGTCAATGCTGGCTTCAAGGTTGGAGACAGGATCGTCATGGTATTCTCGTCAAGATTGACTAGCAAATCACAATAGCGCTCCTTCTGTCCCAGCAATAGGCTGTTTGTGCTACCGAGGACGTAGCTTTTGGTCTCTTGGTCTGTGATCGTGTCCAGTTGTTGCAGTGGCGTATATGGACCGAACATGGAGCCTTTCCCGAAGAGCTGGAGAGGCAGCCCAACATAGGCAAGTAGAGACGTCCTGTCACTCGTCCGCACAGAATCCGACGGTCGGAGCCTCTCCGCGTACAGATCCATCTGTGGGTCTGCGCAGTCTCTCAGACTGCGAACAAGGCCAGGGATGAGCGAAATCAGAGAAAATTGAACCTGACATATTCGCTCGCAGTGAGAGCCAAAGAACAGTATCTTTTCCGGTCAGCATCAAGAAATCCAATGCGTGCTGTGGACTCACTCACCTTCCGCTGAAGCAGCATACACTTCAGCAACACGAGAATCTGCCACCTGAAGGTATGAACGAGCTCCCGCAGACTGAGCCCAAAATACTGATCCCTCTCATCCTCATGGCTTGCTCCCTCCCGTGCCAGACTCTCCTGAAAGCGCTGTATCCCCAAGATCAGCACCACTCATCTTGAAACCGGCACCGAAACCACTGACCCACCTGCAAAATCTCAATGTCCCGAAAATCCCTCTGGGCAAACCACGCGCCCGTGACCGCACTCAGCTTCTCCCGCAGAGCAGAGAAACTCTGCGGTTTGTCCGTGATGGCCACCACCGCCTTTTGTACCGCACTCCTCGTCACCTCTTCCGGTCGGAACAGCAATTGCGAACTGTCTATTTGGTGCACACAGCTGATGCCGAACACGGAAGAAGGCTGTACATCTCTTCCTGCTCTTGCCTTGTGCACGAGACTGAAATAGCTGAATTCTTCCTCGGATTGGTGGGCACCGTCTGGGAGGGCCATGTAGGGGATCAATTGCCAATCATTTTCCACCGTCGGATCGCTGCCTTCTGCGCCGATCCAGTGTTCGATTTCGGGTCCGCGGTGATGATGAAAGTCGACTACGCAGACGAGCGGTTGGAAAGAGTCGGCCATGGTGTGAGATATCGGAGTGAGAAGAGGGATATTCGAGGAAGTTGAAGGAGGGGGAAAAGAAGGTCAAACTTCGGCCAATGCTTTCATTGTTAGAGTCGATATGGCTTGTCCGATGCGTGGAGATGCTCTGGAGATGCTCGGGAGAGATGCTGCAGCGCAATAATAATGGGATGTAATCTGCACGCCAACGCATACAGTCGAAACGTACCTAGCCTGTGCTCCGTGGGAAGCGGAAAGGCACGTGAGCCGAGCCTTGGCTATATCCGTATGCCTCTGACATTAAGGATATACCATGTAATCGACAGTACCGGGATACGGCTGGGAATGCGATGTGAATGCTTGAACCGATTGCTATTGAAATGGACCTCCGCCTACCATGCTATCTGCTTTCCAGGACGCCTTCAAGCCGTGAATCCAATACTACTCCACACAGATTCATGATCTATGCACTCCCGAGCTTCTTCGTGAGCTCAGGCACCTTCTCAAACAGATCTCCAACAAGACCAACATCCGCTACTTGAAAGATGGGTGCGTCTGAGTCCTTGTTTATCGCGGCAATGACCTTCGAGTCCTTCATGCCTGCCAAATGTTGAATGGCCCCAGAAATTCCTGCACACAAGTATAGCTGTGGCGCAACGTTCTTGCCAGTCTGACCGACTTGCAGACTGTTGTCTGCGAATCCAGAATCGACGGCGGCACGGCTAGCTCCAATGGCAGCACCTAGAGCGTCCGCAAGTGGAGGCATGAGCCTGTCGAATTCCTCCTTCGATTTCAATCCTCGTCCACCAGAGACCACCTTCTCGGCTGTGGCAAGATCTGGTCTGTCGCTCTTCGCAAGGTCCTCGCTCACCCATTCGGTCGGGCATTCCGCCTTGGGATCAACACCCTCCTCTGTGCTTGCAGAACCACCCTCTGCAGCACCAGCAGGGAAGGCCGTCCCTCTAACCGTAACAATCTTCGGATTGTCCTCGCTCTGTACCGTCAAGATCGCATTGCCGGCATAGATCGGCCTCACAAACACATCCTCTCCCTCAACACCTGTAATATCCGAAATCTGCTGCACGTCCAACAAAGCCGCAACCCGGGGCATCAGATTCTTGCCAAAAGCCGAATGTCCAGCCATCACATGCGTATATCCCCCTTTCTTGATATTCTCTACCAGTAGCGGGGCATAGTTCTCCGGCAGACCCTTGTCGTATGCTCCGTTCTCCACGTAGATGACCTTCTCCAAGCCTTCGACTTTGGCCGCCTCATCTGCCACGCCTTTGATGTTTGAGCCTGCCACGAAACCGTGGATACTGCCGCCTAGTTTCTGAGCCGCAGATACGGAAGCTAATGAAGACATGTTTAGCTTTCCATCTCTTTGCTCGAGCACTGCGAGTGTAGATGCCAGTCTTCGAAGCGCATCGCGGGATATGGGCCGTAAAGGAACTGCTCGTTGCTGGCACAGACATGTCGCCGCCTGCCGCAGCAGACCAGACCTGATTGCAGCGACCATGTTTGCGGCAAGAATAGAATGAAACGAGAGAAGCGTTGCTGGCTTGCGACAGCGCTGTTAGGACTACTGTGGAGGGAGCTTGCCCGATTGACCGTGAGCCGACCTCGGCTTAGCAAAGCACGGTCCACCAAAATCAAGCTGCTTGCTCGGACACGGTACGGATTTACACTGGGATCACACGTGAGTGCCGCGGACGTGCTGCAGTGTTTCATTATTGACTCTAGCTTCAGCCTGCCACGCTGGCAGATGGCCAATCGTAACCTCATGCTGTTTCTCCCTCCACGAGTGTCCAATTCGTCAATTATCGCACCGTTGCAGCGCTCGTGTGCTCCTGTACCCGCCAGACCATATGTAGATACGGCTGCTGCTTAACCGCGGAAATCGACAAGCTGGGATGATGAGGTGTCTCTTACTCCGCCAACTCCTGGCCCCGATGAAGGTCCCAGCCTCGAATATGAATCGACCGATCATTGCGCGGCTCCATTCTCTGCGGTAGCTTCATTGTTCGAATCGACGTTGTGGTAGTCGAGGATCTCGGAGTACCTAAATCGTCTGCGTTAGCCATCCGAAAGGACAGTGTTTTTGGATACCGAGACCTACATCATGATCTTCCAGGTATCCACAGGCAGGTCAGCGTCGTTAAAAGACCAGTCAAACTTCTCCTCGGCCTCTGGCTCGTCCGTCGGATCATGGTAGGGTGCCAGATAAGGGTCTGCGAGCGCCTCGCCAGCCTTGACACGTTTCCGCGGATCGAATACCAGCATGCGTTCGAGCAGCTCAATTGCTGCAAGGACTTAGTGGACATTCCTGATTGGGGTTTCACTCTACTCACCCTGTGGGTCGGCGTTCTTGAACTTGTTCTTCAGCGGCTGGCGCTCCCGCTTTGGCAGCGATTGCACGAATCTGAGTGTCTGTAGGGGATCCGTGAGTATGCGCCATACCAATCAAGTCGGTTCAACTCACGTTCTCGCTGCAGATGGTGGAGATGACATCGTCTGGAGGTGTGCCAAGCAATTCTGTGATGATGGAGAATTGGTTTACGTGGTCCTTGCCGGGAAAGAGCGGCTTGCCCTCCAGCATCTCTGCGAAGATACATCCTGCACTCCAAATGTCCACCTCCACATCGTACTTTTGCCAGGTGAGCATGATCTCCGGTGCTCTGTAGTATCGCGTCGAGACGTATCCGGTCATCTGTGGATCTTGAATACGGGCGAGACCGAAATCGCAGATCTTCAAGTCGCAGTTCTCGTTGACGAGGATGTTGGAGGGCTTGAGGTCACGGTGTACGACGCCGGCGGAATGGACGTATTTCAGGCCACGCTGTCACACGTCAGTACTTGATAGTGGCATCTGGCTGCTTGTTCTAAACGCACCAGGATCTGGTAGAGGAAGTATTGGATGAACTGCTTCTCCAGTGGTCTCGAGGTAAGGAGTCGGTGTAGGTCGGTTCCAAGCAATTCGGTCACAAAATAGCTGTGAGAAGAAAGTAAGCCAAGTTTGTAGGCAGGGAGCACTCACCGACATACATGTCCTCCAATGGCGAGATGAAGATGTCGCTGAGAGAGATGACCTGCGCCGGGTTTAGCACGCCTGTTTTCGGGTGAGCATTGCTGCGGAGCAATTCGGCTTACATTCTCGTGCTTGAGATGCTTCAAGAGCTTCAGCTCGCGATATGTGCGCTTGGACAGTACCGGGGTGGAAAAGGGCTTCATAATCTTCTTGACGGCCACGGCTTGCCCGGTGAGCTGGTCCTTGGCCGAGCTGTTCCCTCCATGAGCTACTGTTTCCACATGTTTGGGTCGATTTCGATACGCACCAGACAAGACCGAAAGCGCCCATGCCCACGGGCTGCAGATCGGTGTATCTGAGCAACGATTAGTCTTCTCCTCTTTCACATGCCGCGGTGCCCAGTTGGGATGGCCTCGCGTCGGGGACGCTCTGCCACGCACCTGCTGGTGATCTCGAAGGTTGTGCCGAAGATCTGCGCACGCACGAACTCCGCCATGGTGAAGGTGTTGATGCGCGCGATCCGCAATTGGAGGTCTGGGGTTGGGAGTGCTCGAAGGGAGGAAGAATGGAGGGTGGTCGGGCGTAGGTTTGCTGTCGCAGACGAGCAGAGGCAAGCGTAGTGGGTGGGGCAGGCGCCGTTCCGAGTTTACGGCTTGGTGAGAGGCGCGTGTGTTTTATTGGAAGGTCTGCTGGTTGCCAACGCAGCGCAGGGCACCTGCTGCTTCCTCACGGGACCGCGTCTGGTCTGTTCTTCTGCTGCTCTCGGTCGTCGCTGTCGCCGGTCGGTCGCTGCGTGGTGTGTGTTGGTGTGCGGAAGAAACTTGCTGGACCTCGCTCCGTTGCACTGCTAGGTAAGGTCGTGAGAGATCGACGATGCGGACCGCGCCGATTCTCCTTGTCGAGCGGCGGATCGGAGGTGAATGCGTTCGGTTCAATGCTGTGGTCGGCAGATGGGTCTGAGGACTGGACTGGCTGGAGTGGCTGGGGCGAAGAAAGGAGGTGTGAGGGAGCAGGTGGGTAAGTTAGTTGGAGGAACGGAGGAGGTTCCGCTGATGAAGGAAGTTCAATCACGTCCTGGCCCCACGCTGCTGCTGCTGCTGCTGCTGCTGCTGTCCGGGTGCTTTCGACGTCTCCGCTGCTCGCATCGCTCGATCGAAAGGGCAGGCAAGCCGCACGCTTACAGCGCCTCCGCGCTCGGCTCTCCTGGCTCAAATGCGGAAGAGGGTGGAAGCGCAGGCGGAGCTGCCTCCGACCGGCCCACGCCCAATGGCAGACGACGCCTACCGTCACTCCGCCAGCGCCATTCGCGTCGCTCACATGGATTCTCGTCGCTGCAGTGCAGTGAGCAGATGTGATGTCATATCCCCGACGACGATACGATGCGCAGAGACGAGCACAGAGATGAGCGCAAGCGCAAGCGTGAGCGTGGGCGCGTGAGCGGGTTGTGAGAGACTGACACTGGTGCGTGCTGGTGGACGCTTGGCCAGATAACAATAAGGTAAGGTACATGTAGTCTCATATGTCTACTTGGCAACTCGAATATCTCACGCGGCTAAACCATCTCTCTCCTGTCAACCTTCGTGGACCCTCTCTGGTGGAGGTACTAAATGCCCATGGCGGCTCACGGACACGTGGAAGAGAACCGATGCTCCACCACGCTGGCCGGGTAGCCTGGGTGGGTAGGTGTACGCCCAATGCCCAACAGCGTCAATGGCAGCTATGATACCATCTCAGTACGTCGGAACCTTTTTGAGCGAAGAACCGGGTCATCCTCAGACGCCAGCACATCTGGCACGCGTCTCCTTCACAAGCTTAGTGACCCTCGCCGATACATGCGTCTCAGTCGGGAGGATGCCTATCGGCCGCTGTGTCACCGCCTAGTCAACCCGCGAGCTTGGGACTGGCTAACAAGAACTGCGTTGCTACATGTACCGTAGGAGCTTCTCATCAGCGACTGATGATTATCAGGACAGCCCATCTCCCGCCCTCCGCCTCAACAGCTCCAGTCGGGCACATGAAGTCGAAAGTTAGGCTTCCGCAGTGCCTGGTGGGCTCAGCCCTTTGCACGCTCTGGTACGGAGGCCTGTATGTTAGTCACTTGTACAGTTCGGTCTCATTCCGGGAGACAAAGCGGACAGCGCTGCTGAATCGCTCCCGGAGATTGGCAGCTGACGGGAGAACGGGAAAGGTACATGTAGTCTCGGCCTGCCCTGAGGTCAAAGCGGAAGCTGAGAGGGCTGAGATGATGTCGCTCCGCGGTGTGTTGCGGCCTACCGACGGGTTGGAGTGAGGGTTGGTCGCTCGCGTGGTACGGCCGATACATGCTATATGCAAGATACTGTGTGGTAGCTCGCCGCGTGCTCGTGGTTGCCAGGGCCAGTGTGGTTTGAGACGAGGCGAGCACGTGAGGGAGGGAAAGAAAGAAAGGAAGAGGACAGAATGAATGGTCGTCGCACGGCGGCGCTGTCGAGATAGTGTAGCTCTTCATGTGGGCTCCGTAGAGGTAGTTGTACACGGTTCGCTGGTACAGTACATGTATCTAGCAGTATCTCTCCAGCTACCAAGTTAAGTTAACCGGATATTACTCCGCATGTTGCTGCCCTGCTCTCCACGCCCGCACCTCCCGAATGGTAGCCGAAGGACAAGGCCGACGCACAGGTACAGGGCACCGGCACAGGCACAGGCACTGGCACCGGCACAGGCATTGCTCTGCTTTGCATTGCTCTCCGACAGTTGAACACCACCACCCGCCATACCTGACCTTCCTTACCTTGACGCCCGTACACGCCATACTCCCCGGTCGAGCACCGCGCTGCTTGGCTGCCCAAGCAGCGTTCGACATTCTACCGCCCGAACACTCCTGCTGTGCTGCGAGAGTCGAGTGTTCCTGATGCGATACATGACCTACTGTACACCAGCACGACCCACCGTACAGCCTATTCCGATCCGTATACCCAGGCTGCCGGACTGGCCAGCTACAGGTACCAGCACGACTAGCGGAACGGTCCAGGCGTAAGCATTGAGCCAATCCATACCATCGTCACCGCACTGCACTGCACTGCACTGCTGGTTGCGCCGGCCACCTCACTGTACCTGCAACAACACACCGCACCCCATCGCGACATCACCGCCCTCACCCCTCACCCCTCCTCTCCTCTCCTCTCCCCTCCTCCGCCGCCTCGGCGCGCCGCCGTCCCTACCGCCGACACCTGCATCTCCATCCGCACCCAGAAGCTCGCTTGGCGGCCCATTCCCAACCCAGCGGCACTGCGCGACACAAAAGGCCCGGCACGACTGGACAAAGCCACGAGCCGCCCTGCAGCATTCCGCGCACTCGAGCTGCTTCGCAAGCATCCCTCGGTCCATCCCTAACCCCTACCGCAGCGCCATTACCATCCGCACCCGCTGCACCGAGTCCCGGACTGTGCACCGACGATTCGCTGCGGGCGTGGCTTGGCCCACGAGAGGGCGCGGTTTGGAGCCACAAACACGGCCGCCTGAGCTCGTTGGAGCAGTATGGGCGCGTGCATGAGCAGCAGCAACAATGAGGAGGGCGATCAGAAGAAGCGCAGTCAGATGATTGACCGCGGTCTGGAGGAGGATTTGAAGAAGCTGCGGCGAGAATGCAAGATACTTCTGCTGGGTATGTACTCTACAGCGCTTTGGTTGTGGAAGATCGGGATTGTCATGCTAATGCTGGAGCGCAGGCTCTGGAGAGAGTGGAAAGAGCACCATTGTCAAACAGATGAAGATCATACACCAGAATGGCTACAGCGTGGACGAACTGGCGTTGTACCGACATACTATCTACAAGAACCTAATAGACTGTGCCAAGGCCCTCATGGGAGCCATGCGGCAATTCGAGATCGAGCCCGAGAATCCAGACAACAGGAGCCTCTGTGACTACATAATGGAGTACACAGTCGACCCGGACCCACAACAAGCGTTGGATCCGAAAGTTGGCGATGCAATTGCAAGCGTCTTGAGGGACCCTTGCATACCGAAGGTGTTCGATCACCAGAACGAGTTCTATCTCATGGACTCAGCGCCCTAGTATGTCCTTCTCGTCGTGTTCAAGCTTCAAGTGTGTAGCTAACCGTGTGATCAGCTTCTTTGATGAGGTCGCGAGAATAGCGGCAACCGATTATATCCCCACGGAGGCAGACGTGCTGCGAGCCCGAACCAAAACGACTGGTATCTACGAGACGCGATTCCAAATGGGTCAATTGAGTATCCATATGTTTGACGTCGGGGGCCAAAGGAGCGAGAGGAAGAAGTGGATCCACTGCTTTGAGAACGTGACTTCAATAATATTCTGCGTCGCGCTTAGCGAGTACGACCAGGTTCTTCTGGAGGAGAGTAGTCAAGTGAGTTGCCGCAGCCAGGAAAACACTTGAGCTGAACTAACATGAGCAGAATCGCATGATGGAGTCGCTCGTCCTCTTCGATTCGGTGGTGAACTCTCGGTGGTTCATGCGAACTTCGATTATCCTCTTCCTCAACAAAGTGGATCTTTTCCGGGCGAAACTCGCGAAGTCGCCGCTAGGGAACTACTTCCCGGACTACTCGGGCGGCAATGATGTGAATCGCGCGGCGAAGTATCTCTTGTGGCGGTTCAACCAGGTCAATCGAGCGCACCTGAACTTATACCCTCAGTATGACCCACGTCCCTCCTTGCTCCACACGCGACCTTGCTAACAGCCTCATAGCCTCACTCAAGCCACGGACACGTCCAACATTCGGCTGGTCTTTGCCGCAGTCAAAGAAACGATTCTCCAAAATGCATTGAAAGACTCGGGCATATTATAGCGCGTAGGGATCGGCAACCCCAGTGACATATGCCACCATCTATCTCGACGCTCTGGGGGCGAATCTCTTCGACGACATTTATTTTGTTATACTCCAGGATAGGGCGTTTCGCGGCGCTTGAGAGCGCGGCTCGAATGCGGCAGAGGAGTATGGGTTGGATTGCGGGTGGGAGGGGGGCACATTGGCAGGATATGAATATGATACTTGGTATGGCTTGAGAGCGGAGGGCAGAGACAAAAAGCTGGTCTTTTAGCGTGGCGTTGCGCTGCTTCCCTTCTCGATTTCATGAAACGCTTCTCGAGCTCGACTGTCGCACGGCCGGGGAGGGACTTTTGAGCGGGGGGGGGAGGGAGAAGAGGGAGGAGAAGAATGCTTCGGGGGAAGGGGGGGATATGAGCATGTTCGAAGTCGGAGACCTCTGCGGGTGCCGGGAGACGGACGTGGTCCCGAGTATATGCCCATCTAATGAAACGCCACCTACCTTATGCATCGTTAACACCTTTGATGTCTTTCAGCTCTTGGAGGCCCGGATGTCGGAAGATGCCCTACCTGAAATAGAAGGTCCCGTGACTGCATCCATGCTTCCCCGTTCGTTCCTGCAGCGCGAGGGGCTTACTAAGTCGCGCTAGTGTCGACGTCGGTCCCGTCCCGTCGACTTTCACAAGATGTGAAGTACCTTACAAGAACATATTTTGTTTGGCAAGATGGAGACTCGTCGTCGCGTGACCGTCGCTCAGGCGAGCATGATACCGACTAGTGCAGTATCGTTGCATCCACGTCCCAAGGAGCTTTGCACAGGCGGGCAGGTTCTGGGTGCAAAGGGCGGTGCATCATCCATCGCTCGACGACGTGAACGATCCGCTCTTCGACCCCTGCGACAGTGGAGACGAGGCATCTACATTGCGATATCACGAGGCGGTTCATCACGGTGGGAAGTCGCGCGTGCATGCTGCCTGGCTCTGTACCACCTGCTCCACATCGCCGTCGACGCGGCTGGCTGTCGGGCTTGCTTGTGCGTAACAAAGGCCAACGCCATCACCACGGTCCCGGTCCTCGAGAGGTTTTTTTTTTAATTTTTTGACGTCGCACAGATCGACACTGCCGCCGAACGGGAAAATTCACTCGGACTCCCTCGAGCCTCGATATCTCTCATGCAAACGACGGCGATACGGCACACTCCACACATCCTCCGCGCCTCGACATGCTCTGGATTCGACATGCCGATAATGGAGTCCCGTCTATCATTGCGCCCTGGCCCGTGGCCGACATCGTCTATGTCGCTATCATTGCACCCATCATGCTAGCAGCATTTCTCGAGTGGATCCTCTTCCTGGTCGCCTTTCAATACTGCTTCGTCCAAGTGTTCCGCAAAGCGGACGGTGAACAGAAATGGAGTGTCCGGATACTCTGCGTACTGAACATTGTCTGGTTCACGCTCTTGCGCTGCATCTTCCTTCCCATCATGGTGGTCACTCTCCCACTGCCATCCCAAGTGGCGCAGTACTTTCCACAACAGGTGGTCGATGTCCTTCAGTGGTTCGCCTTTGTAAGTGCTGGAACGTACCTTCTACTACTCGGGTACTCAGTGGCTTACCATCCCTACAGTACACTTTCGCTGGCCTCCTGATCGTGCCTTGGCTTCTTTGCGTGTACCAATTGGTGACGCGCAATGTGGGCAGGGGTACGCTCGTCAAGAAAGCACTGGACGAGTACTCGGCTCCAAAGGTTGTCATCATCATGCCTTGTTACAACGAGGAGCCGGATATTCTGATACGAACGGTCGAGTCCATCGTGCATTGCGATTATCCGGCTGCATGCCTCCACATATTCCTCTCATTCGACGGCGGCGAAGAGAACGAATTGTTTCTGAGCACCATCGGAAAGCTCGGCGTGCCGGTGACTCTAGAAGCGTATCCGAAAAGCATCGATATCGCCTACGAGGACTGCCGGATCACGGTCTCCCGATTCCCACACGGCGGCAAGCGCAAGTGTCAGAAGCACACCTTTCGCCTCATCGACAAAGTATATGCGGAATATCTGCGCCGTAACGATGACCTTTTCCTCCTCTTCATTGACTCAGATTGCATCCTGGACAAGAACTGCATCAAAAACTTCATGTACGATATGGAGCTCAAACCCGGGAGCAAGCACGACGTTCTTGCCATGACCGGCGTGATCACATCAACCACCATGAAGAATTCTCTTATCACCGTCTTGCAAGACATGGAGTATATCCATGGCCAACTCTTTGAACGGACTGTGGAATCTGCATGCGGCGCCGTTACTTGCTTGCCCGGTGCGCTCACCATGTTGCGCTTCTCTGCCTTTGGGAATATGGCCAAATACTACTTCGCGGCCAAGGCCGAGACTTGCGAAGATATGTTCGACTACGGAAAGTGCCATCTAGGGGAAGACCGATGGCTTACCCACCTCTTCATGATTGGAGCACAGAAACGATACCAGATTGGAATGTGCACAAGTGCTTTTTGTAAGACCGAGGCCGTGCAGACGTGGAAGAGCCTACTCAAGCAGCGACGGCGCTGGTTTCTGGGCTACATCACAAATGAAGTCTGTATGCTTACAGACGCCCGATTGTGGTGGCGATACCCACTCCTGCTCATCATGCGACTCATGCAGAACTCCATTCGGACTACGGCCTTGCTCTTCTTCATTATGGTCATCTCTATTGTCTCTACGTCTCAGAAGATCAAGAACCTCCCTGTCGGCTTCATTGCGGTATCTCTCGGGCTCAACTGGGTTCTAATGCTGTACTTCGGCGGGATTCTTGGACGTTGGAAGATCACTCTCTACCCCATCATGTTTGTCGTCAACCCGTTCATGAATTGGTTATACATGGTGCATGGAATCTTTACGTGCGGCCAGAGAACCTGGGGTGGACCACGAGCCGATGCAAGCAAAGCGGATGCCACGACATCTCCTGAGCAAGCAGTGGCCGAAGCCGAAGCCAAGGGCGATGTACTCAACGTGTTACCGGAGACCTTCATGCCAGCCGTGGACCAGCTGGGCAGGAAGAAGTCCGTCCGTACACCGCTGCAGCCTTCAAGCCGACTAGAAGGTCGCTTCGCGGCAGCAGAGGAGGTTGCACCAGGGTACTATCAACAAGGCAACGACTCCGGCGCTCTGCGTGCCAACATGGCGCCTCGAGGGTATGGAGATGTCGAGATGGCCATTTACAACGCAGGCTCCCGAAGAGACAGTGCGGAGTCTTTCCTCACCTCCGATCATTCCATACCCACACCCAGGAGGGTGGAAAGCTTCGTGGGCATGGATGCATACCATGGCACGTCACGAGGCCAAGTCGTCAACGACGGTGCTAGATATGAGCCAGCGGTACATCAGCAGCAAGCGCACGTAGCACCTGGCTTCGACTTGGGCTTCAGACCATCTTCAAGTCGCCGGGAGTCCGCGGAGTCAGAGCGCGACGACCGCTCCGTATCCTCGGTCGACATGCACTTCAGCGTGCCCAGCCGTGATCCAACTGTACTAGGCAGAGGATCCCGACGTGAAACTGCGCAGCCACGCCCCCCATCTGTCCGTCAACCCACCCACCCAACTGATCAGCAGCGAGACGAAACCACGATGAATCACCTTGCAGCACCAGAGCCCCCTCTCAGACCTCCGACTCGGTTCCACCATGGTGAGCAAAGCAGTGCGCTACGAACAGGTCGCAGTCCGCTGGCAAGGAAGTCCTTCACAAGACTGGCAACCGATGACGCTCCATCCACCGCCGGGAGCAGGACGGAGGTGGAAGTAAGAGTACCTGCAAGGGTCTCCGAGGATGACGAAGGCAGGCGAGGTCGACGGCGGATAACATCAGTTGGCCCAGACGGTAGGCGACGATTGAGCAAGCAGGGCCGCAGAAGTCGGTCGTCGAGTCGAGCTTGAGAAGTCATTCCTCACGGATCAGGTGAGGTCTTGTGCGCGCATCAAGGACAACATTCCATTGGTCATGGACACATGAGGAGCGCGATGTTGCATTGTGGCTACGATACTAGGTGTTGGGACAGGTCAAGAACGAAGCGACGAGAACATTGAAGGCAACAGTATTGACGAGTAACGATGTCATGCAAATTTGAACTCACGAACCTCTGCACTAGACTTAGTTAGAACCAACCACCTTCAGAGCTTTCGGCTGGTGTGCCCTCCAGGCTATCCGCACCTGCATATCCTTTCAACGAAGCTCGTCTTCACCTTCCGTACACTGACACTCAATCCACAGAAAATGCCACAGCAGAGAGGGAATGTGAATCAGCTGATAGAATTGGCAAAGGAGAGTGCTGAGAAGAGACTCCCTGTAAGTTGGAGTCAATACGCTTGCGTCATTGGTCGTATATTGTTACATGTTTTTGGCCACTCGTGCTACGAACTAGCAGCAACACGATCTTGTCGAGGGCGCGATCGAACGGATGGCGGACGGTGCTACCGTGCACTTATCCGTCTCGGTGTCGTCTGTTTCGATGCCCGAATTCAATGTACATGCCCGGCGCGGTCTCTCGCTTCTTTTGGAAAGCCCTCGACATGCACTCACATCTTGCAGGTCCATCTCATCATGCCCTACGAGTCCACTTCCATGCTCTCTGTGCCTTCCGGCTTGTTCTCGAATGTCGTCTCCAACCAGCTTGCAATCTCCTGTCCCTCGTATAGCTTGAAGTTCTCATCCACACCACTCACCCCTAAGCTGGTGTTATCCACCGTCAACTCCTTATCCTGGCTCAAACTATCCTTCAGCGCCCTCAGCGCATGCTTAATCAACTCCTCCCGATCCGAACTCTCGAAGCCCTCCAGATTCCGCTCCAGGTATGTTCGCGCCATCTGTGACCGCGCGCCGATCCCGCACGCTACCATCTCTTGCGTCACACCGCTGGGCTGGAATTCAAAGAGATGTGGGCCCTTTGCGTCTACGCCAGCGATGAGCAGACCTACGCCGTAAGGTCGCTTGCCGTACTGTTGAGTGTTTGTCTGGGCGCGGTCGCCGATGCGCGAGGTGATTTCGGAGAGCAAGATGGGTCGGTCGTAGGTGAGGCGGGATGCGAGCGATTGCTGTTTCATGAAGTTGGAGAGGACGCGGGCATCGGACGCGAGGCCCGCGAGGGCGACGCCGTAGTGAGTGTCGATGGGGATGATTTTGCGTTGGTAGGAGGAGAGCTCTTCTGCATTTCGCTACATGGGTTGTCAATACATGCTTTCGTTTGGTAGGATGAGAATCGAGTGATAGAGGGTACCTTCAGGGCTGCGAGGACCGCATGTGTCTTGCTGACGATGCCAACGACGACGGAACCTTGCTTGACAGCTTCTTGTGCGTATTCGACTTGGAAGATGCGGCCTTGCGGAGAGCTGTTTGATGTGTTAGCTGGAGACAGATTGACAGGGCTGATGGATGTGCTGCTGCTCACAATGTGACCGAGTCGTTGTCATAGTTGTTTCTGAACATCTTGGCGACTCCGTTTGTGCTGTTTGTGCTGTAGGTGAAGTTGGAGGTGGCTTGGAAGAGAAGGACGACGTGTTGATGGAGTTGGTGGTCTTGACGTCCAGATGCTCGCTTGCCAGGCCGCGATGAACTCGCGTCTCTCGGATGAGCTCTCGGCTCGGCTCTTCCCGCCCTGCGCTAGCACACTAGTGCCAGCTTCGCTTCGAAACACTCTCTCAACTCTCGTTGCTTCTCTTTCCAACTTCACAACAACAAATCATTTCCTATCCGCTGTGGGAAGACATTGTACCTCATTGTGTGCCCATCCAGCACGTCCCAGAGACGCTCTTTGGTGATCTCTGGAGTCACGTCTCCTCGTCAACGGTCTCCATTCTTCCCTCACTCGACCTTCTTTCATCGGTTTTCTCCCTGCATGGGACGCACTGATGCGCGGAGGTAGAAGCCACAGAGCGAACGGCTGGATAGGTAGTTGTATTAGATCCTCTGGCACTACTACAGGAACAAAATTTCGCACAACCAAGCCAGAGACTTGCAAAGGCCCGTAGCGATACGTAACTATTCAATCGATGTCGTGGACCGGAATTGTACAAGTGCTGGTTGCTGCGCGGCGTCGATGGGAGACACTTTCTGCTTGTATAGCCATCAAGGTGATCCTGCAACTGTTGTTCCCCCCTCCCAAACCGCCACAACAGAACGATGCCCTCTCCATGCAACCCACCCTTTAGTGCAAAGCATAGCGGGTCACTTCTGCGACCAGTAGATGTCGTTTCGAAACGCTACGCTGTCGCCGATGGTTCTGCGAAGCCAGAAGACTTGAAGCCCGTCGAAGAAAAGGCCATTCGCGAGGTGGTGAAATCGCCACCTCACGGATGATATTGCAGGCTGTGTATCATTTCAGAGACATCCTAACTACTCTACAGTCTCCATAGCCGGTGAAGTGTCTTTCTCCAGGAGGACTACAGCTCACGGCACAGAACCAATCTCTCCGGTCCGTCATACTCCCAGGCCTTTTCGACGTCTGCAAACTTCGCCGTCTTCACAGGCTGGGAAGGCATATCTCGCACAGCATCCAGAAGCTGTGGAACAGTCTTTGCAAATTCCTTTATGCTCCAAGATCCCGGACCTGAGCCCCGGATCGTGACATCCTTTGCTCGTAAGACTTGCCCGGGAATGGTGATCTCCGGAATAGACAACGCTCCGATGTGGACGTATTGCACTGATTTTGCCGTGTTCATGGACTTGAGGAGGTGGAGCACTAGCGGGCCATAGACGTAGTCCAATACGACGTCTACGTCGTCGAGATTGCTGAAGTCGGTCTGTTCCACTTCTTCTTGAATGATTATGGATTCGTCGAGTCCCAGGGTGTCCAGAGTTGTTTTGTTCCTGGCAGCTCCGATGACTTTCTTCGCCCCGAGAGTTCGTGCTAATGCGATGGCGACTCTTCCAGATGCGGAAGTGGCTCCGAGGATCAGGCAGGTGAAGTCCTCTGGGAGATTCGTGGTTCTGCCTTTGAAGGCCATCCAACTGGACATGGCCGGATTGATCGCGGCGGCTATCTTCACTGGGTCCGAATCCTCTGGTAATGGGAATACGGAGTGTTTGGGCATGTTGATGAATTCTGACAGTACTCCTTTCCCCATTGTCATGAAGTATACTTTCTGACCAGAGTCTGTGGTTCCGACGCCATCAATGCCCGGAATATGTGGAAGTTCTCCGGAGGAGTAGTGTTGCCCTGATGCTCGGGAGCGAACGACACGATGGATACCGACAGCTTCGACCTTGATGCGGACTTCTTCTAAGTTTGGTGGTGGAAGATCCGGGACTTCGATGTAGGTCGGTGGGTTTCCCCAACTGGTGATCTGGGCTTGATGCATGTTCCTCCTCGGCGTGTTCTTGAGGTGGATGCTTTAAGTAGGTGGTTGATTTGGCGATTGTGATGAAGGGTGGGATCCTCATCATTGGATTGACGAAAGCTCAGATTGGAAGAGCACTTTTAAATAATCACCCAGCTGCGGTGAGCAGAATCAATACGACAATTGGACCGTCGGGCACAGAAACCATCTTTCGGGCCCGAAACTGTAGCTCTACATGTGCAACTGTGGAGTACATCCCTACCGTCGCAGCCGCTGCTTCCGGCAGAACGGAACTCGACAGCAAAGAAGACGGATCTCAGCCATGGAGAAGTCGCCCTTCAACAATCTTGCAATCGAGCTGCGAAGCCATATCTGGGAGGATGTCTCCATGGATCCCGGGGTCGCTACAGGAACAAGTGCTCTGAGTTACATGTTCAGTATGTAGCACACGTCACCTTACAGCGCTGCTCGTCACATGCAAACAAATTCGAAGCGAAGCCTTGCCGATGTCGGTCGGGCAAAACGGGTCTGTCATTCATCTCGGCTGCGTCCATGTACTCGAGGCCGAGACATGTGTATCAAGCTTCGCGGGTGTTTTTCGCAATTTGGAAACGGCATCACGCTCCTTCAACGTGTGACATTGCAGCTGGGTTGCTGCGATGTCGACGACGATGACGCTGGTAGCAGGGCCGTTGAAGGGCTCAAGCGATTCCAGCCGGCGGCTGACATGTTTGGATTGACGCCAATCATGAGTTTCGAGCTGGTGTATGGTGCCAACACATCGGTTCTCCTTCTCACATACGGCGATATCCTTGCAGAGCAAGCGAAAGCCTCAAATGATCATTTGGTGCACGGGTGCGGAATGAGCTTTGCTCCCCTCGTTACTACCTCTCCTCCAAGCGCCATCCTTGCTGGCAAGATATTCAAACCGGATAAGGTCGGGGGAAAATGTAAAATCAGAAATGTGTACTTTGTGCCCCTAATCGAAGCCAAACGTCGGGGAGCGCCTCTTGAATGATTCATTGCTGAATGACCTGCTCGACTTAATGGTGAATGAACTCCTCGATGTCCACACGCATTCTCAAACCCCTTTCTACCATCGTCTCGTAGACCTGCTTAATCTCCCCTTCTGACAACCCACCGTCTTCCGAAAGAAGATTCATGCCCACGACTGCCCAAGCCTTGTGCCATGGCAAATGCCGCAAGCCATCGAGGAAGACTTGTTTCGTCCGACGCGAAGCATTCGGTTCCTTACTCTGGTGCTCTACGCGTAGCCATGCAAGCCAGAGGAAAGGAGAGTGCTTAACCTTGCTGTCTGTACCAAGAAGAGCTTTCGTGAAGAGGCAACGGACCGTATTTGGAGTCGAGCCGGACGCAGAGGTGCCCAGGCGCCGCAATTCGTGGCATATTCGATGTGACCATTGCACGACGTCCATATTCGAATAGTCAAGCGCTTGTTGTTCTTGCACAAGGGTACGGAGTCGATCCTGAGATGCAAGCTGTGCGTAAAGGTCGAGAAGAATGCTGTTGCTTGGGAATGACTTCAAGTCGCTCTCTAATTCCTGCTTCAGAGCCGCAGGTTTGAACGGCCGCTTTTGGTCGATGTGTGTCTTGATCATACTTGCCTTGCTCTGCAGCAGCAGTTCGAGAGCTGTGGTCTGGCCGTCTTTCGCCATGCGACTAACGTGCTTGGTATATGTCTTGAGAGCAGCGTAAAGATCTCCGTTGTCATTCGATATGCTGAAATACGATAACCAGGCTAGACAGTCGGCATACATGGATGCATGCGAGGACCTCTGTGCCAACAGCATGCGGTCGAATCCTTCTTCCAGCTGTCGTCTTACTCTCAAGAGACGACCGCCAGCCTCGTAGCTGGCCGTGCCCTCTATGAGAATTCTTGCATCTGATAGAGATGTGATCTCTATCGCTAGAACATTTTTGCGCGCGGAATGCAAGTCCCGCTCTCTAATTGATGAGAGTAGGCGACTATGCCACAAGAAGATGACGTCTGCTTCCGCGTTAGAGTCGAGCCGATGCCGCATGCTCAAGGCAGTCGACCAGACGTCTTGCGCTTTAGAATGAGATTTGGGGTATTCGATGAGAGCGTATGCATTATAGAGCCGTAGACTAGAGGAACGCGCTTTCAAAAGTCGTTTGGCAGACTTTGAAGCTTCCTCAGGGAAGATCTCCTGCTTGAAAGCAAGAAAATACTCCGCGAGAGCATCATCACTCGGCTGCGCGGAGACAAATCTTTCTAGCAACCGGTCCACAAGTCGACAGATCTCGTGCCCAATCTCATTGTCCGAACCTTCGCGAAAAGTGCCGAGACCGTCGTGGAAGAGAGTGTCAATTGTCTCAACACGTGATGCTACTTGCATCGTGTCTGCGCGCAAGCGCTTTCGACCCAATGCTTCTCCGACGGAGCAGACTGTGGGGGCTTGTAGCTGCTCTCCGAGGATGCTGTCAGCATTGTTTACATCATTGGTAACCGGTGGCAGGCCAGCAAATGTCAAAAAGGCGTCAAGTAACCCGCGTTTCGGGAGATCCATGCACAAGGCGCCCAGAATTTCTTTGAGGTCTGAGAACATGACGCATCGAAAAGGATCGACGGTGGCACCTTCATCGTCCATGGTGGACGGTATCATGAAGCCATGTAGCTTCAACTCCTGCTCGAGAAAGCCAGGTATAGGTTGCGCTGGGTTCAAGAACGGCGCGTCATACGTGACCGGAGATCGCTTGTGACGGGCGCCACTCTCAACATGTCGAAACCAGCCTTCAGCCTGGTGCTCTCCGATTCTAGGGGTTTCATTCTCCCAGAAGTCCTCAAATGCGGCGAGAATTTCCTCGATGCTTGCGGCCTGTAAGCGGCTTGGCGTGAAGAATTGAATTTCCAATGTCGCCTGCCAAATTGCAACAGCCAGTTCGTCGTAGCCGGCCTCTCGAATAAATGTTGTCAAGCGTAGCAAAACATAAATCTGGACCTTACAGATGGATGTTCGTTCGCTGGGAGGAGCTTGGTCTCGAGCTTCCCGGAGTATGGCAAGGCATTCTACGTACGCGTCCCTGCATTTCTCGAAACAGAATAAGAGGTTGCTGCATTGAATGTAGTTCAGATACCTCTTCCAGAGCAAAGAGCTTGAGCTGCATTCCGTCAAAGCTTCTATCCAGCTCGAATGCACCTTCTTATGATCCCAAATGAGCGAACCCTCATCAATAAGAGCGAGTAATAGACGGTCGCGGCCAAATCTTCCTTTTGTAATGTGACTGGCAGCTTCGTGTAACACGGAAAGCCGCATGTCTGCTACAGCTCGTCGCTCTGAAACTGATAAGGAGGAGATTTCGACGCCTGGCCGGACGAGCTTCTTTTGGTGCTCCACAAGAGCAAGCCATGCGTCCAGATCCGCCGAGTTCCCCATGGCCCTTTTGGAAAGAACAGAATTCTCTTGACGAGCCTTTAGGTCGAGATCTTCTTCGCCCTCGCTTGAGTCTGAAGCAAATGCCAGATCATCATCCGCCGGCCGATCAGGCACTTTGGCTTTCCCTTCGATCGATCTGTAGTCTACTGGAGTAGTATCGCTCACTTCGGGAGAATTAGAGTCACGTTTACGCTTTCTCGTAGGCCGCACTTCAATGTAATCGCTCTCAGCATCATGATCTGCAAGTTGTTGTGAGCCTGGCATTACGAGGCGGAGTCGATGTTCGGAAGCTCGTCCATACTTCGACGAAAGCAAACGCGTGTGTCGCTTCTCCCTCGGAGCGGCTTGCTTTGTGATAGTAAGTTCCTTGTCATTGCTCCGCTCGCGGTCGATTTTGGTAGAAGTTTCCACGCCTATGATATTACCATATCCAGCTCGACGATATCCTGGGATACTGTAGCGATGAAGACTGCCAAATTCGACATTTTTGGCATCTCCGCGGCGGTCGATAATAAACAGATCCGACTCCTCGAATTCATCAGGTGCAATCGCAGACTCGATCACTTGGCTCCTGTCGCGGCTGTTATTGCGGTGGCGAGTCCTGTCCGTGGAGCGATTCTTACGCCTCTTGTCTTGATGTCGAGATCGGTGTTTCCCGTCAAGGTCCCGACATTTGTTGCTCTCGGGTGACGGTTTATCCTTGGATGTCGTCGAATTCAAACTAGACCGTGGCTTGAAGCTACCGAATCTGGGCACCGAAGCCTGCTCCATGTACCGCTTGCATCAATCGGCTTTTCAAGGTGTGAGATTCCTGATTCCTGTGTTAAGAGAGCTTTGGATACGTATCTGTTGTGGTAGAGAATGCGAGCAGTTCACAAGATGTAGTGCTCGGAGATCGGCTCGTGGCTCCATCAACGGACCGGTCCGATGCCAAGATTTCTACCTAGCTTCAACCCTAAAAAGTTAACGAAGTTCGTCTCGTGGTCAAAAGACTTCTTTGCCTAACACTGGACATGTGAGCTGGTGCCACCCTGCCGCGATTTCTGCTGTTGGCAAACGAGCATCACGACATCATGGCGACCGCCCTCCAGCAGCAGCTGGCTGCTATTGCCGCCAACAGCACTCACCAGTTGGACTTGAAGGCGCAAAAAGCTAGACACAGCAAATCACTCCTCTTCGAGCCACGAGATGCAGCGACCCAGACCTTCGAAACGATATACCAAATTAGTCTCGAAGGCTTTGAAGACTTATGCCATCTCGACTCTCGTTTCGTTCCTTTCGCGCGGAACCTCTTCAGCGAGCAGAGCAAGAGCGAGGACCGAACACAGATGACGGCGAAAGAAAATGAGGAGCTGGACAGGGTGATCGAAAGTTTTCTGGGATTGCTGGGAGGGCGCTTGCTATTGAAACCCGCGATCAAGGCTGCAGAGTGGCTAGTGCGAAGATTCAGTGTTCATGAGCGCAATACAGAGGCTGTCTTGTTCACCTTTCTGCCCTACCACTCAACGCACATTTTTCCAACCTTGTTGTCGATACTACCGGAACAGCTGCCGGTAAATTTCAGATTCCTGCATCCGTATGTGTCATCATTGCAGAGTCCGCCAAGACATGCGGTGGTCGCGGCCGCAAGCAATCACCCGGCTTTCTTCACGGCGTTCAGCAAGATTGTCTTGGGCGTGGCGAGGGCGGGAAACCAATCAGCACCTCTACTGGGATTCTGGGCAAGTATCACAGCCCAAGCCGTCAATGGTATGGTAGATGCGACACGATCTGGACGAGAGACGATCCGAAAACAGAAAGAGGAAGATCTGCTGCTGAAGGTGCTTCCGGTACTGCAAAACGCTCTGAGCATCAAGGGAGCGCCAGAGCTTTATTTGGGATCGTGCATGGTTATCGTCATACTTGCGACTAAAGCGTCGCTCAGCGATAAGGTGCTCAATGCGCTCATGGAAGCGGTGGCGGGCAGCTGGAACGACCAGACTGTTGACGAAGGCATGACCTGTCTAGCTGTGCTTGCGGAGGAGAAAGACCTCGGGCTTCCCAGCTCTACAATTCGTGCAATCCTACAGCAGCCACAAAGTTTGGACACTATCCTTCGCATAGGAGGCAAATGTCGCGTGGAAAAATTACTTGTCGGAACTTCGCTTGGGGCTGTCGAAACCCTCAAACGAAAGCCAAACCCGTTCGCTTCTGCGTTCCTCCAAGGTCTTCCTTTCGCCGCGCTGACACAGGAGCACCGATTGGCCGTCATGTATGGCATTCTACAAGCAGCTGAAAAGTGTGACGGAGAAGATGACAGGCGACGAGAATTAGCCACAACTCTGAAGTCGCTTGCCCCGAAAGATGCCGCCTCAATGCAAGCCGCGGCTCGAAAGGCAAATGTGGATCTAAGTCGCCTCGACGCGGATCTACCCCTCTTGCTGCGAGACGACGAAGCAGAGGAGGAGGAGGATCCCATGGAGATTGACCACAAACCTGTTGAAGATGAGAGCACACGTACACCAATCGACCTGGAAGACTTGCCGGAACTTCCAAGCAAGCATGCCTCGTTCCTTGATACTTCCAACCAAAGTCTCTTCGAGGAATACCGCAACACGTTTCAGAAGGCCCTTCCTTCCGAAAAAGAGCTTTCAGCACTTCTGAACATTCCATCTTTGGAACGCACTGCATCTACGAAACAACCAAGCGTCTTCACCTTCTTTGCCCGCATATGGACAAGCGACGTACCGCTGTCTGCGCGTTTGAAAGCTCTTCAGATTACTGTTGAATTGCTGCAGCACATGGAAAAGGAGCATTTGTGTGACATGCAAGCCTTGCTGCCATACGTGATCGCTGGCCTCTCCGATCCCATCAAGTCCATACGTTCCGCTTCAGCATTGACTTGCCGAGTACTGGGGAGTCTCTATGCCAAGACCAAAGCTTCTGAGCTCTCTGTTTGGGGTAAAGCCGACATATACGGAAAGGAGACTTCACAGGTCGCATGGCTTGCACCAAGCGACGCTCAGAAGATTGTGTCCGATGGATTGCTGCCACTCCTTGAGGACTGCGTTATCGATGGAGAGTACATCTTACATGCGCTCCCAGACACCATAAACGCCACTGCAAAGACAGGGCGCAAAGAATTGAAGAGCGGCTTGCGCGCCGCTTTGTACTCATTCCTGGCGTCTCATGCTGTAGTGTCTCCCGTCCTTACTCTCAAACTTAGACTCTTGTCCATGTTGAGGAAGGTTGGCAAAGCTGCAGGACCTGGAAGATCGCAGATCCTCCTGCCTTACATTCGAGCTCGCGTAGCCGAGTTGAAAGGGCTCGCAAACTCGCCAACGCTGGCTTTAAAGACAGCTTTAGTGGCCTGCGTCACTCACCGTAGCGCCGACGAGCTTCAATTCCTCAGGGAATTGTCCTCTGGTACATTGGGGAGCGAGCAGGATTCGAAGCTTGGATTCGATCGCATCCGCGATATCTGGCCAATCATGAAAGTAACTTCACAAGCGGAAACAGTCCACTGGATGCTCAAAGCTTTCTTGAACCCGGAGACTTCGGAGGATGTGCAGAGCAATGCCTTGGAGACGCTTCGAAGCATTTCATTGCCGACAGAAGTTTTAGTGCACCTCGTTGAGAATCTGCCAAATGTTGCAGACCTTCAAGAGCAGCACCCCTCCGCCGCTAAGCGGCAACGGACTAGCAGAGTATCAGAGGCTTCCAAGCCTGGCAGCGTGGACAAATCGAAGCTTGATATTGCTATACGTCGGATCACAATCGTCCTTGAGCTGATCGAGGGATCAAAGGCCGAGAGGCATCCGCAACTACTCAAAGGGCTGTTCCATCTCCTTAGCGAGCTCCACCATTACAAGGCGCTCATGGAATCGGAGCTGGTGTACCTCCAACAACTGCTTGTGAACAGCCTACTTTCTGTCGTCAGCGGGTTGAAGGCTGCTTCCAACACCGAGGTGGACAGGTCTGTCATCAGGGCCGACCTAATCGTCGATACCGTGCGCACAACCTCGAATCCGCAGGTGCGACAGGTGGCATTGCTACTCATGTCCGCCCTGGCATCTTGGGCTCCGGACCTGGTTTTGCACAGCGTAATGCCATTGTTCACTTTCATGAGTTCCACCATTCTGAAACAAGGAGACGAATACAGTGCACATGTCACTGATCAGACAGTTGCTAGCATCATTCCTCCCTTGGCCGACTCTCTCAAGAAACGAGGCAAAGAATTGATCAGCGGAGCCGCGGATCTTTTGCTGAGCTTCACGGCAGCATATGAGCACATTCCATTGCATCGCCGTCACAATCTCTTCCAGCATCTCGTACAAACGCTCGGAGCTCGAGAGTCTCTCTTCGCGATTGTGGCCATGCTGATCGAGAGATATCCAGACGAAGCGAGTGTGTCGCCCTTCGTCTCTACTTTAATGGACGAGTTTGCGGTCAGCGTGCAGTTGCACGCTGTTCGACAGTACCTCGACCTAATATTCGATACCCGCAAGTCGAAGCGCGGACTATCTGATGTCATTCTCGTGTTCGGCGACAAGAACGCCAAGCAAGCGACGACAGCGACTTCAACGCTATTGGAAGGACTCTCGGACATCCTCTCACGCCGTACGTTCCGTAAGAGCCTGGCCAAGGAATTGATGAAAGGTGATGATGAGGCCGAGAGCCTTCGAATCGCATACTCGGAAGTCCTGGAGAGGACCATACAGCTAGATCTTCAGCTGAAGGACGTGGATTCTCTAAGCGATAACGCAGGCGAAGTTCTCACCGCGTTGCTGGGCCTCATGCCAACCAAGGACTTCATCGACTCCAGTGCAAAGCTTATGCAGACTGGGTCGGATGTAATTCGCCAGCAGGTCTTCTGGTCGCTTGAACAACGAGTTAACACCGCCAAGCGAGCCGACAATGCCTTACAGCAAATCTTCATGGAAGTACTACCCAACTGTGCTGCCTTCGTCATACCAAGTCAACCGGCCGCTACTCGCCTTGCCGCCATTACGTGTATTGATCGCATCGCGGAGAAGTTTGGAAAGACTGATCGCGCTAAGGTCGCAGAGACCGCTCAAGTAGTTGCTAGCGATGCTGCTCTCGGGGATGACGATCATTCATTAAGGCGTATGTCGCTACTCTGCTTGGCTAGCATGGTGGAGGTCCTCGGTGGTGAATTCATCCCGATTCTGCCTAGAACACTGGATCGAGCACTGCAATACTTGGAAGCGACAATTGGAGACGACGAGACAGACTATGATCTACTTGCTGCGTGTTTCAGCTTGGCGATGGCGGTGTTGGATCACGTGCCGTGGATGCTTTCCGGACCATATCTTGAACGTCTACTTCGACTTGCAAGTGAAGCAGACGAGGAGAACGCGAAGCAGTTCAACGAACTCGCAGCAAAGCAAGTGCCTGTTCAGGACTGCCTGTCTGCAATTGATCGAACCTGGAAAGACATCGTCACTCTCGATGTTTCTGCTGTGCAGCTGCACGTGGATACATTGCACGCTGTCATCAAGCAGCATACGAAGTCTGAGATCACCAAAAATGCCCAGCTTCTCTTCTCTATTCTGTCAGAGGCTTTCGACCTGAGAAGGCGACTTCATACAGACGGCAAGTACCGTGGAGACGATACAATATTTGACTCGATCAACAACACTACCATGGACGCTGTACTGAAGCTCAATGATGCGACCTTCAGACCTTTCTTCCTGCGGCTCGGAGAGTGGGCATTCACAGGCTCTGGCAAAGACCGTCAAGGATTGATCTACAAGGCGACCAGCCTTTACAGTTTTGCGTTTGCTTTCTTTGAACAGCTCAAGAGTCTTGTGACAAGCTATGTCAGCTTTATACTCGACAATTCCGCGGGTCTACTTCAGACTATGTCGCCTATCAAAGAGGCGGAACGTGAACTTCTTGTTCTCGTTGTACGAACCTTGTCTTCCAATTTCGCCAGCGACCAGGATGGATTCTGGCAGTCGCCTTCGCATTTTGATACTATAGCGAAACCGCTCCTGGAACTTCTCAAGAAGGCGTCGATCCTTGATCCGAATGAGCACATCATTCCAGCCATTACGGAGTTGGCCGCTGCTGCTAACAGTCCAGAGCATCACAAGACTATCAACAGCTTCTTGACGTCTGACTTAATGCGGCACGAAGATGCAGCAGTCAAGTTGGCTGCAGTCAAGTGCGAGAGAGCTCTGACCGGTAAGCTGAACATTGAATGGTGCCAGTTCATTCCCGAATGGTTGCCTTTCATCAGCGAACTGCAGGAAGACGACGATGGGGCTGTGGAAAGGGAGACTTTGAGGTGGATCAAGCAGGTCGGGGAGGTTACTGGGGAGGATCTGAACAGTATGCTGCAGTGAGAGCATGTCTGGGATGAGTCTATAGTAGAGTGTATGAAAAGCGGACAGCTTGTATCGTCAAGTTACTCTGGCAACCTCACTACGTTGATTGGTACAAGCACTTCTATGTACAGCTGACGCGTCCATCTTCATGACTTGTGGAACAAGGGTCCTCCTCTAAACAGATTGAACAACTGGATCAGAGAGTGCGCCACTTTGATCAGTCTCCTTGCAAGGATGCGACATCTTTCCGCTGAATCAGTTCGTCTGCTCTCTCATTCCCTGTTCATACCAGTGTATCATTTCTTGTCCGCTCGGTTGCCTTACACGGTCTCTCGTTGGCCTTCACAGCCTCCATTGTAGTCTTGCATGCCATCGTACTTGTTGGAATCACTATGCTGGACAACTGTCTCCACCAAGTCCTTTCCATCGGTGTCGTTTTCTGCGCCGGCTTCTTCGTCTGCAACCGGGAGTACTCGGCGTTGATCGTCTACCCATATTCGGTGCATCTACGGCTCGACGACGCGCTCGTCCTCTACAACCCCAGTCGCATTGCCATTAGCAGCTTCTCCGTCCGCATTGATAATGCTTGAGCTTGTCTGGCTCGCATTTCGCATTCTCTTGCGTGCATTTGGCTGCCAGCGACTACTGTCTTTGCCCCAGTTCTCGACAATGTGGACCTGCGGATTTACAACCGAGCCTTCAACCAACAGCGGTAGGAAGAGGCTCGAGCTACCACGGTATGTGAGTTCATTGAAGACAGCCACTAGCAGGGACGTGGCAATGCACAATCCAGGTTTGTCGTCCATTTGGAAAGCACTGATCCAACTGATCTCCTGAAAACTGGCGCCATTGATGCAGACCGCCGCGTCAGCAGTCATTTTGATTGCGGTCGGCGCCACGATGCTGTTGAAGACCTCCTCTTTGCGAATGTGTGCCTTGTATTTGTAGCACAAGTCCCTGACTTGGTTGTATATGCTTCCGAGGCCGCCTGTGTAAGCCACTCCCAAGAGTTCACGACGCAGAACGGGGTTGTCGTATACCGCACGGTACCAGACACGAAGGAATTGAAGCGCGTAGGTGGCGAGCCAGATTTCAACCTGGCTGGTGTTCCACGATATGTCACGTCTGATGACACTGAAGAGGTGCCCGGTCTCGAAGGAAACAACAGCGACGTTGCCGGTCTCAGCTATGTCCTGCAGCTGGAGGTCTGGCACTGACACGAGATCCTGCATTGCAGCTTGTTTGTCGCACAGAGCCGTAGAGATTGCACGGGGGTTGACGTCGAAGCCGTCGATGAAGCGAGGGCGTGCAAAACGAGTGTCGGAAGGGACAATGTATAAGCATAGGGGAGGAGGGAGAGCCGCAAGCAAACGGCGAGCTTTCGGTCGCCAAGGCGGGAACTGCAGCCGGTCCTACAAGCGAGGTCGTCAGGCCCGTGCTGGCGCGCGCTGAGGTCTTGGCATTCACGTGCTGATGATAGCAAGCGCAGCAGCGAGAATGAAGAATTCGAGGGTCGCGAAGACAGCACGCCAGCTGCGAGGATTTCCTGATTTGCTCAAGAGAATATTCCGGAACTCCTCTGTGGAGCGGAGATGCAAAGGCAGCGATTGTGCAGGAGAACTATCAGTAATCAGCAAGCTTTGACGACTCTTCGTTGCAAATTTGAGCAATGACAATCTAAAGTGGAGCGGCTGATGACGGTCAGAAGCGATGATTCTTCGTTCCGACCGTCGAAGGATGACCAGTCCAGAATCAAAGTCGAGAGAAGATTTGAATGTCCCGTTTGTTCAACCGAGCAGGCGGCGCAACGAGGCCGAGAGCAAGGGTGATGGCTTTCCTATGCCCTTTCTTCACTTCGAGTTCTTTGATTTTCCAGATTACAAGACACCAGCGCGATATCGTCGCTATATTAGCATATCCGTACCCCGCATAGCCGCACTCCTTGATCGGTGACATTAGCATCGCGCTCGAACCAAAGCTTCATCATGTCCTTGACAAAGATTTTGTCCTCGCCACTCCAGGCATCCAGGCCCATGGCACGAACGTCGTCACCGCTGAGCTCAATTTCATCTTCCTCAATGCCTTCTTCTGTGTTGTCGTCTGCTTCTTCGACAATACTCGCCATCGACCTCAGCGCTTCTTCGGTGATTCGGCGGAAGTAAGCCACTAGTAATGTAGCTGCTGCACGCGCATATTCTGCTTCGCGCTCTGCCTCCGTACCATTGCCGCCAGGTGACGAGTTGGGAAACATGTCATGTACGTTAGGTAGATCAAAGAGTAACTCCTCATCTGCTTTCGATTCCTCGTTCTCCCAGGCACTTGCTTCGCCTGCGGAGGCCCACCACATGAAGCCGCGGTACGCGAGTGCGCTCCATGAAGAGGCTTCCACCGCCTCTGACTCGTCACGCTCTTGCAGTCCAGTGTTATCGTAAAGGTCGGCACTGGTTCGACTCCGCTTGAGCAGGGGTCGTTCGTCGCTGTCAGTTGCAGGCTCTACAATCGGTATGTCTGTATAAAGACCGATTGTCTGCCTCCGTAATCGTCTCAGTTCTCGGCGCAAGAGGGTCCATCTACGCAAGTCACGCTGTGAAGCTCTGAGTATCCTGCCGTCTGACGTGCGAAGTTTTGGCCAAACCTTGTGAGGTGTGGGTGCAGAACCTGGTAATTCAGCGAGCAGGTCGTACAAATCCTTCTTCTCTCCCAGAATTTCGTCAGTCGTGCATGCAAGCCAACCAGTTCTGTCATCGCTGCGCTTGGATAGGCTCGGGATATCGTGTATGCCGACGCTGAACAGAGGCAGAGCGCGGTGGAGATCATCGGCTTCTGGAGGCAGGCTCTCGCCCAAAGACCGCGGGATGCCCGATAGTACGGACGCTAGGTATACGGTATTTGCGTTCGCCTGTACTGAGGGGCTGCTAACAAGCAGAATTCGCTTTCGCGAGAGTACGGCTCGGTAGAGTGGGAAGAGCAGAGGGCCCCAGATATCCAGCAACGCTGGTACATGGAGAGCGGGATGGGCCGCCGGCCAATGTTGCTCTGCGTTGAAACCTGCTAACGTTGCCTCCGAGAGGGCCCGCCTTCTCTTTCTATCTCCTGGGCCGCCCCCAGCCTCAACGCCTAACTCTGAAGGTATCGATGGCTTCTTCGATGTCTCATCCACCACATGTTTCTTCCAGAACAGCTCTAATGGCTGCTTATTGTCTCCATCCTTGACAATGTCTCTTGCCAAGCTCCTGAGCTCTTCTGCGTGTACCCAGCTTCTTCCTAATTGCCCATAGCTGAGTGGGACTAATGCACCGACAGCTACGAAGTTCGCATTGCGGTGTCCTGCATCCGCCTCTCCCTGTACGAATGCGCTGACTCCGGCATTCTGCGCGTGAATGAAATACACCAAGTCCTCTTTAACAGCGTGGAGGCCGGACGGAAAACTCTTATATTCGACTCCTTCGAGATCGAGATCGGGCAGGCTACGCTTCCAGGCAATGGTGTAGCTGGCACGCGTCAGCATCTGTGGTGCAGGCGTAAATCACGCCCTGTACGCACCCTACCTTTTGGTCGAATACTACAAGAAACACAGCGGCGATCTTTGGCGTCTCTTGACGATCCGAAGCAGACATGTTGGTGGGATCATGTATACCGAATCGCTGTCCATTGACCCGCGCGCTGACAGCGAAGGAGGTGAGGTCAGTGTGACGGGGTGGTTCGGGCCGTGTGGGCAAGTTGCTGACCACACTTGACGTCTCGCAGGTCGCATGGCCACGCAGAGCCTCAACAAATCTTCGTCCTGTACATTACTACCTCATGTCTTCTACTGTCCATGTCGACTACATGATGTTTCTGCTTCACTTTACATAATCACGACGCCTCAATGGCAACTGTATACAGGACGCGAGCGCTGCCGACAGTGTTGCGGAGGACGAGATGGCCGCAATCGCAACCGCCAGCCCGAGCGATAGCCACGGCCGCTGCAGTTGAATACCACAACCCAGAGCCTTCCATGCCGCAACATTCGTCCGAAGACTTGTCCAAACCGGATCTCAAGGCCAACATCCGCAACGCAAAACCTTTCTCCGACTTCCTCACGGACACATTCAACCGCCAGCACGACTACCTTCGCATATCCCTGACCGAACGATGCAATCTACGGTGCCTGTATTGCATGCCCGAAGAAGGCATCCAGCTGTCGCCGAACAAGGAGATCTTGACGACGGCAGAGGTGCACTACTTGAGCGCGCTGTTCGTCAATCAGGGGGTCAACAAGATACGCCTGACTGGTGGCGAGCCGACCGTCAGGAAGGATATTATCCCGCTGATGCAGGGGCTCGGCCGCCTGCGCAAAGACGGGTTGAAAGAGATTGCTTTGACTACAAATGGCATATCCTTGCATCGAAAACTAGATGCTATGATCGAGGCCGGCTTGACAGGCGTCAACATCAGCTTGGACACGCTGGAACCCCATCAATTCGTGCTCCTAACCCGGCGCCAGGGTTTCGACGCTGTCATGAAGAGTATCAACAGAGTACAAGAGATGAACAGGCTGGGTGCAGGAATTAAACTCAAAATCAACTGTGTGGCGATGCGCGGGTTGAATGATCACCAGATTTTGCCATTTGTAGAAATGACTCGAGATCAGGATATCGAGGTGCGCTTTATCGAATACATGCCGTTTGGCGGAAACAAGTGGTCGCAGAAGAAAATGCTTCCATATGCGGAGATGCTGGATCTTATTCGAACACGATATCCCACAATCGCCCGACTAAAGGATGCGAAGAACGACACATCAAAAACATGGCAGGTGCCGGGTTTCTTGGGACGGGTGGGTTTCATCACTAGCATGACGCACAACTTCTGTGGTACTTGCAATCGTCTACGAATTACGTCCGATGGCAATTTGAAAGTTTGTCTACATGGCAATGCGGAGGTCAGCCTCCGCGATCTCCTACGGAAGGATAGCCATGGCCAGCCTATGAATGAGGCAGCATTTGAAGCGATACGACAAATCGAGCTTGATCGAAGGAAAGGGCGAGAAGATGGTCTGCACTTCGATAGCCAGGACAGCTGGATCAGCAAAGAGCGAGAACTTCTTGATGTAATTGGCGCTGCAGTCAAGCGCAAGAAAGCGGCGCATGCTGGCATGGGCGAGTTGGAAAACATGGAGAATCGTCCGATGATTTTGATTGGTGGGTAGGTCTGCTTTCTCAATTCGGCAAAAGCTGGCGAGATGCATGGAAAGGCGCTCTTTGTGCATGTCATGATAAGATGATAAGATGTCTTTATGATGCTTGATCACCAAGCCGTCTAACTTCGCACTCTTCTAGCCAAGCCGGAACGTACAACGCTGACGTTCCATCCACAGGTGAGCGAAATAAGAGTGCTAGAACTCGGCAATTACCGTTGAAGCGCCAAATTCGTGCATCGCCATGGTCTGGAGTTCCGTTGCACTTACTCAACCCAACTATTGTCACCACTTGTCAGACTCGACTCTACTCAACTGACGGGCACGACTCAACTGATGGGCATGATGCCGAGAGAAAGAAGGAGCAGCAGCCGGAAGCTGAATTTAGCAACGAGACCGAAACCCCATCGGCGACATCTTCCTTCGGCTTTCAAAGTCTCCGTGGCCTATTCCAGCGGTCTACACCGGGCAGATACAGCTCCCCACGTGAAGCTCGAACAGGACCAGTGGCTCCACTGCAGCCGGCGCAGAGCAGTGCAATCGAGTCTGGTACCAGGGATAAGGGAGGGCTATCCGCGGCCTTCAGGCAGCCGGACGCTTCGTCTGCGGCCGTGCCTTTGCCAAAATTCACTGATCCTGACATTAAGAGAAATGCGCAAAAAGGGACAAGCGGAGAATCCGATGCGTCCTCTGAAAGTTCGGAGAGCATCATGTCAATTGAGCAGCAGTCATCGCAGGCCGGAAGACTAACACCAAAAGTCCGGCTTTTCAGGGCAAGGGAGGATCCATCACTCAAGCGCGAGTACGCGAGACTTGAGGCAAAAAACTATCATCTGCGAAGTCGAGAGCATCCCGAGGGAGCAGAAATAGGAGAACCTGGCTCTGCTCCGACGCCGCCCAATGTCTACTCACCCCAAGCCCAGAATCGCCGGCTTGAGCTTCGGCGAGGGCTGCTGCGTTCCAGGACCTCCCACGTGAGCTCGGACAGATTTCGCCCTGGAACAACACCATCCGATCGATCTACAGCTTTTCGCAAGCCAGCGTCTCCGCAATCGGCAACAGCTAGAACACCAAGGGCAGAAGCAACAGATATCTCTCGCACTGGATCGACGATTCCACGTCGCCCGAATCCTTTTGCAAAAGCACGACCCACGGAGCTCCAGAATTCAGAACTTCCGCAGACCTCGTCGACTACTTCCAGCAGAGGGTGGGGCTTTCGCACCGAGGATGAAAAGACTCTGGAGCAGACAATCGACACCGAAGTAGAAGAGAGTCTTTCGAAGGTCAAGCCGCTGGCACAAGCTTCTGCAAACCTGGACGAAAGATCCAGAAGCGAAATACTCACACATGTTAAATCCTCGGGTGAAGCCCATATGGTAGATGTTGGTGCGAAAGTAAACACCAAGCGAGCAGCAATCGCCGTCAGCTACGTGCGATTTGCAAGACACGAGCCGTGTCAACTCATATCGGAGAACGGAAACAAAAAGGGGGACGTGTTGGGAGTCGCTCGTATTGCTGGTATCATGGCTTCCAAGCGCACCAGCGACTTGATTCCACTGTGTCACCCAATCGCCATCTCTAAGGTCGACGTGGACATCCAACTCATGAAGCCTAAAATGTTTCATCGCTACCTGGCGAGTGGTCACAATCGCTACGGTATGGTTGCTATTACAGCGCATGTGGAATGTACAGGCGCCACTGGTGTAGAAATGGAAGCCCTGACTGCTGCTTCGACGGCGGCCTTGACAATCTACGACATGTGCAAAGCGGTGGATCGCAATATGTCAGTTGTCGATACCGTTGTGGTGTACAAGAGTGGAGGCAAGTCGGGCATACACTGCCGAGGGAAATGGTCGAACACAGTTGGGCAGCAATTCTTCATTGACAGGGGCTTGGAATTGCCGGCGCAGACTGGGACCCAAAAGGGCAGCGTTAAAGAGACGACGAGTGTCATAGCCAAGGAGTCCTAAACGCTTGTCAGTCGAATCGTTGAATCCTTTACTTTCAGCACGGTGGGCATTCCTCTCGACTTCACCTGCTGTGTACAACGACTACGATATATTTCAGCCTACCGAATACGAAAGGGCCCATCTCGTCGCTTGTAGGGACATCGGATATTACACTTGCACAGCACGTTCTCAGACCCATGCGTGAGAAGTCATTGCCATCAATTTGGAGGCAAAGCCATCGGCGTAACAAGCGCGATGGTCATTGTACTTCGCCAAATATACTACCGAGCTTGCTTGCTCCTTTACATTGCTCCTCGGTAGCATGAAGAGACAGGATTCTGAGTAAGATGCAACAAATGGCATTCCTCGCTTTAGAATCGAAAGACTTGTCCCACGAACACCCATCGACAAGTACTACGCCTCCACCAGTCTATCCCTCCAACACCTTCCCTGACACATGAGTGCCTCTGAATCTCTGGAACTCTAATCTCGCCGCCATAGCCCCAGCAACGCCCTCCGACCACCTCCTCTCCTCTCTCCTTCTCCATCAATGCATCCGCAAGCCCTCCTTTCGCAGCCGCAAAATAAGCACGCGTCATGTCGTGAATCAGAGTCGTCAGAATCCCCCATGTACCCGCGTAGAAGAACAATTTCTTATTCAAATTTTACTCGCATTCTCCCCCAGGCCCTTCGTGAAGGGTGTGCTAGTGCAGCGGCCCCTGACTATCCTCCGTTGACGGTCGACAGGTGCTGACCAGAACACTGAAATGCGGCCACAAAGGTCTCCGTCGAATAAAATGAGATCGACGAGATCTGGCACGATTTTGATTACAGTAGCAGGTCAGAGCGTTCAATTTCTTCATCACGGTCGAAAAGCTTCTCGTTCCTCTCGCAATGCTTTCTTGAGAGAGAGAGAGAGAGAGAGAGAGTCTTTCAACATCACGGCAAGGGATGTTCTCGTAGCTATTTTCGCCTTGAAAGTCGATGGGAAATGATGGCCCGGTCCAGCTTTTCTTCTGCTGCTTCTTCCGAGGAACGACGCATTTCTTCTGCAGCGCGTTCAAGTTGCGCGGAATCGATCGTGTAACGAGTACCGCTGAATGGAGATGCTTTCCATTCAACATCCTCCGGGCTCACGCGCTAATCAAGACAGATTTGTCTCGAGGCCGCGACATTGCCGCCCGTATCAGCGGTTCGGAAGTCTTTGAAGAGGCAGCAACACATGGTTTGATTGTTGGGTATGAATGGACCACGCGAGCCAGGCCCTTGAAAGTCCGTTGCCTGCAAGAGAGACCTCGCTGAGTCCTTTATAAATTGCAACGTACACCCTCCAACTCCCTTCACCCCCGCCCTAACTTTCATGTACGCTTTCGTAGAATCATGCAGCGCTATGCAATATGAACATCCATCATATACGGTCGCAACTCATCATCAGACATCCCATCAGCTCCAAACCAACCTCTTCAACCCATATCCGAGACTCTCGAGATATCCTGTGCTCCTCTTCGCCTCGGACACACTAATAACATCCCTCTCTTCCACACTTGGAGGCTGATCGACGACGATATGTTGGTAACCCATGTCCTGCTCCCACGCTCTTCTCCAACAACTCTGTATCTCATCACAAATGTGCTTGACCAGTCCTCCTTCGTTCGTGTTCTTCAAAAGATCCTCATCCTCGTCTTTGGCAGCAACGGCTTTGGGCGGCAGCGCCTTGAATGCCAGAATTCGAGTTTCGTCTCTCTGCTGGTTTGATTTCTTGTCTTTGCCCTGGTCTTTCTCCGTGTTCTCATTGTTCTCTTCCATCCCTTGGGCAACGCCTAAACTTCGCGTATTGGTCCTCACCATGCCCTCTCCCCGAATCTCATATTTCACCACGAACCCCACATTCTTCTTCTCATCCAAGTGCGTCCCACCGAGTGCGCTCGTAACGTAAACACCCCGGAACATCTCTTTGATATCAAGCAAAGCCACCCGTTCAAAACTCCCAATCTTCTCCGTCTCCCAATTGAATCGACAGAAATAAATCGCCTTATCCGTCAAAAGTAGCACACATTCTTCAAATGGCAGAGACCGGAGCGTGTTGCTTTGGCTGGGACAGGACAGAATCCACCCAGCTTTCAGTTCTTCCAGGGGATCTTCGAGCACGATCTTGATACATGTATCAATCGCATTCTGGCGAACGTGTCGCATATCAAGAGCGTAATCCTGACTCATCATATCCGTTTCGAAGTCGTCAAAGATAGCCGGGCCCGCGTTTCCGAGGAAGTAGTCGATGTTTGTCTGAAGGAAGTAATCGCCGAAGATATTGTTGTAGTAGCGATTGAGCGTCAGCGAGAAATCTGATAGAGCTCCAGTCCAATTCCTCTTCCTTGTGCGAGTGAAATCTCCTTTCAAGGCAGAAGTGCCTGCATACTGTTTCGAGATCGCATCGCCGTTGTCTGCCCACAGCGTATTGAACCACTGCGTCTTCGGGTCTGATTTCAGGTCGATGTTGATTCCAAGTTCAGCTAACTGCTGCTGTAATGCCCAGCCCGCGACAGCAGACTGTACCACATTCGTGCGATCCAAGCAATCCATACAGTTCGTCCGCAAGACACCGGTCTGTTCTCGTATATTCCTGTCGTTTTGCTTCACGATCCAGCCGAATGAGTCCAGTTGCCCTTGCAACTTGTCCATCAAGAGCTGAACGTTCTCGAATCTCATTCCCTTGCAAGCGCCATGGAAATCAAACCATTCGAACCCGACTTCTTCTCTGCCATCAATACCGCCGTCTTCATTCAGTCTCTTCGCGTGCCGTTCGTATGCCTCGCCAATGCTGACTTCTGTACCGTGCTGATCAATCAAAGACGCAGCCTGTACCTGTCCATACCTCTTCGAGATAGCTTCGAAATGCTTCCGAAAGGCTGTCTGGTTAGTAGCCTCGCTACCGAAAATGACAGGCACTGGCTTGAAACTGTATGGAGTCTGAGAGAAGAAGAGCGGTATGCTTCCTCTGACCTGCAGCAAACTAAAAGTCTTCACCGAATCGCTCCAGTCCCGCGAAGAAAGTATCTGTTCCGTTTCGACACTATTCGCAACAGCTCCATCGTCGTCTACTCCGCGGCGTAGATATCTGAGACCTGCTCGTCGTATCGATCGCCGAGAAACTAGCGTGAGAAGGAAATTGTGGGCAGGGCTCTCCTTCTCTTTGTGCTTCTTGCTCTCTCCTTGTTCCTCCTGTACCTTTACAACCCCCTCGGCATCTTGCACAGCCTCCGCAACCACATCGTTCTCCGCGCCTTCTGTCCTCGCAATGGAGAAGGATCGCTGCCCAACAAATCCCTGCATCAGCGGGAGCACTAGCGAGTCCTGCCCACTCTCAATGAAAGGCTTCATGAGATGTCGGTTCCAAAAGAACAGCTCATCGAATCGCTTCCAAAGCGGCGTGACAGAACCATGTCCGTGGCTCCTCTGCGACAGACTCCCAGAAATGTCATGCTCATACGAGAAGTAGAACCCACCACTGGAGAAATACAGTCTCGCGCTTTTGAGTATCCTGGGCGTGAGGTGTTCGATCGCACTCTGTTGTTGCTTCGCCGCAGCCGGTGTCTCGTGCTGTCCTCCATTTCCTTCTTCCTCCCCGGAAGTGGCTTCCGTCGGCTTTTCATTCTCCGGCAATGCTTGCTGTGTCTGCTTCGTCTGCTCTTTCGTCAAGCCTTCTGCTTTATCCCCGGAAGCCATTCCCTCCTGCCTCTTGACCCCCTCCCGGCTCCCATTCCTCGAGAACCACCTCGTAGCAAAACGTCCATACTTCCCCCGATCCTGCACCACATCCCTCACAAAAGTCGTGCTCTTCTTTAGCATTCCTCCCTCCTTGGGCGGTTCCAATGCAGCAGCTTCATCCTCTGGCTCTCCCTCGTCTCCTGCACCTACCACTTCCTCCTCACTCTCCTCGTCCTCCTCTTCAACGTTCGGTATTCTACTCTTCTGCTGCTTTATCAGCGGCCCCAGAACCCCCTCCACCTCCTCTCTTCCTTGATGCAAAGGAATCAGACCCACATCCTCCACCCCAAAAACATCCTTTCCCCAAATCTTCGCGACCTGTTTCCTCTTCGTAATGCAGATCAAATACGAACTCTCCGCCAGATCCAAGATCCCCACAAGACCATAGATCTCTAGTCCTTCTCCTTCGTCTCTAGATTTGCTGGAGGTGGTAGACGCGATGCAATTCGTTCTGTAATCAATCTTTACTGCGTTCTTGCTCTCTTTTGGGTTGGTTGAGTGGAGAATGAGAGCGTCGGATGCTGCGGTGACAAGAAACCTTTTGACGAGAGGAGGCATTGTATTGGCACGATTCGATGTGTAATTTGTAAAACATCTTGAGGACGTTGGAGCGTTCCAGGTAGCTGGGAGGAATGGAGCTCTACAAGCTCCAGACCATCATCGGTGACGTAGTCATGCGGCTTCCATATGAGACTGAGCGCAAGTGCCATGCGAGCCGAAAACCAGGCTTTGGGTATAGACAACTACTCCTAACTACTATAATTCTTATATGGTCCTGTTTCATCCCTTCTTCCCTCCTACAATGTTGAAGTCATCATTCGTTCTTGGCGCCAATCAAAAAACCTCCTCGAGCCTCTCCTCCGACCAAGACCTCTGGCCCTCGGCAACCTGATCTCGGATCTTCCAGTATTCGTGATTGAATAGCCAGTAGTCCTCGCCAGTGACCGGGTGCTTGGCCTTGCTGAACCATCTGGGCGTGAAGTCTTCGCCCTTGGCCTCACGGATGCGCCGACGAGCTCGCTGTCCTTCTTCAACTCTATTCTTCTCAGTCGCTGCGAAGTCGTATTCGCCCTCTTCCATGGCGCGCTGATCAGGACGCAGACGAGAGTCGGTAGGTGCAACAATCGGCTTCAAGCGATCGGGTAAATCATTCAGGGTCACCACAAACGGCGTGATGTTGAATGGAATCTCGCCAGGCGGAGGACGGTAGTGGGACTCCCACACGAGGATAGCCTTGCTCTTGTCGTCCTCGCTCTCCACCGACCCTTCGTAACCCGGAGTAAGACGAGCGTAGATTTTGTCGTTCCATCGACCGCCAATGCTCCATCGAGTCTTTCCTTGAGCGTCGACCACGCGACCTTGTACCTGGAACGCTGAGGATGCCTTCCAACCCTTGGCCTTGAAATCAAGATAGCAGACTTCGCCGGTAGTCCAGTTCTTCACTTCCATGAGACCGTAGTTGTCGACGGTCGGATTACCGGTGATGATGCCAACAACACTCGAAGTGACCTTCTTCCACGTGTACAACTCTTCAGGAGATCCATCCACAGGGCGAATGTGCAAGAACCAGGTACCGAGTGGGTTGAACTCGAACGACTTGCCGTAGAACTTTGACTTGACGGAGGATTCGCCATAGTAGGTCCATTTTGGGCTCTCGGCGTAGGCAGCACCAACTGGAGGATGATGGGACACCTGCTCGATGAAGAAACGGTAACCGAGATCGGGTCGCACATATTCGTAGGTCTCCCCGAGTAGTGGGTTGAAAGGCTTCGCCACTCTGCCGATGGTACTAGCGTACTCGGATGCAGCGAACCCAGCGACGTACACCATACGTTCAGTGGAGTCGGTTCGATCGGCGGCAGCATCAAGCAGGGGAGTGTATTCCATGTCCTCCACGACACGGTACAGAAGAGAAGTCGGCTCGTTGAAAGACACTGGCAACGTCATCTTGGTCATGTCCTTGCCAATCATGGACTTCAAGATGCCCTGTTCATTTGTCAGTCAATATGTCGTCTTGTCAATTTCAGGCATATTGCTTACCCAAAGTCCAACTTTAGGACGATTGTCGACGTCTAGCTTGAGCTTCTTGCGCAGTCCGTCCTCGTACCCTTTGTAACTCTTCGAAATTTCCATACGCTTTCGCTCTCTCTCCGCTTCTATGCTCTCGTCAATCCTATCGACCTGGGCGTCCATGACCGGCTTGACTTCGCTCTGGGGAGATTTGACAGCTGGACTGGGCATGGCCTCTAGCACTTCAACCTCGCCAGCGTCCACAGCGTCAAAAAACTCCTCTTCGTCCTCGCTCTCGTCGTCGGAGAGTTCATTGTTCGTCAATTCCGCGATGGTTTGTCTGCGCTTCATCCCTGCCGAAGGAACTTCGAGAAGAGGCTTTGAAATAGACTCCACTGGTTGAGGAGTGCCTGCTGCCGAAGCCTGAGTATCGAGAGCCTCCTTGAGCGCTCTCTTTGTCCTCTTCCTCTTGTCTTCAGATTCGCCGATGCGCTCCTCGAGGGCCTCTTGCTCCTTTGCGACTCTAGCCATAGAGTCCTCCCAGAGTCTGCGAATGTTTTGCTCACGCTCCAAGCGGTACTGCCAATAGGCCTCATGGTCACGCGAGATCCTCGACAGATCCATGAGCAAGCCCTTCAGATTACCAACAGCGGTTTCGTAGGAAGACATCGCCTGCACGACGGTGGGGCTACCAAGGCTCAGCTCCGGGTTCTTCGTTCTTTCGCTTTGTAGCGCAAGAGAGACTTGCTCGAGAAGATCAAGCTGCAGCTTTGCAGACTGTGCGGTGATGCTGAATGCATCTCTATTGGCCGGGCGGACTTCATGGCTGCTGGCGTCGTCGCCATATTCGTCATCATCGTCAAGATCGCCATCGATGTTAGTCGCAGTATTCGTGCGGCTGATCATTCTCAAATTGCCTGAGGCTGCGTCCTCACTGGCATCGAATGCGCTCCCTTGGTCGCCAATCGAGGTCCCTCGCAGCGGAGTCGAAGCGCCTGGTGTGGAGAGGCTGACTGCAGTAGCAGGTTTGAGCGAGTCACCGCTGGATGCAACATCTGCTTCTCTTGTCCGAAGTTTCTCAAGTTGTTCGTGCCTGACGCTAGCTTCTTGTTGCTCCCTCTTTTGCTCTTCCTTGGCTTCGTCCTTGGCCCGCTGAATTGCGTTATTCAGCGCCCAGAACCACCTCTTTGCCTCAACCTGGTGATTTGCCTTCAAATCGTACTTGACAGAGCTCTTGCCATGGATTTCAAAGTGCAGCTTGTCCTTCGGATCCATCTGCAGCCTCGCAATGCGCATGTTAATCGCGCCACGACAAGCGCTACCAGCGTCGTCTTGATGCTTGTAGTAGGAGAGCACACCATCTTCCAGTACAAACCAGCGCAGCTTGTATCCAGAGGTGTAGTTCGTCCACTTCTTAAGGTATCCTTTGATCTCCCTGCTCTCTTTGCTGCCAGGTCCGGTTTCCCCGGTAGGTACTGCTTGCGCGCCTTCGCCCAGAATGGTCCTCTCCTGGATGCTCCTCTGGGCTGCCGCTGCAGCTGGAGACTTCTTCAGAATCGCACGAGTGCGGTCGTCTTTCGTAACATCCTGCGGCAGCTTGCCCTTGCGATCTCTGCGGAACGGATCTGCTCCGCTCAGTAGAAGCAGTTGGGCAAGCTTGATGTCCTTCTTTCGCGCAGCCTCGTGGAGTAGACTGCCACCGTCTGCTGTAGTCGCAGACTCTGTCGCGAGTTCGGGTCCATTGACATCGAGACTTGACTTCACGCGAGTATCATTGAGTAGCTGCTCAAGAGTTTCGTAGTCGCCATTCGCGACGACTTGATGGATCTGCCGCACAGTGGTGTCGACGAAGACCGATCGAGCCAATTGTAGCAATTGGAAGATATCCGGATTGCGAGCCACATCGAGCGCGGTCTTGCCCTGATAGTTTGGTATTGAGTCATTTATGCCCTTCTGCTGAAGCAACAGTTTCACGACTGGTGCGCGACCCAGAGAAGCGGCCACGATTAGGGGCGTGTTTCCCTCCTTGTCCTTCGCATTGACGTCCGCGTCTTGTTGTGACAGGACATACTCAATAACGGGTACTTCGGCGCATTGTATGGCTAGATGCAGGATGGTGGTTCCTTGCAACTTCGCATCTCCATCTGCTCTTGTAGCCTTGGCGATGGCTGCCGTGTCCCCGTTTCGCAGCGCTTCGAAGACCTTGAAGAGTCGCACACTCTGTTCGATCGAAGCACCCTGTGTTGCGCTGCTCGGCGTTATCGGGCTCGTGTCTTTGGTGGACGGGATAGGGACTTGTGTGTTGGACATGGTGGTTGAGAGATGCGGTCTATGGGCGGACTGTACGGAGCTGCGACTCGGGCTGAGGAACTGGCCATTGGCGCTCAATTGGCCGTCGACGGGACTCTGGTTCGCCATGCTCGAGGCGGCGTCCTGCTCAGCGTCTGTGGTGTTCAATACGGGCACGTCGGCTCTGGTGGATATGCGCGACAGGACTCGCGACACGGTGGACCGGGTGCGCTTGTGCGGCGGCCTATATCTCGCCGACACGGTCAGTATGCTCTGTTTGCCTCTGTATGTATCTTTCGGTTCACGCTGACAAGGCATGTGACCATGGCCAGAAGCAGTTGGTGGTGGCACGGCAGCCTCGCGAGTGTGTTAGGCGAGTGCAGCACAGGGCAGATTGGGGATGGATTTGGGTTGCCAACGTGGGGGGGCACTCACGCTGACTGCTGATCCGAAGACATGGCGTTGCTTCTCCTCACTTCATCTGCCTCTTCCTGCCGTCTCTCATCGATATCGGAAGAAGGATACTGTGTCTGGACGGAGTAGAAGAAGACGACAAGACGCCGCAGCAAATTTCGCGCTAGGATACGTCGACGCCCTTTGCGACCAACCAGTCGAGAGCGGGCGTGACTGCAGCTTGACGTGTATCGGCTATCGCTGTATCAATAGCATCACTAGCATCTATCTTCTACCGTCGCCAAGGGGCACCGACCATACCCGGTCAGGCAACTGTCTGGAGATGTCATTGCGGCTGCCCGCGTCATTGCGTCTCCTCACAGCCAATCACTGCGCCCACTCGGCAGGCAGGTGGAGGGATGCACGCCTTCGTCCTGCGAACAACTCCTGAGCAATCGATAGCGCGTGCAATAGCGGACGAGAACTGTGCGCTGTATGAAAAGAAACCGGTATCATGGTAGCGATTCGGCACAAGGCAGAACCCTAACACTGTTGAACGCATGGTTAAGGTATCCCGACATCAATCGTGCCCTTCCCCTCGATGACATGCGATGCAATGAGACATGGCCACGTCGATGACTAGCTTTCCCTTGGCCTTTCCACTCTTCAGGTCACGGTCACCATAACCTTCATCATCCCAGAGCGCTTCCCAATGACAGGCTGTCCTTCGCCTTGAGCCATCATCTTGCCTATCTACTCCAACTGCGACTCATCCAGCTTGACAGACAGTCATGACCCTGTACTGTCTCTGCTTCGACATCTCGTACGTAAAGCTACTATCACTTCTCGATCCTGGAGCACCATCAGGGTATCGTGCCGAGAAAGTTTCCGGCTTGCCATCTTGGAGTCAGTGGAGGTTTCTGCCCCTGTAAAGAGCGCCAGATGGATAGAGACAGTCGCACGACGGGAAGTTACTCTCTTGTCTGGACGAATCTTGCCCAAGACTGCATTTCTTCTTGTCCAAGAACCTCATTTCGCCTTGACATTGCTCCATGAGCCGTCGATCAGGCTGTCATATCTCCCACGATCCTCCTGCTTGACATCGCCCGCATCAAGCATCTCCTCATCCTCCTCAGTCCCCTTCTTAATATTTAATTTCGCATCCTCCTCTCCATCGCTTTTCTTCTTCTTCACGAAGTCTTTCCTCGGATTCGGCCGAAACACAAATGCCTTCCTCTCTCCAGTCATCACCAACTGCCTCGCAATCTCACAGTGCGTTTCTAACCGCCTTGTCTCATTTTCTAACCACGCAATCTCATCCCTACACTCTTCCAGCAGCCACACGGTTTCCTGGTACCCATGGCTTTGAATGGCACTCGGGACCAGAGCATCAACGTCCAGACGTCGGTCCCAGAATCTGCCTTCTTCCACGGCGACGTTGTGCTGCTTCTCACCAGCCATATGAATGACTGCCTCGAGTTCTGGGTCGAGTCGTTGGCGGATCTCGGTGACTGCGATATGAACTGCTTGGTGGAGAATTGAGAGTGGGAACGGTGCGTTGTGGAGGAGGTCGGCGGGTGTGCAGCTACGGAGGAATTGCTTGAGGGTGGAGATGTGTGTGTCCTCTCCCGGATCAATATTTTCAAGGAGTTCTTCGTCTTCCATGTTTTCGTCCTCCTCGTCATCGGCATCCTCCTCTGTCTTCGCGTGGGCATTCCGAATGAGGTAGGCGAAGTAGGAAGTCCCACTGTCGATGTCGATAGGAGGGTCACGTTCTTCTTTCGGCTCCTTTGATGCCATCCTTTGAGTTTGGCGAAAATGTCGAAAATTTTGGTGCTTTCTTGGGTCTTGTTCAACCCGCGAGTGATGTCTTTGGAGATAGCTCGAACATCTTGCAGAAGTTACGTGGTGTTGTCTGGGAGAAGGCGCGAGTTACGAAGCTGCTGAAGATGGAAGTCACGAGTCACCGGCTCGCTCTTTCCCTCCTCGTCAACTTGACCTCCGCGCCACCAAGCCTTTCACATGCTGGCATGTGCTTGACAAGCGCCTGGGAAAGATCAAGCTACCCGATCTTTTTTTTTCTGGGATGTGAATGCTTTGACCAATTCATTACGTTGCCGTGAAGCTTGACACTTCACATTCGCCCCACTCTTCATGCGTCGGGCTTAGGCTCAGTCGCAGCAACGCGAAGTTCCCACCCAGGATCTCGCCAATAAAGAGGCAGCTGAGACTGAGCTACGTGACCAGCTTGGAATGGCCCTGAAGAGTAATCGAAAGAAAATTGAGAAGTTTCATCAGGCGCACAAGGGAGAAGAGCTACTGCGCAATAAGGTGGGCGACCTCGCCGCCTGCCTGAAAGACACTCAAAAGGCCCTTGCGACAGCAGACAGTTCTAAGGATCCCGAGTCGAAACTTGAAGCTGAGCTTGAAAAGCGCGCGACTCTTGTTATAGGTATTAGACTGGGCGGGTGACATGATGTCCGGGCGGGATACGCGCACGGACCATATATTCACATGCTAGCGCCTCGTCGAGGTAGCAAGAGACGTGGGGCAGAGCAGAAGTGCCAGCTGGCGAACAATACATCGTCCAGATTGTAGCAGCAAGTATGCGAATACTTTTGGTAGTATAGGTTGGAGGTACGAGCATGTTTACTTGTAGAGCAAATGTCCCCGCAGACGTATCTGATCTATGAAAATCTTACCAGGCCTTCCTTCAGCGAACACAAACCTGACAGCATTCTGATGATCAAGATGTTTTCCAACAGCGCTGAGAAAAAGAAGGGTGAAAGACTCGTCTCCGCAGGTAAACATGAATCTGGTCGATATCAAGGAAACGCTTCGAAACGCCGTCCGCTGCCTGGCCCGAAGATCAAGAACGCGGCCTTGCCCCACCTCTTGATTTTGTTTCTTTTCTCCCCACCAGGCGAGTAACCCTCTGCCAAAAAGTTCTTCACCCCTACATCCTTTTCCTCCTCCCAAGAGCGTAATTCCACCGCCGTGATGGAAGTGTGAAAGCGCGCAACGCCGCGATCGTGACCTGAGCCGATACCCCTATATGGTGAGCTCCTCTCGTGCGTTCTAGGTGCAACCCATTTGATAGCGATCTCCGCTTTTACGGTCAATGCGTCGACGTTCTCCAAATCTCGCCCGCGGCAGCTACCTCGAATGGCGCGAATACCATGCCTGGCTCGAGTTTCTGGTCGTCAGATCGTCACTCGTGGGATGTCGACATCGTAACGGGACACATGCCTGTCTGCTGTTGTTGAGCACTGGAGCACTGGCCAGCGATGCCTCCGAATCTACACCTTTCGCGGCTCGCTCCAGGTTCATGCTTCTAAAATCGCGGTTTACCTCATCCGTGAGCGAGAGTCTGCTGATAAGTGCTCGCGCAAGGCGTATTGGCAGCCGGTCTGTAGCTTCCTGTAGGAGATCTGCCGAAGCGATGCGAGGTTTGGCACAGAGGCTGGTGTCTTGCGGATTGCTTTGGTTGAGTCTTCCACACCGGCACATCTCGATCACGTCTACGTCGTACTCGTCGGTATCCGCCGTGGATGCGGTGGCTCCGCAACTGTCGGTACAATGCCTGATAGTTCTCGCAGGCCATCAGTCTCATGCAGAATGGCCTGGTTCTGCACCATTCGTAACGCTTCGCGCGTCTTTGTTTGGGGAAGCATTCCGGCAATGCCTCTAAGTACAACTTCGGTAGCATACGCGTCGAGCATGTTGTTTTCAGGCGTAAACGGGTGCTTGAAACGATGTAAGGTGTTAAGCAGTACAGCGTGATTGGACACGTGAAAGCTGAGGTGAGGTAGAAGCCTTCTCTTGGCGCTTACAAAGCTGTCGGTCTCGGATCCCTGCGTCCACTGTCACGACTGCTAAAAGGCGTTGTGCTAACGCGTACACGTACATGGAGTCCTCGCGTCTTTCATCATCCTCCTTGATTACAGCAATATCAGATGGCCCAATTTAGGCCATACGGGAAATTCGACTTACATTATCCACAGACCTGTTGCTCTAGGATGTCCCTCGCCGGACATGGAGAACATTGTCTGTCCCATATTTTGCGTAGGAATATGAAGACGAGCTACCTTAGCAACTGCAGCATTGAATTGACTATGGGACACGATGAAAAAGCTTGAAATATGCTGATGCTTATCATGCGCTCACGAGTGCGTCTCCAACCTTAGCCGAGATAGCTAGAATATTGGACTGCCATCACCGAAGTCTCAGTACCTTCGGCAAGTCTCTTCCGACATCGAGCTACTCCTCACGGGCTCCTTCAGACAGACCATCGACTCTTGGTTTGGTCCTGTTTGCTTGCAATAGAACTACGGCCCGCACTCTTTCCATTGTTCTTTTTCTCAACAGCCAAGATGCCTCACAAAGAAGAAAGCAACATCTCCGTCGTCGAGCTACACCCCACTTTCGCAGCTGAGGCGCGAGGCGTCAACTTCACCAAAGATATAGCTGCCGTCGACTTTGACCAGATCAAGAAAATGATTGCCAAGGTAATGCAGCGCCCAGGAACACAGCAACTGTCAAGCTGAATTCCATCAGTATGGTGTCGTACGCTTCCCTTCTACCGGCCTTGATGATGCAGGACATGTCGCATTTGCATCCAGGTTCGGAGAGCTGGACGACGTAAGCCCATACAACAAGGCTGGCAAGAAGCATAGGTTCGCCTTTGAGGAGCTGTTCGACGTTAGTAACTTGCTAGAAGACGGATCCGTAGCGCCTCTGGACAGCCATCGAGCTGCTATGAACAAGGTGACAAGCCCCGCGTGTGGTTCGGAAACCCTGAAGCTCGCTAAGATATTCTCAGGGAAACTCTCTATTCCATGTGGATAGCTCCTTCAATCCCCGACGAGGCGGCTACAGTATTCTGAGGGCCCATGAGCTGCCACCGCCTGGCACAGGAGGAGCGACTGAGTACGCGGACACCAGAACTGCATGGAACGATCTTCCCGAGGACTTGCAAGAGGAGCTACTGGAGAAGGACTACGTTGCGTGCCACTCTCTTTATCATTCCCGTAAAACTGCATCCCCCGAAGCCCTTCCCGGTGTCAATCCGGAAGACCACTTCATGAGCCGCCATCGTCTAGTCCAGCGACACGAGGCCAGTGGACGTATGAACATCTACATTGCAAGTCATGTGCACCATATCGAAGGCCTCAGTCCAGAGAAGTCACAGGCGTTGATTGAGCAGCTGTACAATCATTGCTGCCAGCAAAAGTACGTGGTGAGCATCCCTTGGGAGAATGCAGGAGACATGATTTTGTGGGACAATACTTGTGTCATGCATCGGAGTACTGGAGGAAGTTTTGAGGGCAAGTATGCACGCGGTAAGTAGCATCCCAGCCACCCAGCCGAAATCTGTATGCTGACTATCTCAAAGACATGCGTCGGGCGACGGTTCATGACAGCAGCACGCAGGCCTGGGGATTGAATGAGCAAAGCGTTGAGAGAATGGGCTTTCCGTAGTCACGACAGCGAGTGCAACGGCTGTCAGAATGTGAATTCGATCATGCGCACAGTATATGTGAACACTGTAAGTGCATCTGGCACGAGGCTCCTCTATGCCCCTTCAACATTGGATCTCTCCACCTTCACGGCTGCCAGACACGTACCAGCCTATTAATCAAGCAACCATGGCCCGTCCAAGGACAGTGGCCAGTGACCGCCCTTCTCATATCCCACCGAGTCTGCACACATCAGAATCAAGAACAATGAGTGCACCTCCACCCCAGCAGATAGACAAGCCTTCCTTCGGCAAGCGGCTTCGCCACTCACTGACTCCAACCAAAATCAAACAAAAGACCGCCGCAGCAGTTAACTGGAAAGCCTTCCAACCGACGAACGTAGCCCTTCACCTGCCCCAAGACCCTCAGCCAGAAAGCAATGCAACTCATCGAAGACTGCCCGAAGAGCACGTCGCTTCCCACCAACAGAGCCGACACCCAGCGATCCCTCCACCTCCAAGAGAACTCAGAGGCCCCATTCCGAGAAGAAACAATACCAGACAACAAAATTGTCAAAGCAGCGAGGAGAAAATCGAATGCTTCAAAGACGAAATGGCCCTAACCTTCCTCACACCCATGGAACGCGACGTCTTACACAACGTGCGCCGTGTCCGTCGCAGCTCCTTTTTCCGCCCTCTGCTCGACCCGGGTAACCCCATCTTACTCGTCCACGAACAAGACATCTCCTCCCTGGAGCGCGTACAACTCCTCACCCGCCCCGTCGGCGAGGCAGAACGCCACCACATCTTCCGCTCCCTGCAACCGTTCCTGAAACCCGAACAACTCTACCCGCTCCGGATGCTGCTCTTCGACGGGGCGGCCGTCCAGATCAGAAGCAACACACAGGGCAGCGGAGTCGAATCCCCCGAACTCGTCCAGAGACCCGAAACGATGGATTTCTTCGATTACGCGCTGGATTGGCATTACAATAAAGATCCGAGGCAGGTACGGTATGAAGACGATGGTCTTCCGGTGAGGGCCCCGCCGCCGAAGGGGGAGGCTCTGAGTGAGTTGTTTATCAATAAAAGGTCTACTGTCGAGGTCGCGAGGAGTGAGCGGAGTAGTGGTGAGATTTCGAATTTCCCGGCTTCGTATGGGATTTCTGGGACGGCGAATGAGTTTCAGGGGCCGTACGGAAGGCAGAGTTTTGATGCGCCGGGACCAAGTCGATTACGGGGCCGGGGCGATGATGGAGGAGGAGTAGAAGACTTCGATGGACCGAGTTGTTCACGGGATGAGAGTGAAGATGAAGGAGGACCGAGTTGTCTGCGTGGTGGAGCAGACGAGGAGGGAGGAGAATCCCCAGAGCTTAACAACAAGAAAGGCAAAGGCAAAGAAAAAGCGAGATCGACGAGGAGTATCTTCGGAGACTTTTTCCGCGGCCGAAAGCCGAAACCACTCGCAGATGATGAACGATTCCCGAAGGGGCTGTGGTGGTTAGCCGGTGGCAACACGCGAAAGGGAAGGAGAATGCCGACGGGAAAGGAATTGAGGGAGAGGAAGGAGGCTGAGGAGAGGAATCGAGACGTTGTGGGCTTCCTGGGAACCGCAATGGGGAGAAGAGCAGCGCCGAAGCCGAAGGGAGGCGCGAGGGAGAGGACGGAGGCGAAAGGAGGCGATGCTGAGGGAGGCGATGCTGAGGGCGGCGATATCGGCGAGCACAGCCCACAAGATGTCTTCATGTCTGGGGGACTCGGTACGTGAAATCACCAAGGTCCATCGAACACCCTCCCGGTTTCCTCTAGGAAGTCTACTGACATACCCCAGGCTCATCCACTTCTCTCCCCAAAGCACCATCTCCAGGACATGGTCCGCAGAGAAAAGCCGAAGAGGACGAAAGCGATATTGGCACGCTCTCCATAACTCCTGTTGATCCAGATACCCCCAGAGCTGATGTTGCCCGGGCCGAGTGGGAAATCAGAAAACAACGAACGCGCCAGCATATCAGAGCCCCGGACAGTCGAATCTGACCGGGAGAAAGCGAATGAAGCGTCGGGTGGTGGCGACAAGGGACCTCAAGACTCGTCCCGCGACGGCAAAAACGATGACGAAGCTGTGGGAGTGCTTGCTGCTGATGTCGTCAACCCGTCGACGCCTGTAGCGGAGGAGACGGCTGATGCTGACGCGAAATTACCAGCGCCGGACGCAACAGGAACTATGGAGTCGCCGGGAAGGGCACTCGCTGGAGGCGAGATAGATCCTCGGACACATGAGCAAACGGCAGCAGAGCCTGTTGAGCAGCCGATTTCGAGACCAGCTCCCTAGAAGGGGAAGTGAGCTGAGGAACCGAACGCGACAATATGGCGAACGATGTCCCATGTTCGGCTCACTCAAAGGGGCGAGGGGAGCGGCACATCTATGCATCCTGTTGTAAGCACAGCTTGGAGAACGGTACAAACACTCATATGTACATCACGACCATCCTACATGCATATACAGCCCCAAAGCTTGTCCGGCGGGTATCTTTCCATCTCCACTACGAATCCACTCCATCCACAAACCCAAGCTTCTCTCCGACCCTCACCTGCTTGCCCTTCTCAATCGTCCACTTCCATCCGCCTATCCGCTCGGTGCCATCGCCCATGAAGCCTTCGTCGAAGCTGGGTCTTTTGCCCTTGGGCGCTTCAAAGACCATGACGATCGTGCTTCCAAGCTGGAAACCGCCCATCTCTTCTCCTCTCTTCAGAGCATGTCCGCCGAGGACGGGCGATGCAGACGTATAAGTCGCCTCGGCATATCCAGAGTAAGGTTCGCCGCGCTCAGCCGCCTCCTCTGCAGCCTTATCGGCAAGTGTGTCGGTGAGTAGGCTGTTTGTCCGCAATTCTCGATCGAAGTTGATGACGATCGAGCCGACGTTCGTTGCTCCGACAGGAGTATAGCTGAAGAAGCCGTACTTCCATCTCCCTAGTAATACTACGCGCTCGTTCAGAGTGAAGAGACCTGGCAATGTGCGTTGCAAATATGGGCTGACGCTGTACAGTTCACCAGCGAAATGGCGTCTGCTCTCGACAATCCATGAGACAGGGGAGTGGAATCTGTGATAGTCGCCGGGAGCCAAGTAGATGACGCAGTAGTAGAGCGCCGTGGGCACGTCATTCGCAGCGGCAGGATAGTACCACGGTCGGGGCGCTTTCGGCGATTTGGCAAGATCTTCCGATACTTCCTTCTCTGACGACTTGGCTGATTTGGTGGACTGATCTGTTGATGTTATCACTGGGGCGGAAGCGCCATCACCTCCTTCGCGCATCGTTGGATCCATATTCTCTGGATCCGGTTTATCTGGGCGCACTTTCCACCACGATCGCCGCCTTTGCCCGGCTGCTTGTCCCGAGAAAAGATTTGGAAGCGTGTATGATATGCCATTGACTCTTGCGAACTCTTCATCGGCGCGGATCGTTTCCTCGTCTCCCTCTCGTCCTCTATTCGGAGATGGGTGAGGCGAGTCTTTGGAGCCAGCAATATTGCTGCTGGTTGGTGTTCCAGCTGTAGGTTCGGTGCCGAGAAGTGCATCCACACTATAGGTGACACCCTTGACCTGCTCGACCTCTCCATCCTCAATCACACCAAACTGTATGACTCTTCCGTCTGCAGGCGAAAGTAGAGCATTGGGATCTGGATCCAGAGGTCTGACGCCCGGCTTGAGAGTTCGGTAGAAGAATTCCGAGAGATTTCGGTAGGTATGTAGATCTGGCTCGCTTATCTCGTCAAAGTTGACACCGAAGATGTATCCGTACAATTTAAATCCGGGCACGCGAAAGTAGTATGGTATATCAATGCTATTGAACCAGCCCCACACTCTCGATATCGCCTTCAGAGGGATGGTGCTCATGATCTGGACGGTCCATGGTCCTGACGGTCGTATGCGCTGTCTCTTCTTGGGCTGGCCTAATTCTCCACGGTCAAATTGGTCTCTCCTCTCCTCTTCCTCCTTCCGTGCTTGTCGCTCTCGGGTGCGATAGAACTGGAACGCTCCAAGGAATGCAATGCCAAGGCCGATGGGAATGGGTCGCCATATTATGGGCGTAGCGCGTAGTGCATCGCGTAATCGGGAGGACTTACGGTGGCCTTCTTGTCGACGTGTGCGGTGGGAGCAGCTGAAGGGTCGCGATCTGGCTGTGCGGAACACGAGCCGCGTGTGGCGGGCGAGGTCAGGAGGCATATCCGTAGCGTATCAGCTCATCTCTGCCCATGCGGCAATAGAGCGTGATGGAGTGCGGCATGTGTGGATGGAAGAAGAAGCCAAAGCACATGGTGGAAGCGAAGAGTGATGACGTCTGCCGTCGGCGAGTCGGCGGTGGATTGGCTGCAGGGATAGCGCGGAAGCATCCCACATGGTGCTATTGTGTATGTGATGTGCTATATCCCACACAATGTGCAACGCCGTCTTCGTTTCTTGATCGGCGGGAGATGCAATTCAATCTGGCAATCCGTCTCCGATCGGATCTAGTGAATCGCGTATCTGCGGTCTCCCCCTCCCGTCTGTTCCCTGCACTTCACGACCGACCGAGCACACCCGTGAGACTGCAGTAGCACAGTAGTGACTTGTTAGAGGTGGAGAGGCCGGCTGTGGGCGGTACTGTACTGTACACACCTCACGCTGCTGGACCCTGACCCTGGCTCGCGTAGGACGGGAGTGGCCGGGCGCGACTCGACTCTCTCGGACAGGGCGAGCTTGGGCTCGGATTGGTCAACACTGCCAGGAACCGTCTGCCGTTGCTACTGTTATTGCTCCCGCTACCACTACCACTACCACTTCCACTCCCAGACCACACTCTGCACTGCTACGCCTCTTCCGCCTCTTACACGACATTCACATAACACACATCCTCCCACGTGCGCACTCCTCGAGCCATTTCTCAAGCGCTATCAACCATCCGCCCAAGGGCATGGTCGCCGTCCTCGCTTGTTGAGAGCAACACCACCCAATCCTCCCTCTGTAATAAGCAGACCCGCCGAAATGGACATCGATCCGCCCTCTATCCCAGGCGCCGCCGAGACCGACTCCCCCATGCAGACCGTCACCCACTCCACCCTCCAGAGCTCCAATCCCACCTACGAGGAGCGGCCCAAGACGTCATACTCCGACACGGGCTTCTCGCGGTCATACCAATCCGAAGGCAACACGCCCGACCCTCTCCAGAACGGCAATGGCCTGAGTCGGCCTCCTTCAACCCAGAGTCAGGGACAGTATGACCAGAATGCACAGCGGCAGCAGGCGCAGAAGAACGCGTCGGTCGTCATAAAGGTGGGCATGGTGGGGGATGCGCAGATTGGCAAGACGAGCTTGATGGTCAAATATGTCGAGGGCAGCTGGGACGAGGACTACATTCAGACGCTGGGTAAGTACGGTCACTGCGAGAGAATGGAGAAGGATAGCGCTCATTGCACTCACAGGCGTCAACTTCATGGAGAAGACCATCAGCATCCGGAACACCGAAATCACCTTCTCCATCTGGGATCTGGGCGGTCAGCGCGAATTCGTCAACATGCTGCCACTCGTCTGCAACGACGCCGTTGCAATCCTCTTCATGTTCGACCTGACCCGCAAGTCAACATTGAACAGCATCAAGGAGTGGTATCGCCAAGGCCGGGGCTTCAACAAGACCGCTATCCCATTCTTAGTGGGCACCAAGTACGACCACTTCGTCAACTTCCCGCGAGAAGAGCAGGAAGAGATCTCACTACAAGCTAAGCGCTTCGCCAAAGCTATGAAAGCTAGCCTGATCTTTTCCAGCACCAGTCACAGCATCAACGTGCAGAAGGTTTGTCCTCGGTCGGCGTGGGAGTGCATATACAACCGGGATCTGACACCGCTTCTTCTACAGATATTCAAGATCGTGCTATCCAAGGCCTTCGACCTGCGATGCACCATCCCCGAGATCGAGAACGTCGGCGAGCCCCTTCTGCTGTACCAAGCCGCATAGCAAGCGGACTCGGCGCATACACTCACCCGCAATCAACCACAGCGGGATCACTTCGGACACTGCGCCTCGACGGAAGCAGCTCCGTATCCGATACCAACCCGAACGTCACTCCACCAGTACTGCCCATAAAACACGGCGTCGTGCTTATCATCACAGTGGACGAGGACGTCATGAACAGCAAGCGAGGACGAGAATGAAGGAAATGTCTGTACGCTGGAGATATGAGAACCATGGCATGCATCACGGCGCAAAAGAGAAGGTGTTCACGTTGTCTTTTTGCTTTTTTTCCCCAGGCATTATTTGCTCTTGCCCGTCGCCCCCGACGCTTCATACTGGATTTTGAGCGCGCATTGGGCGAATTGAAGAATTGCATCTGCTCTGTTCTGTTCTGTTTGGATGGTGTGTGGAGAGAGAGGTTGGAGAGGAACTATATACCAATCAGCCTGCAAGTCAGCATAAACTTAATTTCGTATGTTTTTGAGAGAGAGAGAGAGAGAGAGAGAGAGAGAGAGAGAGAGAGAAACCCGAAACAAACTCCAAAAATGAATGAAAGAAAAGAGGTTCTCAATGCTCGCAACTCTGGTATCTATCATACACATTTTGGAGACAAGGTGGGAAGAGAGAGGCTCTTTGAAGAAAACAAAAGGCGCTCGACAAATTCAAATTATCCGCAAGAAGCTAAGGTACGGTACCCTTCGCCCAATATCGGAGCAAAGGCCATCGAGATATCTTTATTATGTGCTGGAACCGATCTCTTCTCCCTTTTCTATTCAAATACCGCCCCCCCCATATACAACATCATCAGTATCTATCTATCCTATTCATCACCTTTCTACCTTATCTCCCCACATTCTTACCCCACCTCAGCGCGCTCTGCCTGGGCTGGCCCGGCTGCGACGACGATGCACCTTCGTCCGCAAACCGGATACTCTGCCGTTGTGGCGCCGATCGCGGCTCGCCGTCCTCTTCACTGTCGCTGTCCTGCCTGCTAATACCCAGGGCACCTTCTCTTCTCCTCCGCTCGGCGGCAGTTTCTTCCGTATCGCTGTTGTTACCGTCGTTGGAAGAAAGGCCGTGACCAGCTCGCCGACCGGGAGGGACGCGCTCTGTGCCATCGTCGTCCGAGTCTTCGTCCGTCTGGCTCTGCAGGGCTTGCCTCCTGCGACGCTCCGCGGCCGTTTCGCCCTGACTCTCGGATTGCTGCTGATGTCTCCTCAGGGCAGACGAGACGACGTGCACGGGGACTTCATGGTTAGACTCCACGAGCCGCAGAGACTCATTCGTACCGCCCCGCTGTAGCTGTGCCGTGGGTCTTCGCTCTTCAGCCTCCGGCTGTTCAGGAACCATGGGCACCTGCGACACCTGAATGGAAGCACCGCGAGGTCGTGTGGAAGCGATTGCCTGCTCGCGAGTCTCTTTTCGCGCCTCGCGCTTGACAGCTTCGGGAGCGTTGGAATCTTCGACGGCTTCAGCTCGAGCCTTCGGATCCATGCCGCGGATCTGATCAATGAACTCCGCTTTGCTCATTCTCTTTCCCCCAGCAGTGATGGTGAATCTGACGCGCTCGTCATCTTCTGCATCCAGCTCCTGAGCATGCTTTGATTTCTTGCCATCTGCTGGACCAGCAGAGGGACTCCCCGTCGAAGGCCCTGGAGCACCAGGCTCGACCTTACCCTCCCTGTGTCCGAGCCCAAGCATCGTACCCATTCGCTGAATGCGTCGCTTGCTCGTTGCGGGATCGCCAGCAGTTGGTTGCTTTCGATCTGGCGCAGGAATGTCATACTTTTTGATAACCTCACCGTCCTCATCCTCCACGATGATGGTGTTACCATACTGGTAAGCTCGCGCAGGACCATGAGCTTCCTTCTTCTCGGGCTGAGGCTTCTGGGCGCCTTCTCGTCTCCGCGTCCCGAACTTGTTCCAGCCCTCTCGCCACCCCTTGCCCGGTCTCTGAGCAGCGTCCTCTACCTTGTGCGCCGCAGCCTCTGCCTCATGCAGAGCTTCGTGGCCTGGGTCAGTGCTTGGATCGTCTTTAGTCGGTGCGACTCCCCTATTATGGTCGGCACCCTCGTCATGCATGAGCCTCTGTCCCTCCCGGCGCTCGGCCGCTTCCCTGTGGGATCCAAGACCACGACTCTCCTCCACGGCGAGCACATTTCCCTCTTCATCTTCATATACGGTTTTGTTACCTTCCTCGTAAATCTCCCCCGGGCTTGCCATCTTGTCCAGGTCACGGTCTTCTTCGTTCTCCGGTGTCTTCTCATCTGATGGCGGTTCGCTCTTCATCGCCAGCGTGTCCGAGTCACTGCGGCTCTGACGCTTGTCAGGCGTTTCACGGTCTGGACTCTGCTCCCTCCTGCGTGTTGGCGCGATAGCCGATTGGCTCACAGGACCACCGGGACCAATCTTGATCTCCGAGCTGCGTCCACGGCTATGTCTTGACCGATGGCGTGAAGAAGCACGGCTCTGCACGCGACTTGAATTATCTTCTTCGCGTTGTCTCCGCAGGAAAGTACCCGGAGCACCTACGGGTAGCTTCTCGTCCAAAGACTGTATCGACATGGAGCTCTTGGACCGCGACTGAATTCGTGGCAAACGATCCATCCAGGTCGGTCCTTGTTCGTTGCCTTGTGTGTACGACAATGTCAGCGTCAAGGTGTTGATGTGCTTTCCAAGAGTAAAGACGGCAATGGAGGAGCCGTGGACCACAATGGAGCAGATCACCAGGAACGTTGTGATGGGCCAGATGAGGTAAATAACCGTGTATTCATCGTTCTCTCGCGGTAGATCTGCAAGCGGAGTGGTCTGGCCAGTCTCCAGCTCAGCTCTTGCGAGGATTGCCACGAAGATGGCACCGACACCGATGGGCCCAAAATGGCCAGCGAAGAGCGCTTCGCGCCAAGTCTTGATGTCCGGGATCGCTGGTTTCAGGACCATCATGATAGGAATGCGCCGAAACAACAAGACCAATATGCCAATAACGACTAGTTTCCAGACATCCAGACCAAAAACACCAGCATTGTATTGCTCCCAGGGGATGATGGCGCCAAAATAGACAAAGAAAGCCAGGTTGATGAGCAAGTCAATGACGTTGGAAACGTGCGCCTCCTCCGTCTTCTCTGTGAACCAGCCGTCGTTACTGAATCCCACGCCGCAAGCGAAGCCAACAAGTAGGTCGTCCAAACCCAGGAGAGATCCCGAGCCAGCGCAGAACAGGGCCAAGACGAAGTAGAAGACAAGAAAGGACTCTCTATCAATGAGGTCGCGCTCATGTGCGTATCGAATGAGTCGGCGAGCGACGTAGCCAACGACCACACCGTAGAAGGCGCCGAAGATACACTCGTAGAGAATGGTGAAGCAGAACCAATGGTATGCAACTTCACTGGGATGACCGTAGTGGTCAATGATGTAGATTGCGAGATACACGAACGGGAACGCCATGCCATCGTTGCATCCCGACTCGGCAGATAAGAGATCTCGCAGATGCTTCGGCACTCGCTTAGCAAACTTGCCTTTTCCTACCACCGAGGAGGCCAAGACAGGGTCGGTGGCGGTAACGCAGGCCGCTATGGCCAAGCTTTGCAGCCAACCAATGTGTTGGTAGAAGAAGGCCCAGATGAACAAGCTGGTGATCAGCCAGCCAAAAGTCATGACTGGGACGAGCAAGCAGACGACGGATCGCCAATGCCGCTCCATGTAGGCCTTGGGTAACTCGACTCCGACAGCAAAGCATTGCACCACGAGGACAATGCGGGAGAACTCGAGGGTGATCTGATCTGTGTTGCCCCACGACAGCGGGTCTATGAGCCCCGCAGCGTGAGGGCCAAAGATGATGCCGCACAGCGTGGCGACGGTAGCTTCTCCAATGTACAAGCGCTCCTTGATGACGGAGGAGCACAGCATGAACAAGCTGGTGAAGCCGCCCAAGATGATGTACACCAAGTGCGGCTTGTTGATGGCGAGCTGCTCCCAAGCCATTGTGTATGTGGATGTATCGTGTGAGCGATTGCTCTTGGCTCTTCCTCTCCAGCAAGTGTGGCTCTCTTGGTATGGAACTCCCTCCTCTTATCCTTCTTCCAGTCGAGAATCGTAAGTCTCCGCAGAGTCGCGTCGGTCGAGAGTGTGGTGAGGGGTGCTGCGTGGATGCATACAGGCCGAGGTGCGCCCAGTCGCCGCTCCGGGTAGCCTGAAGATGGCAGTGTGCAGATGGAGTGGAACGAGTGGAACGAGTGGAAGAGAGGTCGGTGTGCGAGGACACAGGACCAGGACCAGGACCAGGAGATAGCGTTTTCAGCAGCGACCGCGGTCTCAATGCGCCAAGTCCCGTTCCCGTCTACGAGGCGAGGATGTCTCTGGCATCAGTCAGGTTCTATCCGGAACGAAGAGAAGAAGCGGCCGCCTTGTAGCAGGGGGAAGAAAGGAATGCAGATTGTCAGCAGAATCGCTGTGCGTGTGCAGACTCTGCAATAGTAATAACAATAATAACAATAATAATAATAATAATGATTCCTGGGTGGTTGAGGGATTGTAGGAACAGGTGCACGCTCTCTCCGCCATCGCAATTGGGCGGCAGGAAGTCTTTATCAACACGCGGGAACTGAGGTGCAGCTGCTGCCAATCGATACGGCGTTTAGGTTCACGCCATCGGGCCGACGACGCCACCGACCGCCAAGAAAGCTTCCCGTCCCGTTCACCCTCCCAAGTTCATCGTCACTCTTCGTGCTTCATCTGGCTGCATCGCGATACTGTACCACAAACTCAAAGGCACATGGGAAACGCGTGTCGAGCTCGACCTCACCTCTTGCTACCAAGCTTCCGTTCTCCTGTACTCCCTTACCCACCGCCATACCATATGGGAGGCCTCACGTGGACCTTAAAGACAACCACCACCATTTGATCGACACTTGGCAATATCCCCGCTTCAGCGATCGATACTGGACACCGACCTACCTGTCGCTTAGGCAGCCTGTCACGTGCCCTGCAACATGCCCGGACAAAGAGTACAGACCAGCACACCGCTGGATGAGAGTCTCTGCAGACGATGCCAAGAAACAGTGCCCTCCATCAACGTGCGCACTGAGCCTCTCTGCAAGGCGTGCTTCGCCAAGTACGTCCAGAGCAAAGTTGTCAAGCGCATGGAGAGCTTCCGAGTCCGCCATTCCGAGCCCGGCAAGGAACGAAAGCTGTTACTTCCCTTTTCTCCCGACGCCAGCTCAGTTGCATTGCTGCACATTCTCAGCCAGCAGCTGAGATTACAATCGGAAAGAACAGGACGCACAGGTTTCAAGCTTTGCGTTATGCATGTGCTGCACGAGCACGACACAGAAGCCCGGGCCAGGAGAGCTTTTGCAGCCATCAAAGCTCGATATCCGGAACATGCATATCAATCAACGTTCCTATCTCAAGTGCTTGCAGCAGACGATGTATCAAGCCTCTTCCCAGACCTGCCACCGAATGAATCACTCCAGAGCGCAGACACACACCACTTGCAGGCAATACTCAGATCGACGAGGTCGGCCACAGCCCGGCAAGATCTGGAAGAGATTCTACGGCGTCGACTAATCGTTCAATGTGCCAAAGAACAGGACTGCGAAGCTGTAGTCTGGGAGTACAGTACCACCAAATTGGCTGAGCGAACGCTTGCGGAAACAGCCAAAGGCCGCGGCTTCTCTATTCCGTGGGCCGTCTCCGACGGCGAATCGCGACTGGGCATACCATTCTACTATCCCATGCGCGAGCTGTTGAGGAAAGAGATCGAGGCGTACGTGTCTTTCCTTGACCCACCCTTCGATCATACGCTGCTGCAGGCTACTGTCAAGCCCGCAGTAAGTACGAGGAACACCACAATCGACGACCTGATGGGCCAATACTTTGACTCCGTGGAACGCGATTACCCCTCGATCGTTGCCAACGTCGTTAGAACGGCCGGCAAGCTCAGATCGAGCACGTTGAGTGAAGTGGAACAGCAATGTGAACTTTGCAATATGCCCCTCGAAGGTCGAGCGCCCGAAAGAAGCAGGCTTTGCTATGGATGCATACGAAATATGCCCCGACGCGACTGAAGCCCTCCAATGCAAAATCATAATTCCAGCATGACACTCTCCCACTCTCTGCGAGCAGCAGAGCTCAGTCGCAACATACCAACGGCCACTCGATGCTCCACTTCTCTTGGATCTCCCTCGTCAGAACGCTATCCTCGCCTCCTGCCAGCGGACTATCTCGCTTTTAAATCTGGCGACGTGTTCTTCACCACAACCGGAATGGCACTATCGGTACTGACGTTGTCGACATTCCATTTCAGGATATATGTTGTGTTCTCCTCGTTCACTGGCTCGGCGTACCATTTACTCACCAGGTCGCCCGCGTCGCTGACCCAGACGAGACGCGAGCCCCACTGCTTGAATCCAGTCGTGGTGATGGTTGTATTGGCATCTGAAGTGAATCCCACTGCATCGAAGGAACCGGAGTTGTTGTTGATATACAGCTTGGGCGAAGTCCAGTTGCCAGTGACAGCTGCCGAGCCGTTCACCGGGTTGGCCGTAAAGCTGCCGTCGGAGACGTTCTGGGATACTACTGAATTTTAGAATCACATATGAGCGCTACATTTCTCTACACAGCACGAGAGGTCTTCGGAGAACAGTCGAGCTTACGAGTAATGTTGATGATCAGACCAGCATCCGGAGGACCAGTTGTGCCGACGTAGGCACCACCTGTGAGAAGTCAGCGGTGGACAGTCGCAATCTTCAGAGGCAGTCGCGACACACCATCAGTATAGAAGAGCGGTTGGCCTTTCATGGAGCCAGCGCCATACACGAAATATTCTGCGCCATCCGCGGCAGCTCGCGATGCCGCAAGTGAGACGACGGCGAGGATGAGCGAGAGCATGATCGAGCGTGCTTGATGATGATGGAAAGGGCAGAAGGATCAAACGACGAGCCTCCCTCTCTGGCACTGGAGGGGCAAGCAGACATAACTATACCGTCACCAGGCGTTCCTGTGTCTCGGATCCGTGGCCAGAATGCGCCGCCATCTTGGCTACCGGTGGTTCGTTCGTCTATTGTCTGTTTCATCGCTAGGGTCGGTTATGCTCGTCCAGAGCCGCAACAAGGACCGAGGGGGGCTTGCGCGGCCGAAATCTCTTCTCGCCTGGATCCCTCCACGATATTCTGGACTGCGCTCCCGCCGTAACGCCCAACATCCCGCAGGGGTCAACATCGTCGACGCGTACGCCCCATTGCCCACACACCAAGGTGGCGACGGACAGACGACAGTCCTTGGAGCATCCGAGGGCTTCTGCCGTTCCACAATTTCCGATTCTGTACCACGCTCGACTAATAACCGCATGTCCCCGCATGTGGTCCCGGCCGCGACTAAAATCTCCGCCCACCCAAAGCCGACTTCACCTCACCAACCAGATTGTCAGCCTCCTAATGTTCCTGCATATGTATTCGACTGCGCCCGCGGTGTAGATCTGCTCAGACCCTGCTCTCACACGCTATCGACAAACTAATTTCATGGCCCAAGTTTCCGCGGCGGCCGGCTCACGAAAAGGACGCCGTCAATAAAAGTTGATCCCGCACGGTCATGGCAGCCCTGTAGCTTAGTATACTCTGAACTGGGGTTCATGATCTATTGCGTAACCACATCTAGCCTGCTAGTCACTTCGACCCGGGATCCAGTCCGCCGAGCTCTATTTAGATATAGCGATCAACGATCCTGATGGGGACGCGAGTGATTAGTACAATTCTCTACCCCGGGATCAACACGCCAAAGAGAAATGCCTCAATAGGAACATCTAACGCCCCGCTAATGGCTACGGAGAGCTGCAGAGAATAGGCCCGTATTGAGTGAGACAAAGCTCAAGGCTAAATCAGAGGCACAGCAATACACAGGATTTGTCTCCCTATTTTTGAAGATATAGCTAATGTAAGGATCCTTCCCTCATACAGTAAGTAGAGCTTTTGACGGGTTTTCCTTACCCCTTTATCCACTTCTACAAATTTATCCACAAAGGCCATGAATGACGCCGAGCGCACTAGCCCTGTCGACCGCCAAGCAACGCGTCCCACTCACAGCAGCCTGCTATCCGTCTTGTGAATGCAGATCCGCTCGCTTCGCCTTCCTTCCGAACCCAGCATTTCTGCCTATCTATCCATTTTCGAGGCTCAGAGGCGTATGCTGCGTAAGAGCGTGCAAATCCACTTGCTGACCGCTTCATGAAAGGCAATACCTCCGGCGAAGGGATCCTTGCAGCACCCGACAGTCTGGTACAGACGGTGTCAAACTCAACTTAACTCGCGGCTTACTATAAGATTCTCGGCCCGTGCAGGTTTGACATACACCTTTTGCGCGTTCATACATCCTTGCCTCAAATGGCGGCATTCTCGTGGATGGACCTCAGCGCGACCGTTTCTGGAAGTTATCGGCGTGTAAGTACGTCGACGCTTACGAATTCGCGGCCTCCTATAGGCCTTATACCTTGCTCGGGGTTTCGGCGGCGACAACGAAGATGAAGAATACGCCGAGAACAAGCCCTGTATCTGGCAATCTCATGCAGCTGGAACATCATTATTGAAGACATGCAACTTGTTTTGGGGAGGCTGTTGACGCGTTCGTCTTGCAGCTGCTAGTTTCGGAACCGAAAGGGTGGGTCAGAAGGGTTGCCTACTGGGGCTACCTTATGGCTAGTCGAAGCAGTGTATAGGCTGTCGATGGGTTAAGGTACAAGTTGCCACCTAAGGACTCTCGTTTGCTTTTCATATACATCATTTGCGTCCCAAGTGGCCTTTCATTACCCCATTGCTCCCCGAACAGCTGCGTTCCCCCTGCCTTTCGCAGCTATGAAGCGCCTACTGTTGAAAACATTGGCTTCTGCCGCCTTGCCTTTGCTGGTCCATACATTCCGTGTCCCTGCAGCCATCCCTCAAGCTGCTGCTCCTCCTCCTCCTCAGCTGCTTCCCCGGCAGGACGATTCCAGTACCGGGAGCTGCTCAGGCAACACCGCCTCTGATCGTAGCGTCTGGTGCGACTACGACCTCTCGACCAACTACTACGACGAAGTCCCCGACACAGGTGTAACTCGCGAGTATTGGTTCGACATCACCAACTCTACCCTCGCGCCCAACGGCGTGGACCGCATCGTGTTGTCCGTCAATGGCAGTGTTCCCGGCCCGACCATTATTGCCGACTGGGGCGATGAAGTCGTCGTGCACGTAACCAACTCACTCTCTATCAATGGCAGTACGATCCACTGGCACGGTGTGAGACAGAATTGGACCAACGATCAGGATGGTGTGCCCAGCATCACGCAATGTCCCACGATTCCGGGTGACACTACGACGTATCGCTGGAGAGCGACGCAGTATGGTAGTTCGTACGTATCGAATTCAACACCTTGGATACGCACGCGGAGCGGATTAATGCTAACACCTTGTGCTCGCAGATGGTACCACTCGCACTATTCTCTCCAGGCCTGGGATGGCGTCTTCGGCGGCATTCTCATCAACGGCCCTGCGGCTGGAAACTACGACGTCGACCTTGGAGTCCTGTTCCTGAACGATTGGGATGCCCAGACCGCATCAGCGAAGTATTCCTACGCCCAAACGGAAGGGCCTCCGACGCTGGACACGGGCTTGATCAACGGCACGAACACGAACAACAGTCTAGGCAGTAGATGGGAGACGAGCGTCGAGAGTGGATCCAGTTACCTGTTGAGAGTGGTCAACGGAGCTGTTGATACGCATTTTGATTTCATGGTTGATAATCACACGCTTACTGTCATTGCGATGGATTTTGTGAGTAATTCCTGCACATCACATCACATGAAACGAAGGACTGCTGCTGACTGTCCAATTCATTGGTAGGTTCCGATCACACCTTACACCGCAGAGACGATCAGCATTGGCATGGGTCAACGATACGATGTCATTCTCACGGCGAATCAGAGTTCGGTGGCTTCGGACTTCTGGCTTCGTGCGATTCCGGATGACTTCTGCAGTGACAATTACAATGGAGATGATATCAAGGGCATCATCCACTATGGCACCAGCACGGGTACAGCAACTCCGTATCCTTCGCCTCTTCCGGAATCAAAGCTAACATCAATCTCCTTCCAGGCACACCCACCACCAGCGCCCCCGACTACGACGCGAAATCATGCTACGGCGAACCCGCCGCCTCCCTCGTCCCCTACCTCTCCCAGACGGCCTCCTCTTCGGGCTCGCTATCCTCCGACCTCGCAGTCACCATAGGCCTCAACTCCGCCAATCTCTTCAAATGGTACATCGGCGGCACCACCTTCGCCGTCGACATGGCCGACCCCTCCGCCCTCCAGATCATCGAAGACAACGCCACGGTTTCCTGGTCCACCTCTTCCGGAGTCATCAGCCTGCCCACGGCAGACGAATGGGCCATCGTCATCATCGAGACCACCACCGCCGTCCCGCACCCCATCCACCTGCACGGCCACGACTTCTTCCAACTCGCCCAGGGCACCGGCACGTACGCCTCCGCCGCTCCGACGCTGAACGTCGACAACCCTCCCCGGAGAGATGTGACGATTCTCCCGGCATCCGGGTACGTGGTGATAGCTTTCCAGGCCGACAACCCGGGCGTGTGGCTCTGCCATTGTCATATCGGATGGCATACGGAAGAAGGCTTCGCGTTGCAATTCGTGGAACGGGAGAGTGAGATCGCGGGGTTGTATAATTCGACGGATCTGGAGAGTGGGTGTGCGGCTTGGACGTCTTTCTCGGAGGCGGATTCGATCGAGGATGATGGGAGTGGTGTCTAAGAGCCGGGATTTTTTCACGAGGTACGACAGGACGCGTTGCATTGCATTGGTATGGCGTGGGTTTGGCTGAATCTCTTTGGGTCCGGGTGCATAAAAGGGGTTGTTAATTTGAGGTTTCGAGACCTCGTCTCCCTTTGGGAGTATATTTATTGCAAGCAGTACCTACCAAGCAGTGGGCTTAATCAGGCATAATCATATTCGATCGGGTTCCTCAGTCTCGTGACCCCTTCAGAAGTAAGTGTTGCTTGATTGACAAAGCGAATGCAGTGGAAGCAGCGCGGGATGGCATGTGGACAATTCGCTGTCCACAGTCTTGAAGTGTCTGTGAAATGTCATGTATGCTGTGCAGTCATGTCCACAGCGGAGGTATCTACACGTCCATCATGGTATCGTCGCCTCCATCACCCGTGCTGGCCTCAGCCACTACACCTCGTCCTCGACCTTCTAGCAATTCTCTTCTCACTTCGGGCCCTATTTGCTTGTGCCCACGTACTAGCAACAAGTCGAGCAATGCCTCACGTTGGTCTTCTGTAATCTCGTTCTTGTAGCGTTGTGCGAAGGCTAGCAGGCTCTGGTGCCAGAGAACAGGCAACTTCAGATCGCCACCTTTCTTCGAACTCGCACCGGACATGTTGACATCATCACCATCCTGCATTGCACGAAACCGTAGGAAGTGGAAGACTAGAGCGTCGACGACTCGGTATGGGAGGGCGTACTTCTTTTCGAGCAACGTGCGGATGAAAATGTTGCATGCGCCTGCAGACTCCACATCGGACATCATCTGATCAGCAGCAATCTCGCATAGCCGATAAAGAGCTGTTGCAGAGTGCAGGACGGGAATGGAAACGCGGGCGAGGACTGAGCTGATGATCGTCGCCTCCCGGAGAGTACACGTTCCTGAACCAACGAGCGGGAAGAGCAGTCCACGGAAAAAAGCAGCCGGCTTGTAGAGAGCTTTCTTGAGAGACTTGAAGAGATGGACGTTCAGTTTTCGCGTCTCGCGAATGTCTTCTCGTACGCGCGGCAGGAGAACGTCCGAACAGAACGCTTGTGCAACGGCTGGCCGAGAACTTGTAAAGATTTTGGTGGCCTCGTAGATCGCGTTGGGTGTCCAGCTGTCAGGCCGTGTGATGTCGATGAGAATATCCCATTGTGGAAGCGTGGGCAGGATCTTGAAGGGCTTCGGCAGCTTTCCACTCTTGTATCTCGAAAGCAGCAGGCCGACCTGTGTGTACACCTCGACAACCTTCGCAGGCAGCTCCACTGCGTCCTCTGGGTCACCTCCGCCTTGTATTTGCGGTAGACCATCTGATTGTCCCTGCTCTTGTGCTTCATGCGCCGCGATCTTCTCCAATATCAAATCCGCGAGGTTGGTGCCAGGTCCTTGTGCTTCTGCTTGTTCGTCATTGCTGTTGGGTTGTAGCAGGGTTGCCGGGTCGAATGAGGGATTGAACCGATTGAACATATCCAGATCATTTGGGTCTATTTCGATCTCCTCTACCTCCTCTTCGTCCGAACCCCATGCCTCCTCGTTGTCGTATTCCCCAGGCTCTTCGGCTTCATCCTCGTCCACAGGAAATCGATTCTCGAATGTAAAAGCATTATGTGCGTCGTTTGGAGCCGCGCGAATATTCTCTGCTTCAGCTTCCGCGGCTAGATCTTGTCCGAGATCCAAGATTCGTCGCGACGCCTTGCTGTCCACAAAACTCTCTTGGCCATCTTCTTCGTGGGTCGACTTGCGCTTTTTGCTCGCTTTCGATTTCAAAGGCTCTGTAGGCGAGTATTCCTCACTCAGAGGATTATGTCGTCTCTCCTGTCGCATATTCGATCTGAGTGCTTTCGGCATTGTAGTGTCGTAATGTGGTCGGCCGACCGAATGTGCTTGCGAGGTTTTGAATATTGACGAGACAGAAATTCTACGCACAGACCTGCAAGCTAAACTTTGAGGGTCTAGCCCACGGCCCGATCCTCGGCCATGCCGTCGGATGCCGAGAGCCAAGCTACGTCTCGCGGATATCATGTCGCTCGATGCCAAATACAAAAAGTTTCCCTCGTTGTCCTTTCCGGGAGTTTGAGATCTTATCGGGGCCACGAACATGCTATCGCGAATAGCAAAGTCTTACCGAAGTTGGGGCTACCTCCTACGCCCTTTCAAAACTGGGCTTTCGATCTTCATCTTGTCCACCATCTTCGGAGACCGAGCACAGAGCTCTTGCAGAATGCACTACTGATCCTATACTATTGGTTCAGTCAGGACTGCAGAGCACTGACCAGACTGAGAGACTGGCCCTGACTGCCTAGGAGATGACGGCAGCGAATGTGTGGTGTAGTGTGAAGAACGCGAATTGATAAGATGATTGGTACTTATTGTTTACAACTCGATCAGATCCAGTCTGTGTGGCGTCTAGGTGTACTGCTTATCACTGGCGAGACTCTCTGTTGACTGTCTTCACATCGATGGCTGAATATGTGACCTTCCGTCTGTTGGGACGTTTCTCTTGAAGAAGTCGATGATTCGTGCCTGATCTTCATCTGATTTCGGTATTTCATGGCCGGCACTGTGTTTCAAGAATTCCGATTTGGAGCATACTCGCACTAGAGCTTCGCTCCTTTCGCTGCTGACTAGTTGATCCTTTTCGCCGACGACATGAAGCATAGGCATGTCAATACCTGGCTCGTACAAGCCATCATATTGGGAGAATCGCGCCCTGAAGCCAGAGAATATGATGCCAGCTTTCGGTGCGTCTAATGGTGATGGGAGGTGTTTTCGCAGAGGATGGCCAGCGAGCTTGTCTTGTAGTAGGGCACATAACATGCCGGCAAAACAAGCTCCCTGAGAAAAGCCCCAGATTGAATGTATTGGACCGTTGTCTCTTATATAGTTGCCGATAGAATCGAGACTCTCTTCCAAGCCGTGAAAGCCGCCACGCTCCTTGTTATGCCAATTGCCCTCTCTGGCATACCACCAGGCTCGGTGGCCAGACGTAGAGAGAGCATGAACCATCTCTGACCATTGCTGGTTGGCCGTACTTGTCATGTCCATTTGCGAGGAAATGTCGACGACGTGCGGACCATCGGGGAACAAGAAGTCGTACTCGGGAAGGGCTTTCGTGATGCGGCGAAGTTGGTGGGCGTGTACCTGGCCATTGGATGTGAAGCCGTGCAGACAGAGTACTCGTAGTCTACTGGCAGACATGGTGCTGCCAAAAAATTTGAAAGCGGGATGAACGCGAGACGAGCAGGATAGAGTGTGGTCGGGTGAGAATGAGGCAGGAGTTAGTGGCTGCTCAAAGCGGTAAATTGCTTTGCCGACTTCCGAGGGCTTACCGATCCCGTCTCTTCTCTCTTCGGCCTCGTCGACGAAGGTTCCTTCTCGACGCGATGTACTTACCACAACATTCGCCGACTCTCCATACATTGGAAAACTCGGATGCCGCGACGTCTCCCGCAAGAGATTTCTGAGGAGGAGGAGATTTCACGTATGAGCGTTCATGGCTCCACGCCGACGATCATCTCCCTTCCACGGGTCCTCCCTCACAGAGACTGGCAGAAGAGTTGCTGAATGGCAATACCTTAGGTGCTCCCATATATCTTGGATGCTAGTCTCAGTCGCGTGAGCCACGCTCATCGATACAATTCATGCCGTCGCTGGGAGCCATTTCTCAGATCTCTCTGACCTGCAAAACAGACTTGCCAGCGTTGCCACCGTAGGATTCGCCTACTGCAATAGAGGATGGAGCGGGAACGGTGGGTGTGAAGTCAAAGGACTGGGTAAGTTGACGTCTGCCTCAGAGTCTTACCTCAAACACGAGTGCTGAGTGTTCGCTTTCGGACAGATATCTGTCGCGTGGATTGGGAAACTGTACGCTGTGTACGCTGTGTTATTGGGATCCTGCGTGGTCTGTCTTTTTTGGCATCGAAAACGGTGTGGTCAAGAAGAAGGAGGAGCTCTGCAGACAAAATTTCGATATGGGGAGCGGAACCGATCCCGAGCCACCCCGCCCTCGCGCTCTACCTGCGACATCGCGTGTACCTCACTCCGGCTGCCCACCATGACTCAAAGAGACCTTTCGAGCCTTACTTCAGCTCGCTCTCGATTCTGAGAGTAGAGCAGCGAGTCATACGCATTTCCATCTGGTCGAGAAGTAACAAAGGACGCTTCCTAGGGAGAGAGATGAAAATGGACGAACAACAGCCTTTGCTGCCTCGTGATGGCTCAAATGCCACCGGAGACGCCTCTAAGGATGATACTTCTCGTCAATATTCAATACACCGCTTTCTACCTCACATACATGTTACGGAGCCGCGATACCGTTTCCTGCCGTTAATAGGATGCTTGCTCGTTCTGGTCAACGAGGGAGAATACTTCTTCAAGCAGATCGCGTACTTCCGCGCCATAGAGGCTCTCTATTGCATCGAGTATTTCAACGACATCGACCCCGAAGTGGCGAAGTTGGGTAGGAAAATCCCAGAGAGCATGTGTAAGCTCGATGCCATCCAAAAGAAAGTGGCCACTGCGAATGGCATCGTCATACTCGTGAGGATGACATCGGCATTCATTGGTACAATACCATTAGGATATCTCAGTGACAAGTCTGGACGGAGATTACCCTTGATCATGCACAAGGTTGGTACGATCATCTACACACTCTGTGTGTTTGTATCATGTGAGTCAGCCTTGCAGTACCTACCTATTCAAGAAGAAACAACTGATGCTCTCTCAGACATGGGCTACCCCGTGGTGCCGATATGGGTCAGCTTTTTGGGAGGTCTCGGAGGTTTGATTGGTGCCAACTTCGATCTCAACCTCGCCGTCATGCTCGCGGCCTACACAGATGCCATGACCTCGAGCACGCAAAGATCGACATATTTCTTCATCACGACATCAATGCAGTACGTTGGCCAGGTTTCATTTCCACTTGCAGCCGGCCGCGCAATCAATCTGGACGGCCAAGGCGGTACTTCCGAGGTTTCGCTCTCAATCTCTCTTGGGATGGCAGTGGCTGGTCTGGTAATATCTCTGTTTTTCAGGCCAGAAACCATGAAGAAAGAAAGGTCGATAGGCCAAGCTTCTGCAGATGCCGTGATTGACTCTAGCAGCATTGATCAGACAGAGACAAAGACTGCAGGTGTGCTAGGCTCGCTCGCGCATAAACTGAGGTCCTTTTGGACAGATTTCAAGCGGAACGTTCAAGGCATAGGCATGACAAATATCTGGTGCCTTGCGTTTTCGATGTTCTTGATCACTACTGCCATCAAGTCGGTGGACTGGCTCGGTCTAATTCAATACCCAGTCATCAAGTTCGGCTGGAAGTACAATCAGGTAAGTCCGAGCTGTACCAGACCAATATTTCACGCTGAAGATCATAGTCTGCGTATGCGATGGCCATACAGGCCATTGTATATATCCTCTTGTACTTCTTACTGCTTCCCGCGTGCAACCGCTTAGGAATCCGCTTAGGATACACGAAATCTTCAACATCTTTGATCATCATGCTCCTCTGTCTGGTTTTCCTGGAAGTCGGCTCGGTGCTTCTCGGGCTCTCTGCTACGGCCGTGCAGTTTATTGGGGCGACTTGCGTGTACACTCTCGGAGCTGGTCTGCCTGCGGTCGTGCAAACTTACATTGCCAACCTAGTCGATAAGACAGGCCTGGGAAAGGTTCTAGCTATCGTTTCGCTCTTTCAGGTGGCCGGAAAGATTGCATCGAGTGGCACTGGGCCGGTGATCATTGCTGCAGGCATCGACTCCGGGAACGAGCAGTTAAAAGGTGCACTTTTCTTCTTCGCTGCCCTGGTTTTACTTTTTGCCGCGGCAAGCCTGGGGATTGTTGTGTTCCGTGCTGGAATTGCTAAAGCTGAGCCGGACGGTACTACAGAGAATGACGACCAAAATCTGGAACAAGGCACTTGATACGCTCAAGTCTCATCTGTCCGCTGCTGGCAGTAGCGTACGACAACATTTAGCAGTCATTAATTAGCACAGAGAGTTTCGGGACTCGTCGAAGCGACTTACCGATGGCCCTGGAAAGCGGGAAGGAATACAGGGGAACCCAGTTGGCAGCATTTCGCGCATATCTTGTACGGATGGGCAGTATGTATAGTAAGTAGACTGCAGTGGTGTGGCAAGGCGTTTTCGCAAGACCAAGTTTGACGCGGAGACAGCTCCGTTCGTAGCGCGTAGCGCGTGAAGTTTAAGTGGGCCGCCTCGGTCCAAGCTTTCGCGCGTCTTCCTCTAAGTCGATCGGAGCGAGATGCGGCATTGCACAATCGCTTCGCATCACGCGACATCTCCCATACACCATGGACATCGAACAGACACACGCGCCAGCGGTGCCCTCTCCCTTGAACCCAGCCACCAGCATGTCGAATTCGCGCGCTGCCTCGAGGACCCCTGCCCCGACGCCGGTTCAGAGAGAGCAACGAGAGCGCAAAGAGTCGCAAAAGAAGCGTGAGAGCAACTTGGGCACAGGATCAACGAAAAGCGAGTCTTCATTCTCAACGACACTGGGCAAACGCAAAGGCGGTGCCGTTCAAGCATATCCTTCGCCGCAGCGCTTCGCCGTTCCTCCGCCCAGAGCACAGGATTTCGAAGAGCCCAAAGAGGATGCCATGATATCGCATGAGCCCGCGCCTTTCACCATGCCCAACAGCGAACGGCAATTGTACAAGCCCATTGACCTCGCCGAGAACAAGAGGGGCTATCGGTACTCTCGGGCCATTGCAGATCCGCTCTTCCCGCACAAGCAGTTCTATCGATCTACCTCTCCTCCGCCCCATTACTCGCGATTGAGTTTCGAGGACGCGGACAAGTGGATGCACTTCAGCACCAACGCTCTGATCACGACGAACGAGAAAGGATGGAGGAGTGTTCGATCGAATGTATGCGCAAGAGAAGGAACGCTATACTATGAAGTCAAGGTGCACAGAGGCATTCCAGCGGGAGGACTAGATCCAGGAGCAGATGGACCACAGCCGCATGTTAGATTCGGCTGGGCGAGAAGAGAGGCACCGTTGGACGGACCTGTAGGCTTCGACGGCTACAGCTACGGTATTACAGACTCGCGATTCGAGCCCATGCATCGAAGCCGGCCCGGCAAGCTCTTCACTCCAAAGAAAGCAAAGTCGAAGTCTGCCAAGGCTGCTCTTGCAGCTCCGACGCTGGTCAATCTCGCGCCAGAAGACCAGCACGTCAAAGAGGGGGACGTCATTGGCATGGAAATTCAACTTCCTTCGCTATCTTTACAGCAGAAGGTCGTCAGCGGAGTGTACAACCCAGCTGCGGATTTTGGTGATGGATTCGAAGGACCAGCCGCACAACGAGAGGATGACGAGCCAATGGATGTCATTCGAGATCGCATCCCGGTCCCATACAAGGGCAACAGCTACTTCGAGATCCTGGACCACGTCGCATCAAAGCACATGGAGATCTACGCTGATCGGACGACAAACATGAACAACCTGCCAACGAATCCGACTGGACCTGGTGCTAACAAGGAGAGTATCAAAGCTCCACCGAACCCCAATCACGAGCAGCCATCTCTGCGGACACTCCCTCAGAGTGCAATACGAGTCTACAAGAATGGTAAATCGATAGGGACTGCATTCGAGAATCTGCTGGCTTTCCTGCCGCCCGCAAGCGCTCCGAGTAAGACCATGGGTGCGAGGGAGGGCTTTGACGATGGACTAGTCGGCTACTTCCCAGCCATTTCTTGTTACTGGGGTGGAATCGCCGAGATCAATTTTGGCGACGGCTCGCATGGATTTTGGTGTCCACCGCCTCATCTCAAGCCGACAAATCAGGACGCGAGCGCGGATGGCCAGAGGAAAGGCTGGAATCCAGGCAAGCAGCCAAGACCGATAGGAGAGCGCTATAAGGAGCAAGTCGCCGAGGATGTAAGTCAATTGCCGTAGTGATGAGAGAGTTTTGCTAACCCGACTCTCCAGGTGGTATGGGACATCATCGACGAGGTGGACTTTTTCATGCAAGACGGAGGATTTGACAGTACGGCCGGAGGTGCCATGGAAGGCGTAGTTGCCACTGGGAAGACTAGTCGCCTAAGGGACGAGGAATAGAGACGAGAAGCTGCCGTTCACCTGGACCTGCTGGACTTGCTATCTGCAGCTCAAGGGCGCTGAGGCAACCCTAAAAATGACTGATGTGGTTAGCTCGGGCCGGTGCACACTCCAGGAGAGGCTTTTCGTGATCTCACCTCCCTCACAGTCTTGCAACATCACCATCGCCTTTCCTTACAGCTCTCATTGCGCAGCAATGTCAGTGTTGTCACTTTACCTGTTTTATGTCGGCATGTGATGGCAACAAAAGGCCGATGACCGCCTCCGTGGCCTGTGTTCTTCCGCCGATCTTATCCGCCTAAGGCTTCGCCTATCTCTTGACGGAGCGTTTCTAATCCATGCAAGTATTGAATTGGTTCACCTCAGTATGCACAAACAGCATTCCTTTTCTTTGGAATTTTACAATCGTTCTACCATGACGGTGCAGGAAGAAGACATTGGCGCCGATCCACTCGCCAGTTGCTCTTCTGGCGAGAAGGCGGGAAAAGTGGGTGAAGCTGTTGTACGAGAGGTTGATTCCGAGCCCGGCGGCGATGAGAAGCCAAGATACAGCAAGCTTTCAGTATGGCTGATGGTGCTGTATTCCGGACTTGCAATCGGCAGTGATGGATAGTGAGTCCCATGGATTCTAGAGAAGATGTCGCCGAGCGACGCTGACTTCAAGGAAGCAATGCAGCAGTCATTGGCAACGTCGAGCTCTTGTTGGCCGTTCTCTACCCGGACGCTCTTACAGATTCGATGTACTCGAGACTGAGCAATGCTTTCCTCATCGGTATGATAGTCGGTATGCTGTTGTTCGGAGGCATCGTGGACCAGCTAGGCAGGAAAACGGGTGCTGTTGCTACAACGCTACTTCTCGTGCTTGGAATCGCACTTTCCGCTGGAGCTTCTGGTACGACGCCAAATGGCATGTTGTGGATGCTGGTAATCGCTCGAGGTATCGCCGGAGTAGGCGCTGGGGGAGAGTATCCCGTCTCGGGAGCAGGTGCCACAGAAGCCACGGATGAAGACAAAGCCTACCGAAAGCATCGTGGGTTTATGTTCGCTATGCTGGCCGACCTGTCCTCTTCGCTTGGCTACGTCTGGGGAGGCCTCGTACCTCTACTCCTGCTCCTCTGCACACACCACAAGGTCGAAAACTACCCTATTGTCTGGCGCACTTCGTTCGCTCTCGGCCTGATCCCTCCTCTTTCAATCTTCTGGTTTCGAATGCGCATGGCAGTCTCCAGCGCATATCGCAAGTCCTCGATGCGCAAACAGCGCGTCCCGTACGTTCTGGCTGTGAGGCGCTACTGGCGTGCTCTCCTCGGGTGCTCCGCAACATGGTTCCTGTACAACTACGTGAGCATTCCCTTTGGGATCTTCTCCAGCACCATCACCTCCAGAGTGAACGCTTCGGATTCTCTGGTGAAGAATCTAGGCTGGGGAGTCGTCATCAACTGCTTCTACATCCCGGGGCCCTTCATTGGTGGCTACCTCAGCGACAAGATCGGAAGGAGGCAGACCATGTGTCTTGGCTTCACTCTCCAGGCCATTTTGGGGTTTGTGATCGGCGGAGCGAATGAGAAAATCCAGTCTGTCTTCCCGCTGTTTATCGTCTTATATGGGGTCTTCTTAACTCTTGGAGAAGTGGGACCGGGCTCGACCGTTGTGTTGACTGCGTCAGAATGCTTCCCCACATCCATCAGAGGTCAGATGATGGGGTTGGTGTCGGCTTTCAGCAAGGCCGGTGCGGCGATTGGTACACAGGTCTTCAGTGCTATCCTGGCGTCTTGGACGGATGAGCAGAAAGCCAATCAGGCTACATTCTTGATTGGGGCTGCTTTCGCGTTGGTGGGAGCATCTATTGCGTGGTTTGTAATTCCAGATGTGAGTGCGAGGTTGGAAGACGACGATGCAGCATGGAAAAAGTATCTGGCAGAGAATGGATGGCAAGCGCAATGGGGTGATAGCACGTCCAAAGATCCGGCTGCTGTGAAGATGGATGCGGTTGTTTCGTAGTGCCCATTTGGTAGCAAGGAGAATGAGGATCTTTGCACAAGACGCTCTTTATTTTGACTTGATCTTTACAATGGCAGCCAGCATTGCCTCGTACGCCACAAACGATCACAACTTGCTGCAGTCCACCTAATCGCCCTGTTATACATCTGTTCTGGGAAAATCCTGCTCAAATATAGAACATGATCTCATCCATCTCCTTCGCCTAGAGGTTCTACCGACCCTCATCCTTCGACTGCCATCGTCCCTGGTTGGCTACCCAGCGCGCGACCTGCTCTGTGAAGTCTTCCGTACCTTCGGCGACAGTCTCCATACGAGCATTACTCAAGCCATTCTCCGGGCGTTCCCCGCCCATCTCAGGCGTCTCGTTTGGTGCGAACTTGCCAGTAAAGTAGCGATGCAAGTACTGACTTCGACGAGCGCAGAGACGATCCGCGTAATATACAGGCGAAGCCTGTGAGATACCCTTTGTCGCTTTGGACCGCAAACATTGCTCATAAGTCGCCAGACATCTTGTCGCGTTATTTGGTGCATGCACCTGTTTGTTGTGTGTTTGAGTATGACAAAAATGGCTCAGCCTATTCAACAGAAACGCCAAGAGCAGAAGCGATAGAAATCGAACAAGCGGCTCTCGATGTGCGCATTGTTTCTGACGCAAGCGGATGGGAAGATATCGAGCAAGGCCTTCATGCCGAAGGTCTGGTTCGAGTCAATCTCTTGAATGTGTTACTGTTGGACAGCACGGCTCCTAGAACACGATCAGTGCGACAGCTGTTCTCAAGTCCCGGTATGCTGGACAGGGGGTCAGACAAGCATAGAGCTCGAGCTGGCAATGTTTCAACGAGACTTTGCAGGCCCTGGTAATCTACAGCCAGGTAGAGCAGCGCACGGGATACCTGCTTCTACAGCCTGTCGTCTGGGTCCGCAGGTGAGAAGATGCAAGGCATGTGTTTGCTCCAAGCTCGATTGCACACTCTCAGCAAGAATGCGGTCTGTTCCCTTGTGCGTGCCTTGGCTCCGACGCCTCGAAAGATGCAGTACACCGGAATGGTTGACTGGGCCAAGGCGGCAGAGTTTCTGTGTAAAATTTGAAACGCGAGTGCAATTCTGTGCAACCTTTCGTTATCAAGGCGTCAGGGAAATATACGCAAGCATGGTGAGATTCTTCCCTCTTTCTCCATGGCCGATTATTTCAGCTTATCGCAGACGTGTGACTTTGACAAGATTGTTTTCGTAGGTCATGGAGGCTGAGGCAGGAGATATAAGCCGTGATGAACAGATTGTATGAGATTGAGTTGACGTCTCCTCGTGTAATGACCAGTGGGTTGCTGTGTGAGATGATGATGTTGAGGAAGAGGATGGGAGAAAGAAAGAGGAGGCCAAAAGCTGGCCTGCGAGCTTGGCACGCTACTCGGCTCGGACGGTTCGGCGCGGGTCGTAACCCACGTGAACGCCTCTCGCCCCTGAGACGTCAACAACGAAGCACTTCACGTGAACAACACGTGCTCGCGTCCCATTCACCGGCGTCCAGTCTCAATCAACGGCAGCGTGAACGGCATGCGGCGTCGATGACTACTTCAAACATCACATCAGGTGACTTCCCCATGTCGGTCTTGATCCCATTTGCGGAAGAAAAGACCAGCCTCCGGGCTCGGGTCCTTCCAGGCTCGCTTAATCCTCATGCATAGATTGTCAATCTATATGCCACACTCGATCCTCAGCATCGGCGAACCTCAGCATCGCCAAAGAAGCGACTCTCGTCGACAACTGTGGTAGCACTGCAATAGGTTGACAGTGCCACGCTGTCGGTGTGAATCGAATAGTGATTCTGCCAACACGATGGACGAAACGAAGTACTTAATGCATCCTGGCGACATGGCATGGCAACCACAAACAACGATGCAGGCATGCACGTCTCAGACGACTTCCTTCTACATCTAACTACGCCTTCGGTGGGTACCATAGGGCCATGCCCTGTCGGTAGCAAGAAGAAGAGCCCTTCTCGACCACCTACCGAGCGGGGATGTAGTGCGACAGGCTGCGAGCATCCTATTGATGATACAATGCCATTTAGGAGCTGTCGCTCCGGTCCAAACCTGGTGCAGATAGCTGTCGCATTCGTCACATCTTCTTCTTCATCACATTTATCACTTCTTCTCTTCTTCCTCGACCTTTCCCTTTTTGCGATGCTTCCAGCTTCTGACATCGTCCTCTAGTTCGCTTCTCATCACTCTTCTACCTTCTTCGTCGAGCGCCGGTCGTGGACTTCCAATCTACATTCGAGCTTCAGTTGTTCGTGGTCGGCCTTTGAGGACGCCTATTTGGCCTGGAGTTCTAGTCATTCTCTATCTTCACATGGTCCTTTCATGGACATCTATACAAGGAATCCGGACATACACTACGTCAATCCAGAGGGGGCTCTTAACGCCGGCATCTGGTCGCTGTATGCAGGAGCTACTGCCTTTCTTGCCGCGCGAATTTGGAGTAAAACCACTCGGCGCCATGGCCTATGGTACGACGACTATGTATTACTGGTTGCTTGGGTGCGTATACCTTCCCAGGTCATGGCAACGGGCTGGTATCTGATTAGGCTACAGGCAATTCTCACAGCAAATGACATCCTTATCACAATTGAATACGCCACCGGCTACGTTAGCCCCGTCTGGGACGACCGAATGCACATTCTCATCAACATCACCTCCTGCGGGACTCTACTTGGCCAGTGTCTGACCAAGACCGCGTTTGCGGTCACATTACTCAAGTTGACAAGAGGCTTCTCGCATTGGAAGATCTGCCATGGTATACTATGGTTCTGCATAACGACCATGTGTACATACAATTTGGTCAAGGTAAGTTTGCAGCGTACTCGACACGTCGTTCGCGTTGCTATCGACACTGACAATGCTCAGTGCTTGTTAGAATGGGCGAGGCTCTGTGACGACCCCACTTATGATGTCTGGTATCGAATAGACTTTTGTCTACACAACTCTGCTCGTGATAAGTTCAAAGAAGGAGGCAACTGTGAGTTTCTAATAGATGATACGACGCGCTCTGCAATGCCTCGACTGACCAGGATCAGATTACAACGTTGTCATGGATTTCATCTTCGCCGCATTCCCGTGGATCATCACTTACAGCCTGGACATGAAGAAGATGGAAAAGGTCGCGCTCTGTTTCACGATGAGCTTAGGCATGGTCGTTGCCATCTCAACAGCCATCCGAACCGAATGGAAATTCGACGGGAACGGCAGCGAGGACGAATGGTGGTTCTGGCGCAACGCCATGTCCAACATCTGGTACTCTTCCGAGGTCACGGGCACAATCATTGTGCAGTGCGTCCCTGTCCTGCGGCCTTTGGTACAGGATATACACACGTCGCTACGGTCGAAAAGGTTAGGCTCAACGATTGATGAGGTTGCGCTGGAAAATGCAGAGCCGCATTGGTATCATGCTAGTTAGTGAGTTCCGATCTAATGTCCACAGGTTCAAGAATGTACGATTCACTCCACCTTTCTTCCCTTCATCTGCACGAAGGCACAAGCTACAAGCTCTTGCTATCGCTTGATCTGTTGCGTTGAACCACTCGGCAGGTCTGTATTGAAACCATAACACACACAGCCAGAATCCATGAGACCAGGGGACGGGCCAATGCAGACAGGCAAGGTAATGTTCAACAACTCCTGCAAGGCACTCAAAGATCTCTTGATTCAGGTACAGCAACGCTCCACTCTGGCGATGCAACGGAGCACCCAAAGCCGACGTGAACTTCTTCAGCATCGCATTCTTACCGATCGCCTGAACGACACGTTGCGGCTGTCCTTCGACGAACATCTCATCGGCAGCATCGCCCATGATAGCCTGCTTTTGGATTTCCTGCCATTCCATTGGCCAGAAGCATCTCCTCGACGATTTCTGTAGCAGTCAAACGCTAAATCTTTGCAGAAATTAGTTTCCAGATCATCGGAAAGCAGCATCGAGCAGTGGACCAGGATTCGGGATTACATTCCAACAAGAGATCGAATTCCACTTTATCGCCAGCTTGAAATGCGACTCTGCCTGCAAGAGAGAGGGCGTGACAAGCTTTCCAAAAATCGTAGACTCCGTCTATCAGCATCACTGCTGCAAGACGAGGTTCGAACGCCGCAGCTCTTGCGGCGAAATAACCGCCAAAGCCCATACCTATCAGACCGATGTTCTTGGTATCGATGAAAGAAATTGCGTCGTCAGTCATGATGGTCGAAAGAGTATTAATCTTCTCCCCGCGACCGGTCCTATGCTTTCTGTCGAGATCCACTGTCGTTATTCGACTGACTTGCCAGCTCTTTACAAATGGGACTACTAGCCCGCAGCCGCTCTCCGTACCGAATAAAAGCAAACGGAATCACACACATCACCAAGCTCAAAAAGCCAAGCAAGCTACAGGCCCAAGCGACTCCCAGCGTATCGTACATGGGCTTAGCCGCAAAAGGCAGAGCAACGCCAAACGTGCTTCTGGAAAGGCTCGTCGCTCCCAGAGCACTTGCGGAATAGACCTTGTACGAATCGACGAGGTAGTTGAAGAGTGCGACGAACACCAGAACGAACCCGGTCCCTACCAGCACAGCGCCGAGAAGGGGTACAATCCAAGGGACGGAGGACATTGCTCCCCAGCCCAGCCAGAACATTCCGATTGTAAAGAGGGGGCCTCCCAGGCAGGCGAGTGGAAGGCGTTGGTATTCTTCTTTGGAGGACCAAGGTGCTTGGCGCTTTTTCGCAGATCGTAGATAGCGATCCCACCAGATTACGATTGGAAGTGCGAGGAAGTTGCCGATGCAAACTATAGCTGGTTGAGCCACTGTGCATAGCGGTATAGATGTGGATGACTTACGAGGTATGAATGCAAGTCCCGTCTCGCACTGTGTGAAGTTGTAGATCGCTGTCAAGCGCAGTTAGTCACTGCGCTCAAATTATATCAAACAGTCGACTTACGCGGGAAAATCACGTCAAAGGCCTGGAAGAAGATAAACAAGATCCCGTATATCAGCGAGAGATACATGCAAGAGGCGGTGACAATAGGCTCCGTCGTCAAGAACTTCAGCGGCCGGCCTACGATCTTCGTAACATATTGTTTGACTCCAGTGTGTTTGAGTTCCAGAGCCCCGTAAATGTTGGCGCCGCGTTGAGCCTTTCGTAGCTTTTTGGCTCTTTTGGCGAGGATGACCGGTCCAAATGTCTCCGGTAGGAAGAGCAGAGGGACGAGACAGACTGCTGCGAGGATGAAACCGAACCAGAACGGCCAGTGCCAGCTGAACACCGAGAGACAGCCTCCAGGAATGGGCTAAATTGAGCGAGATCAGTTGAGCGAAGTTGTATGTACACGCCACAACGTACCCCGATCGAGAGAGAAGCAACTGCACAGATGAGATCAGCGTCGTCCCGGAGAGGTGAGAATCAAATCGCACTCACCAACAAGATACCACGCCACAGCCCACCCCCGGTGAACGGGATTGTCAAAGACATCGGCATATAGGCTACAGAATCAATCTCATTAGCGTTGTCTCTTCCCCCAACACTTCCCAGCTCAAGACAATTGCAACAAGAACTCACCCTCCCGTAACACTAATCGGCGTATTCCCGAATAACCCAGCCAAGAATCGAAACCCAACAAAAGCTCCCCAATTCGGCGCCAACGCCACCGCCATCATAAAGAGCGTAAAAGCACTGTACGTCCCGATCAAGATCCATCGTCGGCCGTAGTTCTCTGTTTGAGGCGCGAACAGGAGTGGACCGAGAACATAGCCAACGAGGTAGATGGAATTCGGGAGCACAAGCTGAGATTCGCTCGTGACGTGGAAATGCTGTTGGAGTTGGAGGGAGGCGCCACTGGGGAGGGCGGCGCCGAGAGTGCTGTTGAAGACGAGGAGGCTGCCGATGAGGAGGATCCAGAGTTTCTTGCGCTGTGGGTGGAGTATGAGTATAGTTGTCGAGGTGAATTTTGGGAAGACTTGCCAACGTCCAATTGTAGGGATTCTCTGGATCACTGTCCTCGAAAGAGAGGATTTGTTTCTCTGAGGGCTCTGCTATTGTGTCAGGAGAAGGGGATTGCGTCCAGATAACTTGGGACAATACTATACCTTTCTCAAGCCTCGATGCGGTGTCTGCCATTACTGGTGAGAGTTGCAGAAGCAAGTCTGTCGCCTTCTGAAGCTTAGCTGTTTACAACATGATCGTTACGGTAAGTGATCGTCGCCCTCGGGTAATGCATCCTGCGCTGTCGGAAGGATTGCGGAGTACAATTAGAGACAAGACTAATAACGAAGTTGGTATCTCCTGCCTTTGTGCAACAAGACGCTCGAAACCAAACACCAGCCCAAGAAACGATATAGACAACCCATGCGCCCATTTACTCCAATTTCTTTTTTCAATGCAAGCGGCTTCAGCCCAGTCTCCGCCCAGCAGACCCAGGCACTCCGCGGCCTACACTAGCCGATCCCTTCGTAGCGTTTGTAGCCTCTCTATTCTTCTGCTTGGCACCCAGCGCCGGAGCACTGATGTCTCGCCTCTCCTTCATACTCACACCTTCAATCATCTGTTTGCGGGGTGTGACGTGTCCATTTGCCATCGACTTCGCTCTGCCACGTCGATACGCGATGGCTGCCAGAGCGGCTTCTCGGTCGAATGATGGTGCTGAGCCAGAGCGTTCTCGAGGCGAGAGCACAGTCGGAGGAATGTCCTCAGCATCCTGGTAACTGTTGAAGACAGGCTTAGCAGGTGTAAAATGCATGGGAACAGTGGTGGTAGTGGTAATCGTTCGTACCGATCCCAGTTGCCGGTACGGTGTAGGAGGCTGAGCTTGTGCGGGTGTTTGCGGACTGGAAGGGGCAAGCGCGACTTTGGTCGTAGATTCGGTCAGAGCGTCGTCGTCTTCTGGCTCCATCGGAGTTGCAGGCGGTGCTCTTGGCGTTTCTGGCTGGGGTTCATCCTCGATTGCTTCCTCCGGAGACTCATGAGCCAAGGTCATACTGCGCTCTAGGTGGTCTGCTACATCGGGCTCAGGCGCTTGCTCCATCTCCACGTCCGCCGGAATTTCCGGGTCTTGAGTCACCGGCGCGAAGACCTCCCTCATCGTGCTTCTGATATTTTCCATGGCTTCGTTGAATGCGTTCGAAAGGCTGAGCGATCCATGGCGTTCGGAAGTGTTGCAGCCACAGCAGTTGAACTGGCACTCCATCTTCAGGAAGTCTGCAAGCTCCTCCGCATGCTCTCGTCTTCGTCTCTCCATCGCCAGCTCTTGTTGCATCCGTCTGGTATCCATCATCTTCTTCGTTACGATTCCGGCGTTTTCTTTATCGTCTGACAGAGGGGATCCTTGCCGCTTGTGCGGCGACTTCTTTGGTGAACTCATCAGGTCATCGTCATCTTGAGATGCGGCTGGCAGTGCGATCATGCCTTCCGCCGCTATCCGTGCAACTTCCTCCTTCTGTAGACTGGTCTTCAATGCATCTCGCTCCTCTTCCACCACCTTCATACAAGTTCGCAGCTTCTCCAGCTCTTCCTGCACCGCGACAAGCTGATACTGCGCATCGAACGTCTCTTGTTCCCGTTGTTGCATCTTACGCTTCTCCATGTCAAGATTGGCCTGCGCAACGCGAAGTGTGTTCCTCATCGATTTCAAGTCCTCTTGAAGCTTCAACACAGCCGATGACGTCTTGAACGCCTCCTTCTTTGCCTTTCGCACTTCCTTCTCGTATACAGATGTTTGCGAGGCGGATGTCTCTTTGAATCGGCCGTACTCATCCTACGCACTGATTAGCCCTCCGCCGCCGCATCCAGCAGCTTATGCAATGAGTGTCGGAGACTGTTGCGCGACTTACCATTACAACTTCAAGTCTCTTGCCAACCTTTCTCTCTCGTTCTCGGCCTTCATCTCCCTCTTTCTTCAGACGGCGCACTTCTTCTCGCAAGCGCTTGACATCGCTCTCTGCCTCCTCGCGCGCGATCTGAGCTCGACGCAGCTCTAGCTCGTGCCTCTTACGCCGTTCGCTGTTCTCCGCGTCGCGATCGCGGACATCCAGATGCTCGAAGCGCTTAACCAGGCCTTGGACGTCGCTGTTAGTTCGCCCATGCGTCCGGCCAAACGCGTGCATCTCAGGTAGTGAGGGTGAAGCCGGCAGCATATTGCTGACGCGCTCGGGTGAGAGCGGCTGCAATGGCTTTGAGGGAAACTTGAAGGAAGTGGGGGATTCCATTGCGCCGGGCGTGGCGGTACGAGTCGTTGTTAGAGTATATTGTTGGTCTTGAAGACAGACGAGTGGAAAACAGCAATGACGAGAGTCCGTGTTTACGCTCCGTCTCGGCTGTTGCTAGTGGTGCAACGCCGGGAGGGCCGGTGGGCCGGGAAAGCTTCCACCGACTTCATGTGATCTTCGCCAGCGTTTCCACTGCCAATCTGATTGTCATTCTGCTACACGATATCCAGCTCATCATAACGTGCTGGATTCGACCTTATCTCACATGTTCTCCAGGACTTTTATTCGTCACGACCTCGACAACAGCCTGCGAGATGTCATCAAAAGTAGGAGATCCATTCTCCATACATGTGAACTGCGCTCCATTCTTGGCAGTGACGGCGACGTCCGCACAGAAGGACAGAGACAGCAAGTCAGCAAAACTCTCTTACACTTCAGATAGGGCATCGACTCACGTATGGGGGAAAGTCCAGTGCCCATGCTCAAACCTCGCAGTAGCGCTCACTTCCTGGCCCGGCTGAAGCGTCCCACTCTCGGCCCACGTAGCAGTCGTCGTCGTAGTATACGTGCTGCTATGCGAAGAGGCATACGCTGTAAACAAGCTGAACGTGTTTGGAGATCCAACACCCAAGACTTTGAAGAGAGTGAGTTTGGAAGGAAAGCTGTTCCCATGGTTTATATATGTGGCCGTCACGCCGTGCATGAAAGTGTAGGTATTCGTGATTGCTTCGGTACTGATTGACAAGTTTGAAGTCGCATTGGATGGTCGAAAAACTTTCTATGACCTTCTAGAAGACTTTCTCTCCAAGTCTTGTACGAACAACGGGCGGGTAGAGCGGCGGCAAAGCTGTTGTCGATATATATACCATGGCGGCAACGTAGAGTTCTCGATACTAGGTTAACACACAACGCAAGAGTGTCTCGCCATTCACATTGGTCGGAGCGAACTCCGTGCTGCCCAGAGTCCGCAACGCCTGGTGACAAGTATCTGGAAAGAAGCCAAGACTGCGCGACGCTCTGCTCGGCTCTGGTGGAGGTATTGGCCATTCGAACTTCAACTAGAAGACAGACCGGGAGCATATTATTGGACGATCGCTGCGCGGGTGAGAGCCGAGAAGCGAGACAGTGCTCTAGCCTATTTATAGGTGGAGGCGAGCTCACCCTCGGGGCTAGGAACAGAAAGTCGTGACAGTGTAGGAGAAGATGACGGTAGGAGTATCACCGTCTTCCCATCCTGATCAGCGCCGATGAGAGGTCTTAGTGAAAAAGATCAGGACCGTCTCGACGCTTGCTGCGCATAGCATAGACAGAGAGAGAACAAGCACCGATGAGAGATTTTGATTTTACATTTGTAGTATTTCCGTTGCGTTGACTTCGTAGAATCATAAAAAGGAGCGTCACAGCGCGATCTATCTATTTCCGAACATTCCCAACCCCACTCCATCATACATCTTCTTCGTCGTCACAAGAAAATCCAACCCAAGAGATCGAATGTTTCTTTCCACCCTGCTCGCTGCTCTACAGCCCTCCTTGCTGCTCCTAGCAGTAGTAGCACCCGGGGTAATGGTAATTCTGCCAGTCATAGCCAGATCCGCGCGAGGCCAAATTGAACCAAAGCCACCACGGATTGATGTTGTTGTAACCCCATCTGTTATTCCAGTAGGTATACGGATCGTTGCCCCATCTGCTACCCCAGTAGGTATTCGGATCGATGAACTCGCCATTCTGGTCGACCGCTCCCTGCTGTTTAGCAAAAGATAGTGCCGTCTGTTGTTGGGACTGCGTGAGCTGGTTGGTTTGACCGTTCTGGGAGGCTGCGACGGCCTCCCGGAAGAGCTGTGTCTGAGCACTCTGGGTGCCTTGGGTGTTCTGGGTGTCTTGAGTGTTCTGGGTGGCTTGAACGGCCTGCTCTGCTTGCTTAGCTTGCTCAGCGCGAGCTTGGAGGGCCAGAGACTGCGCGAGAGAAGACGTTAGATGACGTTGTGCTGAATCTGTTGGGGGGTACTGCAATTACATCTTCTGGGAGCGCGACGGGCAGAGCCATGGCGGTGACCGCCGAGGCGGCAATCCAAGCGATGATGGTCTTGTACTGCATTTTGAGCAGCGATATCAGAGGCTTGAATGGCGATATGAAAGACGCAAAAGGCTTTTTCGGGTCCTAGTCGTCCTTGGTTGAAACTGCTTGCTGGAGATAGCCGCTGTTGAAAATGGTAGACTGGTGGATGTCCTCCTTCGTCTTATACCTGCGCCGTTTGTCTCTTTTCGCAGCGGACCATTCGAGTCCGCATTCGGGGTCACGTATTCCCCCCGCTCCAGGTTCTGGGCTCACTCGTCTCTGTTGCTGACATGGCTGGTCAGGACCGTGTGGCAGTAGTAACCACCATCAATCGTTCGCGGTAACATGATATCGAAAGAGAGACAACGTGGGAGTAAGACGCGCCGATCGGACAGCTCGGATCGCGAACAGGCGGCTGACTCCATGAATAGCGGACGCCAGACCTGTCCGCTGTAAGACACGTAAGCTGCTTAGCCGGACCTGGCCTTTGACACCAGCTATTCGGAGTTTGGTTGTGGTTGCACCAATCAACCCGAAGATTGGAGCAAGGGCATGCTTGCAAGTTCCTGCATCGTCCCTGTCGAATTCGAGGGATTATGTTCTATTACCGGTCTCACACTGACTTCCGCGCTCCGCGTCAACCTTATACACACCTCACTCTTCGCCAACCAGCGAGAGTCGCTCTCGACCGCCAAAATGATGCACCGCTCGGACGTCAAGAGCTGATACGAGGCTGGAATACTGACGATTCGCTGTGACGGCTTCTCACATGTCGATACCTCCAGTAGCCTGAAACACGCAGACCTTGCCGATTACTGCTTTGAGACGTGGCTTCTCGGGTCCGTAGCTGAGGGAGGCATCACACCACACCACCAATGTCGTCAGTCCAGAACTCGAATCTTAGAATCGGATCCGGAAGATTAACTCTGGAATCTCAAGAAGATTCTACCAGTCGCAAAGCATGTCCTAGTAGATGGATTGTTCAAACCTGCATACGATGTCTGCATCGAATTGGAACAGAAGAAATCTCCCGCGATGACTTGTCAAGGTCGATGTCAAGATCGATAGATACAGTCCGAAAGTGAAGACCGGCGTAGTATGCTGAGCAAGGTTGCCCAACTAGGAAAGTAGAGCTACGAAAGACCTGACAGCATTTTACAGCTAGGGTTCATGCTGCCGGCGGAACCCGTACGGATTCTGTATTTTGTGCGGTCCCTAAAAGTCCGTCGCATCCTGTGCCGGGTGGCCAGAAGAATTCTCAAAAGGGCACACAGTCTGGGATGAAGTCAGTGTCATCCCGGTCTTTACGACAGCTTAGTCTGGGTGCCTGCGCCTGGACTCGGTCAAAGTCTTGAGGTAGCCCTTGGCAAAGGCTTCCTTGGGCTTCTGCGTCACTATGAGTCAAGTGTTTCGGAGTCTCTCACGGTTGGAGCAATCGGAAAGCTTTGTCCACAGATGAGCGGTTGCCTGATCGGTCCGGGCAGAAATCCTGCATCGTGGAAATGTAAGACGCAGAACATGTGATTGTAAGCAGTGGCATCTCCGATTTATCGTTACGCACGGATGTCCTAGTCTTCGAGCATCACAGATCAAACCAGGAATCTGAATCCTCCACCGATCGCACCGTCCACGTTTTCGCCACGATCAAGTTTCTTGTTCAATCGTACCAACATGATCCGAAGCAGAGCAGCCATGAGGATAGCCAGAAATAGAGTCCCGCAGTTGACAGAGAAGGCGACGATGTACCTGGGTCCACCGCTGTACATGTAGCTTGCATAAATCGAAGAAGCGTTCGACACAGCGTTGATTGCCGCAAGAGCTGCCGCTCGCTTCGCGGGCGGACGAGGGATGGTGTTCGAGATCCAAGCAAGGACGATAACATAGCCGCTGTAGATGCCTGGTAGCATAAGCATCATGGCAACATACCTCGGAGCAAGAGACGTCGTCGCAGCGGCCAGAATGAAGGACGCCATTCCAACCAATAGAGGGAGCGAGATGTGCAAGAAACGCTCGCCGGTCTTGTCGGCATGGATGGCGTTCGCAAAGGCTGCGAAGACAGCTAGCACATATGGAGGTGCTGTTAATAGCAGAGAGATCATGTTGCTATAGCCGAGGGTTCTCACCACGGTTGGAAAGAAATTCGTGACGCTCGCAGCTGAAACGATTCCGAGCAGCATAAACATCAGAACCCAGACTTTGAGATCCTTGAAGGCGAGGAACATGCCGTGCCAGAAAGACTGCTCCTCGCTAGAGACCCAGTCGTCGACTCCGATGTCTTCTTGAAGACGCCAGACTGCCAGCTGACGTTCCTTTTCCGACAGCCACTTGGTGGTTCTCGGAAAGTTCGGAAGCACAAAGAAGCAGATGGCAGAAATGACAATCGTGAGTGCACCTTCGATTATGAAAAGCCTACCAATACGTTAGAAGAGGGCGCCAAGGGCTGTTTCGACCAACTTACCATCTCCAGGCGGGGATGCCAGCCTTTTGATCCATTCCCGAGGTGATACCGGCAGCAATTAGGCCCGCAAAGGCACCCGAGATCAATGATCCAGAGTACAAGATGGCAGATCTGAAGGCCAATTCTTTTCGGGTATACCAGCAGGAAAGAAAATACAGGCATCCTGGAAAGTAGGCGGCTTCCACAAAGCCAAGACAGAATCTGATTGCGACGAGTCCGCCAAAACTCCTCGCGGCTGCGGTACAGGTGGAGATAACGCCCCAGACGACCATGACACCAGGAAGATAGAGTGCCGGCTTGCCCAGCTTATTGAGGAAGAGATTGGACGGGATTTGCATGAGAATGTATCCAACGAACAGAATCGATACACAGGTCTCGTACTGGGAGTCGGTCAAGCCCAGGTCGGCCTCCATACCAGGAGTGCCAGCCAATCTGGCGGTGGCGATGTTGTTCTGCGAGACCATCAGAGAGGCTCCTCAATCGTTGGATGCATTGTTGCTCACCCTGTCCAGGTAATTGAGGATGTACATGATGATGACAGCGGGCAATAATCTGAAGTCGATCTTGCGGACCAACCTCTTCTCCAGCTTGACTCTCTCCTCTGGAGTGAGGTTGCGTACCAGCTCTGGAGCCTCCAAGGTCCGACTGGGTTTCTTGGCGTTGGCATCTTCGACTTCATCCAAAAACTCAGCAACCTGTTGATCTTTGTCGTGGCTGGAGATGCGCTCGCTGGGGACGTGGTGAGCCGCCATCTTTGCGAAGGATACGAGACTCAGGCTGTTGGAGGAGAAGAACAGCGATGGAGGCCAAGAGTGGTATTTCTAGCGGTAGAACTCACTATCGGACCGCATGCAACCACCGAGACGAGGAGGCTGCATGGCCTCCTGGTGGGCCCGGCGTCTCCATGTTGTGGAGGCGGGTTTTGCGGTGCTCCACTTGGGGAAGACCGCGCTAGTTCCGCCGGTATCTCAACAGCCAATCGAGCTGCATCACAGCGCCTGCTATGGAGACGGAGACAGTGCGGAGTGGATCGAGGTGCCAACGTGGCAGTCACATGCTGCACGAGATGAAGGTGCGCGAGATGGAAGTGCGCGAGATGGATGCAGGTGATGTCCTGGTGATGATGTGAGGTCGGAGAGGGAGCAGGAAGGGAGAGACTTTTTCCGTTTCTCGCTCGCAGTCTTGGCATCTCGGCAACTGGGACGCTTCGGCGCGGGGAGAGGGATGCCGAATCCGAAAGCCGAAGATGCCGATGTCTTCTTCTTCCCCTTCTCCCCTTCACATAGACCTACCCATACAGCCTATCTGGAATGTACAAGCATCTCCTGATCCATCGACTTTGTCCTCGCACTCTCCCGCCAAATATGCAGCCGCATAGACCGACTCAATGTCATCCTCCCCCTCCTCGCATTCTTCCCCGAATTCCAGAACCTCATCAACACGACCATCGAGCTGCACCGTCACTGCAGGCTTGAGCGGAGGCTTCTCATCGCGAGCCAGCTGCCGCAGACGCTTGTATTCCGCATAGTCTTCTATCTCGTCTGACCAGGGACGAGCGAGCACTTCACCCATACTGACTTGGTTCGGCGTGCGCTTCAAGTGGATGAGCATCACCACCTCGTGCGTATTCGGGTCCTTCTTGAGCGACCATCCTGTCACTTTGTGCCTGAAAACGACGTCAGCACATCTCGACACTATGCATAGGGGAGAAACGCACAAGCCGTCATATCTCAAGCCGGCCCGTGGCTTCCAAAAGCTGTGCAGAGTATGGCTCCGCAGGATGCGGATAGGATGACGAGATTCCGGCGTCCCCGAAGTCAAGCGGTACCGACCGATATCACGGTCTCGAGCTCGATACTGGAACATCTCAGGATCCGATCCCGCAACCTCATCGGCCTCTGTCATTACAACCGCATATGCACCCGCCGAATCCGAAACGATCCCTCCCGCTGAGCTCATGTTGTCGATGATTCCATCACGATACGCAAAGAGAGGACTGATCCACCAGTCTCCAGGCCTGAAACCAAGATCTCCTACTTTCCTTGATACTGCCGGGCTGAGCTTGACCCCAGGAGCCTTCAGCCACGTCACCATCAACTTCTCACGACTAAGATCTTCCGGTTTGCAGACGCCATGCAGTCTCCCACCAGGGTCGTAAAGCGGCGTGCCCACGGCTGCGAGTGGTCCGAATCGACTCTCCCATTTCTCTTTCACGGCATCGGCCTTTTCGATCACCTTCTTCGGCCACCTAGTGCCTTTGCCCGCAACATCGCAGATGGCAAGATGCATGCGGCTTTGTCGAATTGTTTGCAGGTCGATGTCGTCAGCCTCGACCAGTGTTCGAAGAAGTTCGTCGAGCGTCAAGATTTCGTCCGAGTGAAGGGCGTCTGGTCCTTCTCTTGCCACTTGCGGATCGAGTACATCGCGCAACCAGCGCGCGTTCTCGCGGAGAGAAGCGATCGACGGCGCCATTTGGGATTTTGCGGTGAAAGGTTGCAACAGGAGTCATGGAAGGAGGAGATGTTCCATCCACGTGTACGGCTGCATTGGAAGCAGCGCTTCCCACGAGGCCTATGGGAAAGCGTTTCCACCAGATCTAGGCTTAGGAGGAAGTCACGTTGCAGCCGTCCTGGAAGAGCCATCAAGGATGGCGGTGACAACTGCAGACCGTCTCAGTAACCTTCTGACCAAACAGTGCCAGCGCCATATGATTTTCGGATTGTCCGCCACCCCAATCAAATCAAGCAATCTCATGACCTGTTCACTAGCTCTGCAGCGACCATGACGTCCAGAACAGCCATCTGCGAATGCGAAGTCGGCATCTCGAAGGGACCATTCCACCAAGGCCCGTACTGTCCATTGCCGTTGGTATTGCGCTCCAGCTGGCTTTGCAAATTAACATTGATGAATTGTTTGATCGAAGCAGCGAGATTTAATGCCTCGGGACTGGGGGAAGATGTCTTTCTGATGACATCGTACAGCACTCCAAGATGCCGGATCAGGATCGCTTTGAAGCCAACAGCATCATTGTTCTCTTCAGGCTTATGCTTGTCTCTGCCGTAAGTGTCGCGTTCGGTGAGGACGCCGTTGTCGTCGACCCAGCTAGGTCGTTGCATAGCTTTCGGTGCCATCGAGCAGGCCAGATCCAAGTACTCTTTCTCATCCGTGGCTTGATAGAGCAGCGCGCAGACTCCGAGCGCAACACCAGTAATGTACGTGAACGTCCAGTCTCTAGCCTCTCCCTTCTTCAGAAGAATATTGTCGAGAACAATCGAATCTTGCTGACGATACCGACAACGCAAAATCCAGCCCAAAGAGCACCGCGCGGTTTCAATATACTCCTCCCGCGTAGTTTTCTTCGGATGAAGCATAGACGTCAACTTATACTTCTTCTTCGTCTTCTTCTCTACTCCAGACCCAATCTCCAGCATCGCCAATCGAATTCCCAATTCCGCAAACAAACCAGTAGTAATAGCATTGATCTGTTCCTCTCCCGAATTCGAAGTCCAATAACAAGCACCTTCCATATCCCAACCTTGGAATCTCACCTTTCCTTTCCCGCAAACCCTCCCCTTCTCGACATGCTGCCAGATGGCTTTCGCCCTTTCCAGAAAGAACTTTTCCTGTCCGAGCGTGTAGACGTGGAGACAGAGTAATCCCCACCACAATGTGTCGTCGTTGTATTCATTGACGAGACCAGATTTGGACTTCTCACATTGGCGAATAGCTCGCGAGAGCGTGTCGTAGTTGTGCTGGCATCCGGACCAGTGGTCGTGCAGAGCTATTGCGGTGTACCCGTTTGCTGTTTGCCTACCAGGAAGAATTTTCGAATCAACCCCTCCACGCTTTCGTTCGCGCACATGCTGATGATACGGATACGGATCCGGGTCGGAACTAAGGTACTCACCACCAGCCGAGACCACCAATCTCTCCATTTTCTTGTTTCGAGGCAAGATATACGTCAATGGCTCTTTGGGCAATAGCGTTCAAGTCGCCGGGTGGCTCCACGGGGTTCTGTGCCCAAGGCATACGTTAGTGATGCATTCATTGTGTCGATTGATGGTGGGGAGTACATGTACATGTCACGGGTATGTATCTCGATGTGATTATGTCATCCGAAGGGAGAGCCCGGACTTGTCGACTTCGCTCCATTATTCATCACCAACTTCCCCTCGTCGTCATCTCCTTATTACACGGCGACGACATCACGTCTATCGAAACGGCCAATCCCGCAGCGCTCGTACAATTCCTCGTCTCCCTGTTGCTTCTTGGCACCGGATGCTCGCTCGCAGCGTGAGAGGAAGTGGTCAAACTGAAGCTACCATGTACTCCACCTTCCCGCACTCTCCTCCTCAGCCATGCCAGTCCAACAGTCACATCTCAAGCTCGAATACTGCTCCCGTCTTACAACGTGTGGCAACACTTTGAGGAGGATCGAGGCGGCCTCTCGGGCTCAGGTCGGTATGCATGGGAAAGTCGCTGCCTGGGCCTAGTCACAAGCCACTCAGCACGCGAAGGATCTGTTCCCATGTCACGGCCTTCAACAGTCTCTGTATCTGTCTCTGTCTCTGTCTCCAGGCAGCATACCAACTCACGACTCCACATTCTTGCTCAGGGTCGGCACTTCGACATTCGCTATGTTGCCCGGCATTGTAAGACAGAAAAGGTGTCTCAATACATGGTATGTGTCATTGTTGAGTGTATCTAACTAGTCTGAGGGCTGCCGAAGGTAAGTGTGAATGCTGAGCTAATCAGCCGTCAGCCGTGTACGTCACTCCTGCGTGACAAGTGCCCCTCCAAAGAAAGCTCGCCGTCCCGGTAAGTAAATTAAGTAGGGTGGACGCCTAACTCGTTCCATAAAGTCTACAAACTATTAGACCCTCTAATACCTTTTCTGAAATCCACAAACTATTAGACCCTCTAATACTATCGTACCTAGCCGGTAGACGTACGCCGGACAGCCTAACTTCGCTACTTAGCCTTTAAGTACTATAGGCATAAACTCGAATAGGTAGTAGTTGTCGTTAATAAAGTCGGCGGTAACCTCCGTTACGCCGGTTATAATAAGCGGCTTTCCTCGCTCGCTACTCTCTCGTACGTACGGGATAAGCTTACGGGTAGCTTCGTCCTATTTAGGTCTAAAGAACTCTACCGCCTAAAGTATAAGTGACACCGTGTTCTAGATGCCGCTTATAGTAGCCTAGCGTTTGGCGTCGTCGTCTAGAAGTACAAAAAACTATTCGACGATTACTTTTCCCTAGGCTTTATTAATATCGTTATAGTTCTTAGAGAGTAGCTTAGGTAAGGTCGGTCCGAGGAAAGGGCGCTTCTTAGTAGACGTCTTAGCGTATAGAAGTATAGGCTACCGGGCTATACTAGCTATAAAGTCCGCTAGGCCGAACGCGGTACCTATATTAGGCGAAAGTTATGCCGTACCCTCGGTAGATATAGCGGCCGTTTAGTCCTATAGGTTTCCGGTAATCTCGCTTTCGCCTTTACTACGGAGCTTAGTAATAAATAGCGTAGCTAAGACTAGGCCGTATCGTAGGCGTAGAATACGCGGAATAGTTTTGTCGACCTATTTATCTATAGCGGCGTAGTCGGCCGGGTTTTCCTCGATAATATTAGAAAGTACAGTCCTTAGCGGCTGTACTAGATAGGGCTAGTTACATGATTTGGTTATGTGACCTACAGCTAGGAACTCTAAGTTTAGGAGGATTATATATCGCTCTAGATAATTAACTTAATTAACACATTAGTTCCTACTACCTACCTACCTTATAGACACCTTCCGCTATAGCTATACCTATACAAAACTGTTATTAGGACACCCTTTTAGGGACTTAGTATAACAGGTTCTAAGCCCGGGTTTGTAGTGTGTCTATAAAGAGGTTTTTAGTAGTATAGGTTCTCTCTATACCTATAAGACTTTGAAAGAGAAGTAGAAAAGAGAAGGTAGACCTAAGGCTCGCCCCTATAGTATACTAGAAGCTTTAGAAGATCCTAGTTGTGTCTAGAAGTTCCTAAAGGTAC